GGTTTACTAAACTATTTGTCTTGGGAGTTGAAAATGCTTAACCATCTTCTGTGATTGAAGAAAGACTGAAGAACTTAAATGATTACTTCACTTATTCACTTTATGAGAATATCTGCAGATCCTTGTTTGAAAGACACAAGTTATTGTTTTCATTTATGCTTTGTGTTAAAATTTTATAAGGAGCATAAATGATGGATGATAAATAATGGAGATACCTTCTAGCAGGTCCTTAAGGAGATATTAAGATTGCCCACAATCCAACTGCTTGGATTTCTGATAATTCTTGGCCTGACATATACAGATAGATGAAAGGAATGTCAACTCTTGATGCTTTCAAAGGATTTGATCAGTTTTTCGTGGATAATTCAGATTAATTTAAATTGATTTGGGATTCTTCATAACCGTAAAAAGAATAGTTGCCTGAACCTTGGTAAGGATAGTTGACTTAATTTGAGAAATTAATCTTCTTAAAGGCTCTAAGACCTGATAAATTAGTGCCTGCAATATAAGATTACATAGATTAGTAATTAAGTCCTAAATTTACAATTCCACCTACATTTGATTTGGAGAAATGCTACAAGGATTCATCACCAATGTCACCTTTAATTTTTGTGTTATCAGCAGGCAGTGATCCAGTTGCAGACTTTCTTAAATTTGCTGAAGAGTAAAATATGGCCAAAAGATTCGATTCCATATCTTTGGGATAGGGTCAAGGACCTAAGGCAGAGAGAATGGTTAAGGATGCCATTTAAAGAGGAGGTTGGGTGCTCTTATAGAATTGCCATTTAGCTATCTCTTGGATGAATGATCTGGAACGTATTTGTGAGGAGTTGAATGAAAATATACACAAGGACTTTAGATTATGGCTAACTTCAATGCCTTCCAGTTCCTTCCCAATTCCTGTGTTGTAGAATTCTGTTAAAATGACAATTGAACCACCACAAGGAATTAGAGCTAATTTAATGAGAACATATAAGAACTTGGATGATAAGGAATTGAGTGACTGCACAAAATAAGACATTTTTAAAAAGCTACTCTTTGGATTTTGTCTGTTCCATGCAATTATTTAAGATAGAAGAAAGTTTGGTGCAATTGGATGGAATATCCCATATGAATTTACAAATGAAGATCTAACAGTCTGCAAAAGACAACTTAAAATGCTATTAGATGAGTATGACAAGGTACCATATAAAGTAATTCAATACTTGGGAGCTGAAATCAATTATGGAGGTAGAGTTACTGATGATAAAGATGTTAGATTGATAAAGACAATTATCAAGAAATACATTTGTCATGAAGCTTTAAGAGATGGATATAAGTTTTCAGATTCAGGAATCTATGTGTCTTTAGCCTCAACCAATTAGGAAGGGTATCTCAATTATATAGAGTAACTTCCTTTAAATCCTGATCCTGAAGCTTTCGGAATGCATGAAAATGCTGAAATTACTAATTCTTAAAATACAACTAGGATTTTATTAGAAACTGTACTCTCTATTTAACCAAGACAATCATCAGGCACTGGAAAATCAAGGGAAGAAACCATTGAGGAAATTGCCACTTTTGTTTAGAGTCGTACTCCTGAAGTTTTGCCATTTGATGACATTTTTAAAAAATATCCTACTTCCTATGAGGAATCAATGAACACAGTGCTAGTCTAAGAAGTTATCAGATATAATCGATTATTGGCAACCATGAAAGAATCCTTGATTAATGTGAAGAAAGCACTTAAAGGTCAGATTGTCATGTCTGATGAACTTGAAAGTCTCGCCAACTCACTATTTGATAATTAGGTTCCTCTAATGTGGGCTGAAAAAGGATTTCTCTCTTTAAAACCTCTTTCTAGTTGGACCAATGATCTCTCAGCAAGAATTAATTTCCTGTAATCTTGGGTCGACAATGGAACTCCTAAAGTCTTCTGGATTAGTGGTAAATTATTACTTTTACATTTAAGGTTTCTTTTTCCCTTAAGCATTTCTCACAGGATCATTGCAGAACTACGCTAGAAGACATGTAATTGCCATCGATAAACTGAATTATGAATTTAAGATACTTGATACTCTTTCACCATAAGATATAGATGAGAAGCCAGAAGATGGCTGCTATGTTTTCGGCATTTCATTGGAAGGAATAAGATGGGATTACAAAAAACACTTCATTACTCATCCTAGACCAAAGGAATTATATTCGGAATTACCATTGGTTTGGTTATTACCTTGTATTGAAAAGGAGTATCCTAAGGATCTAGTTATTTATTAATGTCCACTTTATAAAGTTGTCTCAAGGTATTTAAAATATTTAATTCTTAAGAGCTGGAACATTAAGCACTACTGGACATTCAACTAACTTTGTCACTTTTCTTGAACTCCCATCAAAAGATTCTGAAGAACAATGGATTAGAGCTGGTGCTGCAGCATTTTTATCATTAAGATATTGAATTATACAATTATTATTAATTATAATATATTATTTTGGATATTACACTGGAACTTTACTCTTTCCACTTTTATTTTACAGTCTTCTTATCTATTCACTTATTGGATTACATGTGGAATTAGTACTCCTTGAAATTGAATAACCTTTATTCTTTTATTATTTAAAAGATTTAAATATCTTTATTTGTAGGAATACATAATCACAACTTTTAATCTCCTTCCTTATTAATCAAAAATTGTCTGCCAAATTTAAAAATAATTTAAATTGAAATATAAATCATTAACTAATGGACTTCTACAATTAGATTAATGCATCATTAAAATATTCATCTTAATGAATAATGTATTTCATTATCTTCTTTTATGCTTCAAACATTTGGTCTAATTATTTTTATCTATTTTATATGAGACAATCATTATTAACCTTTCTCAATTGTAAATTAATTGGAGAGGGTTGTCTCTTCACTGTTTGTCTGCTCGTTAAACTTTAGAGCTATTTATTCAACTATATCAATCTCAACTATTTTTCATTTCCCAATGACAATTTAGGAATGTGGAACCTCATTTATTCTTTTTATTAGCATTCGTCTTTTAAAGCTCTTAGAGATAAATTTGATATTTATTTATTTTTTTCGTTAATGTTTTCCTAACTGCTCCAACAGTAATTATTTTTCTTATTAAAAATTATTCTTCTTTGTTTTTAGGAAATTTCAGTGCTCATTCTCTCTGTTTAAGGTTATTACAGTGAATTCATTATTTATTTATTACAATTTGTGCTTACCCTCTTTTTGGGGATGTAGTAAAATTTTTAGTTAATCTATTCCTCTTAACATTTAATCATCGCTTTTTAGCATAATTTCTACATTAGATTTATATGAAACTTTGGATTTTATTGCTGATTTAATTCTTAGTTCATAATTTTATTAATATTGATCTAAATTGAACAAAATATGTTACTTTTCATTTCTATTTCGCAATTATCAAAGTCTATATAAATAGTAAAACTAGTTATCAACAGACTTTCACAATTACAACATTATTTATAAAATTTTAGGATAATAATATAATGTAAAAATTGCATATAAATCTAAAGAGTGCATCATACTAAAACCTGTAAAGGATAAAATCTCTTGATTTACTCAGCCCAGTATCGCAAAGAGTTTTAGAATAAGTTCGCATTCAAGAATTTAAAAATATTAGAATCTCAAAAAAAAAATTCAACTCACCCTTAAAAGAGGTTTTACATTTAGACTCCAATAAAAAAGATCTCAAAACTCATTTACCAAGCATTAGCTAAATTCCCAACTCAGATTTAGAGATTAGTAATAAGATATCAAAAATAAAACTGAAGATTGTGCCAAGAGAAGAAAACGAGTCAAAACTTAATTTACAGAAATTTAAATTTAATGATCGAAATACTATAAGGCCAAACAAAGTATGTATCAAAAAAAAGGAAATAGATAATCAGTAAAAGAGAAGTCAAAGCTTTAATAATAAAATACATATCAATAAAGTTTAACATTAATTTATGGAATAATTAAAAAGTCTCTCAACAACAATCTTATATCATCTATCTTAATAAACAAATTAATTAGATCGGTAATTCGATTAATTGGAAAACTAATTATCATTTTGATAAATTTATGTACATATATCATTTTTAATGCATCTCCTTTAAATCATATTTGGGTCATATATCAAATCAAAGTTATAATTATTTAGTGATTGCTCTATAATAAATATTAAAAAGAAATAGAAATAAATTATTATACCATCTTCTTTATTTGTCCCCTACTTTTTCAATATTCATAATCACATTAGTACTTTTGCATTGTTCCTCTAAATAAAAATTAATTTGTTTTACAATACAATAATTAAACATTTAATCTCAATGACTTAAATTTAAACAAGACGATACTAATTTAATTAAAAGGCTTAATTTGCTACGAATGGCTCTGATTAATGTTATTTCTAATTTTTATTTTTGTAGAAATTGCTTGCTTTAACAAATATGTACAATCTAATATATAAATTACCAATAAAATTAAACCTTCGAAATTATATTATTTATATCTGAAGGTAAATTAATTAATGAAGTACCATCTATGAGTTACAATAAATTGAAAAATAAAAAGAAATTAATTCTAAGAATTATTCTTGATTTTGAATAATATGAATTTAGATTGATTTTATGTAAATAAATATGTTGCATTATTGGTTTTTTAATATTTTCCTTATATAGTAGGTTTAATTTTTAACACAAAATACATCCACTTCAAACGGTAATCATTTTAAATTTAATTGAACAATTAATATAATTCCAGAGTAACTCTTAGAAATGTTACATCCGTATTTTTCACCAAATTAATTGCAATTCAATAATATAAGTGAGTAAAAGAGCTATAGATAGCATATATCGTTCAAATAAACAGTTTTATTTAAAATAATATAGCGAAGTCATTATTAAATTATTTAAATATAGTATTAATGAAATCATTTATCTTTGATTTTTCGAGAAAAATATCAAATATTTCTAAATATTTAAATCAAAATACTTTTTATAAATTGATGAATTTCGATGAGATCTACACAAATGTTTCGGTAACTTTGCAAAGTGTTGCAGAATATGTTCAACATCATTTGCTTGACTATGAATATTCGATATATATTTTAATTGGAATAGTTTCACTCATAGTTGGGTTTAAAATTGGGTATTGTTTATTTTAAATAATTAGAAAATCGGATATATTGGTTTCCAAGAAATAAATAAGATAATTAGAATAATTTAAGTATCTGAAGGAATAAAAGGAAAAATCTAAAGAATAGCTGCTAAATGAATTTTAAAAGCTAACCAGATTCTCTAAAATATTTTATTTTCTAATAATAATGGTCAACTCAGGCTTATACTATTTTTAAATAGAAGTAGGAAGCATTCAAAGTTAGATTGCTATTGGCTTAGGTTTGATTATTCTAACAGAAGGATATAAAGTATATGAAAAATATAGATTAAGCTCAATTAAACAAAATTTGGAGCAAAATGAAAAGGAAATTAATCAAATTATTCACGACATTTAAAAAGTATTTATTAAGCATATTCAAAGAATTTAGGAGAGGAATTGCGAGCGATCTTAAAAAAAGAGGCTTTAATTGAGCAAGGTGATTATATTAAGAAAAAGCTGGAAGCTTCTGAGATTTTATTGAAGTAACAATACGAAGAAAAGTATAAAGGTTATATAGAAGAATTAAAGAAAAAAATTCAAATCCTTGAGAATAAGGAATTTAAATAATAGGAAGAAATTTAGAATTTTAAAAGAACTAATTAAGTTCATAAAACGGAGCCTCTTATAAAAATACCAAGTCAAAAGAAAACTGAAGATCCCACCATTGCTTAATTAAGGAAGGAGATTGCGCATTTAGAAAAGGAAGGAAAAATATAAAAGAACATGATTTCAAAGGTGATTTAATTTGAGTGGTGTAGAGAATGCATCGAAAAGAAAATTCATTGTATAGAAGCTTATTGGAAATATGCTTAAGCAGTAGGGGATGAATATTAATCGAAGTTGAAGTAATTAGAGTATGAGGAGCAGGCTCAAAACTGATAGTTAGTATTCAATCAATTGTTTAAAATTATTAAATTATTATATTTATATAAATGGAAATCACATTAACAGCCACAATTTTTAGTTTCTTTGGATGGAATGTTTATTTATTGATTAAGAAATACAGGGAAAGGCTAAGGTAAAATTTCTTGCATAATCTAATTGATTAAGAATCTGATAATCTAATTATGAATGTAGCGCCATACAAAAAAATTAAAGCAAACGAATAAAGCGAAAAAATAGTCAAGCAAACTTAGTTAGAAGAGGCAGAATCAAGTTCAGATGATAATAATGAACTTGTTTAGTATAGAAGGAGCAAGACAATTTTAGATGAAGTAAGATAAGAAAATTTTCAAGAGCAATGTTATATTTAAAATTCCACTACCTTTGATATGGTCAAAGATTTAAAAAAGAAAGATAGACATAAATAAGAATTTTCATTCACATATTAGAATCAAGGTTCTAAGAAGATGAAGAAGTTCAGGAAAAACTCAAAAATTTATATTGATGAATCATTACCATTGGAGAGTCCAAAAAAAAGTAATAAAAACTCCAGCAATAAGGTATCTGAGAAAAAGATAACTTAATTCGACTTTTCAGGCTTAAAAGATCAATTCGATATCTAGGATCCAAGGTAAGAACTTTTAGAATGTGTTACTGATTTTGCTTCTCAATTTGAATAGAAGTAAGATAATTAAGGCTAAGAAGAGAATACAAAACCTATATAGTTTTCTTTGTAGCCTGAAAAAACAAATAATGAAGTAAAAGAATAAACAAGTTAATAATAAGCAGAACCTGTAAATATTTTCGGAAAGTTCATAACTTAAGCACCACCTTAATTGAAGGATAAATAGTTATAAGAATAAAAATAATTATCACCTTAACCCTAGCCTTTACAATAGGAGCCACCAAAAATCAATATTGGATTATTTACCAATCTATTGAATACTAATAATCCTAATCCTGATTAGGTTACAGATAAGATAGTGTAACCTGTTTAATTAAATCAAATACCATAAGTTCAAGTACAAAATCTGAATAACGGGTTTTAACTGAAGATTAATGAATAAAATTAACCTTAATAATAATAATAAAATACATCTCTTTTTTAAAATTTAGGTCAAATTAATAGTAATTCAATACCCATTTTCAATCTTAATAATTAAAATCAAGATAGTATAAATAAAAATGGCAGTGCTGATACAAAATAATCTAGTGCTATTTAGAATACTGCACCATCAAACTTCACTTTTGGAATTAACTCAAATATTTAAACAAATTCATAAGGTGGACTATTTGATAGCTTGATCAATAAGAATGTTGGTTTATTTGGAAATTAAACAAGTTCATCCAACATTTGTCAAGACTAAATTAATAATAAACCAAATTTATTTTCATCACATCCTTAACAAACTCAAAGTAATTTAATTTAACCCTAACCTAATGCTGGAACTACTTTATTTGGCAGCATCCTTTCTGGGCAATAACCAAAAGAATAAAACCAATAAAGTTAAACAGGAGGCCTATTTAATATTAGTTCGAATACTCAGGTTGGAAGTGGTTTATTCGGAAATTTGTTAAAGAGCTGATTTTGATTTAGTTTATAAAATTATAATTGAGTTCTATGATAAATTCTTACAAGCATTTATTATAAAGTTATGAGTGATTAAGGTATTTTACATTTCAGCATAACTAGGAGTTCAAAATGAAGCGCCAACGCAGAATTAGCCTTAAGACAACTAAAGAAGACTCATACATCTCTCAAGTTTGGTGAATTAAGTATGAAGTTCTTGATGTAAATATAGATGATTGGACAAAGCAAAGATGAACCTGAGGATTTAGTGGAATTTAGCGTACATGGAAAACTATTGTCTGTATATAGATGGTTATTATACATAGTATACAAGAAAGTCTTTGAATTTATTTGATGCAGAGAACAAAATTAGATTATGGGCTATATGGATGATTGAATGGATGTATATTTAAGTTAAATTTGATATTTAGCTGGTTTGATAGATTCATCATTACCGTCATTTTATTTAACTCAATTCTATTGGCCACATAAGACTACAGTTGGAGAGAAACCAATTCAGAAGCACCAAGCACCTGGACAGACAGTTTCGAATATTTATTTACTGCAATATTCATAATAGAGTTCCTTTTGAAAATGATAGCTATGGGATTTATGCTTGATAAGCAAACATACCTAAGAGACGGTTGGAATTTTATTGATTTCATTGTTGTAATAACAGGAATCATCTCCCTTTTCATTTCTGCTAGAGTGTCGGCAATTCGAATTGTAAGAATAATGAGGCCACTTAGATCTATAAATTCATTGAAAGAGATGAAAGTTCTAATCATTACTTTATTAGATTCCTTGCCTGCTTTGGCCAATGTGGTTATATTTTTACTATTTATAATAATCCTCTTTGGGATATTGGGATTATAAATATTTATGGGAGCTTTGGAGAATAGATGCAGAGAAACTGAATATCCAGTAGGGAATGTTTGGAAGGCTTCAAATTATACAAAATTGTGTTAGGATTCTTCAAATTGTCCTGCAGGAACATATTGTGGAAATCCAAATACTTATAATTTGCCTTAATAAGAATCAGATGATGAGAACTTTAATTATGGCTATACAAATTTCAATAATATTATTTCAGCCACATTTACCATATTTTAAGCTTTAACAACAGAGGGTTGGACAGTGTTGATTTTTATTTATTAGGAGGCATTGTCTACAGCTATAGTGTACATCTATTTCTTGTTACTCATTTTCTTGGGATCCTTCTTTGTTGTAAACTTAATTTTAGCAGTTATTAACGAGAGTTTTGTAGCTACTTAAACGAGAGCCAGTCTGAAGAATTCCCAGACGTCAGCATCGTCTTTTCATTAGGAAGAGCAAGATGAAGAGATAGAATAAAATGAAGAGGCAGAACATCAAGTTGCTTTGACAGGCAATTTGAATAATGCAGATTAGACATAAAACAATTAATTCAACCTTGAATAGTAAATAAGGGAACCTATTGCTTAAAATATTAATGAAACTAATGCCTTCAAAAATTAAGAAAATCAAGTTACTGGTGAATAACAATAAATTTCTAAGAGCAATACTATTGAATAAGTTCAATAGGTACGCAGATCTTCATCAAAATAAAGAAGTCTTAAACTATAACCATCTAAGTTTAAGTAATTCCAGTAGTTTTTAATAATTATTATAGAAACAAAGTAAATTATTGAGATAATGTAGGTACTTTTTGGCTTTTATAACTTCCATTATTATTTTGAATACAATAACTTTGTCTTTAGACAGATATCCTATTTCCTAAACTGAAAGTGAGATCTTAGATGTGGCTAATTAGATATTCACTGTAATATTCACAATAGAAATGACTTTGAAACTAATAGCATTTGATACTAGTTACTTGAAGGACTCAATGAATATTTTCGATGCAGTTATCGTCATTTTATCTTTAATAGAATGGATTCTTAGTAGCGCAGGTAATAATTCCAGTGGAGGAAGTTTCTCAGCCATCTAAGCCTTTAGAACACTAAGATTATTTAGATTATTTAAATTAGCACGTACATGGAGTAGTTTTAGAAAATTGTTACAGGCTATTGCAGCTACGGTGGGTGGCATTGCCTATTTCATTATTCTATTATTGTTATTTATGTCTGTTGCAGCACTTTTGGGTATGGAATTATTTGCTTACAAAACACCGTATAGATATAACTTTAATAACTATTTGTCTTCAATGCTGGTTGTATTCATGCTTCTGACTAATGAGGCTTGGAATACAATAGCCTATACGTTTATGTATGATTTGGGGTCAGTGTATCCAGTGATTTACTTTGTGATAGTTATTATATTTGGAAATTTCATACTGCTAAAGTTGTTCATTGCTATTCTGATAAATAATTTTCATGAAGCCAATATCGATTAAAGCTAGTCTATTGAAGACAATCGCAATCTTCTATCGAGTAGACATGATTAGTCTATGAATGAAAATCAATAGACTATAAAAATGAATCAGGTGTCACCGGAATAGATTCAACAATCCTTTTAAGTTGTCAAATCTGCATCAAATTAATAAACAAACAATAATTCTGCTACGAGATTTAAGAACATGTCATAATAATTCATGGCATCTACAATTATTTTGAATAGTACAATCAATTAATCTTTGCTTGAAGGAGTATCTCTATATATATTTCCACCTTAAAGCAAAATCAGACTGAAGATTAACAAATTAATAAATTAAAAGTATTTTGAGTTCTTTATTCTAACAATTATCATTATCTCGAGTATTTTGCTAGCTTTAGATGATCCACTCTCATCGGAAAATAATGTAACTCTGATTGTGATTGATGAAATAATAACAGCCTTATTTATTTGTGAAGCTTTATTAAAAATAATTAGCAAGGGGTTTCTGCTTAATGGGCCTGATAGTTACATCAGATCTCCAGGCAATATATTAGATCTTGTTGTTATTATATTTTCATCTTTAGCATTTGATTAAAGTTAAGCGCAAACATTCTCAAAGATTAAAATATTGAGAGTCATTAGAGTATTAAGGCCACTTCGATTGATAGTCAGAAACTAAGATTTAAAAATGTCTATTAATGCTTTGTTCAATAGTTTATCTTAGATGATGAACATCGCTTTGGTTTGTCTAATCTTCTTCTTATTATTTGGAATATTTGGAGTAACCTAATTTAAAGGAGCATATTACTACTGTGATATATCTGAAGTCAATGATAAGTTAGAATGTTTTGACAAAGGGGGATCATGGCAAAATAAGAATTTCAATTTTGATAATGTATTGAATGCTATGATTACTTTATTTGTCATATCAACTACTGAAGGATGGATTAATTTAATGTCGGATGGAATTGATAGCAGAGGCATTGATCTCAATCCAAAAGAAGACAATGCATATGCATGGGCCTTATATTTTGTATTTTTTATAATAGTCGGTTCATTTTTCATAATTAACTTATTTGCAGGAGTGATAGTTGAAGCTTTTTAAAGTGAGAAGGAAAGATTAAGTTAGATGAAAGATTTGACTAAGTAGGAATTAGAATGGTATGAAATTTAACAGAAGATTTATTCAAGTGTTCCAATAGAGAAATTCAAAATCTCAAAACACAAAATGATAAGACGGCTCAATGAAGTTATATCCTCCAATCCCTTTGAGATATTTATTTTGAGTGTAATCATTCTCAATACTTGTGTTATGATGATTTAATATTTAAGATCTCCTTAAGAATTAACAGATGCTATTTAAATCTTGAATTGGATATTTTTGGCCATCTTCTCAATAGAGGCAATCTTAAAATTAATAGTATATAGAAAATTTTACTTCAGTTCAGGATGGAATGTCTTCGATTTCACAGTTGTACTTTTGACAATCCTCGGTGTAATATTAGAGTAAAGTAATGTCTTAAGTAATGTTGGTACAGCCACATCTATTCTAAGGACTTTCAGAATATTCAGAGTGTTAAGACTCATTAAGAGTGCCAAAAACTTAAGAATTATTTTTGGAACATTTCTAGTCACTCTACCTGGATTAGTGAGTGTAGGTGGTTTGTTAGGAATAATGCTGTTTATTTTTGCTGTTGTTTTTATGAATTTGTTTCCATATGTGAAAAGAGGTGATGGAGTTACTTATAATTCAAATTTCAGTTCTTTTGGGGTTAGCTTATTTACATTGTTTAAATGTTCAACTGGAGAAGATTGGAATTTAGTAATGATGGATACTGCTAGAACTGCATAACCAAATGATATTTGCTTTGATTTTAATGATTATGCTAATTATGCTGAATACGGGTTTATGGGATGTGGAAATGTAGGTGGCATATTGTTGATGATTATCTTCATGATCATAGTTTCTTTGATTATGTTGAATCTATTCGTTGCCATCATTATTGAAGTAAGCCATATAATCAATTATTTCTTATTAGGGATTCTAAAATACTAGCAAAGAAGAAAATGCTCCTATTAAGAAGTTAGATGTGGAGAACTTCCAACAGTAATGGAAGGATTATGATAAAAATGCCACTGGATTTATATAGTGCAAATATTTCACTTAATTTATGATGGCATTACCATAACCATTGGGAGTAATACATACTCTCTTATTATTTTAGTGGTCGAAATTGAAATACTCAGCAGCCCAACAACGATTGCATGTGGCTCAATTGAATTTACCTGTATATAATTTGAATGGCAAGAATACCTATTTTTATTATCAAGCTCTCATCTGTGCGGCTCAAGACTTTTTGGAATCAAGTGGGTTTATATCCAAGTAAAAATAGTTTGATATTTTAAGCTTTGAAATCTCTAAGGATATTGTTAAATTAAAACTGCAGCCTTTAATGGAAAAAGCATTTTCTAAGGTTTCTAGCTTAGAAACTGAATTTGACAGTGGTTAATATATGGCTGCTGTTTTAATCTAATAGAATACAAGAAGGAAATTTTAAAAATTAAAGAAATCTAAAAGTTCTGCTGTCATAGCCTAGTATACTAATGATGACGAAGTCTAATAATTTGTTGCTTGATCATATCAATTTTATAATTTTATTCTATTCTATGACTATTAATATTCCGTAGCAATTAGAGTTTGCTATTGTTAATATTAAATGCTTTTAATTGTTTAAAGAAATTAGTTGTTAAAAAAATAATTAATAAAATGAAGGCAATTTCATTTTAAGGCAACATATCGATTGAAGATTTATCCAATAAGAGAATCAATCTAGACACATAATTAAAGCTTTCTGATGATTAATATGTTCGCAACATTCTACCTTTGAGAATTCAAAATTTTGAAATTAAACGATTAGAATGGAAGGATTTTATTGGTAAGCCAGACGATGAATCCCCTTGGATTGCACATTGTTATTGGAACAATTCTTATGAATACTACTTTTCTCAAGATAGGGAATCGGTGAATTACAGAGAATAATCTCCATTGCGTTTACCAAGAATACCATTGCAATAAATTAATCAAGTTAATTACTTAAATGTCAAAACTGAAACTGTTAGGACAACAAGTGTTAATAAAATCAAAAGATTGCCTACACCAACAATTAGTTCATCGCCTTAAAGAGCTGTTAACAGAAGTAATTCAAGCTCTGCTCTTAGAAAACAATCACCAAGTGTTCAAAAAATCAAATTACATGTGAAATGTAAGTTTCTTGAAAAGTCTTGGGCTAAATCGAAGAAGGATGATCTATTATTAGAACATGAGACAGGGCATTATTTAATCGGTTGTCTTTCAGCTTTAGAATTTAAACGAAAGGTTGAATCTTCGGATGTGATGAGAAATAATAATCATCAATAATAAATAAGGAACATTTTTAAACAGAATTTAAGGGAATACATACAAATTGAAAAAGATTATGACGAAGAAACAAATCATTATAAGGATGTTGAAAAATAAAAAATGTGGAATAGAAAATTAAAAGAATAATTACTACTTTATGAATATTATTTTAATCATTGAAAAGTTAAGATTTCAATTATATATTTATATAAAAATTACTCTATTTATTTTTTTTCCATTAATGTTCATAAAGCTTTATAAATATTCATCCAAAGATTAAATACGATTCATAATTTTATACTGATCATTTTAATATTGACAAATAAATAAGCTTATGGATAAAAAAAATTATAAAATATTCTTGTGAAATTCATTTTCTTTATTAGTTTATTTTTGTTATTTTTTAATAATAAATTTAAGAGATGAAAATATATTATACAATTTAATTCGAATGATTTTGATTTTTTACTGATAAGCTTTGATTCCTAGACTTTTGTATCTTCAATCAGAATATTTTCAATTGTCTACCCATTTTTGATCTTTTTTGAAATAAACTTATACAGATTAATTAATATGCTAATTTTCTTTCAAATACAATTTGTCATTGCTTAATGGGAAGTTTATTATAGCTCCTTTAATCGACCTGTTTTGATTTATTGTACCGATGATACTTGTCCATTCGGATTTAAGAAATATTAGAGTACCTAGAGGGCCCTGTATAAAAATTGTTCTAATCCAAAAGGAACAGCTTTAATTTTGCAAGATTCACAAATGAGCACTATATCAAATTACTAAATGTACCCTTAGAATGCTAATTCAATTAATCATACAATTGTTTTTGACGTATACTACATTTCATAATGGAATAATGACGCATTGATATTCGAATATAAAAATTAGGCTTATTAATTTATCTATTCTACATAGAATCCATTAAAATTTGTAGAAGGAGCATGCAATTCAGAACAATATGACGTTAGAACATATTAAATCTCTCTTCCTTATACCTACTAATTTACTGAGATTAAATTCAGTCTAACAAATTCGTTGACAAAAGCATTAATTAAAAATATCCATTTTTCATACATTACTTGCCATCCTACCTGTAAAACATGCACGGGAAAGGGTTATAATCAATGTACATCATGCCTTTCCGATGTAACTCTAACAGATGGCATTTGTAGATGTCCTTATGGATAAACATAATACGGTTTAAAATGTAAAGACTATTGCTTGCTTGGAGCCACAGATAGGAGGGAAAGATATTGCAAAGCATATCCACAATCTTACTTCCTATATTTGCATTTAGTCTATTTCTAATATTCTAAATTAATAAATTGGGATATTATTTATGATCCGATGTAATTGAACAATCAAAATAAAAAAGCAGGCCCATTATTTGGGATTTTTAGATATAATGAAGGAGCCAGTACTATAGTAAATACTACCTATTTTGTATATCCATTAGGAGTATAATTGTATCTTTATACATGCAATGCAACACCAATAAATTCAGGAATTTCTATCTATTTAAATAATACTTACTATTCTTCAATTTACTATGATGGAACCAAGTATATTGGGAACAACCTTTATATATATTTGGCCGAAACTATGGGATTAAGTGGTTGTACATCTGCTAGACATTTATTGTTATATGCGAATCTCAACATAGAATAAGGAGGCTTCAGTTTTGCAATCAAAGGGAACTTTACGTATATCTATAATTTATATAAATTAAGATCCGGTAATTCTGGATGGTATTTGGTTTATGCAATAATGAGTAGTTCACAATGTCCAATTTATTGTTTGAAATGCGAAAAGTCTTACATTTGTTCAAAATGCGTTGTTGGATATAGACTAGTTTCTGATGGTAATTGTGTAAAAACATGTCCAAAAACCTCAATACTTTAGAATAATATTTGTATCAAATATGATGAAGTGACCAAATGTAAAATTAATCTTTAATATTAGACACAAACTATCTTATTTAACTATTCTATGATTTCACTGTTCCTGAAAATATAAAGTCTACTTTTGTTTTAGAATCCTCAACAAGCGAAGACTTTTAAAAAGGCAATGAAGTTTATTGGTCATATATTGACACAAATGTTGTTTATGGAGGAAAGTACGTTTGGGCAACAGCCAGATTTTCTTAAATATATACGATTGATTCACCACATCATTCATTAACTATATATTTTGATGCTGTCTTTGGATGCAATTTCGATGGTGTCACAGGATACTTGGGATATTCGGTAAATAACTAAACTGAAACATCAGTTACTAAAAATTCTACAGTAAGTATTAATGTCACTACTCCTTCACCTACTTTATCAATTTCATTTTAATGTTACGGAGCAACCAACAATGTTCTGGATAAATACTGTGCAATCGGATTTTATTACATAGTTGTTCATTATTGCAGTCCATATTGTCTTCAATGTACAGATGAAAATAATTGCTTATAAATGGATAATTCTGTTGATACATCAGTAATAATACTGAATCCATCATCCTGCAGTTCTTCTTAGTATTACGATGACAAATATTACAGATGTGAAGAATGTCCTTAGCTGTGTGAAACTTGCCTTAATGAATTTGAATGTCTAAGTTGTAAACACCCTTATTAAATTTTAATAACATCATGTGTATTGTAATGTAAAATAAATGAGTATTTTGATGAGTATACATAGATATGTGATTGTAATAAGTTTAACCTAATTATTAGTATGCAATCCTGTATGCAAACAATGCTAATTGAAAAATGAATGTATCCACTGTGAACAATCTAAGTTTAGATATCTGTTGTATAATTAATGTTTATGTTATGATGGTTATTACGATGACAATATCAATGTTGAATGTTAGGTTTGTGATGTATTGTGTACCAAATGTTTCGGAGCTTCAAATATGGAATGCAATGAATGTATTACTGTTGATAAAGTCGAAAAAACAGGCAATACTTGTAATTGTAAAAGTGGATATTATTTTGTGAAATCAGATTGGACTTGCATGTAATGCCATAATAAATGTGTAACCTGTTTTTCATCTTCTGAAAACTCTTGTCTTAGTTGCAGCAGCCTAGAAAATAGAATATTAGATGGTCTTCATTGTTCCTGTTCGACTGGGTATTATGAAGTGAATAATTTATGTGTCTCATGTCCAAACATTGAAGATTCAACTCTTTATTAATGTTATAAATAATGCGGTGATAATTCTACAATTTGGTTTAATTAAATTTGCTCGCCTATTTCATGTTTAATGGGATTTACAAACTAAAACAATTAATGCTTTCCAATATGTGGAGATCTAATTATAAATGGCAATGAGGAATGCGATGATGGCAATACTATTTTAGATGACGGATGTTACAATTGTAGATTTTAATGTCCAATGTAATGCACTATTTGTAATTAAGATACAACCTTACCTTGTCCAAACGTATGTGGTGATAATGTCATAAGTGGATCAGAAGAATGTGATGATGGTAATCTAGTATAATTTGATGGTTGCCATCAATGCAAACTTGAATGCTAAATCTAATGCACATAATGTATGAGAGGATAATGCTATTAATGTCAGACATATGGTTGGATTGTTGACATTGCATCAAAAACTTGCATTGAAAATTGTGGTGATTTAATTGTTATTGGAAGAGAATAATGCGATGATGGATATACTTTTGACTCTAATGATGGATGCTATTAGTGTAAGAGAGTATGCAGAGATGACTGTTTAAATTGTAGTTCTGATGGTTTAAAATGTCTAGAATGCTAAGTGGGATTTTAACCATTTGATTATTACTGTAAAAATATATGTGGAGATGGCTATTTAGCAATTGATCCTTTCAATAGAAATACTGAAAAATGTGATGATTTCAATTCAACAGATTTTGATGGCTGTAGTAAATTATGCAAGTTCTAGTGTTAAACTACTCTTTGCAAGACCTGTGTAAATAATAAATGTCTAGAGTGCATTGATAATTATTATTTAGATAAAAATAAGAATAAATGTATAGAATTATGTAATGATAACATTATTGTTGGATAAGAAATTTGTGAGGACATGAATAGTTTATTATATGATGGATGTTACAATTGTTAATTATCTTGTCAATCAAGTTGCTAGAATTGCTCTATAAATGGCTGCTTATCTTGTTTATAAGGGTATCGATTAATCGGCAATCTATGTTAAAGCATATGCGGAGATGGGTTAAAAGTTCCAGAGGAGGATTGCGATGATGGTAACTTAATACCATTTGACGGTTGTCATGGGTGTAAATACTCGTGTAATCCAACTTGTCTGACTTGTTACCTCGGTCGCTGTTTACAGTGTCAAGTTGGCTATTTGATGTATAATAGGTTTTGTGAAAAGAAGCAAGCTTAAATTAATCACAAATTATAAAGATCAAACCTTGATGGAAACTTAAATCCTATAATTTAAAATCGACCCACTAAATTATTTAATGAATTTTGTAAGGAGGCCATTAATGGTACATGTTTAGTATGTTAAGATAATTACTATTTAAATTCTATAACATCTATTTGTCAGAGTTTATGCGGGGATGCTTACATAAATGGATATGAATAATGTGATGATAGAAAACATTAAAGTAATATGATTTGTAACCAATGCAAATTATATTGTAGCGAAAATTGCAAGATTTGCTAATTTGGAATTTGTACACAATGCGATGAAGGCTATTTCTTAAGATTCAAAACTAATTCATGCGAAATTTAAGCACAATGCAATGAGATTGGATTATACTTTGATTCCATTAATAATGTTTGCTATGATTAATGTGGGGATGGTCTAATATCACCAAGAGAATAATGTGAAGATGATAATGATGATCCGTATGATGGATGCTATAAATGCAAATATTCTTGTTTTCCTACTTGTCCATTATGCATTTTAGGGAAATGTGCTGACAATGGAAATACTTGTAAAGTACGTTACTATTTTGATACCTAAACAGCATCATGCTTTAATATATGTGGTGATGGAATTGTGGCTATACCAGATGAAGAATGTGATAGTGAAATTCTTTTAGATGATGTAGATTCTCAATGTGATAATTGTAAGGTGATTTGTAACAACTTTTGTGAGATTTGTGATTCAAATCAATAATGTATTTAATGCAAGGAAAATTATGAATTATTAAATCGAAAATGTTACCCTAAAGAATTGAATCATTAGCAATGTTTGATTGAAAATTGTGAATATTGTGAAGACTCTAAATGCATTGAATGCTCAATTGGCTATTCCTACATTCCAATAGAAAATGAATGTTAAACTATTTGTGGGGATGGAATCTCTCTTGGTGAAGAAATTTGTGATGATGGTAACAGAATCAATGGAGATGGTTGTGATTCACATTGCAAACCATCCAAAAATAATTAATGTGTAAATAATCAATGCGTTTACATTTCACACCCTATGCCTTAATTGAAATTTGTAAAAGAAGTTGATAATTCTTAAATTTTTTATTTGACTTATGATCAATAGGTAAAATTATCAGAGGCTATTCAATTTAAATGTTTATAGAGTCCATCGAATCGCAAATAGATAATAAAATTACAAATGTATCCTTTTCTGAAATAAGTTCACTTGACTAAGAATCCTATAAATACTTTCAGATTGAAATCAATATAGGCTATGAGGAAATAATAATCAATCCTATATTTTCTATTCATTTTACTGACTTAAATATAATAATAAATGAATTTGGCATGACATCAATCTAATAAGATATCTCGATATAATTATAATCTCCAAATGTTTTATCTGTAAAATAAAAATAAATAACATAATCACTTATTAAGTTTAGCGGGTACTAAATTAAAATAATAGCAGGCCTTATTTTGCTATCATCATTTGGGGGAAAATTTGAGATCATTCAAAATTAAATTGATACTATTTAATAGCTTTACTACCTAAAGTATATTAATACTAGAAAAGGTCAAAACTTAATTTAATTTTTTGAGACTTTTAGGATTATTTAACTCACTAATCTCTACGATTTCATTGGATTCAATCCCTCGAATGATTTATATTTTGGATTCTCTTCTTAGAAATCAGAGGCAATTTTTGAGGAAGATGGACGAAATGCAAATTATCTAGCTAATTTCATCTAAATCTCCACAGTTTTTGCTTTAGCCTATTTAACTCATTTTGCAATATAGATCTTGATTAATTATTCAATGAATAAAATTTAGAACTTTTAAATCTAAAATTTTAATCTGTTTCTATTACATGGATTCAAAAAAGTTATAAGATTTTCAATAAACAATTGTAGAAATAGGTTTAGTGAATAATTTAAAGGATTGTTTTAATCACTCATTTATGAATACACTATATCTTCATTCTTATCTTTAATCTATTAAGATTTTGATTCAATAGAAGGAAAATTTAGTCTAATATTGAATGGAGGAGTCACCTATCTATTGTTTTATTATTTACTATTTTAGAAACACTCTGAAAACAAATTGCATATTGAATTTACTTACTCATGTGTGTAAAAGTTGCTATTTGGGGTTATTTTGATTGTTTGTTTTAAGTCTGCCATACTTTAAATTCAATTATGCGCTTTAAATGAATTCATTTATTTTTACCATTTATTTAAATTAAAGAGCGATCTTGATAAATTTTAATTATTCAAAAAATAGTTGCAACATTTTAGTTTATTTATAATCAATATTATGCTTTTGATAACTGAATTATACAAGAATGATCCGTTCAAATTAATTTAAATAGGATGGGCTATTATCGCCATGATGAGTTCAGTATTAAGTATGACACTGATGGTTGATGTGTGCAAAATAGTATAACCATTTTTATCAAACTTGCTAGATAGACTAAAATAATAGAGACCCATTTTTAAAAACCATGAAATATTAGATCAAATTTAATAAAACAATTTCAAGTGAATATTTAATTTTTATTTAAACATATAACCTTTTGAAAATAATATAAATCTTAGGAAAAAGAATTAAAAAAAAAAATGATTATTTTCTTATTCTCATTCTTTCATTATCTATATAAAAATGACAATATATCATTAAAATTGTAATTATTAACTATTACTAGGATATTAATTATCTAAATACAAAAAATTTTGTTGTTTTACTTAAATAAAATGATTAGAAGCTTACAAGTGAATACACTATCGATAAAATTGAAATTTAATTGAAGAATCAAATATATTATAATTAATAGACACGCAATAATAGATACAATATCAAGTATAAGTAGATATCACAGGTATGCTAGATTTGGAGATAAAATATATTGACGATGTTAACAATAAAATTAATTTAATCGAATTATAGAATTAAAAGAATATCTAAATAAATTGTAGATGATAATAAAATATCTCTACGCAACATCCAAAGCTTTTGCATTTTGTATTTTTAAGAAACAAGAATTCAACGTAAGATTTAGTAGAGAATATGTTGAAAGGGGAACTTTGAATAAAGATATGAACATTTTTAGATTCAATTATAAATAAGATCTTTTTAAATTCAAATATTTTTAAGATATAAAATACATCAATCATTTCTATTTAACAATGTTCTTGATTTCTCTCCAAATTTCATCCACATATCTTTCTGCATTGATCTCATGCAAAATATTTCTCCTAAAATAATAAATATCTATGTATACTATCTATAATAGTCAACAATTGGAGATGTTTTGCTTTAATACACTCTTAATCTGTTTCTAATAGTGCTCTCTTTATCATCTTCTCTCTATATTAAATCCTCTCCTGTAATATCATCTTTTCCATATTGTTTTGGAGGATTGAACTTATAATTGTATGTTCTTCCAGAAGCTAGATGGGTCCATCTACCTCCTAATCGATCGATAACAGTATCTTCTCTGACGTTCATGAAGATAGCTTGATCAATTTATTACCCACTCTATTTTAAAATTTCATCTAATTTCTGAGCTTATGGAATAGTTCTTGGGAAGCCGTCTAAAATAGCTCCATTTGCACATGCAGGCCTGAATTAAAGTATATAATTACTTGGATAATTGATATTTGATTAAATTACACATAACTTCATCTTCAATTAGTTCACCTCTATCCATAATTCCTTTAAGACGCTTTCCAAAATCACTTCCAGACCTGACTTCTTCTCTAAGAAGGTCTCCTGTAGATAGATGGCACATGCAAAAACGGGCCAGCATTTTTGCTGAATGCGTTCCCTTTCCTAGATATATGTAAAACGCATAACTTACCAGCTCCAGGCATTCCTAGCAATACTATACGTTTCTTCAATCCTTCTTCTTAACAACGATATCTTCTATACAACTCAGTGATTAGTGCCTTCTCAGAGATTTCTGAGTATGCCTTAGTATCCATTATTAATGAAAAAATAATTTTGCCAACTAATTATTATAAAATTTCATTAATCAACATCATCTTCGCCAATTTCTTCTTCGAGTTCATCGATAACTTCTTCACTTTCGGATGCTATTGATAGTCTAAATTATTGAGTACCAGCATAATCAGGATTTTAATGATTTTTTAAATGGGCGGTCAGATTGCTGGACTAACTAAATCGCTTTTGGCAATCAGGGTACTTGCATGAATATGGTTTTTCTCCAGTGTGGGTACGCATATGAGTTTTAAGATTGAAATCTAAGGAGAATCCTTTTTAACATAGTTCACATTTAAAAGGCTTTTCTCCAGTGTGTACTAATTAATGTCTTCTTAATTTAGAGTTGTCGAAGAATGTTTTTTTGCAAGTAGTAACAGGACAAACATAAAATTTGGGAGCAGCCACTTTCTTAATTTTAGGTTATTAAGCTACAGCTTACTATTGGGTAAAATAATTGGGTTACCTTTTTCATTTGTGTCATTTTTTGTAATAATTAGCTCAACTCTTAGGTATTGGTAGTACTGTTGGCTAAAAGTCTCTGCAATTCCTGATGTGTTCTATTGATGGAGGCTTAATAATTAATTCTGGGCTTTTATTGTTTGGTGTCATAAACATCATTGACTTTTACCCATTTCTTGATGTAGATATCTTTGGCTCCTGGAAGTATATTCGGTACTCTAACTCGTTTGAATTCCCAGCATTTTTGTGGTAGATTGAGGAAGTATTCATCAGCATCATTGAAATATTATTATTCGCTTTCAGAGTCGTGTTGCATTAATAAAAATTATATGTAAAATAAGGTGACTTTCAAGATAGTAAATACATCAGACCCAAATTTGGCATTCAGAACAGTATCGTAAATATATAATTGTTAATGACAATAGAGTGCCCTAAGAAGCTCCATTTAGTGCGGTTGTCAAATATGTGGCTGAAGAGGTATGAGAATCGCATAATTAAGAATAGTTTAAAGTGAATCCAGCAACAAGTGCCATAATAACAAATGCAGGAACTGGAGTGTCACTTCAATAGACTTCAGGGAATGTGTTTTTGAAACATGGTTCAGAATTGAAGATCATTCCAAGAGATCGCGTAGGTTATTGTTGATATAAATATCATAAATACAATTTTAAATCATCCCATATTCCCTCCTTGATAACAGCAGCGATGTTGAGATCATACAAGGTTTGCCAACAGATTTCTGCTGCTTTCTATTTGTTTACAAGTTTATTGCAGCTCTATATATTGAATTGTAATCCATATTTGGCATAATCCTGGTTGGCTACAGCAAAACGATATTTTATGTGTTTGACTGGACCATTTATAATAACATTATAGAGATAACATTGTTAAATGGCTTTTATTGCTGCATGTGGATAATTCTCTAGGAACTTCTTACGTTGTTTGATGTTTCGCATTAAATTGAGCAATTTTAGATAGAATATGATTTTATGGAAGTCCTCTGAAGTAATGATTTCTGTGACTTGTTCAACAGAATCATGAGTAGCAAGATGGTCAACAGCATCCATAAGGATTTTGAAGTATGTCCGCATTTCTTAATAGAGATCATCTCCACACTCATATCGTACGATTAGTAAGAAGATTGAAATCGTAGTATCAAGCATCTCTTTTATAAAATTACGACAATGCATATCTGAAGCTAATTTAGAATGAAGGACATGTAATTTGGATCTGAAATAAGTACAAAACATGTTGAATCTTTATTCCCGTGCCATCTTTCCCGTAAACTAAAAACAATATGAAACACATCTTATTTTCCCCTATTCCCAAAGTTTGACTTTATCTGGTTTGTTCTGATTACAAGGTGTTTTTAAGGCTTCTCCGCCAGGAATATAGCGTGAAAGATCAAGTTGTTAAATATATTGCATGACGCTCACAATAATTGATGCATATTATTATAAATGATAATTATTTAGCTACTTTTTTATATCCAACCAGATAAACTTACTCTGATGACTTATCAATTGCAAATTCTTTTCAATTAAGTTACTTTAACATTAGAATTGATGTTGCAAAGATCTCAGCAATCATAGCCTTTAAACATAGTACTTATGTTATTTAATCCAAACTTTATTTTATTTTGCTTTTACTTAATAATGAATAAATCAATCATATCAATTTTGAAGGAATAGTGTAACCTTTAAATCAACAAATAAAAATGTGATCTTTCAGATTTGTTAAGATATAAACAAATATCTAAGATTAAAATTATTATAAGTAATGGCTGTGTGATAAAACTAACTACCTTATTTTTAGAGAATTATTGGAATTATAGAATATAACTAAGATGAAAGCATCAATTTTACAATATTAATAATATAAAGTTGATGATATACTATCACTGAAAAGATTGAACGAAAACTTAGAAAAATATCAAAAAATTACACAGAATTTATAATACTTGAATTTATTCAGAGTGAATGTGATTAAATAATCATATTTCAAATAAGTATTTAACAAATTCTTATTTGATAAAGTAGTTGTCAGATAATATTCATATTAAAACTTTTTAAATGATAAATTAGTCATTCATTATATTTATTGCTATAATCTTAATTTTACTTCTTGTTCATCTTCAAACTATTTGAGCATTTCAAAAAATTGTTTCTACAATTATTCAAATACAGGTCTATTCTTTGTAATAGCTTCATTTTCCTATTCTGGTGTTATCTCACTTAAGCCATACTGTTTTCGTGCTCTATTTTTATGATACAATCCTCTACCTTTCAATGTCATTTTCATTATCATCAATGTAAATTTAACATGCTAAAATACATAAGCATGCCTGTCTTAAGAGATCAAAACTCAAGTAATAGGAGGCTGCTAAGACTTTATCAAATAGTTCGTCTGATAACTATAAAGCCTGAACTGATTATTAGTCCAAATTGTCATTAATTTTATTATTGATGATTGGTTTTTTAATTCTTATTGCCTCTCTCTCGTAATTATGAACTTCACAAAATTTCTTAATTACACTGAGGACTGCAAACTATGGCTTTAATTTGAACTTTTACATCAATCGCAACTGGCAATGGTTCATCTATTTCTTTATCTTACAACAAATCGCAGAAGTTTAATAATTCACTCTTAAATTTAATGATTTGATTATCACTTGTATGAAAGACCCATTCTTAGGTAGAATTCATATAATAAATTAAATTAATTGCATTTTTTATATATTATCACTCCAACTTAAAAAAGTGTATATTATATTCTAAAGTGTTCATCAATACACAAGTAATACAGCTTTTTATATAATAAATTAAATTAATCAAAAGTCATCATTATTATGTTCACTAATTTTTTTATATAGACGAGAATAATCATCAATTTATTAATTGTTCAATCTCAACTTTCGCATTTAAGATTTTAAGAATTTGGTCACATTTTATTAATCATCATTCGTTTCATAAGTTTGCTATGTTGTACCCCTATCAGTTTCATCTACTGATATACTTTATTGAAATTAATTCTACCGTTTATGATCGTACTTCATTCTATCTTACACAAATGAATTTTGAATAAATTGTGTTTTGTTTTATAAGTCCCTATACTTCTTTTTCAGTTTTTCATTTATATCTTACAATACACAGCTTTTTTATCTCTCTTCCTCCAATTGCGAATGAATCTCTACTATTTGCTTTTTGAGTAACTAATTCTAATATTTTTGAGCTTTAAAATTTTATTATGCCAATTTGTATTTCTTATTTAACTCTTCATGCTTTTATCGAATAATGTTAAATTTAGCAAATAGTATATTCTCTAATTAGCTGTAATTTTCTGAATTCAAAGTCAAGCACTCAGAACTTTCATTCAAAAAGTTTATATAATCATCCATTGCATTCATAAAATTCTTAAACTCTCCTTATTTAGTTGATTAATGCTCATCAAATACAAATTTCTTCTTGGTTACTTCAGTCTTCTGATCGGTCTTATCCTAAAATGTAAATGGGTGATTTTTAAAGTCAATTTAGTGATCATCGCTTTATTATAATATTCATATCTTACAATTCTAATTAAGACAATTGATTTTTAAAGTTGGGTTTAGTTCTTTGAAGCGACACGGGAAAAGATTCTGTGAAAGTCTTATCCTTTTATACTTCACAATTAAATACTTAAGATAGTTTGTGATATTGCATGAAGTCGGTGTTTACAGATTGTCTCCTCCCAGTTTTCCTTAATTCTTTAAATAAGGCTAAAATATATTACAGGCATAATTAATGCTCATCCTTAATTTGATTTTAAGGTAGTTAGTATATTAAAATAAATTTATAAAACATAATTTGTATTTTAATCAACTAATTGACTAAATGAAATCTCAACGCACCTTGCATCTTTAAGTCCAATACCCAATTTCTTATTCTTGCTATTGAATTAATTTATTGAGATTGACTTTTATTTCCAGTCTACGCAACGGTGAAGGAGCCATGGATGGATTTGAAAGTGATCTAAGTAACATAGAAGGAGAACAAGTACTAAAATAAGTGTAATCCTTTTACTTTTAAACAGTTGTGGGCGAAGACATCTGAGAAGGATTCTTTTTAATTTGTTTAGGCTACTCTATAAATGATTAAATAATACCAAATAAACTTGATATTTTTTCTTTTTCTCATTTTCCTTTTCAAATGTACATGATTGAGTCGGTCCACTTTGTGCCTGTTGGAGTATGCTTTTGTAAGATGCATGAAATTAGTAGTTGTCAGATTTATTTTTAGATTTCTTCATATTTTAGATAAGTTTAAGCAGCATTTCATCTGTAATTTACTTCCTAGAAGATCCGCCTTCTGCTCTAACAGTACCATTGCCACAATTTGAACCGTATACTTCAACATGCCGAATGTCATTACGTTCTGTGAGGATTTCTTTCACTTAAAACCGTTTTTACAATATTTGATCGTATTTCTTCATTAAGGATTGAATACTAGTGGATTTATTATTATTGTTGGCTGCTGTAGTAGTTGAAGATTTGGCACTCTCTTATAATTTCAAAGGTGGGATAAGTACCTTAGGCTATTGAGATTATTAAGGAGTAGGATTCTTCTTGGCATTTGAAGTAGTTGTGGTTGGCATCTTCTTTTTGAGTGGGATCTTAGTGATTGCTGACAAATTCCTTGATGTTTACACATTAATATCGTTGAAGATATTATCAAGTTCTTGGTCATTCTAACAATTAAATAATTTGTTATGATCTCCAGATGTGTTCATTATTGAACATTAGCATTATTATGCTGGTTTGTTGATTGGTAATGATTTCTATGCTTCAACTTATGATATCTCATAGATATTATGAGATTTGCTGTCCCAAGAAATTTGTTCCTTCGGATAGGAACTAAATAAGTATGTCGATACTACTCAGATACGGATTCAACATAATTTTCACTAAAAATATGATCTGGAATCATCTTTTTAGTAATTGGTGGTTGATTCTAACTATTTTATGCTTTTTATTGTAATTTTAGCAATTTATTCTATCTCTTCTCCATAAACTTATGAGCATTAACTTTACATAAATTTGGTTATATCATCTATTATTGTATAATGTTTCAATTTTTACTTTATGCTACTCAAAGTAGAAATTGCTAAGTAAATTTAATCTCGGATCTTACTCTTCTCGTTAATAAAAACGCTTCATATATTCGTTTTCATCATGCAAGTACAATTAGTCCTTAAACTAAATGACATGATCCACTGGAACATTTGCTAATATTTCTGTTATCGGCTTAGCAAAATAGAAGTTGAACTGCTCAAAGTATCTAGGCCTTCATATTTATCAAATACTTCTCATGTATTTCTTTCTAAATAAACTTGCTTTATCTGAATTTACAGAATTGACAGTTTTCATCGTGTTGATGGTTATTCATTAAATTCAAATATAAATAATTAAATTTTACTAAACTTTCTTATAAAATGTCAATTATTCAAACCTTCTAATACTTGAGTGTCTTCATTTCCTTTTCTCTCAACTCCTTCTCTATCTCTAGTTTCCTAGTATTCTTCTCCCTTTCCCTCATAGTCTCTCTCGCATCATTTCTACAATCTAAAACTATCATTATACTCAATCATCAATTATCGCTATCTTTATTCGTCCTCCAAAATCTGCTGTTTTCTTCTTTTTAACTCCTGTTCCCACTCTAATTAATTTAATCTTTGATTAATCTCTAACTATTTAATTAAATGCTCTCCTGCCTTCTCTTCTTAGAATATCTTTAAACGTCTCTCCTTCAATCTCTGAGCCTAAGCCTAACTATTAGATCTCCTCTCAAACTGATACTTTATCAATTACTCTCGACTGGCATCCTCTATAGCTTTATTCTATTTAACATATCACCCTTAAATTACAATCTAAAAATTGTGCATTTTATCCTCCTTTCCTTTATTTATCATATGCTAATATTCCGAAAATGTCTTTTTGCACTTTTCCATATAATTTAATTTCTTCTTCTCTTTCTCATCAAATTTCTCTCGTCTTTAATAATCCTAAGTGGCTAATATTTGCTATAATTATAAACTGATAATCTCTTACATTTGCTCTTTCTATTTTCTATTACTTTAATTCTGCTTATTTTTACAACTATTACTTTGTCCACTATTTAGATTCCTCTATATACTTCAATTTCCTTAAGTTTTCCAATTCTTTTTTTTCAGATTACTCTTTCTAGTATTAATTAAATTTGTCCTTGTCATTCAAAGCACCCATTGATTTCTAAAGAATCTTTAAAAAGTGCTCCTCCTTTTATTGTTTCTACTCCTCATGAAAATCCTGCAATAATGACATCTACTTTTTCAACTGTTTTTCCTTTCTCTGCATTTTCTCCTCCAATATTGCCTATCTTTATTATTGATCCTTAAGCATCCTATCCTTATGCAATTACAATCTCTTTGAATTCAACTCCTCCTATTCCTTCAACTATCGAGCTTACCATTACTAATACTCCTCCAAATTCATTTCAGCCTTCATTTACTTTACTTCAATCTCAAAACGGAACTTCTAAAACTCCTTCTCGTCTTCAATTAATTTTTTTTAAATGCTGTATTGCTTCTCTATCCATTTCTGGTTGTGTGATTGAATCTATTGATCTCTTTAAGCTCGATAAAATTGAAAACTGCTTTTGTACATCCTAGTCTACCCATCACTTGTACTCGACAATAAACCTCCGGTTTGAGTCATTATGTCAGTTGGAGCAGTCTCTGGCTTTATATTGGGTTAACTTTGAAGTCTCAAGAAACGTTGTGATTTTTGCTTCAACTACTCCAATTTGTCAATCTCAAACATGATCGAATTTATATGCATATCAATGTCTTTAAGCAACTTTTTGCAATACTCATTCTCTGTTGAATGTGGCTCAACATCTCTTCTCAATAACCCAAACTAATCTATTTTTTTATTATTACATCTTAAACTAAAGTTATTCTCTTTTCTACCTTAGCTTGTGAAATTTTATTAATTTTCTTTATTTTATCTAAATCATCCCACTTAAATCCTTCTATATACAATAAATGAGTTATCGACTTGTCATGTTCTAATTCTTCATTATTGCGTTTCTCTAATTCTTAGTATCGTTCAAGCAGTTACTCCATGAAGACTGACTTTAAAATAAATATAAAAATTATTATTTATTATAACTCTTAATACATAGTTATTTTGCATTTATCCAATATCCTTGAATTCACTCACGATATTTCTAAAAGATCACAAAGGAAAATTATTAATTAATTAAAAGTTTTCATAAGCTTATGAAAAAATGAGCAATTTCTAATTTTCTGATATTCATATGAATCATTATATAAATCTTAATTGCTTCACTTGGCTTCAACCATGATAAATGAAGCAAAAGTATAGGATTATTGAAAAAAAATTAAATTCCTGAAAATTCATAATTAATTCATTTAATTTCATATCAATTCACTTTAAAGATTTTGACCATTTACTTGAATAGGTAAGATCTTTTAATATAAAGTATCATTAAGTTAAAGCATTGATTTTCTTCAATATATTGTTATTAATACTTTCTGTATTATCTTTTCTTTTATAAAAGTAAAATTTACTTAGTGAAATGTAATTAAAAATATATATAGAATATAAATAATATTGATATTAAAAAATAAAGATTTACATCTATATTTGAATTATTAGTTTAAATCTAAACAGGCGATGAGATAGCCATTATTTAAATACACATAATTTTAATTTTTGTTGATCAAATCATTTATTTTATTAGTTTTTAAAATGGTTCTTAAAGAAATTATAGATAATGTTCTTTTTCTGAATTTCCTTTTTGAATCTATTGAAATAGAAAATTCAAAAAAAATTGTTCACAATCGTTAACCTTTCTTCTATTGGCATTAATTGGTTAATAATAAAAGTAAAAATCATTCAATATAATTCATTAATAATTAATTTTTTATGAATATATTATTATCGTCATATCATTTTAATTCATTTGATTTGGGTTAAGATAAAAGTGTTCTAACATGATGCAAAAGTTTAAGACTTAAATTAAAACAAATTAGATTTTTTAAATTAAATGCTCAAATTTCAAAAAAAGAATAAAAACCAAGCTCAAACATGCTTTAAAAATGTCTATGGAAGCATGGACCTATTTGGATAGCCTCCAGCTTTTAAAATTCTCAAACAAGAGAAATTTACAACTTCTTTAGGATTTTTGTTCACCGTAGGTATATCGGTGGTGTGTGTTCTATATACAATTATACAATTGTAAGATCTCTACTCCCAAACGGGTCCTCGAGTAACAATGTCTGAAGAACAAGTTGTGGACACTAGTGTAATTATTGAATTTAAGTAAGGCATACTCGTTGGAGATGGCAAATTACACAATTGGCATAACGATGGCTAATATATCCTTGGGATCACTTTAGACGCTGGGAACTCACTTCACAATGAATGTATAGAATTGCAAGCGAGTCAGATCAATAGACCCAACTACTAACAAAACTGTGATATCCTAAAAGTAAATAATTCTTCTATGTAGTTGTACACTATACCCAACGGAGCCATGTGGCGATTAACATTTTGTAACAGATTTATAGAAATCATATTTTTCAAAAATAAAACTAGGTTTTGTTCAATGTTTTAATGTAGAATAGTGGCAAAACAATCCCCCAGTAAGAATATTATTCTAACCTTAGTAACTTTAGGGAACTGTTTAAGGAACAGTATACTAATATCTATAGATAACAATCGCTCAATGTAAAAATACCACAAATAAAACTGATTGTGCACCACAAGAAAAAATATGGAAGGAGCTGTAGACAGGATATTATGCAGTTCACTTGAGTGATAATTTGGTTTAGATGAAAAATCCTGGGACCCCATTCAAAGACATAATTAATTTACAATATACCACATTTTCGAACTCGACATCAAAATCAATTTTCTAGACCTTCAAAATTACATAGTCTGACACTGATACTGGGTACATTATGGAAGACGTTTAAACTGAGTATGGCTTAGCTCAATCATAAAATCGAGAAAGTCAGGATAACTATAATAATTAATTTATTGTCTAGCATATAATAAATTTGGATTCTAGATTGGCATCTTATAATAGAGAGTATTAAAAGCTATAGGATATCTTTGGAAACGTGGGGGGTCTATGGTAAATTTTATTTTTGGCCATGAGTGCATTATTGTAACCAGTAACCTCAACCTTCATGAATTTGCAGATGGCTAATAAATTATTTAGATTTGAAAACCAAAAAAACCAAGAAGGACTCTAGGCATAACAGAGTTCAGATTCCATAGATGAAATTAAAGACAATCTGAAGAGATCTGGATCCCCAACTAAAATGAATGCTAGAGGTTCTTAACAATTGGATCTTGAAAGTAGAAAGTCGTATTTCAGCAAACGCTCTCTTGGTGGGCAAAAATCAATGAGCAAATCAATTTTCGTTAAAAGTGTGGATAAAGTGAACAATTATAAACAGATGATATAATTATTGAAAAAAAGGAAATAATCTCTTAATTTATCTATGAGAGACATTATTATTATGAGCTTTGGATGTAGGAAAAAGGAAAAGCAACTTATTAATTATGCAACTGAAAAGTTCATGAACAAATTAGACATTGCTAATTTGATTTCGAAAGTTTATGAAATTGATCGGTTAAAGCTAATCTTACTAAATGAACAGTAATAAAAACTATTTAACTATTTACCCAAACCCATTATTCCTGAATCTATGTTTGGAGAAGATTTCCAAAAGAAAATGAAGATCGTCGAATAAAAATAAGCCTATAAGGTTATTCTCCAAGATGAGAAACCGGAATTTATGAGATTACAAGAAGCATTCGTAGCTTATGTTAAAATATAACAGAAGGATGAACTATCAGAAGTTGACAGGAAGATTCTTGATATTCTGGATGAGGATATCTTAGAATTATTCGAGAACCTACATACCAACACTTCGAAATTAGAAAACATCTTTTAAGAGAGTCCTATGAAATTCCAATTATAATTTTCAGATATTGAATCTCCTAAATCTAATTTCTAACCTGATTTTGATGAAGACATGGCTAACTAATTGCCCGTTCTTCCTGCTATGCTTAGATCTTAACAATGAAATTATGTTATTAATATAAATATTAAATTACCTTATTTATAGTTTTGTTCACTTACATTTATTGTAAAGAAAATTTAAAAAAAATGAAATTTTTTCAGTAATATGATTTTTTATTAATTTTTTAATGAAATAATTGCCTCTTAACATTTAAATAATGATAAGAAAACTTTTATCAAGAATTTTATTCCTTTTTACAAAAATTATTATCAATTAAAATACATATTACATATGTCAAATTTTTTGTTTAATCAAAAGCTGGGTAAGGAAGAAAAAATCATTGGCTTATTATCTAAACCAATCAGAAAGGAAAAAAGAAGAAATTAATATACGATAGAGTTTAAGTTCGGCAGCGATATTGATGTTTCTAAGCTCAAGTAAGTTATTCTAATTAACCAATAAATCCCTGCTTACATCCCGTTAAATTTAACTTTCAGACTTGAATCTGATATTTTCATTCCAATTTAATTTGATGCCAATCTCCAATTGGGAGCCTTATCTATAGATCCAATTTCCTTTAATTATAGAATTGTAAGGTACGATAAACATCACAATAACTACATTTTTCATTTTGAGCCCATAGATAGACCCTTCACTCCTCACTAAGTTGTGAAAACCACTTTAGAAAAATATCATCCGTCTTTGGGAGAGTTATTTGAGGCTTATCATTTCAATTTATTAAAAAAAGAGAAATTCACTGTTTCTACTGAGGAAGAAATTAAGGAATATGAAAACAGTATTAGAAACTCTTTTGCTGTCTACATTTAAAAGAAATAAAAAGGCATAATAACCACTCTGATGAAGTCAATTAATACTTAATACTTGTAATTGATGGGAATCAATGAACACATCTTGCAGGACTATGTTAATTAGACAGGACTTTTACCATGGTGTTTATCTAATGATAATCAATAATTCCAAACGCTAATCAGAGGAATGTTCCAAGGGGCCCATCAGCAAATTAATAATACAATACAAGCAATAAACTATAATGGATAATAATTTGAAGTAAAAGTAACTCCTAAAATATTTCACGCATACAACTAAGATGACGATTCATATTTATAATTTATGTTCTTTTAATAAGAGTATAATTCCTAAATTATGACCTAAAGCTAAATAGATTAAAACATGATTGAATATTTTAATTTAAGGTCAAAAATTGTAAAAATGGATATTATTGAAAATGATTATACTAAAAGATGCAAATATAGAAAACTTTGATATTACCACAAAGTATTTATTTTTAAGCCACAATATTATATAAATACTCTAATTTAATATCCTTTTTCAAAATTCTTTAATTCTTAATTAATTATAAATTTAGTTATAAAAAATAAATATTATTATTTTGATAATGAATAGTTTATTCATCCAAATAGCATTAGTAATGGTGCCAAAAAGGGACAAAATATTGTTACTGCCAATTTAACCACATTCCACACTACTCCTTTCCCAAAATATAGGCCAACTGCTGCAAACATTGTTTTTGACATTGGCATATATTAAGCTACTAATGATAAAATGGGGGCAGCAATGAATGTTGCTCTCTTTAAAGTGTTAATTAGGAACTTAACCACACTTTCAGCCTTCTGAGCTTTAGGATTTTCAGTTGCTCTCAAGGCTACTTTAGCTGTCTTCAGAGTGGGCAATAAAAAGGGTTATAGAGCAGACAAACTTGTATATAAAGGAATGGCAATATAAGCAAACTTGGAAGCAAAGGCAAGAGCTGACATAATCTTACTACTATAAGTTTTAAATTTTTCCACAGTCTTTTCCATCCAGTGTTTTGGTTTATAAATTACTTCAATGTAGAGTGGCTCATATGCAAATTAAAATTGCTGTTCATCTTGGGAGAACATTTGATTATTGAAAAAAATCTAAAATGACTTGACGTTCTATTTAAAGAACTCACTGATTTAAATTAGGTTATTGGGGGTCTTTGAATTTGGATTGACAACTAGATCAACAATTTTCTGTCTTATACATATAATATACCTTCACGTGTATAGTTTCATCTGATGTTAATATTGTTTATCTGAAGTCGACTTCATAATACTAAGTTAAATCTTAAATGCATATTATATCCAAAAGATGTTCGTTACTACTTTAATCGACTTTATTCTTGATCAAGGCTTTATCCTTCCTGATTTTTTACTTTGCAGTCATGAATTCAATGTGAATGACATTCTGTTAAACTTTGTTACTATTACCCATTTTCTATAAAATAAATATAAATATAAAAGAATGATTTAATGTGCTTATAAATTTATGTCATCACTATCAAATCTATGGTTCCGATTAAGCAAACACAAAATTGTTCCAGCCTCTATAACACTTAAACACCTTATCATTCTTTTCAGTTAAGAACTTTGAAGGATTTTAAATTTACTTAGATTCCTCAAGGAAGCAATAGAATGGCTTTTCTTTTTCAAAGTTGTCCGCTCAAAACTTCTTGGAGTATATAATCTCCATTTAGGGAAGTATAGATTAAAATTAAAGGATGATAAAATAGTTATAAAGAATTCAAAATAACATTAATTTTTAAATATTCTATGAAATTACTAAATCAATACTCTAATTAATAGAGAATGCCTCAGTACTAATAGCAATCCTAATAAATTTAGAGTTTGATAAATATTAGTGAAATCAACTCAATATCATATGTAAACCTGTTTCAAATAAGAAGTATGAAATATGTAACACCAAACTCGAAGTAAATCTCACCTAATATAAGGATTGATATCAGAAATAATTTTAATTAACGACGTAGATAAATTGAATAAACTAAATTCTAAGTTTAAGTTCTGCTTTATAATTAGGAGGCTTATATGTGAATGTTGAGAATAGAAACTTTGGAATTTAGATGTTCTAATATTCTATAGGAGAATAATTTAAACTGAGTACTTATAAATATAAATTCTAACTAATTCATTAATAAAAATAAAATTTTAAATTAGAAACATGAAATAGCAAAAAAAGATAAGGTATTAGATCAATAATATAACTAGAAAGACTCACCGACGCATTATATAAGTAATATAAATTATTAAGGAAGACTGCTTTGACTCATGGGTGAATACTAACGAGTATTTATTGACAAAGTTCAGCGCACCTTCTTGCGGCATCTGCCAGGCTCCAGGATCTATGTTGGATGTTCTTTTAAAATCTGATTGAATTTAGCTTCTACTTATATTTATTTAATTAATTAAAAAGAAATGCAGATAAGTTGGATTAAGTGGATTGCCAAGATTACATGTTCAAATGAAAAGTAAGAGCATGAGAACAGATCAGGATCCATGGATATTTAATTTATAATATTAGACTCTTATTTTCTATTATAAACTTTATGTTATTATGTGTTCTATGTTTACTTCGTATACGTTTGACAATCTATCTGATAAGCTTCATAAATTTTGAACTGAGTTCAGAGAATGGATGATGTTAGTAACAATTTTTAAATTGATTTTATTGAGCTAGAATAATTGATGGAATTATAAGTTTTTGAGTGAAAGGAAGGCTAAAGACAGGAACCAAAAATGTTATTGGGAACTTTGAGTTAATTGGAGTGTGTGAGTGATGGAATATGAAATGGCGTGAATTTAAATGAGTAGAATGGTTATAAGAATTATGAATTGAATTAAATGGAGAAAAGATTAAATGATATTAAAAGGTCTTATTTTTATTTTAAATTTCAAAATAATTAATAAAATGAATAATTTCGAAAAGGTTGACGCCTTAGGATAATTGCCATTAGCAAGGTTTGGACACACCATTACTTATATTGCAAAGGGCAAGGCTATTTTATTTGGTGGTAAGGAGAATTGAATAATTACAGGTGCGACTGGTGATACTGGGAAATATAGCATTACAGGTGATACATTCTCATTTGACATGCAGACTAAATAATGGAAAAGGGTCGAAGGTAATAAAAAATATAAAAAATTTAGTATAGGGAACTGCACCTAATCCAAGAGCAGCTCATGCAGCAGTGTGTGTCGATATAAATTAAATAGTAATTTACGGTGGAGCAACAGGAGGTATGAGAATTGATTTATAATGGTAGGTGGTAGTTTGGCATCGGATGATCTATATTTGTTAGATTTAAGATCAGCAGATGATATTGGTTAATGGACTGTAGTACCAGTAGTTGGAACAACCCCAGGAAGAAGGTATGGTCATACACTTACATTTACTAAACCATTTTTGATTGCATTTGGAGGAAATACAGGTCAGGAGCCAGTTAACGATTGTTGTATGAATTAATCATTTGAATTAAGGGTGTGTTAACGTTGAGAAGAGTCCCATTACATGGATGCGATTGGAATGCAAGTCCGAATAGCCAATAGCTAGAGTATATCACTCTGCTAGTATTTGTACCAATGGTAGTGCCAATGGGATGGTCGTAGCATTTGGAGGTCGCTCAAATGACTAACAAGCATTAAATGATGCCTGGGGATTGAGAAGACACAGAGATGGAAGATGGGATTGGGTAAAAGCCCCTTATAAAATCGATAAAGAGTAGCCCATTGGCAGATATTAGCATTCCACTCTATTTGTCTATAGCATGCTATTTGTCATAGGAGGTAGAACTGGAAATGTTGGTGAAACGCTCACCATAGATGTTTATGATACTGAGACTTCTGAGTGGTCTAAATTCAATAGCATTCAGAGATTCAGACATTCTTCTTGGTTGGTTGATACCAATATTTTTGTTTACGGTGGATTCGAGCTAGATTCACCTAATATCCCAACTGACATCATTTCTAAAATCAATTTGAACAAATTACTATTACCAAGCGAACCTTTGACTAATAAATTAGCCTAATATTAACATGCATAGAGGAAGTATTATCCATTTTGTATTTAGTGTATCCCCTCAATCTCTTTCGCCTTAGATGAGTCCTGCTTCAACAGATACATCCAATTCTTCTTTAAATAGTTCATTGATGCAAAAGAAGGGAACACCCAACAGCTAAATTAATACTCAGAAATAATAAAAACCTTTTATGTAGAATCAAGTTGAAAAACCCTCCTTTAAGTTCATTACTTAGGCTATTGTGGCTGAAGAGAGCAGAGACTCAAAGGTCTAGAATAAAAAACAAAGGCTTCCCTAATCTGCTCAAGATAACAATATTGCTCATTTATTTATTAATACCCTCTTGTAACCAAAAACTTTTATCAATCTTCAAGAAAATGCTAAATTTTTATTCTAAGCACAACATATCATCATGCTCTGTGATTAGGCTGAGGCAGTTATCAAGGAATAACCTATGGTTTTAAGATGCAAAGCTCCAATTAAAATCTTTGGGGATATTCATGGATAGTATTCTGATTTAATGAGATTCTTTGATTTATGGGGATCACCTTTTGTGGATGGTAAGGATAGTGACATTGAAGCATTTGACTATCTGTTTTTAGGAGATTTCGTTGATCGAGGTAACCATTCCCTAGAAACCATCTGTTTACTTTTAGCTTTGAAAGTCAGATATCCAGAATCAATTCATTTAATTAGAGGCAATCATGAAGATAAATGGATTAATAATGGATTTGGATTCTCAGAAGAATGTGCTTAGAGATTAGGGGAGGATCCAAACGATGATGATTCTGTTTTTGCAAGAGTTAATAGACTATTTGAATGGTTACCATTGGCTGCAATTGTTGAAGATAAAATAATCTGTCTACATGGTGGCATTGGTAGCTAACTGAATTATGTTGCTGAAATTGAAAATCTTCAAAGACCCCTTGAAGTTATACATGAAGTCACAACTCCAGAATAATAATTGGTTGTAGACATCCTATGGTCTGATCCTACTGATTCTGACTAAGATTTTGGAATCCAACCAAACATTATAAGAGATCCTGCAGGAACTGGAAACATTGTTAAGTTTGGTCCAGATAGAGTTATCAATTTTCTAATTAAGAACAGCCTTTCTCTTATAATTCGTGCTCATGAATGTGTCATGGATGGTTTTGAAAGATTTGCAGGTACGTTTTACATCTTAATTAAGGTGGTCAATTATTGACAGTATTTAGTGCTACTGATTATTGTGGTAGACATAAAAATGCAGGAGCAGTACTGATTTTAAAAAGAAATCTAGAGATTGTTCCTAAATTAATATATCCCCAAAATCTAAATGCTCACAATTGGATTGAAGACGAAGAGACACTTAAAAAAAGACCTCCAACACCACCTCGTTGGAAAAACTAGGGTCAACGTAGAAGTTACGAATGATCTAAATTAAATTAGTTATTTAGTTATTTAGTTATTTTCAATTCCTTATTAAATTCCTAATGATAATTTTATATATATTTATATAATGTAGTAATAAAAATTCACTTTTTGAATGAAGGCGAACAATATTTTTCACTTAGATCAAAAGAGGAATCTCTTCTCAACAATTGAGTGTAGAAATTATTAGTTTTCAGTTGGTTCTCATTAACCTTATTCAAAATCTCTAAGAACTTACTAGGTTAACTATTTGATCTTTGTTTATCAGGAGTTTGATTAGTTGGTGTTGTTACCTGGGTTGATTAGGGTGACATTAACCTCGACACAGACTATCCCTATTATTACTCTGTTTTCAATAAAGATGTTTAAACTATTTTTATCTCTAACTCACTATCCTCAAATAAACCTCCAAGTATTTTTTAATCCGTTGCTTTTTTATAGACTCTCCCCAAATAAATATTCTATGTCTCCATCTTACCAAGACATTACTAGATATCCTACACTCTCTTATTATATTGACCCATTATCTATTTGTAAGGTAGCAATTCAATTTATAGAATTATATTATCAAGATTCACTTCGATGTCACTATACATCTATAGTAATTCATTGTGACTCTCTTTGATTTCTTATTATTTTTATTCAAACATGGTTAACGCCTTGCCTTACAATTCATTCAAATAGTCTATTTATTCTTTTAGTTTGTGGTCCAAAGTAGTTGTCATTATATGATAATGCTCTCGTACTTTATCTTTCTACTTCTCACAGAATCTTACCAGATCCTCCTTCTTCTCTAGAAGACTCTATTCACTTTGGTCTATTGTTAAAAAGGTTTATGAAATTGTTTCAAGAAACTGTTGTATTTATTCTTATCTAACTTAAGTCTAATCTGACTCAATGTCATCAACCTACTTCTAAGATGAAGTTTACCTTGTATCCTTAACTAACGAGAGCAATTGCACATTTAGAACAAACTAAATCAGTCAAGTTAAACTTTGGTTTTGAGAATGGAACCCCAACAATTTTATATTTTGCCTAACTTCTAAGCTTTTCTTACCTTCTTATTTTGATGAGCCTTGCAAATTGGTTCAGCCAAATTAAATACTTCATTTTCTTTATTCATCTGTTAACGATTAAAATTAATTGAAAACACTAATAAATATTATTCAGTAGAATAATATCTACTTATTCCCGCTATTTTCCCATGCTGCTGTTCTCGCGTTTGAATTAATGAAAGACTGAACTTTATCTATCAATTATCTAGAGATTTTAAAATTACAAAAATTCGCTATTTTTATAAATCACAAACTCTAAAATTTCATTATATGTATTTTATAACAAAGCAAGGTTCGAAAATAGAAAATTTTTTAGATGGCTTTTTTATTAGAAACTATGAAGAAAATTGATAATTTACTTCAGTTATCAATTCTCTCTACTAATTATTTGAATTTTTTAGGGAGTTCTTGTTTAATGGTTGATATTAGAAATTTGTAAAGGCTATAGATAATATAATACTTTCAACAATATTTTGAATTTATTTATTCATTTATAATTAAATCTAAATTCAAAAAATAAATCATATCTCAATCATTTTCTATTTTGTTCTCTTTATTTAACTTTAAAATTCTGTGAAATTTCAGTTAAGTTTTGATTTTTTAATAACCATTTAAGAGTTAATAAATTATCCAATATGATGAAAATTATCTTATATTGAATTTTATAACTTTATAGGTTGAGAGAAAGAATTAATTCTTTTTAGACATAAATTTTAAAGATAAATAATAATAATTTCAAAATGGTTTTCATTTATTACAATGACAATAAGCTGAACTCATTCCTTTATTAAGGAGGTAAGTGCAATTAGGGCAATGTAGTTTTCCAGACTTATTAAGTATTTTTGATTTAGAGGGCATTGTGAAAGATGGATCATAACGTCTAAAATAGAGAATTAATTTACTCAACAACTTTTTCAGTATTCATTTTTTTATTGATTGACTTTTTTAATTTATCCCTGATCCTCTCTATTTGTTATCTATTTTATATCACTTTTATAATTACAAAACTTCTACTTCCTTATTTAGTTTGTATAATCTTGAAACATCACATTATAAAGAGGTTTTTGATGGAAGGATTAAAGTATTGGGAAACTAATTTTCAGTTAAAATTTATGGAACTTGACTATTTGATTTATGCTTTTAAGGAACCACATCTATGCTGACATCGTTACCATCCTTCTCTTTAAATTCAATTGTTGAGATGGGTAAATTTTGAAAAGAAGTTTATTTTTTGGAGGCATGGCTTTTGTGTTATGGCTTTTGAGGTTCTTCTATTTCATTTTCACTTTCAGAATCACTTGAATTCTCTTCTATGATTCGTTTATATATATGATTACCTTAGTTTTTGCTTTTTGAGTTTTATTCAGGCAATTCATCAATGATCTCAACTTCAGCTCTTGATTTTTTTTTAAAGTTTGTTGGTTGAACCTAATTTTGATTTTAATCATAGGCTGAATGATGAGATGATTTTTTTGAACTTGAAGCCAATTTTTTACTTCTCTAATGATTTTATTGAACCGGTAACTCATATACTCGTTCATTATATTCTTATTCGTCTTCCTCGGAATTTGATTAAGTGTATTGTTTTAACTAATGTTTGAGTTTAATTTTCTATTTATTTTATTCTTTCTCTTCTTTGTTAAGGCTGTCTTTCAATGATTCGAGTTCTTGTTAGAGATTTTAAATTTCAAAATCGAATTCTTCTATCTTACGTCCCTCTTATATATATTATAATAGAGATTACTTTTCCACTCAATAGCAGGTTCTTAATTTTTGGATCTTAGTGATTCAAGTCGGTTATTGTAATAATTGACTTTGAGGTCTGATTATTAAAATTGCTTAAAATCAACAGAGAACGAATCGACTGAAGTCATTGATGCAGATTAATTATGTTAGTAATTCCTCTAGAGAGTGGATTTCACACTAGTATTCAATTCTTGCTCCAATTTCTTTATTCTTGATTCAAGTGTTGATTCATTTCCAATTTTGAACTTATTAGAATCGTTATCTAATGATTTAAGTATTTCTTATTACAAGTATCAGAGAGATCAAATGTGGCATCATCTAATTCTTGTTGTTATTACTCTTCCTTTCCATATACTTTCCTATTGATCTATTGTCTTTTCTTTTTTATCATATCAGTCAAACTCTCATCTGATGACGATGATTTTGAATTTGAGTATCTGATTGTTGATTTTTTATTAGAAGATTCAATTTTGTAATCACTCATATCAACCGAATCATCTGAACTAAATCCTTCATGTTTACTATTTAAATTCATTTTAATTAACGAAGAAAATTAATTATAATTATAAGTACTAATTCTATTTAAGACTATAAAATGACCCCAATAGTGTGAGCAACCAAAGCAATTTGTTGTCTCAAAAACCATCTCCAAACATATAAAAATAAAAGCAAAAATCTTTGAGTATATATATTAAAATCAAATAATTTCCATTTTCACTAATGAATCTTTACTAAACTTCATAGTTATTGATAATCTTAATTATAATTCGAATAAAATAGACATTTAATTTTATGAAAATAGACTCATCAAAATTGATAAAAATTATACTATCAAGCTTTCTCAGCAACTTAAATTGTAACAGATTATGACAATTAAAATTTAAAGAGAACGTCTACTTATTAATAAAACTATAAAAGCAATCAGTTTTTATAAATGAGAAGAAGACATAAACTAACCTTAATGTGATCTTACAGAAAAAAGAATCATATTACTAATCAAAGCTAATTGTGTGTTAAACATGATAGAAGAATATCACTTACCCTATTTATCAGTTTCTGCTAAAGATTATGTTAGATGACCATTAAATTAAGAATGTGCATTTCTCTGCAATTGGATCTCAAGATAAGGGCAATGATGTGAATATCTTTTTCATGAAATCCATCTGAATAAGAAATCATTATCAAATGCTATCTAAATTGGTATTAATATAGGATGGCGCAATTATGAATATATATATTTAATTAACGATTCTCGTAATTTAACATCTCCAATTTTTAAATGGATTGTATATTGATAATTTATAAATAACTGGAAATAAATTATAATATAAATCTGGTTATTTCTTATTAGTACTTCAAAATTTTGTAGTTGAAATTCACTTTATTAAACATGAAAATTAGAAATTTTAATATGATAAAAATGATCAAATAGTTGAATAGCTAGTGTATTGGTATTGGAGAACAATAGATCGAGTGTTCAGATTAGGAAGTAGGTTTAGATGACATTCCCTAAAATCTAAAAAATTATTTAGAATTGTAATGTAATTTCCCCCAATCCCTATAACTATGCTAACCAATATCAAAAGAAGATCTATAGATGATTGAGCAATAGATATGCCATATTATCCATGCCTAAGATTTAGTAACAAATTAGGAATGTTCTGAATTCTAAGATTTCCAAATATCTTAATAGGAGAGAAAACAACAGCTCATTTTAAAATATAAAAAAATATTTATCAAACTCAACAATTTCAATTATCCACTTTAGAATAGCCTAATGTTGTAATTATAATTTCCAAATTACTTGAGAATTACTCTACAAATTTTTAAAAAAGTAACTCAAACAACTCAATTATCCAATAATATCATTTAGTTTATCATTAACTATGCTTAGAATAAGCAATTAGAGTAACCTTATGTTGAATTGTCATCAAAGATTGTAAAATTATGTAAAGAATTCGATAATTTGGACTAATTTCAATTAGTAAATTAGGAAAATTTGTTGAGTAGATAACCGAATGATGAGCCAAACTTATAAAATACCATATGGACAAGATAATAAATGATATAATGCTTGATTCTTTACACTATTGTGAGATGTGAACTATTAATTTTTAATCAAAAAACTAAAATCTCATTAAATTATGAATAAAATATAGCAAATATTTCTAAACATATCAATATGTGTACTTATGATTATTCTTGGAGTGAAAATTGTTTAGGTAACATTAGAGATTACCATCCTAAGTTAGCAAAGAAACTTAATAAACGTTACTAAACTGTTAGGAATCTAGAAACTTGTTATGAAAAATAAATAAGCATAGCCATATTCAATTATACCTAATCTTTATTAGGTTATTTCCATCATCATTATTCATATTCCTCGATGTAATTAGATCAAGATGTCAAAGATAAAATCAAATCTATACTAAATGGAAAGATCACAGATTGTGATTTAAGTTTAGTTATAATTGTAGCAAATGCAGTCATGTTTGTCTAAATTTTATATGCTTTAAAATGATTTACCCTTTGAATATATTATATTTATATTTAATTAAATATCAAATTACAAATATTCTATAAATGGATCTTTCAATAAAAATATGTAAAATAAATTAATAACTCTAAACATTTGTTTTCTAATTATTATTCTACCATTTAAGTTTTGTTTAAAATTGTAAGTTTAAATATAATCATGATAAACTTCATTTTTTATATAATATTAAAAATGAATACTTGCTATAACAATCTAAGAATGAATTATAATATATAGTTTGAATGCTGTTTCCCACATTATAAATAAGATCTAAAGTATCATAATTTATAATTAATTTACATTAAATTAATCACTGAATTGATCAATTCATAACAAAAATCCCATAGATGTATAGAAGTCTATTCAATAAAAAATAAACAAAGTTCTATTAGGGTTTACAAGATGGTTGCTTAAATTAACTGAAGCGAAACAAGAAATTTATAATATTAAATTGACATGGCACTGACTAAACACAACTATTCAATGCTCCTTAACAATTAATCTTCAGAGCGATATCGATGAGAAAATCCTCGAGAAAGTTGAGTGATTATAAAATTGGTGAATTAAATAATTATCCATTTACAATTAGGTAAAAATTAATAGAATAGAGAATCGATTGAGAAAGAGAAAAAAAGAATATAAGAAATGTACGTATAGACTGTATATTATAACAATGATCATTCTTCTTTTGGTTGCTTTCTTTTTGAGTTCTTTCTCTTTCTTCTTCCTTCTCTTCCTTATCCAAATGGAGAGGTGACTGCAAAATCAACTAATTTTTCACTTTCCACTCTAACGAGGAATGATGGTGAATTTACTAATCTCTTTCCAACTCTATGATATGATAAAAAGTCAATTATACCTAAAGTGTCTTTATCTAATTAAGGTTCTGGCATGATGAATTGATGAAGCCTAATTGCTTTTGAAAACGAAAGTTTAGAGTCTTCTCTCCATCATTTTTTATGTAGTCAAACCCAAGACATAATCCAACTTTCTTTCTTATTCACTCAATAAACCAAAGCGAACCATTCTTCTAATCAAGGCTTCTCCTTCGAACAATCTTCTTGGGTCTTTTGGATCAAGAGTCAATAATTCTCTGGCAGCCTTTCTGATTCTGGCCAATGTAAGTTGAACTCTCCATACTTCTCTTTTATTCTTCAATCCATACTTACCAATGATTTGCAATCTAATTATTCACTAATATTACTCATTATCAAGACGTTCTTTTTCGAATGGTTTTCTTGGTGTGGCAGATGTCTTTGATCTGTTTCTATAGTTTTTTCCCATAAAAAGATTTAAATATAATTTAAATTATTGTATTAATAACAACAATATGCTCTTTCTTAGTATCTCTTCCTCATTCATCAAGTCTCCATCAAGATCTAAGAGATCATCTTTGAATTTAAAATCAACATCATATTATTATATTCATACTCAATTTTTCTCAAACTAATACTAAAAAAGCTATCCATTCCACCTTTCTCAGGTAAGCTCTAGAAGTAATCGTTATCCACTACACTTAAATTATATTTCTTGCAAAAATGCTTAACTTGATTCTAATTTTCATCTTTCAAAAGGTACAAGTTAAATAAACTATCACTCCATCTTATCGTAAGTATATTATCGCTTATCGAATATGTCTTATTACAGTTTTATTAAATCTACTTCAATTCATAAGTATACCATTTAATCTCTCCGAAGAAAATCTATATTTTGAGTCAGGATTTCCTCTCAATGTTCCTAAACCAGTACAAGGAACATCTAATAGAATCCAATCATATTTAAACTTTTGTTGTCAAGAACTACCTTCTCTTCTCAATCTAATTGTTGCTTTAGAAATTGCTCACTTCTAGTATCATTAATCTCAATCACTCCTTTACCTCCCATTTGATGAGCAAATGCCAAAGTTTTACCTCCAGATCCAGCACAATAATTAAGTACTTTATCATTAGGTTTGCATTGAACTCTAAGAGCACAGACTTGTGAGGCCTCATCTTGAATTTGAAACAATCCGTCTATAAATTAATCTGTATCACTCAAATTCACATTATTCTCTTTGCTCACTATTAATACTTAGGTGGAAGTCAAAGTCTTTTTGAAATAAAGGTGTTACAACTCCTTCATTAACTAAACATTTATAATGATGGGAATTAAATTCCCTCTGGTTGTTTCAATTAGATTTATTCTTTTAGTCAACGGCGCTTTGGTATTCAATGCAATAAAGAACTCATAAGCCTTTTTTAAACATATTAATCAGAAACGAATTGGAAGAGTCTTAAATAGAATGTATTATTTACATCTCTGACAGCTACATCTAATATTCCTTTTTAATTGATCAAAAATATAATCTTACAGTGGAATATTTTGGTCCTTTTCATAATTAGATATATGGGATAAGGGATCACATTTCTATCCACATCTTTTGTAAAATGAGAGAGCAGAACATCATTTCTGATGAGATCAAATGCGGTTTAGGAATTATTGACCATTCAGAAGGCCCAAGAGTCTTGTTGTTTTTATAGTATTCTCTTAGAAACGAATCAAAGGGTCCTCTGTTAACTTCAAAATTTGTCATCATAGTCTTTATGTGGGTTTTAATAAATGGCCTTAAATTCATATTAAATAATAAATAATAACGAATATGAACTTAATAAAAATGCATAAGCCAATTGCTCCCACTAAATCATAGTCTCCATATAATTTAGGCAAAAAGAATCCTGATTACATCAATCCAACATTTGTTAGTCAGACTGTATTTCAAGATAACCTCTCCTAAACCAAGACTTTATAACATGGACATACAAAATAAAATAGTAGTTATTACTCATATTATAATTAAACTTAAAAATTATAAAATGAAAAGACTCAAGGGACAATTGAAAAATAGCGGTACGCAAATATTTTGAAGTTTGAAGAGAAACGATTTGAAACCAATGACAAGAACTACTTTGTTGATAGAAAAAAGTAACTATCATAGCATGAACTCACACCTGATTATTCTCTTAATCGAATCAAACGGAATAGTTAAATCGAATTAAACATGTCTTGGAACAACGGAGTTCAGGACCATCAAATAAAATAGGATGTAAAAAAGGATGAAAAGAGAAAACTTTACACAGAAATAGAGTAGACTGAGTAATTCTATTCGTCAGTGAAAGAAATCAACAAATCTGTTAAGGATTTCAAAGCCTAGAGCTATTTAAGAGGATTGCAATTGCAGAACAGACACAATGAATATTTAAAGGAAGTGGAGAAAACTAAAAAGTTAGAAGAAGAAATCATAAGGTGCCAGGAACTCAAAATATAAGAATTAAGGAGGTAGTAAGAATAACTTAGCATAGCTAAATCAAAATTTACTAAATGATTATCATTTATAAAATATTGCATCGCGAAATTCTACTGCCAATATTAAAATTAAACTCTATATAATAACACCAATAATTGCATCAGCTAAAGATCCAAATGAATTATATAAATAGTTTGATAATGATCGATTTCCATCTTTTCCCCATCTAAGTACCTTATCAAATAACTTTCTTGCTTAAATATATGTTAACGTACTTAAAAATATATAAGGATGCAAAGTTTTCTTTTAACTTTCAATAGTTTATGAATTAATTAAAAATATTATCTTAAATCTACTTTCCCAATATACAAATGATTTCATCTATTTTAAATTTTTATAATTCAGGCATCGAAACCACAATTAAATAATTATTCTATATTATTTTTTCTTGTATTTTATAACCAAATCTGAAGTTTGGAAAATTCCAGTTCATACTTTTCAACTAATATTAATAATTAGCTGCTGAGAATTTATTGCTAGGTTCTATTGTATAATTAACTATCCAACAAAAATAAACGAAAGTATTTTCCAGAAAAATAAAATGATTATTTGGATTGCTCTACCATAATATTATTATATTAAGGTATTCAAACTGCTTATTTATTAATTATCTATCATTTTATTTATTGCTTCTAAGAGGATGAATTCTCCTAATTTTAATTCATATATCTCATTTTAAATACCTTTTCCTATCAATAAATTTTATTCCATAAGCATAATATACATACAAGAAAATATGTATTGCTGTTATTTACTTAATAATTAAGAGGTATCAGATACCACTGCAGAACAATACTTCTCAAAAAACAGTGTTTTTTAAGGTCAAGGCATCTACTGCCTTTCTGAAGAGATGAAAAATCAGTCAACATAATCAACAAAATTATCCCTTTATGGTAAAGAACATTATTCTCTAGCCAGAAATACCGAACAATATATTTTGTTCAACTCTTTTCCCAAAAATATACCTTTAGAATTATTATAAATAATTGCTGAAAAATCTAACAACTTTGGCAAAAATCTACAAGTTTTCATACCTTACTCAAATGATGAATAACTACTCCTATATTATCTTTAACAAAAAACATTCAACATTTATACTTTGGATGATGATCATGAGTACTTAAATAAACTGAAGAATTAAAAAATATTTTAATAATTGAAATATGTAAGGCAGCAAGAATTTATTGATGATTTCGATTTAAAGATATTTAATTGTTGCTCACAAACCTAAAGAATGTTTGAATTTTTGGAAAAATCAAAAATCAATTCCATCTCTACCAATTAAGTGTTTATTTTAGATTATTGTCATAATCCTAACGAAATTATCAGCTAAATAATGAAAGGTTAAGAACCGGATAAAGAAGAATTAATGACAGTTTTTATTGAAGCTACCAAGAAATATTATTTATTTTTTACTGGAAAAATGAGTTCAACTTAGGGATTTTCACGATTAGAATCTATAGAGTAGATTCTATTAGAGAATGCAGAACCCTAACTAAATTGTCCAAAACTAATAAAACAGTTACTCAAATATCTCATGCATAAAAAATTCACTTATTAATAAATCTTATAGATAATAGGATCTATTAAGTAAGAACATGCTGATGAATTGAAAAAATAATAATCTGATAGCATTCTTCATATGTTTTTACAAAAACTTATTAACTACTAAAATGTTGATTAAGCTAAAATTCAAGAGATTTTTTAATTTCCCTCTGGCTTTTTAACCAAAACATCATTAACTATGTCCCAATAACAAGTTATGGAAAAGCAAATAAATTCGTATGATAAATAAAAATTAATAAGCAACAGCACGGTTGAAATTTAAATGTGATTAATTAAGAGAAATTTGTCCAATTATTATCACTATATCATAAATAAAAACTAAATATTTAAATTATATGTTTGTTTCAATATTATGTACAAAAAATACTTCAATATTTATTAAAATTTTTTTATAGTTTTTATCACTTAGGTTACGAAAACTTTAAGTTAATGATAATAATTATATAAAATAATTATTTTTCCTAAATTTGTTTGTTTACATAAATTTTTTATGACTTTTCTATATTCAATGATTATTTAAATTAAAAAAAATTTAATTAAAGTACACACACCTACTTTCCTTTTTTAAAACAACCAATTGATTTTTCATGTTCAGGCTTTATTAAAATTTATTCTACGTGTCTCTAATTTTTCTAATCAGATTTATTACTAAAATTCTATCTTATTTGAATATTAATATTTTTTTTTAAATTATCTATTCTGAATATATTGACAGATTCTTATTGATCTAAACTATTCTGAATATATATTAAGTTTATTAAATATTGATTATTTTGCTCAAATTTGGGTATTATTAAAATAAAGTATAGAGTCTTCATTATCAATCTAATTAATATATACTATTGCAGTTAATATTTTTATTTAATTATTTACAACAGATAGAGTTGATTGAAATTTAAATGTGTTTCTAACTAATTTTTGAATAATTAAGTTAAAATTTGTTGGACAAAAATAATAATTTTGAATCATTCAAAATTGCCGATTGATTACTTTCATTTAAAAATTTAATTTCATGATCACCTGAATTTTCTCTAAGATTATTTTTATTTTAAATTGATAGACCTTAAATGTTAGATTTAATTAAAATAAATTAAGTCAATTTCATATGTTATAAATGTGAAAATAATAGAGCTAAATTGGAACAAAAGACATTATTTTTTTCTAAAATGCCTTAAAACAACTATAATGCTATACTATACTAGTAAAGACGAATGAAAATTTTAAGCATAAAGTGAATTCAGGGAAGAATTGAAGAACTTTTTAAGCCTATTAGCCAGATCCAGAAATAGAAAAAATAAACTCTAAATATAATACAACATAAAAGAATACTTAAATTGAATAGCCCTTAACTCACTGGCCATCCAATATATTCAATAGAACTAAAAAAACTAATTTAAAGGCTAATATCAAAATAGTAAAGAAGAGTTTGAATTCAAAGAAAATAATACTCCATTCAATTTTTAACTTGACGAAATTAAATATAGGAACCCTAATTTAGAATGGAAGAACTAATCTCCAGATATAAATGATTTTAAGGATTTTAGTCCTCAAAATATGAATAAGTGCCCATTCCTGAATAAAATGATAAAATTGTTAAATTAATAGTTTTTGGTATCATTGTTTTATTAATTGTATATATAATATCAATGCTACTACTAAAATGATATTATAAATTTGATATTTATTTTTCAATTTAAGATTTAAATTAAATTTAATAAATTAAACTCTTGATGAAGTTTACTTTACCAAAAATATTATTATTATTTATTTCAGAAAGATGAAGAAAGTGAGAGTAATAGATTATATATTAACAATATACATTTCAAATTACTGCCGTTTTAAAGTCTTGTAAATAAAAATTGAGATATCATAGGCTTAAGTAATAAAATGTTACATAAATAAAATCTTATTTACATAATATTCTTAAATAATAAATAAACTAATTAGCATATAGAGTTTAATATCAATTTTAAGAATCAAGCATATATTATATATATAATTTTATTGAATTAATATTGTTAAAATATTAAATTAAGGTAATTCATCATTTTTATTTTTATTTCTCAGATACAAATAGTTTTGAAAAATGATTTAACTTATTCAATGAACTGTTATTAGTAGTTTTAGGAGATGGCAGATTTCCAAATTGTTCTGTTTTAATTCTCTCGGTAATATTTTTATGGTTTTAATCTGGCATTGTAGTTGTTCTATCTGAACAAATTAAAGCTTTGGATTAATCAACAAATAATTTGAATTACTAAATAATAATAATTTCAATTTACTTTTAAATCTTATAAAGAGTTTTGGGCCTATTGCATTGTTTTTGAATATGAATGGCCTAATTTAGTAGATTATTGTAGAAGTTGAGATGATTTTGTCATCAAATCATGCTTCTTAAAATAATCATAAACCTCACTTTTTCCAGTTTGTCTATTAATTCTTTTTCCCTCTTAAGGAGAGGCCAGAATAGACTAATATGAATTATATTCTCCCTTTTATTATAATAACAGCTATTAAGTTCTGCTTGGAGATTATGCCTCAGGAGGAATTGCTTGAGTTTTGAGTTGATTAAGATTAACCTCATTTGTTCTTTTAGTTTTTACAAGTCCAAACTGGGATTCTCTTGAATAATAAAAGTTTTTTAATACGTAATTCGCTGTATCAACATTCTAGATATATATAATTCAATACTTGAAATTCCTTCTACATGTTTGCCTAATATTACTTCCTAAATTCAGTGTCGCCTTTATTAAATTCTTCTTCATCAAAATTATACTTAAGAGGTTCTGGTTTATAAGGGGTTTTCAACTCTTTATTGACAATGGCCTCGAAGTCAACATCATGAAACCATTGATGTGTGAGAATTTCAACAATTCCACCATTGTAACCAAATCTTTCAGTTGGATCTTTTTAAAGTAATTGTAAGATGAGTTCTTTCAAAACTGGAGATATTTGAACATACTAAGGAAATTCTACAGCTTCAGTCAAAATTGAATTATATATTTCTTGTGTATTATGAGAATAAAATGGAGGTAATCCAGTAACTAATTCATAAAGCAAAGCTCCTAAACAATAGCAATCAACTAAATAGTTATGACCTGTTTTCATCAGCATTTCTGGAGCCATGTATTCTGGGGATCCACAAAACGAATAGGCGAAATCATCTGCTGTCATATCAGGCTTTGATAAACCAAAATCACTTAATAATAAATGGCCATGCAAATCTAAAAGAATATTTTCTGGTTTAATGTCTCTATAAACAATGTTTTTGGAATGTAGATAAGCCATACCAATGCAAATTTCTACAAAATAAAACTTAGCATCTTGTTCATTCAATCTTTTCAATTTTCGTAGATGGTAAAATAGTTCACCTCCAGCACAGTAATCTAGAACAAATGCGATATAATATTTAGTCTCGAATGCATAATGCAATGGAGTAACAAATTGATTCTCCATCTGAACCATTATGTCTCTTTCATTTTGTACGATAATCTCTTTTTGATTGTCTAGTATGAACTTCTTGTCAATGAGTTTTAAAGCATAAAATTTTCCGTTGTCTCTTTTTCTTACCATATAAACTCTCGAAAAACCCCCTACTCCTATACATTTTACTAAAGTGAAATCCTTCAATCCAACCCTTTTTGTTGTAATTGGTTATGAATATAGTGGTTGAACCTACAACAATATTCCTTTGAAAACATCCAAAGTTAAATTTGAGATTGTCAAGTAGTAATCATAGGGGATATTTTTGGAAACAGTTTGAAATTGACATATTTTATTTAATTCTAAAAATCTTTAATTTGAATACCTTATTATATTTAATCTACTTCAGTTGAGCCTGTTCCACTGCCAAGTTTTGTAAATGACCTTTCTATGCATGCAATTTATTGTATTAAATAATTGTACAAATCATCGGTAGTTTAATTTTAGTATTCGTATAAGTAATTGTATCTATGATTTAAACAATATATCCTACTTTTATTATTTATAGAAAAGAACTATTTGTAAGTACTTGTTAAGATCATATTAAACGGTTTCTTCCTTGCTTTTTTATATTAGGAATTATTAATTGGACCCAGCGGAATATTCAGTTTTTATATGACTTTAATTGGTTGATTTAGACTCGCTTTCATTTCTTTTAGGCTTTTATGATTGAAATTATATGGATCCTTTTAATAGTTTTTAACTAGAAAACATATCCTCAATCGATTATCGATGATTTTATGATGGATTGGATTAAATAGATTATTTATTCTATTTTAAATTTAAATAATTCTGACACTCGTTAGTGCACACACTATTTTTTAGCTAGGTATATTATATAATATACTAAATGCAAATCAAATAGTAATTGGTCCTTTTATTTATAAACAGGTTATTTGATTTGATTTTGAGGAGATTGGTTGTAAGATTACTTTGTAGTTTGAGGTTATTTTGATAACTAATTTTTCAACATTTTATCAATATTTTAAGCATCTTATGAAATGGTTGCCAATGATAAGTTTTTTTATTTTAAGATTTATCTTCTTGCGCTATTTCCATCATCGGTTTAGATGCGTACATCAGTCTATAAAGAGTAACATGTCATAGTTACATTGAATTAACCAGTTTTTAGACGATCGCTCTTCTAACTTAATTGTTATAAATTATCAATGCTTTTGCTTCCCTGCAATATTGCCTTCGAAGAGCTGGCAACTTAAGTGAAAGTGTTCCTCTCTTTCTTGAAATAGTCAAGCAAATCATTCTTCTGAGTTTTGTATTACGGTCTCTCTGTATTGACAGTCTTGGGTTTACTTTTATTTTTTTTTGGGTCGTTTGTGAAAGGTTTATCTTATAAGTTATTTTTGGTCATTAATGTTAACATCTATTAACTAATTTTCTTCATTAACGATGAGTATAATTTATTTAATTCAAATTATATATATATTGACTCTGAAATTACATAAATAAAATAAATGAACATCTCTCTCATTGTTATGTTTGCTAAACGGGTTGCTATGGCTCTTCATCCTTCTCCGTAAGGTACTTTTTCATGAATTTCTTTAATCCTCCGTCAGCTTCAATTTATTTAAATGCCTATTAAAATTCAGGAGTAGTGAAATCATATTTTTTCAAGATTCTATTCACCTTCTCATCGTAAAGTTGTCTATTCTGTTTTTAGAATGGTTGTGAAAGTAAAACAGGAACGAAGTAGTATTTTTTCATTACTCCGAAAAATGATGATCTTATTTTATTATTTGTATTCATACCTTGCTGTCAATGCATAAATTGGATTTCTCATTTTCAATATTAAGCAAAAAGTAAAAGTAGAAAGCACTGAGAAATAGAGAGTAGTTGAAGCCCTTGATCTATGCTCTTGTAATGCCAATTTAAATTCAGCTGTATCACTTTACTTATTTAAACTTTTTATTTACTTCAATTAATGGCTAGGGGGCTTTTACTTTAGAAAATATAGTAAAAGCTAACAATTTATTTTAGCAGAGTTCATCGTATGATAATTGCATATTCTTCATATAATTATATAAATCTAATATTGCAAAATATATTAAATAATTATATAATTTATTCTCAAATAATCGCTAATACTATATACAAAGAAGTGGTATTTGCTATTCCTTTCGCAACTTGCGCCTTCTCTTAATCTTTGGTATCTTTATTAATTGAAATTACTCTTATTGTTAAACTCGACTCTTGGTCTAAGTAAAAGCTTATCTTATTCACCTTCTTCCCTTGATTGTCTTTGTTATCAAAATGAGACTATCAGAAATCTCTGTACTAGGCTTATTAATTACAATTAGATTATTTGGATTTGTCTTCAAGATGTAAGTTTAAAAAAACAAGTTAAGTTGACTTAACCTTTTTTTATTTTTTTATTATAAATTAATTGTCCTTCTTTAGAATGATGATATGAAGGTGCACTATTTTTCTATTTATTTGAATTCGCCATTCTTTTTTCTGATGAACCTCTAATATAAATATAGAGGGGTTATTCTATCAATTTTAAGTTTAAATATTCGGTAGGTTTCATCTTAAAATATCTGTAAAAAAGCAAGAATTGATATTCTGATAAAATGCTTGTCGAAAAAAAAGGAAAATTTAAATTATAATATATGTGAAATTAAATGTATTGATTTTTCAATTAATACATTTTATAAATAAAATCTATGGAGATATTTTTAAAATTTGCTTGAAATAAATCTTTAATTATAATTAATAGTATAAATAAATTATAAAATATTAACATTTATGATTAAATAAATTATTTGAGTTATGAAATAAGAGTAAAATCTTATGCTTTGGTTGTTATTAAGCGTATTTTTTAATCAAGAGAGTAAAAGAATAGTTAAAGAATTTTTATATTTAGCTTCTTTAACTAAAAATATACTCGTTTTTGAAATGTTTGATTTCAGCTATTATAAAAATAGGTTAGGCATTCATTTGATATAAACTGTTATTTTCAAGGCATGATTGCAATTAAATTAATCATTTTAAACAAAGAATGACAGACTTTATTTCTCATATAATTAGAGAAAGTAATTTATCTAATTATAGTACTCTTTCCCTTTTATTAAAATGATTCTGATTTTCATTTAGAATAGATTTACTTATATGAGTCAATAAAACTTTATATTATGGTTATCAAAGAATTATTTAGAAATAAATTATCCCTTGCATTAGTTTTACTTTCTTTCAAGGTTTGTAGCTTGCGCAATTTAGTGTCCAAATTAATATTTTAAATATATTAGGTTGTATGTGAATATTATTGAAGGGAAATGTTTATCAATCATTTTTAAATTATTTCATTTTGAATTGACCATGATAAAAAGATTATAAGGTTCTTCTGTTACAAAAGAATGGTGTAAAAGTGACACCATATCAGAATAAGCCTAGTCCAATTACAGGTTTTCAAATAGAACAAGATAAAAAAATAAAGAATTTTAATCATTGAATTCTAATTCTAAAAATCTTCATGCAGTGTTAACTGAGAAGTATGTATATCTATGAGATTAAAAATGAGTTAAATTTAGAGATGGAAATAGAATTTAACGTCGTACATTATAGAATCTTAAACAATTACTTTTAGGATAAGTAGAAATATTCCCACATATCGAGTTGAACATTAGCCAAAATATTACTCTCAAAAGTAGTACATTTCTTCATCTTTATTATAAAATATCCAATTGTATATTATATTGTCCAAAAGTATTGAAAGACAAACCTATAAGGTAGATGTTCCATAAAATACTAGTGAACCAAATTCTATAAAAAAAGGTTAAGTCTAGCTAAGGTTCAAAAGGAGAATAGTTTGCACCCTTCTTTCATTATTTATTTACTAAATCAAATGAAGATTTTGATAACATTAGGTATTTTACTTTTGACTGCTTCTACATCAGATGTTGCAGTCTCCGATTAATGTAATTGCGAGAAACTTCTCTCTCAAGCCGATTGTAAGGCCAAATAAGGATGCAATTGGTCTACAACAACTTCTCTCTGTTCTAAAACAGATTCTGGAAGCACTTCTGCTGAAGGATATTGTGGACTCATAACTGATGCTAGCGCTTGTGCAAAAACCAAAGGCTGTGCTTATTTAGACTCTGTTTGTTAAATATTTGCTGGTTGTTCAGCTTATAAGGGTGCCACTGATGCGGAATGCCAAGCAATATCAAACTAATGTAATTCAGATGGACAAGCATTTTGTGTTGATCCTGGAACTTGTACAACTTATAAAACCGCAGAAGATTGTGCAGGGAAGGGCAGCAGCGGAGGATCAGGCACTTGTGTTTGGGATACATCTTGTAGAGAACAGAAATGTACTGAAGCTGATGTAAAATTTAATACGGATGCACAATGCAATAACTTTATCAAGGGTTGCGTAACAACTGGAAAGGGATGTATTAGTGCTTTGGGACAATGCTCTACCTATACTGGAGATGTTGAATCATGTGAGGGATTGAAGGGATCTGATGGTTATTGTAAAGGAGTGGATGGAAAAGATAAGTGCGTAGTGAAATCATGCTCAGATGCAGATACAACCTATACAACAGATACTGCATGTGCTAAGTACTAGATTGGTTGTGTCACAAATGGTTACGGATGTGTAAAGTCGCCTTTAGGATCCTGCTCTACTTAAACAGGAGATGACGTAGTATGTGCAAATAAGAAAGGCTCAGATGGTAAATGCAAAGGAGTGGCTGAAGGCAAGACATGCAGTGTCGTGGAATGCAAAGATGCTCCAGAGACACACATAACTGATGATGATTGTGGTAAATATAAGAGTGGTTGTGTGACAACTGGTAAAGGATGTACCACTTCAAGAGGAGCATGTTCTTCATATAAAGGCACTTCGACAACTTGTGATGGGTATATTGGGTCAGATGGTAAATGCAAGGGAGCCTCAGATGCAGAAGCTGCCTGCTCTCCCAAAGTTTGCAAGGATGCAGATACTTCATTAAACTCAGATGCTAAATGTGATGACTATCAAACGGGTTGCAAAACGACAGGCAAGGGTTGTACCTCCTCTTTATCAACTTGTTCTTCTTATACTGGAGATGCCACAAGTTGCGATGGATACATAGGAACTGATGGCAAGTGTGCTGGAGGAGCTAGTAGTGCCAGTTGCTTCCCAAAGAAATGTTCAGATGCTCCTAATGCTCTAACAACAAACGAGGATTGCTCAACGTATCAAACTGGGTGCATTGCTACTGGAACTGGAGGTTGTATGGATGCTGGTGCCTGTAGTACTCTATTAAATAGCAGTTAATGTGATGGCAAATCTGCATGTCAATGGAAACCCTAATGTGTAACAAATGGAGCTTGTTCTGATCTCAAATCTGAGATTTTATGCAAAACTGTGGCTTTATAAAATTCTAATACTTGCTGGTGGGTGGGTGGTAGTTGCATTGCTAGAACCTGTGATCACGCACCTAACACATATAATACAGATTCTCAATGTGATACATTCTTAAAGGGTTGCTTGACTAAGAAAACAGGTTGTGTTGCTTCAAATGCCTCTTGTAGTAGTTATTCTGGAACTAAAGCTACATGTGAAGGATTCACAATTAAATGTACCAATACTAATAGTGCTACTGATACTACTGCATGTGTTGATCCTGTATGTACAGATAATACTGATGCTACCACAGATGATGCCTGTAAATCATTTAATGCAACTTGTTTAACAAAAGGAACTGGATGTATAGCAGCTAGTGCAGCCTGCTCTTCCTACCCTGGAACAAGCACAGATATTTGTGGCAAGTTCACAGGTAATAATAAAACAAAACCTTGTTGGTGGAAAAGTGGATCTAATTGTGTAGATAAAGCTTGTACTGATGCTGATACTAGCTATACAACTGATGACTTATGTGATAAATTTTTGAAGGGATGTGTAACAAAAGGAAATGGATGTGTTGTAAGTACTTAGAATTGTGATGCTTATACAGATTTGAATTAAACAGGTTGTGCTGCCTTATCAAAAGGATGTGCCAAAAGAGAAGCTTGTACTGCCGAAGTTACATGTGCTGGTATCACTGGGGCAACTAATTAGGCTAGTTGTGATACAGTCTTACCAAATAAATGCGTCTTTATTAATAATGCGTGTGTTGCATTAGGAAATTGTAGTACTTATACTGGAGGTTCTGTGGCTGCTTGTAAGGATCTAGTCAATTCAAGTGGTGAAAAATGTTATTGGACAACCGGTACTAATTGTAGTGATAGAGCATGTAGTTAGATTGCAAATCCAGCAGATCAGAAGACTTGCACAGATCATAAATCTAATTGTGCCAGGAAATCAGATGGTTCTGTGTGTGAGATTGCTCTATGCTCAAATGTTTCTTCTCCAACTACTGAAAAAAATTGTTAAGATTATCATCCTACATGCCATTTTGGTAAGGTAAATGACGTTGCAATGTGTGATCCTGGAACTAGCTGTGCTGCATTTGGTAAATCAAGCACTGCTTCATGTCCTACTATTATCACTTCTCAAGGAGGTTTATGCAAAGCAAGTACAACTGCTTCCAATAATTGCGAAAATGATGTCTGTACCGGTACTGCTTAAAATGATTGCAATACAAAAAAAGTTGTTTATACAACTACATTTTAAGGAGCTGCGCCTGCTTAATTTTGTATCTACAGTGGATCTTCCTGTGTAGAAAGATCATGTGCAAATGCAAATACTCATCTTGGAGTGACTGTCTCATCATTTTCATAATGCAATTCATATTATGAGTTATGTGTATTATCAAGGCCATCTAGTGGTCCTGTTTGTGTCAATGGAAATGCTGCTGACGGAAGTAGTGCTGGATGTGGTCAAGTCTAAGGTACTTAATAGGAATGCTTGACTTTAACAGGGAAATACAAAAACGCTAGCAATAATTGGGAATATAGATTATGCTAATCGCATAGTTAAGTTGGTACAGCTGCTTGTTTGGATAGAGCATGTTCATAAAAAACAGATGGAAAAACTGATGCTATTTGCTAGGCATGGCTTCCAACTTGTAAGACTAATGGAGAAAGTTGTGTAGATATGACAACAACATGCACATCAATGTCAGGAACTTCTGAGAGTTGCCAATTACTTACTGGTCTAGTTTTGGGATCGAAATGCTAAGGTAATACATCTGTCACCACTGGTACTTGTGTTGCTAGAAGATGCTAAGACAATGGAACAGCCACAACAGATGCTGATTGTAAGAAGTATTTGGATGGCTGTATCACAACTGGTAAAGGCTGCATTCCAAGCACCACTCCATGCTCAGGCTAATGGGGAAATCAAGATGGATGTAAATTACTAACAGGTAATGATAAGTTGTGTTGGAGCTTGTCTTTATCCACTAAAGGAGCATGCATTGATAGAACTTGTGCTCATAACACAACAGCAACTACCGATACAGATTGTGCTGCCTTCATGAAAGGATGTGTTACCAAAAGACCAGGTTGTATCGAGTCCACAGCTGAGTGTACATCCTATTAAGGAGTCTAAGCAGATTGCGAAAAGGCTGTAGGTGCTGGAAAATCATGCACCAATGATTCAACTGCCACTGCTACAACATCTTGCAAAGTGAAAGATTGCACTAAATTGGCTGTGGATGCTTACTCTGAATCAATATGCTAAGCTTATGGAGTATAGTGTCATTACAATGGCTCAAAATGTGATGTCATCTAGTAATGTTCATAATTGAAGGGCAACTTTATCACTTGTGCTTAATATGTAGCCTCAGACGGACCATGTGTTGGTACTGCACTCTAAACTGAAACCCCAACCAGTTGTACTGCTGCTAAGTGTTCAGATGCACCTGTTACTTTAACAACTGACGCTGAATGTGATGCATACAAAAAAGGATGTAAAACAAATGGTAATGGTTGTGGTTCAACAATTTTATGTGCAGATGTATAATCTTCTTCATCTTGTACTTCTCTTAAAAGCGGAAATGATTTTATCTGTGCCTGGGCTTCATAATGTAGAGATGTTCAAACAACTTGCAGTAGTTACACTGCAAATGGATAAAGTGTTTGTGCTAGTTCTAAAACTTCTGCAGGATTTGGTGTTTGTGTTTGGAAGAATAGTGCTTGCACAGAAGCAAAATGTGAAGATTTACCATTGTCAGTAGGTTCAGAAACAGATTGTACAGATTATTCTACTACTTGTACTTTTGCTGGAACAGGAAATGGTTGTGTTACAAAAGGAGCATGTACCACTTATACAAGAAAGGAGGTTTGTTCAGCTGCCAAATCAACAGATGCAATTGGAAGTTGTACTTGGGATGAAACTGTAGTAACAGGTACATAAATAAAAGGATGCAGAGCAAAGGATTGTTAGGATGCAGCGGTTACATTAGTGAATGATGCTGATTGTGATGCATTCATTTCAGGTTGTGTCAGTAATGGTGCTGGATGTATGAAATCTACATACACTTGTGACATGTTTAAGACTTAGGCAAAATGTCTTTAAGACTCTTCATTATAACCATGCCTTTGGAACAATGGTGTATGCCAATAATACTATAAATGTGCCGATTTATCCTTGAAAACAGTGGCAACCTGTTAGGCAGCCTCGAAATATTGTACTACTGATGAAAGCAAATGCACTCCCTTAAAGACTTGCAGCAATTACACCAAGTAAATATAATGCTCAATTGGTACTGATGGTGTTTGTGGTTGGGTGACTTCTACAAAGAAATGCCAACTCTTCACCTAATGCACAGATTTAGTCTCTAAATTAAGTACCGAGTGCTCAGACTTCAATGCTAAATGTATTAGTAACGGAACTAACTGTATCGATATGGCTGAATGCTCTACTTATGCTGATAGTGAAGCTGCTTGTAAGATTGGAGGAACTGATGGTACATGTTAATTTGATAAGGATACTTCTGCTTGTAGATTGAGATAATGTTCAGATGCAACTACATCTACTTCAACCCATAATGGATGTTTCGGATATTAGATTAACTCGACTACAAAATGCACCACTGACGGATCTAAATGTATTGCTTTGGCTGATTGTGCCTCATATACAAAATAAGCAGGTTGCGTCATTGATAGTTCATTCAAGGCTTGCTCTTGGGATACTACAGCCAAATCATGCAAAACAAAGACTTGTGCAGATACCAAGAAGACCAAGAGTTCTGAATGTGCTGCTGCCTTAGCTGGTTGCATATCAGATGGAACCAAATGCATTGATCAAGGAAAGTGTGCAGATTACACCACCAAAGAAGCTTGTAGTGCTGGTGGAACAGATGGAGCCTGTGCATTTACTCCAGCCTCAGGATCCACAACAACTGGAACTTGCAAACTATTTTCATAATGTTCAGATGCCAATTCAGATCAAACTGCTTGCCAAACCAAATCCTTAACTTGTAAATGGACGGCTGCAGTTGGCACTACTGCTAGTTCGTGTTCCAATCACACATGTGATTCAGCTGCTAAAGGAACTGCAAAATGTGTCACCATCCCTAGTTTCGATGGTAAGAGATACACAGTTTGTTAAGTTCAAGGAGGAAAGTGTGTCACTGGCGACCCAAGTGCCTTAACTTAAGATACATGTTATAAGATGAGTTAATATACTTATAGTTGGAATGCTAACACTAAGAAATGTGTTGCTTGTGGATCTGGAGCCAGTAACAACAACAACAATACCACCACAGTAGATAACAATTCAACTAATGTCACTGATCCTGCTACCACTGATCATGGATCCTATCTATATGTTTTGCCCATCTTGATTTCCTTAAGTTTCTGATGAAGAAAGTGAAATTAAATATTATAAGAAAAATCATTATTTATCTCAGCATTTCTTCTTATTACTTATTTCTATACATTAATATTTACTTATTTTTTTAATGTCTAATACTAACACTCCGAAAAATAAAACAATCCCTACTGCAGATTATAGAAAGAAGTCTAGATTAAAAGAAATCTAAGCCAAAATGAAACAGAAAATGATATAGTCCGGAGCTCAAACACAATCTCAAAACAATACTCGTTTTAGTGTTTTGGAAAATAAATTAGGTCTCAGGGCTTTATCGAAATCAGACAGGTTCGATGTTGTACTTAAGGAATTTAAAGGGCTTGACACCTTTTTTACTATTAATGAACTATTGTAGGAATTGAATACTGTTGGTGTGGATGATAGAAAAACTGAAATCTAAAGAGACAAAATTAAGATATTGTTGGAATAAGAAAGAATAAAAAGGTGGAAAACTCAATTCCCTTAACATCTAGAATTCGAATCAAATACTAGGTTCAGTGTTAAAAGTGAACTCCTCTTAAGAGCAAGAAACTAGCTGGATTTGGAAAAATATGAACCATAATTATTTGAAACTTTTCAAAATCTTAAACCATACCTTAAAGACAAATTCAAAGATATAGATTTGAGAGAAAATCCATAACTTCAACTATTCAAGGACATCACTGACATTAGATAAATTGAAAAAGAATAAAAGAAAAGCATATTAGCCAGATTGAATACCAATATTGAAAGCATAACTCAAATCCAACCATCAAAGGAAGCTAAAAATCAAGATTATTATGATACTTTCTAAAGTGAAGCAGACAAATTAAGAATTAGACTCAGAGAACAATAATTGGAATTTTTCAACAAAAAATGGGGCAACTCTATTGTCAAAATGAAGGTTAAAGATTAACAATTTAAAAGACAAGCTCAAAATAATTTTAAAAGAATGCAAACCATTTAAGTTTAAAACTAAGAAAGAAGAAAAAAGGCAGCCAGAGAAACCATTACAGATCCATTTATGAAAGAATTGATTTCTGATGTCTGCTATGAAGAAGCTGAAATGATGGAAGAAAAAAAAGAAATTCAATAGATCTTCAGATAAATGTAGCAGACCCATGATGGTTTTTATAAAAAATACGAAGATCCAGAAGTAATAGGACTGAGAATGATTACTAAATGAACTATATAAAATAATTCATTCTTTAATTGTATTCTTATTTTGTTATATGTAATCTCTTATCAATTAATTGTGTAAAAGTATTTCACCTTCAATGAATTCAAACACTCATTTATAATACATTACTACTCTTATCATTATTTATTCTTTTAAATAATTCTCAACCAAGTCATGGATTAAATTCAGAATAATATAAATAAAAAACAAAGAATAACAAAAATCTTAAAATTATAAGTCTTATTAATTATAAAAAATGAAATAATTGAAAATAAGAGTTATTTCAAATTATTAGTTTATTTAATATGAACCATCGAGACCTAATTCTTCTTCTATTAACTACAAGCCCTTTATTTAATTGATTTATCTTCACTTTTTATGATTCTAGTTAAATAATGCAGATTGATCTAGACTCTATTCTTACAAATAGTTTATAAAATATAAATTCAGTTCTTAGATTCAACTGATCCTTAATGACCTTTATAGAGTAACAAAATTGTTACAGAATTTTGTTTATTTTAGAGTAGATTAAATATGATTTATCTTTGAAGGATCAGCTACCCAATTAATTCTTCGCCTATTTTTGTTAACATTTTTGATAATTTAGTTAATTCAGTATTACGATTAGCATGTGGTAAATATTTCAACTTTTTTATTTACTAAATTGAAAGAATTCCATTTTGAAATTTCGATATTTAGCCTTTTATACTAATCTATAATATAAGAGAATATGATTTCTTTATGTATATAAAATTATAAACACCTAAATCCTTCAAAAAATTAAGATATTAAATATATTTTAGATTCTTTCAAAAATTAATACATATTGAATACAAGTAAATAAGTATTATTACATTAGTTTTATGGAATTAATACATCTATTAAAAAAAAATAATTTCAATATTATAAATGTTGCTATGATTGATAATCAGGTGATCATAAAGATATTTAAAAAATGATGATTATTAATATGAATTATAATTGAATAAAAATTATTCAATTACTGCTGATTGTATTTTCTTCCTCTATATAATAAGTCTCTTAAAATTATCTTTTCTTTAAAAATAAATCTTTAGGATATTCTCTCAAATGTTTGGTCGTACCTTGAATATAACTCTGAACTAACTAATCTTATTGGTCTTCAGTCGATTGAATTGAATTAAGTTAAACCTTAGAAATTGATTTCCTTCTGTTTTTTTCATACAATTAAAAATTTATTTCATTTGTTTATTCACACTCCTGAGTATCATGATTCAATTCTGATGAAGATTAAGCATTCTGTGAATCTTATTCCCAATCATATTGCTAGCGTATTTTTTCCTAATACTTTACATCTCTGAGGATCTTATCGCATAATTAATTCCCTTTTTAACATTTGCACTTAATTTATAGCATTTCCACTGTTTTTTTCGCAGCCAATAATGAATTTTGATTATCAATCTTTAATTTAGCCAATAGCTCTTATAACCATGTATTTTATTGTATTTATCTACTAAATTAAATGGAAAATTCTTTATGCATCAATTTCATCCTATGCTTAAGTTCAATTTCCTTTTATTTTTATTAATTTAACTAATTCGCTAGTAATCTATTTGATAAGGTTGCTTCTTTTAATTTTTATTCCAGATGAGTACATTTATTATTTGAAGAAGGTCTAAAAAATCGAACTTCTGATTACTTATGATATTCAATAGCATTTTCAACAAAATTTAGAAATTCTCTTTCTTCTTGGTATTTATTATTTTTATCCCTTTAAATAGATTCTTTCATATAATCAGCTCTGGAATTATTTAGTTTAAAAAATTGCTCAAACAATTTATCTTCATCCAACTCATCTCTATCATGTAGTAGTGTAATTTGTCGATAAGAATTTTAATTATTTTCAAGAGATGATTTTGCTCTTTGATTCTGAGAGTCTATACTCGGGTTTCTTCTTTATTAAAAAGTTCCCTATTTTAATAAGTTATCCTTATTAAAGTATTCGGATAAACCAAATGACTATTAATCATTTGGAGATTTCTTGTGTCTGAGTTCTCTATGACTAATTATTAAATAGGATACTTGCGTAATTTATGCCTTGTTTGCTCGACAGTTAACTTAGCGACATTTAATTAAAATTTATATATATAAAATCAAATTGCAATAATACAAGAGGTTCTAAGGAAATCAAATTTAAAATTAAATAAGGAGTCATGAAACCATTCGATTTGATAGTGCGTTCATAAGGATTAATTTTAATTGACAGTATAAATTATTTCAATAAACAATGCCTACCAAGCCAAAAATATTTTTAGATATGGATTTATGCTGCTCTTTGAATTCTTATAATTAAATTTTATTCAAATAATATATTTATAAATAAAATGGATGATCGAATGTCAGAAAAATTAAGCAGGGCTGAATCCAATTTAAGCTTTCATGCCAATATTAATAACACAAACCTTTTGAATGAGACATAAGAATTAATTCCAAGTGCTTCAAAGATTCCCCCACAAGCATTATGTGGTATTTACGTAGTATGTTAATTATTGCAACTAATGATTGGATACTCCTTAGTTTAAAATATTGATGCAATTACAATAGCTACATAAAGATGCATCATCAAAGTTATAATGACTTTGATGTATATTTAATTTTTTGACAAACGTCTTTTTCACTTGGACTAATCCTCCTTTAGAGTGATAGGTGCTATGGCAGGATGTCAAGTCATTGCTTCCTTAGTTGGATTTTGGGCAATGTAAGATTATTTGTGAGGTTAGGTTTTATTTCCCATTTTCAGAAATTTGTGCTTTTCATCAATTGACTCCAGGATATATATAGGTCTTTAACCATTTTCTTTATTAAGCAGGAAATCAACTGAATTTGGTTATTTCCTTGATGCAAACTCTATCAACTTTACTATTTGGTCAAAACCTACTATATGTGTTCGTATGCCTACTCTAACCAGTATGTTTGGCATTCTCTCATGTGATTAAATTTCTGATGAGTAAACAACTTCCTTTTTTCACTTTGATGCTTTACTAAAGTCTTTTTGGTTTGCCAGTGTATATTCTACTCAATCTAATGGCCTAAGAAGTGTAAAATATATTTTCTGGTGCATATTTTCTGTATGATATTTTATGATCGATTTCTAGAGAAATAACCTTCATGACTATTTTATAGATGGTTGGCTATGTAGCTTAAAATGAAATTTAAGCTTAGAAGACTATAAAAATGTGGATCCTGCCTGGAGCGGTCACAATATTATCTTTGTTTGTTCAATTAGGATACCATTAAGTAGATTTAAATTATGGTACTCTTTCTATCATTTTTATTGTGTTTACATCCATTAACAATGAGAAATGATTATTCTTAAAAATTTAGATTATATAATATTTTTATTGTCTTAAATTAAGCAATCAAAGATGGAATAATTCAGACCATCAAAATATTATTTAGTGCGATAGTAAAAGTATCATAATAGCTAAAGAATTTATATTATATATATATCAAATTATAAATGGATCAATGTATAAATATTTTAAATTGCAAAATAATAATAATTGGAAAGCATTTTTGTTTTTAGTTTACCAAATGCACATAAGATATAAATATTGAGGCATAATGAATCTAATTTTAAGGGAACCAAATATAAACATAATGATTAGAATATTTATATAAAATTCAATTTTTTGGTTGGTTACAATAGAAGTTTTCTCATGATCAATTTAAAAAAAATTCCAAATTATTCTTAATTTCATTTATAAATTCCTTACAGCAGATTTTAAATATACCTTTCTTTAATAAACTGCTAATTACAATGTGTAATATTGCTTTAATTCATAGATTAATTTATTAGATCATTCTAATTTTGAGTAAAAGTAATTTTGTGTAAAATAGATAATTATATAATCTATAAAATAGCTCTATCAAATCGATGAAGATGACGATTAGTGTGTATTTAGTTTTTGATTTTATACTAAATATTTTCCTTTTAATTAACAGTTAAAATTTAAAATATAATAATGTAAGACTATAGGGGGAATTTCAAAAGAATTGAATTCGGTATATAATAAACTCCTGCTAAATCAACAGCAAATATGAATGATTTTTAATCATCTTAAAAATTGAAATATGACTAAATGAGCAATAAACCTTTATCTTCCAATATTAGTTTTATTAATGCTCCTATTACAACAGTTTCAAAAGAGCTTTTTACACTGCAAATTCCTGTAAAAGTGAAATAAGTTACAGATGATTGGAATACACAATTAATTTTGAAAATGATCATGCAATAGAGTTAATTATAGGCTCATGGTTAAATCTTGAGGATTGAATTGACAGACGATAACAATTTACAGTTTTTGTAGATACTTGATTTGACAGAGAGTGAATTTTTAGTATTGAAAAATGAATAAAGTCTGCATGTTGATTTTGCCACTTTTCCAATGAAACTTGCAGATTTGTTATAGTTGTGCATAAATAGTTAAAGAGATGAAAAAGTGAAGTAAAAGATGCAAGATTATTTAGTTTTTATGTTTGCTTGGAAACCAAGAATGGAGAATCTACACTTGCAGTAATTGAAAATAATGAGTTTAAAAAATTGACACATTTATCTTTGAGACTTCGTAGTGCAACAGACGATGTGATCAAAGTGTTCTTATCCAACAAATTAGCAATAGAAAAATAGGAAAATGAAGAGCACTAAAAAAGAAACAAAAAATTAACTGAGTTATTAGAGGAAAAACATTGGGAACTAGAAAATTTAAAGTCGGAAGTCAGAAAATTCACAGAGGATAAAGATACAGCTATTTAATAATTATTATTAGATGAATAAAAGAAATTCAATGATTTTAGAGAATAAACTTTGGGTAAGGAAACTAATTTTAAAAGGGAGAGTGAAAATGAAAAACAATTTATTATTGAAAAATATGATAAAATTGTATTTGAATTATAGAATAAATACACACAACTATAACAGACTAATTAAGAATTAGCTGAATAAAGATCTCTACTTATTTAATAGGAGAGGGATCTCAAAAATAAAGTAGCGATTCTTCAACAGGAAACATCACAATATTAAAAAGAGAATTAAGAATTTAGATAATTGAATAAAGAATTAGATACTCTAAAATTTACTTAAGAGAGATAACTGATAGAATTAAGAATTTAAAAGGAAGGATTTGAAAAATTAATACATGATAAGGAAGAATATCTGAATAATAAATAATAGTTAGTAGACAATGAGAAAAAATAAAATGTAATATATTATTGTATATTCCAAGTCTATTCTTGAAGAATAAGTTATAAATCAAAAAAAATAAATTGAGAAGCTTGAATCCAGAATCAGTGTCATGAGTGAGGAAGTAAACAAAGGAAATTAGATCATAGAAAAACTGGAAAATGAACTTAGCAAATAAAAAGAAAAGATTAAATTAAAAAATACTGTTTTCCTCTAATAAGAGTAAACTGTACAGTAGTTATAAGATGCAAATGATTTAAATCATAAATAAATCAATGAATGTAAACTTAAATGCTATAATTAGTAAGGAGAGAAAAAGATTCCTTAGAGATTAAATTGAAAGATCAGGAAAACACGAACCTTGATTTGAAAAACAAATTAGCTGAGAGTTAAAAACTTCTTGAATCAAATAACTAAATGATTCAATATTTAAATAAATGTTTGAATGAAACCAAAGTTTAAGCACCTGCATAAATGCCTGGTATTTCAACCTTAAAAAATCAAACATTTACTAGATATACATCTCCAGTCCCATTACAAGAGGATGTAATAATCTAATTTAAATTAGTAGAGAAGTTTTCGTAATTAAAGTGTTACATATTAGCCGAATTAAAGTAACATTTCCTAGATCTCAAATGCTACAATATCAAATAAATTTAATTTTTGAGAATTATGTATCACACCTTAAATTAATAATTATAATATATCTATTCATAATTCTTGTTATAATAAAAATTCGATACAATTTTTTTTGATATTATATATATCAGCATTAAAGATATTTTAATACTTTTACTGGAGCAATATGACTAGTATGTATTTTGGCACTGCCTAAAGAGATAAGTCATTAGTATCTGGAGATGTGCATAATCTGGATTACAAATACTTGTGGAGCTTGCGAAGTGAAGTAACTAAACTAACTTAATAGCACTCCTGCTGGGTTTTCTGCTAAACGAGGTATTGTGAGAATAAACAATTGAAGGATGATGTGACTTAAAAGAAGAATAGAAAATAAAAATAATAGCAACCAAAAGATGAAAAACCTAAAGAATAAGTTAAAGAAGCAAAGAAAATTTAACCTAACGAAAAAGATAATGATAACGTATATTAATTGCATAATATGAAAATAATCAAAATCGCTTTATTCAAATGGATAAAAATATATTTTTGTGTGAGGGTGTATTTCAAAGGAAGCGGATTCAATTCTTACATTAAAATACTTTGTTGATCAAAAAATTAATAGAAAAATTTTCTCAAGACTTTGGATTAATAATTTAAAAGAGCATCATTTTGATTTTGGATAAAGCAATCATCAAGTGTATGCATTTAAATTTACTTTAAAATTTAAATAAAATAATTTTCTAAACTAAATAAAGTGAACCTAGTTTAAATTGTTCTACGATTATAAAAAGATAATTAACTAAAATAGTTTATTCTAATGATATCATAATTTAAAAAATTTGGGTTTCTATAATTTCAATAGATAGATGAAAATTAAGAAATAATAACATATAAGTAAGATAATTATTGGATATAGACATTCTATAAAGATCGTGTTTTTAAGACTAATTATATTTTTACCTTGTAAATGAGTAAACGAATATATACAAGGTATAGGCTTTTAGATAGCTTCTATATTTTGCAGGTCACTTGCAATATTCATAGAAATTTATCTGAAAATTGATAATCCATTGCTGAAAAATATATAAAATAATTATTTTATAATTCAAAAACAAATGAACATTAGAGAGAAATTATTGAAGGTTAGGTAATCTGCACCACTCTATAAATTGCAAACTCCTCAGGTTTTAAAAGAAGAGTACTTAAATGCAAATTCAAAAAAATGGTTGACGAAAGGGATTGATATAACAGATTATTTTAACTATGGATTTAATGATGCCACTTTAAAATTATTCATCCAAAAGCTTAACAAATTAACTGATCTCAATTTAAGTAAGCTGCAAAAAGAATATACTGCTAGAATTACTTAATAGAAAGCTATAGTTTTTAAGGATAATATTCCAATTGATTATGGAGGTCTTGGAATAACCTCAGTGTCTGAGTGCCTACCCGAAGAAATAGATTGTTAGAAGGAATCTTTGATTTTTGAAAGCATTGATTACGAAGGAGATTTGATATTTACTAATGAAACAATCCTTGATATATTTAGACATTACAAATAGTATTTAGAATAGCTAGTTGCAAATGGGGATTATTTCGATTTCGAAGCTGTTATGTAGTATCCGAAAGAAGAAAATAATTGGCAGAAGGAATTAGAAAAACTATTAAAAAAGGATAGTAATCACCTTGTTGATGAGTTACCTGATAAAAAAAGAATTAAACATGAAAAAAAGAAGTCAAAGAAAGAAAAAAAATAAAAAAAAGAGAAAAAGAAAAAGCATAAAAAGAAATACTCTCCAGATGATTCAATTTAAATTGTTCCACAATAAATTGTAGTTAAATAGGATTCTCCATCTATTGAATCCAACAAAATAGAATGTGAATTACAAATTGATTCACTTTCAGATCATCTTAGTAAATTGCCTCAAGAAGAAATCTAACTCTCTTCCCCTTCTCCAATTCCAGAAATACAATAGTAACAGCTACCTACGCCATAACCTCAAGAGCAGATTAGGCAGAGAAATCATAATTGGCCTAGAAATCTAATTCATGGAATTCTTTAAGGAAATAAAAATTAATAAAAAAGATGATTAATATTTTAGCGTAAATTAATTCAATTTTCTGTGGCAGAATTTATTCCCTACTTTTCTTCTTAATCTACAGGAGGCTTGTCTTGCTGTTTCAAATTTTATTAGTCTCCTGAAGTATTCTTTTTACTGGCAAATAACTATGTCCAAGAAAACATCCAACTAAATAAGTCTCCTATAGACAGTCCTTAATCTTTATCTTATGGATATCCATTCTTCATTATAACAATTCTAAAGCATTCTATCAAAATTGCTTAAAATAATGAAATAATGAAGAATAACATAAAGAAATAGTAAAACAGAATTACTATCATTGAAATTATTGGAGAATAGTTTACAAATTAGGTGATATTTAATTATCCTTAAATCTAATACTAATAGAATAAAATACCATGGTTAATTAACTGGCAATTGCTAAAGTAAATGAGGAATATTAAGGAAACACATTTCCATAAATAATTTAAAAGACCATAACAAATCCCAAAAATAATGGAAACTCTATAGCCAAAAATGGAAGTAATTCCTTAAAACTTTTACTGTAAGTTAAAAAGATAATTGCAACTCTATCATTCAATTTTAATACATAAGATAACCTTAGAAACAAGAACATTATACTGATTGTTAAAAACAATTCTGCCTTTTTATATAAATCTGCCTCCAATTCCAAATGCTATTAAATCGCTTAATTTATTTACCACAAATTCTGCTTAATTGACTAGTTCCTAAGGATCCTACCCTTACAAAGACTATTACAATGACATTGCCACTGAAATTATAGTTAGAATTCCAACTCCGCAATTGAAAAATCCAATTTCCATTGTTATATATAAGAATGCAGGCCCTAATTTACCTGTATTTTATTTTATCCTATAAAATCTATATGCAACAAAAGATAACAGTATGCAAGCCATAATCAATTTAGCGATATCAATCTAAAATAAACGTTAACCATCCTCTCCATAATATAAATTTGGTATAAATCCAATTAATTCTGTTCGGTAAGGTGTTAGTTTATTTTGAGCATTTCTTTCTAATAAAAAATTAACCTAAATCCATAAATTGATACTAGGATTGTAAATAACAAAATTAATAAAGATAACAGCTGTAGCCGCATCTAAAAATTATTCTCTTCTTAATTTGTTTATCTTCTCTAAAAAGGCCTCTGTAGTGATATCTCTATTAAATTCTACCACATATCCTCCATCAGTGTAAGTAGTCAAATTTCCTTTTTGAAAGTATTTGATTCCTAGTTCTTCTGCTGTCTAATATGTATAATTTTGAAAGTCCGATTTATTTGCTTTATTAGCGTCATAGACAATATCAAAACAACTATATTTTTGTAACTCATTAACATATTTGTTGCATTCATACAAATCACTTCTGAGGATTCTCAATTAAATGCCTCCTATCATCTCATAATTAGAACGAAATGGATTGTCTCCTTTATCAGAATTATACATGGTTCCCCCAAGAAAGGTTTCCATGTAATAATAAAATTCTGGGATTGAAGTTATTTTATAGTATTCTCCATTTGAACTTATTCCAATTAAATTATTAATGAAGGCGAAATTTAGATTTACAAATTAAGGACTTAAATAAGCTGTATAGCTAAGTAAAGTTAGTACTAAGATGACTATGATAGAGCTCAAGATAAGACAATTCATATCATCTAATTCAAATTTCTGTTCTGATGCTTTATCAACATTGTTTTTTTCAAATTCTCTTTATTGGTCTTGAAACTCTTTTTAAATTTGCAATTCACTTATGTAGTATTTTAATCCTGGAAACTTTTAAAAAAATAGATTATATGTATCAATAGCTTTTATTCTGTTTTTATGAACTGTAAATGCCCCTGAATAGCTGGCAGCTTTATTTCCACCATTTATTTTGATACTTTCTATCTATAAACTATTTAATGCTGGTTTCACAGTTTTCTTTTTTTAAAGTAATAGCGTAATCTAAGAAATATTTGAGACTCCCCTATTTGTAAAAAAATCAATAACTTTTTCTTTCAATTCTATTCTAGAATGATTTTCATCTGTTAGTTCTAAATCTTCCATAATTTCGCTATCCTTTTCATCGAATTTTCTTAAATATGGAGCCAAATTCCAATAGTAAAATGCCAGTTCTTTTAGATTTTAGAATGTTGTTTCTTAATCTAAACGAAATGATGAACTTTCACCTTACTCTATACCTTCAATTGTGTATTTGATATTAATAGTGGGATACGGATTGATATATTCATCTTTTTCGCCATTTTTTTTTCTATTTGTTTAAAATTTAACCATCTATTTGTTTGTTTGATCCAAATACTAGTTAAAAAATTCTAGCATTTGCATTTTCTCTAATTATATCTCTTACTAGGGAGGTTTTTATGCATCTGTCTGGGGTTAGACTTCTTTCATTGTAGTTGAATGCTTAGTGGTTGTATGACCTACACTTAAAGTTTAATCATTCAACTCAAGCACTTTTTTTTCTCTCTACATTTTCCTTACCTTTTCCTAGCTATCATTTAATAAATATAAACTTACACCCAATTTATTTTTTCTAATCTCAAAGTATTGTCATTTTTTAATTTTGTAATTTCTCTCTTCTTTGAATCTATTTCTTAATGCAACTTATTGATTTCTCCTTGAAGAGTTTTCATTTGGTCCTGCAATGTCTCTCCTTTCTTTTCCGACATGCAAGATTTATATTATTTAATAAATAGGCATACATACTAATTATTAATCTCGCTATAATTAAAATATCCAAACTGAAATTTATATTTAAAGAAATTACTTATTCTAATGAGTATGTAAAAAAAGGATCCAATCTCAACTCTATAGAAATTTCTCCGATAACTCCTCAATTATAAAAATAACATTTGATAAAGAAATAACAGGTCCAATCTAAAAAATTCAGTAAAAAAAGACATAATTAAAAAATACAAATATAAGTATTTTAAAGAATAAATTAAAAGTGTATTATTTGTTCCAGTAGATCATCCTAAGATTATTAAATTATATACTATTTATATTATTGAGTATTAAAGATGTCATAAAAATGAATCACTAAAGCAATATAATCAAGAGGATCAATTGCAATACTATTATAATTTGCGTATTGATTAAGAGATTCTATTTAAGATTCATTTTAAATTAATTATTTTTTGTATTTATCTTCACTCAAAAATGTAGTGTTGAATTTAATTTTTATTTCTTATATTAATTCTTCATTTATTGCAAGTAATATTTAACCAACTTACTTGAATTTTACTTCTATACCAACATTTTGATTGTAAATAAACTTATTATAGAAAACATCATAGATAATTTAGCTTCTGCAATTAATCATTAAGATAGAATAAAGTTTCTTATTATAATGTTTATAACATTTTTGATTTTTTATTAGTTTTCTAATTATCAAGTGTAGATTCTTTAAATAAGTTCTATTTTATTTTTAAATTGCTCACAGCAATAAAAAACAGATTGAATAAATTACTATTTTTAAATTGGAATTCTTAATCTTCGTGGATTCTGTTTATAATAAATTGAAATAAAAAATATTTGATCTAGATTATTCTTTTAAAAATATTACTAGATTCCTTTTAGAATTCATTAACAGTTAAGGTTGTGTGTTTAATTATTTATATATTTTTCTCTTAATATCTTTTGTTTAACTTCACTTATGCTAATTTATTTGGTAATTTTATTACCAAAAGGGTTCTATCGATTATGCCTTGAGTAAAATTCTATTATTAATTTTAGAGATCAGATATGCAATTATTAAATACAATCACATTTTATGATAATTAATTTATAATTATGTTTAAGTTGTTTCATTTATTAAAAAGCGTTATTGATGCAAAATTCAAGGACTAAAAATTGCCTTCTAAAATCAATTCTCTTTTAAAAACTATTATTTTTTGGGATTGCATAAACCCAACCTTTATAAAAATTATCTAAGAAATAATTATAATAATTTTTATAAAGAAGGAATTATGAGAAATATAATAATTAATCAATTTCCTCTGAACTCATTTCGATACGTTATTAAGATCTATGCTTTATTGTTAATAATAATTATATTTCCTAATACTTTTTTAATTTATTCGTATGTCAACGAAAAAATTATCATTACCTTACCTTGTTTCCTTAATAATACATGTTTTATTTAGGCTTAGTATGCTGGATATTGCTATTGGAATGGGTCTTTTATTTTTTTTATAATAATGAATCAATGACTTAGCACTTGAATAATTCATTCTCAATGATTTCGCAACCTAACTTTAGTATACAAGCTTAAACCTGTTTTATTCTTTTCCCTTATTAAAAGACCATTTAAAACAATTAAATTTGTGTTTTTAATGGAATTTTATGGTAACGTTTAGCTTCGGCATCTGTTGTTTAACTGCCTCTTTTTTAAAGGGTCTCAAATTTAAACTCTGATGATTCTGATTAACGCTCTTGGTTACATTCAGAACTCACTAACTCATCCCAAGTAGTTTTGCTCATTTGAATATATTTACTATATTTATTAAAAATGATCCAATGATATCAGGTCTTAATGATGGTTTATTATTAAATATAAACTAAAAAAAAATGTATCTAATTTGGTAAATCGCATTATTACCTATAAAAATGATATATAACTATAAGAATTTTTATAAGATATATATAAACAATAAATATTTCTCTAACACATTTTTTAATAGTAAAACAAATATTTTATTTTAATTTAATTTAATACTTTCTCATTTATATAATAAATAATCTTCATTCATAAAGGTATCCTAATTGTATTCCAACTTTGTTTAATTAATAACACTATTACTAACTCTTCTAAAAATAGAGTTGCTAAATTTAGGCCCTCGTTATAATAATAATTTGATTGGTTACTAAACTTTGAGTTTTTAAGATCTTATCAAATTAAAAATATATTTAATCAAATCAAAAATTTGCATTTTATGCCATTCTTTGTTAATAAGGAATTCAAGCATAATATGATGTAAATCTAAAATGATTTTCAATTATGTGAAGTAGAAAAATGAGAAATCAAAAAGTAAATAGTATCTGATAAAATTGATTTAGGTTACAATACTATTAATGAACTATATAGAAATATTATAATGCTAATATTACTCCTCAATTAATGTTCAATTTAATTTGTGTAATTTATAAGATATTCTTTAAAAATCCTCTTAGATATTTATAATTATTTTAGATTTTATTAAATATGATGGTATTTCAATCTTTTTTTCCTTTAATAGAATTCCATAAGGAACTTACATTTGATTTAATTTAATTCCAATTTTTTTGAATGTTTTCAACACTATCTTCAAAATTTTTTGCTTTATTCTGATATTCTTCCTAAGAAATATTCTTAATTTAAATACAAATTTTTCTCTTTGATATTGTTCATATTCTCTTTATCTTAAATAGTCTTCATAAGCCTCTCTTTCTCTTTCATTATAAAATTGGTTTTTTCTCTTTTCTTATTCATAATATTATTGTCTAGCCTAGTACTCTCTCTATTTCCTTAATAAAGCTTCTTATGCAAATTAATTCAATGCTTCTTCCCTTCTCCTCATTTCCTCATCGTAATTATTCCTATAACCTTTCTGCTGATATTGTTATTATTATTATTGCTAATAGTAGAAATTTTAAGAAGCTTATTTAAAGGCTTATTCATATGCCGTTCTTGTGTTCCATTTTTAACTTTATTATTATTTTCATATACCTATAATTTTAGTTAGTACGATATGATTATTATTATTGATTAGCGTAATTTCTTCGAGGGTCTTAATATTACTCAGAATGTTAATAACTTTATTAATTTGATCCTACATTTCTCATATTATCATAATCTCTCTTTGTATTTTCATCTGAAAGTATCTATAGAAGTATTCAAAATTATAACTTCATAAGCTTCATTGACTTCCTTAAACTTTTCTTCTCTTCCCTAATTAAGATCTGGATGAAATTTCTTTGCTAAAGCATAATATGCCTTCTTTATAGCACTTTAATCATTTGTTTAGGATAGATTGAGTATAGCATAGTAATCTTTTTGGTGATTAAATTTAGCAATTGCAAAGAAGCATTTATGACAATTCATAATAAGAATAATATAAAAATTGCAATTTATTTATGTATGCTGATTAAGCACTTAAGTATAATAAAAGAATTCCAGTTCAGACCGATTCAATATATTAATATAACTTGGCTATGTCTAAATATTATAAACTCATTTATTTTTAATTTGAGTCTCTTGCTATTTGAGTGCATCTTGTATATCCATAATATTTGTTTCAACAACAATGCCTGCCACAATAATTTCATCGATCAAAGCATTCATTTTGTCTGGATGATAAAGGACATCTAGTTCACATGCATTTTCAAAGATCTTGTCCATAAGATCCACAATATTTTAAATTAAGTCAAGAACACCTAATTCAGACTCATCTTCATCAATCACCGCAATGAAATACAGAGTTCCGAAAAATCTCATAACAATTTTACATTTTTTGTCGTATATTCCATCAAGATCCTTAAAGAAATTACAACTATTAGGACTTAATTTGCTTGTCAATTATACTAACTTTTATTCAATTTATTGCTATCTGGCGACTAATATTTAAGAATATTAATACACTCCACTTCATCATAAAAACGACGAATACGAATTTTTCCACTGCTATTTACAATCAAAAATACTTTAATCATTTTAATTAATAAATATTGTATGTGATATAAAATTAATTTCTTAATCTCAATGGAATTCTGTGATATATAAGCAATCAACCTCCATATTGGGTAGATTCATATGGTAATAAAGTACATTAGAATTGTAGGTTATTATATCATAAGCTTGATCTATAGAATTATTATTGATCTATAGATTTATAATAACTCTAATATCCAATTAACAATAAGATTGGATTGATTGTTAATTATAAGTTCTTCGTTAGTAATAAAAAATATTCTAATGTTTAAATAAAAGTTTAGTTTTTTTAAAATTGAACTGAAGGATTCCAAAAGAATCAATATATCATATTTGATTGGATGATTAAAGAAAACATAAAATTCAAAGGGTTTCTAAATAAATTATTCATTTGACACAATTATACAAAAGTTGAACTGATGTGAACAATAGATTTTGATATGAAATTGTAAATTATTCACAAATATTGGAAAAAAAATAAAATGAAAGTTGCAGTATTAAGTAATATTTGAGTAAAGAGGGATATGGAAAAAGAAATAGTAAATAACCTTATTAAAAAATACAATTTTTACATGAATAAATTTTTAATCAATTAGACTTTACAAATTTATCCTATGGTTTAGTTAAATTAGACTTCGTTCCATTTGAAAAATAATAGTAACTATATTAAATACCAATAGGAATATGAGTATAAAAATTAAAAATCATGTATCTTTTAGATTTTGTAGATTGGATATATTAAATTTTGGTAAGTCAATTAATAGTATAAATCACATATGAAATTAATTAATAACCTTTATTATTTATAAAAGTTACTGTGTGGTTTAATGAAAAATTTTTAATTTATTGTTTCATCTACAAAAATTTTATATATTTCAATAGCATAATTAAGCTAACACTGTTTTTAGATTTAATTAATTTATGAAAAATATTAAAAAATTGATCTTAACATTTCAGAATTAGAAATTAGAATAGCAATATTAAATGGAAAGGACAGGTTCAATCTAAAAACCGATTTTCATTTTTATTATTGGGATATTTTTTATTTCTAACCTAGTTGTTTTAGGATTCCATTTTTTAAATCACTCCATTGAAACCTGGTATTTGAATGTCACCTTTAGCATCTTATCTGTTTTACTATTCATAATAGTTATAATACTGAAAAAAATTCACTATCTCTAAGATGCTCTTACTATAGCAAATATTATTGTGGGATTTTTGGAATTGAATGTTGACCCAGCTACTACTAATAAATTAGAATATTACACTTATGGAAATACCTTTATGTAGCTACAAGCTGTTTTATATATAGTCTCTAATTTTAGTCATGCTGTCATTCAAGCTTTTTGTCATTTAATTATACGACTAGCACTAACATCAATTTTATCAAAAAGAATTGACTATCTCTTAGTTTTCATAAGCATTATAAGTACCTTTGTAATACTTGTGAGTATATATTTTAATGAAAAAAATTCAAGAAAGTGTTTTCTATTGAGCTTGAAAGAAAATTATTGGTTAAAAAATACTTCATTTATTATCGACTAGCCTTTTATTAGGCTTAACTACATAAAAGAATAGCTATTGTTTAATTTAATTGGATCTCATAAATTAGAATACTTTCCTGGATTTGATAATTATTATTGTGAAGGATGTAATGTTAGAAAGTTATTAAGAATTTATATCACAGATAAAGCTATCACTGTAGAAAGTCAACTACTTTAGCCAAAACTTCGACTCCCTTAAAAATTTTTAATATCTTATAAAAAGCAAAAATTTTTATTAAAAATATGTTGTGTGGACATTCAAACTGTTGAATACTTGGTAATTCTTGAAAAAATCAATGCTGGGATTTAAAAGGAGGAGGAAATATAATTACAATAAGCAAATTGTATTCAGTTTCTGAGTTCAAATAACAAACATGTTCATTAAATTTTTTTTAATTGGGGAGCATAATCTCTGTTATTTTTAAACAAAAGGATCATCAAAAAGATTAACTTATAAGACATGATGGTTAAACTCTTCAAAGTATTTCGAATGTATATTTTTCACAAAATTTCTATTGAGTTTGTTTCATAAAATTAGAATACTCAAATTTTTACCTTTTATTATCAAATGAAGATATTTATGATGTAGATTTTTGAAATACTTTCAACAATTTAAAGAAGAAATTCATTTTAATCTCAAATAATTCTCAAAAGAAGGGGATGTGATATCTTAATTCAAATAATTAATATTGACCTATATTCTTTTAAGCAACAGTTCGAATCAAATTTCTTTTTATAGAACCTCTCAAGTTTGTTGCTTAACCATCTTGATATATAGGATAGTATTTAATTGCTTTTTCGGAACTATCCCGTAAAATCATTTGCAATTAATTCTTGAATATGAATATGAGTTTTATACTAAATTTCTTATATTATAAATTGTACATATCTAATTAACATATATAATCAATTAAACATGTTACTCCAATAAATTTAAATAATAAAAACTTTTAAAATCTATATAAAGAATTTGCTTTCTTTTAATAGATTTGATATCAAATTTTAAATTCGTTGCTAAAATGGACATTAAGAGTTCAACCTCTATGATGTATAATCAAAAAGGTCGGAATAAGTTACTTAGAATGATATAAATTTAAAACGTGTTCATCATTTACATATTGATATGAATATATTATCGATAATTAAATTGAATCTATATATTGTGTAGATAGATTTAAAATAATTAAAACATATTTGTTGAGTAGAATTAGCTTAAGCCCTGTTGATGAGAGGATTCTATTTAAAATGTGATAAGTATTAATATTTAAGGTATTTGATTTCTGTTTATTTCTGGCCACGTCAGCAAAATATATATATTAGTACTTATTTAGTGATTTTTCTATAGGAATATTAAGTTTAACTAAAAATAAATAAATGAATTTTATTGATTAAGATGATTGTAATATCCCTTTCGATTATGAGGATGATATGATTTTCCCTCCATGTTGCGAAAATGTGGAAACTCCTGAACATAGCAAATCTACTGATTTAGAATAAAAGTTCAAAAACGATCGAAAGGAAAGAATTTTAAAGAAAAGAATAGAAAAAAAACACAAAACCAAATCTGAATCAAATAATAATCTCTCAAAAGAAGAACTCAGAAAATTAAGAAATAGAAATTCAGCTTAACAATCTAGAGATAGAAAAAAGCAATAATTTGATTCTCTGATCTTGGAGAATTAAAACTATTAGGTGTTACTAAAATAAAAAGAGGATCAAATATAATTATTGATTGAAGAGAACAATTAGTAAAGATTAAAAATATAATACTTGGAAGAATTGAAGTATATATTAATAAAATGTTAATTAGTCAGAATTATAAATGTATGAGTTGTACTTAAGAAGCAAGTCATGAGATGATAAGAGTTAATGTCATTACTAAACAAAAGATGATGAATTATGGCTTATTGTCTCTATTGGCAATCACTTGTATATTGTCAATTGTAAATAATGATTATGAATTCTCACCAAAACCCATATCATTACATTAGATTTCACACTAAAAATACGACTTCTTAGCTCCAAAACAACAATTTTCAAATTCAACATCATTGGCAATCTACAATGATTTAGCTATTCCAGAACATTAATTTAATAATTAAACACTTTTTTATAATTGCACAGGTAATGAAAAGGAGTGTTAGACATTTTTAAATATCATAAAGGCTGAAAATGCTAATAATTTATATTTTGTTAATGATGCCTCAGAACAAATACCTGCTAAATAAGACCATCAATTCGATGAAGGAGAAAATGTCTATTTAATCAAAATTAAATAAGATGATGAAGATAACTTTATGATCTTTAGGGCAAAGTGCTAAATTACAGAAAGTAACAAGTTATTGTTTGAGAGGGATAGTTACGATTCGTTTAACAATAATAGCTTGTCATACTGATTTTTACTCTCTTCATGTTATTTTAATTATATCATTTATTCTATTATGCTATTTATATTTAAAAATTAATAATTTTCTTAGAATTTTCAAAGTTATATCATTTTAGTAACCTGATAAGCGTTAAAGAAAGACGTATTCATTTAAATTATATTGATATTATTATTTAAATAAATAATTCATATCTAAGCTAATGAAACAAATAAATTTATCATTTAATATTATTAAATTCCTTTTCTATGGCTAAAAAATTTGGGTTTATCTTATATTCTTTCATTCATTTATTATTAGCTAATTTTACTGAAAATTAAATGTTGATTCAGCATAACCTCACGTTAACCTAAAGAGCTAAACTTAAAATAAATTATTTGAAATTGTTTTAGCAATATTCTTATACTTTCTATATATTAATTCAGTCTTTCTTAATTAACAATATGAATAACTTAAAATTAAATTAAATGCCACTTAAATCTATGAGTGTTTTCTCAATTTTATCATACGTTTTTATGGTTCTATTGGTTTGAACCTTAATTTGGATTGTTTGTTAAAGTGGATGAATTTGTCTATATCCAGAAAATGAAACCTCTTTTTACTTAATAGGTTCATTCTTACTAAATTGCCTAAATAAAATGAATGCATAATTATACTAAATACAATTTTAAACAGCAACTGTTATTCATCTTTTTTTCATCTTCCAAATAACTTTTGATACCTGTGTACTTTATAATTTACTTCTTAGACGAAATTCCCTTAATTTACTTCTGAAATCTTCTCTGTTCATGAACTCTTATTTTTAGTAATTTAACTATTTACAATAAATCTAATATAGTTCTTGTTAATTTCTTAAAATGACTTATTTCTTCAGCTTGTTAGAATTACATATTCAAATATTTTATGATTATTTGACTAAAATTGAATTTTCTTGTTGGATTGATACTTCTAGTTAATAAACTCACTTTACAATTTTCAAATAAATAAGACATTTAATATAGGACACATTGTTATCAAGAAATTTTCAATCTAAAAGTTAATTTTGAAAATATATAATTTATTGGAACTAAATATCTATATATAAAATATATATATTAATTAGATGGATTGAATTTTATTATTTTATCAGAATTGATCCTTAATTGGTTATGGTTATTATTATTATCCATCTTCTTAAACTTGAATTTCTTCATTTCCACCTTATTTTTACTATTAGGGTTCCACCTTTGGTTAATCTTAATTCATAATTTATCCTTCATTTTATTCCTCATTTATTGAGTTTTTAATTGCCTAGTTAATTTGAGATACATCATCAGCTAACACCCACTTGCCATTGATAAGAACTTATTCTATGCCATCCACATTACGATTGTTCCCACCATTATATTAAAAACACATCATTTGCATAAATTAATTTTATTATATAAATGGTTTGAGTAAGATATTCTGATGAAACAATAATAATCGAATTTCGGAATGTTAGACATTTTTCACAGAAATAGATATAAACAGATTTAATTATATGGCTGATTTAACAATAGGGCTTGCTAATAAAATCCTTTAAATTTATAATGAATGCAAAACGTAAGTGAATGGAGATTTTAATTTCAAAAATATATTTTTGTTATATCTTAACTAAATTATGTCTTATCCACTCAAAATTAAATAAATAATTTATTATAATTATGATTACTGTGAAATCAATTAAATAAAAGGGTGAATCTACGTTGATGTTTCTTAAAGAATATGAATTCTAATTAAAATCTTATTTATAACAAGTCAATTATTATATTCTCCTTAAAAATAATTATTCAATCCAAGTTCTTCCTATTTTTGTTCTTTTTTCATTTCAAAATAGGAAAATTATTATTATCTTTATATTTCTTCTTTCGCCCTCTTTTAAAGCGTTAAAATTACACAATCAGGATATACTTTCTTCTCCCTAAATTATTCAATTCGACTCTATTATTAGAAAATAAATTTGCCTTATCTAATGTAATTAATAATCCGGCTGCTTATTTGGGTTCCAGAACATCCCATATTTCATCAACTATAGTTTAACATTTCTCACTTTCTTTGATAATTGATTGCTGTATTTTATAGATCTCAATAATTAGATTATCGTAATGAGATCTTTACTCTTGTATTGTTTATTGCATATTTTATATTTTTAGAATTTAATCATCGTCTAATCCAAATGAATTTAAGCAATTTATTTAGCTATCACTCATATCAAAGGAATAGAACTCACTCGATTATCTTTCTCTTTTGAATATGTCAACATCTAAGATATTGAGAATTAGTTTACCCTCTGAAGCAACCCAAAATAGATATCTCATATGCATTGGCAATAATAAATCTATAAGCAACTCAAATACTTTATTAATTGCCATCAAACGACCTTGACCAGATATACCGTATTTAAATCTTAACGAATTAGTAATCACTTTAATATTAGCCTCATTTCCCTCTTAATATGCTTTCTCCAACATGTCGAATTATTGTTTTCTATCAATCAAAAACTGTTCCATTAGCTACATCAAACTAGGCTTGGATTCCACTTTCTTATTCTAATTCAATTGAGCTGTCAATTAAGCCACCTCACACTTTTATTAATTTAAAACCTTTTACTCTAAACTGTCAATGTATGCCTTTTTCCTCTATCTAGTGTTTTTGGCACTCTATCTAGCTTTTTCCTTTTTATTGTTTGTGTCAGGTAGATCCAATTTGAAGTCTATTTTGTCATGGTACTTCTTTCTTATTTTTTTTTCAGACATTATAATTTTATCAAAATATTGTTATAGATTATCAAATTTACCATTCATTGGCAATATACTCCAAAGATACTCTGAGAGTAGTTACTGTTCTTTTCTCAGTCTCAATAGTGGGATCAGTATTACAGAAGTCATCCACATAATGAATCGATGCAAATTTATTCTAAAATTCACTATATAAGATGATATAGATCATAACAGGCAATTCGTCATCCATTGTTGTCAATTCACAATTACTGTTTTCATAAATAAGTGCTAAACATATTGTATTTGATCTGTACATTTTATTAGACATATCATTTACTATATGGATCTGAGTTTATCCCTGGGATTGGTAGATTTATCCACTTTATTTAATTCAGCAATCCCATTCCAATATTACTGATTTAACCTATATTTATTTTTTATTTCCAGGAATTCCATGGTTTCATGTTCACTACACTTGGCAATTATTTGTTATCTCTATTTTCATTTATCAATACTTTTTGATGTTAAATTGATTCTCATTCTTCTCATTGAAATCAACATAAAAGTGAAATAGTTTATCATAAACCGATTCAAACACCACCTTCTCAATTGCCATCAAATAATATTGATAATCATATTTCAATGTTTTCGATTTAAATTGCTAAAATGTATCAAGAACCAATTACGAACTTTCTTGCATGTATTTCTACAATTATTATTTTTTTGGTTTTGCTATTGAATCAATGTCTTTTAAAATTGCATCCAACTTTTATTTAAAATCTTAATTGTCCTCCAAATAAATATAAACTCTATTCATTGAAATTGCTGTGATTGCAAAAGGGTTAAGATGGCTCATGTCATCCACCGGTTCAAAATCCTTATGAGTTTGATTGTACCTTTTAACCACAAAACAAACAGACAACAATACATCTTCATTCAATTTATAATTCTAATTATAATGCTTAGATTTACTCCAGACAAAGCATCAATTTTGAGTTTCTATTTTGAATATTTCACCAAAATAAGGCTGTTGTTGCTTTGACTTGCTATGTAAGTTGGAGTGCACACATTCTTAATGATCTTTTGACAAAATGAATCAAGCTTGGTCTACAGAAACATCATTTGATTTGCTTCTCGCATAATGCATGTGTAGTTACTCGAAAATTAAGAAATACTAATTACTACTATTTAAGTTCTAGTGCTATTTAATCGAACACAGCTGGAGATTGACAATTTAATGTGATTTAAGGTAGTAGATGACCATTCAATTGCATATTCGAGTGTTCTATAAGACTCTGAGATTCACCGGTTCTACGTTTTCGAATCTCCGATTGCATAATGCTTTTCTAAACCAAAGTTTCAATCCTCTCACTATGACTGTAATCGATCATGGCTTTAGGTGAATCCCCAAGATGAAATTGCGATGTCATCAATCCACTGTCTCCTTCAATGTGACCGTAATTGTGCATGAATTATTATTTAATATAGAAAATTTTGAAAATAATTTATATTATATTTATCAATATTACAATGATATATACTAAATTTAATCTCATATTCTAAATATATTTTAAAATTTCAATTGTCTGTCATAATCTATGTATATGGATGTAACCGTATATGCAGATTGATTTAAAATTGATTATGTTTAATTATATTGAAAATGGTATCAAATTTATTAAAGACATGGATATAAATAATAGGGGTAATTAATACAGTCTCTTGTATCTTAAATGATTTGATAAGCATTTCTACAGGAGAAGTATTTTGATTAAGTTTATAATAGATAAGTCAGCTTTAGTATCTTATTTATTTAGTAAATAATGAATATTATGGGGATGTTTGTAGAGTATCGAATTAAGTTGGTTTTATTTAGAGTCTAGATTTTAATTCATTTATTTGTTCATTTAAATGTGTATCTAATATCAACACTATTTTCATAAATTAATATAGTTATAAATTTTGACATAGAAATGCTGAATCTTCAAAAGAAGGCTATAAATCTCGTGATTAAATTGTTTGAGTTATCAGTTTATTAAAATTAGTTTGATGTAATATTCGAATGAAATATTTCTAAAATTTTCTTGAAATCAAGATTAATTTGAATTTACTTATGTTCTATAAGAACAAGCTTATTATGGTATTCCAATCAGATATAACGTATATTTATTATTGATTGTGAAAAATAAATATTAATTCATTAATTTACAGATAATTAAGTATGCATTAGAAGACATCTTCAAATTAAAAGGTTTTCAACAATCAATATCAGATCGTAAAAAAACTATCCTCAGGTTCATTTGGTGTAGTCTTCCTTGGGAATGACTTACTGACAAAATAGGAAGTAGCAATTAAAGTGGAGAAGGAGGAAAATGAGGAAGTTCGTTCACTTGAGAGAGAAGTGCAGATTCTAAAAAAATTGGATGGAGCAGAGGGGTTTCCTAAATATTTTTGGTCTGGTGAAGATTAAGGTTACAATATTTTGGTAATCTAATTGTTGGGGAAGGACTTGGCTTATCATTTTAAACAATTGAAGAAATTCTCTCTAAAAACAGTATTGACCTTAGGGATCTAGGCTATGTAGATTTTAGAAAGGTCTCATTAAAAAGGGGTTATTCATAGAGATTTAAAACCGGAAAACATGATCCTTGGGGTCGGTAGAGAAATCTCCAAATTATACTTAATTGATTTTGGCATAAGCAAAATATATAGGGATTCCAATGGGAAACACATGTAAGATTGAGGAATTAATTGATAGATCTTTTAAAGAGTAGAAATCCTTTTTAGGAACCACAAGATATGCATCCATAGCAGCTCATTTGGGACATGAATTAGGAAGAAAAGACGACCTGGAGTCTTTGATGTACATTTTGTTGTATTTCTTACGTGGGTATTAAATTATTTAGTAATCAAGATAGTTGCCATGGTAGAATATGGTTAATGTCACTGATGACGAGAGAACAAAGAAGGTTGGAGAGATGAAGTTATCTCTTGAACATGAGTTATTTAAGGATTAGACTGGAGAGTTACAAAGAGTATATGAGTAAAAATTCTAATTAGATTTCATAGTTACATAAGAAGGTTATAATTTAAATAAGAGCCTAATTATAAAATGATTTTGCAGGAGTTGAAAAGAGCTGCAGATTCCACAAATACTGTCATAGATGGTAATTTTGATTGGACTGAAATTAAGTCATCCACGCATTATCAGACAGATACAAATTAAAATCTAAGTCGTAATAACATTCCACTTAATTCCAATGAGATGAAGAAATCTATTGAAAAATAACTGTCAGGTCTTGTACAACATGGGTACTCCTTAATTATTATTATTCAGTTCAAATAATCTATTGGCTCCACCTCCTGTAGGTTCTACTCGCAATGCTTTCTAGAGAGATGATATTCGTAAGAATTCAAGTCTCACACAATAAAGCAGTATTAATTATTGCTAATCTCTCAATCCAAATTATTAGAAATCAGTTTGTGAAGAACCATTGAATGAAGAACAATAACGTTATTATGATTTTGATAGTGTTGAAATAAGTGAGAATTAAAAAACAGACAGTTCTCTTCATAAAAAATATGATAAAATGAAAATGGGAATTTTTGTGTAATTTATTAAATTATATCTTACCTAGGCATTTTCTCCCAAAAACAATAAAACTCAAATGAATTTTTATATANTACTGACAAAATAGGAAGTAGCAATTAAAGTGGAGAAGGAGGAAAATGAGGAAGTTCGTTCACTTGAGAGAGAAGTGCAGATTCTAAAAAAATTGGATGGAGCAGAGGGGTTTCCTAAATATTTTTGGTCTGGTGAAGATTAAGGTTACAATATTTTGGTAATCTAATTGTTGGGGAAGGACTTGGCTTATCATTTTAAACAATTGAAGAAATTCTCTCTAAAAACAGTATTGACCTTAGGGATCTAGGCTATGTAGATTTTAGAAAGGTCTCATTAAAAAGGGGTTATTCATAGAGATTTAAAACCGGAAAACATGATCCTTGGGGTCGGTAGAGAAATCTCCAAATTATACTTAATTGATTTTGGCATAAGCAAAATATATAGGGATTCCAATGGGAAACACATGTAAGATTGAGGAATTAATTGATAGATCTTTTAAAGAGTAGAAATCCTTTTTAGGAACCACAAGATATGCATCCATAGCAGCTCATTTGGGACATGAATTAGGAAGAAAAGACGACCTGGAGTCTTTGATGTACATTTTGTTGTATTTCTTACGTGGGTATTAAATTATTTAGTAATCAAGATAGTTGCCATGGTAGAATATGGTTAATGTCACTGATGACGAGAGAACAAAGAAGGTTGGAGAGATGAAGTTATCTCTTGAACATGAGTTATTTAAGGATTAGACTGGAGAGTTACAAAGAGTATATGAGTAAAAATTCTAATTAGATTTCATAGTTACATAAGAAGGTTATAATTTAAATAAGAGCCTAATTATAAAATGATTTTGCAGGAGTTGAAAAGAGCTGCAGATTCCACAAATACTGTCATAGATGGTAATTTTGATTGGACTGAAATTAAGTCATCCACGCATTATCAGACAGATACAAATTAAAATCTAAGTCGTAATAACATTCCACTTAATTCCAATGAGATGAAGAAATCTATTGAAAAATAACTGTCAGGTCTTGTACAACATGGGTACTCCTTAATTATTATTATTCAGTTCAAATAATCTATTGGCTCCACCTCCTGTAGGTTCTACTCGCAATGCTTTCTAGAGAGATGATATTCGTAAGAATTCAAGTCTCACACAATAAAGCAGTATTAATTATTGCTAATCTCTCAATCCAAATTATTAGAAATCAGTTTGTGAAGAACCATTGAATGAAGAACAATAACGTTATTATGATTTTGATAGTGTTGAAATAAGTGAGAATTAAAAAACAGACAGTTCTCTTCATAAAAAATATGATAAAATGAAAATGGGAATTTTTGTGTAATTTATTAAATTATATCTTACCTAGGCATTTTCTCCCAAAAACAATAAAACTCAAATGAATTTTTATATATAACTTAATTTATCATTATTTTTTATACTCTTTAGAAATGTCTTAAAAGATTAGGGGCTCTCTTTTCTTTAATAAACCAGGATTCCTCTAAACGAGTTCTGATTTTCATAGAATATAATAGAATTGCATGAATCGACGTAGTTATAAAAACTTCTCCCATTACATATGATATAATAAAGAAAAGTAATTGAGAATTTAGTTTCTTGTATAACATAGAGAAGTTGTTGATTATGCAATAAATAGTTTGCAAAGAGTATAAACAAAAATACTACTATTTCAGATGTTATAGCGAACGGGTTGCAATATATCAAACTATTTAAAATCAATATTGGCTGCATTCGAATAGATATCACCTGTTTACAGCAATCTAAAAAATGTGTTTTATTTATGAAAACCAAAAATCTGACAAAACAAGACTCATAACATCTTAAACAGACTATAAAGTATTTCACTGGTTATTTTTGATTTCCTTATTTTTTTTTTCTTCATTTAGCTGGTGTATTATAGCCAATACCTAATGAATTACACTGTGGCCTATAATAATGTCCAAATAATTAATGAGCCAAAAAGATAGATGATAGATCTTTCAACAGATTCAAAAGCATTAAAAAATGAATTAATTACAAGCCCTTTATTTATGGAACCTAAATATATCATCTTAAAAATTTAAAAGCAGAAACAGTCTGAAGAAGATGTCAAAATAATTAGGAAAATACCTTCAAACAAAGTTCAGGGAGTGTCACTGCTTCCCTTGACATCTCCAATAGAATAGATGTTAAAAAGGAGAAGATCCAAAGTTCCCAATATCTCATAACCAAAATGGAATATTGGAGGTACTAGCATTAAAGTGCCATTTCTGTAATAAATAATGCTGCTCTCTTTATCACTCTTTATAACAGCAATAGCCATTCCAATTCTGTTAAAGTAACATAGCAATCTTAACAGTGGCAATCCTCTTATTATACGCATTTCAATAATAAGCCGTAAATTCATGATAAGTCTAAATCTTTGTAAGAACTTTACGTGTATATAGGATTTAAGTAGCAGAATTTTGATACTTTTAATATCTAGTTTACTCTTAAATATTAAAATTAATTAATTTTGTATAGTAATTCTCAAATCGGCAATTATGCGGAGATTCAATTTGAAAAATTAATAATTATATAGAAATTAACCTAGCTGCTTGAGCCTGGTGAAATCTTAGAAATTATCAAAAGCTTAAGCATTTTCTTAGAAACATAGTAATTATGGAAACTAAATTCTGTTATTAATTTAAAAAGATCTCGATTTCAATTGTTTTATTATTCTTCTATCCAGTTCAAAAGAGTAATATCAAAAGACTACATACTAATTTGATTTTGATATAATTATTATTTATATATATGATTGCTCATCCGTTTCCTGATAGAGTCTTATCAACACCATTAAACCAGCTTCCTTATATTGTGAGTCAAATCAATAGTCAAATTCACAAAATATCACATGATATGACTAAATATTTAGAAGAGAATATTCAAGTTTGCATGGAGTAGCATAATAAAAAAATCTAACTTCGGAAATAAATCAATAGCACTAATGAATAATATAAATTATTAGAAAATATAGGGGCACAATTACAAATAGCTATTGCCAATTTAAAAGGAGAATAAATTCAACATGAAAATGAATCTTAAGATAATGAAGAGAAATTGTTGAATGCAATTAAAAACTAAAACTATGATGAAATGATTAAATTGTTCCAAACAATTAAGGATGAGGCATTATTAATTAAATGTGCTAAAATTGCAGCAAATTTATTGGCCACTCCAACAAAAACTTATAAGAATAAAATCAGATAATTTCTTGAAACTATTGCAAATCATCAGCTTATTCCCTAATAATAAAAGGATGAAATTATTGAGATTTGTGTCAAAGTCTGTATCCAAAAATGTTTTAAAATGTATTTTCAATAAAATATATGGAATACAAATAAAAATTAAACTACCTATTATTCAGATATCATATAACTTTATTAAAAAAGGTATAAATATAGATTATGATCTAGTTTTAATTGCACCTTCAAACTTTTATCTGTCTTTAATCTTCCAAACTATCATTAAGCACATATTGCCAATAACATTTTCCAAAAGTTTAATTAGAATGTTTTAAATCATTTAGTAACTCATGATAATAGAGAAAAATCAATATAAGTCATTTTAAACTTTAAAAATGTATAGTAAAATAATTTATTCTATCATTTGACTAACATCTATTTAAAAAATTAATTAATTCCCATTATGAAAAATGAATTGCAAATGAAAACTCTCTTGCTTTTAATGCGAAACCTTTGCGTAAAGCAAGACTAATAACTTTTAAATATTGTGAATAAAAAGGATACTCAATAGCTTTTGGAATGGTGTAAATAGAATAAATTAATTAATTATAATATAAATTTATTTTAGGCTTTATTTGAAACTGAAATGTAATTATAACTCGATTTGCTTTTGTGATTAAAAGCTTATTCGTTTTTATAATAACAAATAGTTATTTGATAAATTAAATATTCTCTTATTTATTTTAATTATTATTAACAAATTGTTTAAATATCGAAAGAGTATATGTTCAATTTCTGTAATTATTCTGTAAAAGTAGATATAAGAAAACCTTCATCTTATCTCTAGTTTACTGAATCATAAAAATCAAATTAATAAGATTTGCAATTAACTATTTATTAAAAACAAACCCCATTCCTACTTTCAATATTAGTATGCTATTTGAATATTTATATATTATTGTTATTTGTTAAATGGATTTACAATTTGAATTGACAAATTTGATAATCATTAATCATTCAGGATGGATAAATTCTTTACTTATTATTATTTTAGCAGCATCTCCAATTAATTAATTTAATCGAATGTTTTGGCATTTTCAAGCAATTTCTTAATGTGATCTTTGTCAATTGTGGCGTCCTTCAAATTGACTAAATTCATGTAATCTGTCAAATCATCGGGCTTGAAGGATTCAATTGCTTTTTAACGTTCCTAAAACATAATAATAGAGGATTAACTGCCAATGTCACTTTATTGAAATCTAAAACTTTGAGATTAGGTAAAATGGCTATAACTTTATAGCGATAATCAGGTTGTTGAGTTATGAGATTACCATGCAAAATCAAGCGCTTTAACTTTTTGCAATTTGTTAATGAATACATTTCATTAATGTCTGTAAGTCTATTGTTCATCAGAATTAAGTTTTCAATATTTGGCAACGAGTCAGAAATATCAGTCAATTTCGTGATCCTGTTATTGGATAAGTTTAGAGTTTTTAATCTGAAATGATGAATTGATTACTATACCTTTTCAACAAGGTGAGATTTCCTAGTTTTTTGATATCATTATCCCCCAAATCAATGTGGTCAAAGAAATCCTACAATAAAGATTCTTGATACCAAAGTAGCTCCCAAATTTTCAATGGCTGTTATTTTCTTGGCTATAAAATGGTAAGGAGTAGAAATACCTCTTAAATCTAGTTGGCGCTCATTCAATGGATTGATGAAATGATGGGACCCTTGAATCAACTCAGAATTAATTTTCATAAATTATATAAATTTATATTTAATCATTTCTGAATTTAAAGAATTAAAAGTAAAAGCTTATTAATATCCTCTAATCAGGAGTTAATAAATCCTTATTAACATTGATACTACCATGAAAATACGAGAGACAATTTAGATTTCTTGAAATTCAAGGTTGTTTTTATGAAATAATATTTAAAATAATATGTCAATATTGGTACTTCTTAAAACAAAATAATAGAGCTAATTTCCACATTTTGCGTACTATATAGTCTATTTAAGTTTTGAGATTATTATTAATTAAATAAAAATAATAAAATCATTTCATGTTTTTTAAGTAAGATGTTGAATATATTGTAGTTTTGGTCGATTCTTTGGATTTGGTTTCCAATCGAAATTAGACAACTTGCTTAAATAAGAAAACCTCATATTAGAAACAATCTTAAATGAAGATGACATATTGTCAGAATTGAAAATGTCTAGCTCCGGAAAGTTTGCTGACTTGTAAAATTATAATATGATTTTTAGTATTATCTCACATCCTAATGAATACAAAAAAATGATCCATTACATTATTGATGATTTCTAGCCAAAAGAAGAAGATATTTAATAATACATTAAGTAATTTGTTTATACGATCATAGATTTCAATTTATCATTAGCGAAGTGTTTAGTTCCGAGAATGAAAAACTTATTAATTATTTATTTGATAAACCCATTGATAACCCCCAAGAGGAGGTTTAAAATCCCCTAGATGACTAACAAACTGAATCACAACCCACACAAGAATAAGAAGATAAAGAGTCAATTAGGTAGCATTTGCTTGCTGATTTCTTGCAGGTTTTAGGAAATGATACTCTAGTTGTCACTACAGCAGGTTATGTTAACAAGATTATTGGAGCCATAATTCATAGAAGAGGACATGATGTAAAAGTCTATTACAATTATAATAGTTTTGGGAGTATTTAATAAAAAACCCATAAGTCATAACAAATCTGTTCAAGCATGCTGAATAAAAACACATAACTGAAATCATTGAGAAACTGATTATATTAGACAGCAACCAAGAAGAAAATGATGATAAAAATTATCTCAAGGAGAGATCCGATTTAATTATAAGATGTCAGAAACTTTTAGCTGTTGACTCCAATTCCAATATAAACATCTCAAATTTGTGCGATATCTTAATTGAACTGTACAAGAGAGCATTAATCTCACTTGATACTATGCCATCCTTGAGAGCAATTTTACAGAATGTTGCCTAACCCTAATATTTCATGAATCTTGCAATTTAGACTCAAAACACTTTAGTCTATAACTTATTAAACATTCAATTTGAATATTATATAAAGGTTGAATAGATAGAAGAAGGAAAGTATGCAGTAGATTTAAAAAATCTGTATTCTAGTTTAATTTCGCATTTGCCATAAGCTTTGACTTAACAAGATCTATTTAAAGTGGCTTTTTAATCTTCTAAAGGTGATCAAGTATTTCCACTTGGTGATGCTAAATTAGAATTGATTGCATTCATAATCTAACTCTGTTAAAGATAGGAAATAGCAGATTAATTTACTAAACCAACCATCTTCTTAAATATTTTAGACTTAATCATTAAATACCCTTCAAACAATTAATTATCAATATTATTTGATAAATTGGTAACGTCAATCATCAAAACTAAGAATTCTCAATTACAAAACCTATTATTCTAAGATTAAGCTGTTCTTCGATTCTTAATTACGCATAATGGATCTGAATCTAGAAAAAAAAAGCCTGCCTTTTAAGGAGTATTAACTAAAGTTACAAATTATCTGAACTCCAATATTAACGAATCCGATGAGTTAGCAAAATCTATCAACCAAATTAAAGATGAATGGAATACCTATATAGATGAGCTAAATGAAGTAAACTTAAAAGAATAATAATGGATGTGCGGAGTTAATCCAAGAATGAAGGAATAAGAAAATATATCAAATTTAAGTCCCTTTATGCCTCTCCCTTTAATTCCATATTAATAAGTAATAAGAAAAGTAGAAAGCAGTGATGATAATTCTATTACTTAAGAGAAATAAGATTTCAATGAGGTTGAGTAAGAAGATAATTCAATTAATGATAATTCAAATAATGATAATTCAAATAATGATAATTAAAACAATGATAATTAAAATAATGATAATTCAAATTAAGATAGGGAATAGGAAAATGTAGAAATATTTTCTCCAAACTTTGCTGATTAGTAAAATAATGGAGATTAAATAAACAATTAAGAATTACCATAAACTTAAGAATAACAAATTACAGAAGACATCACTTAAGAACATGATGAATAAAAAGAAATTAAATAAAATGAATTAAAACCAGAACCAGAACCAACAGAGTTGATTGACTAACAATAGCAGCCTGAATAACATCTGCAACAACAAGAATAAGAAAATTAACAAGAATTAAGTGAACCAGAACCTCAATAAGAAAACCAAATTTAGACTTAAGAACCTTAAGCAGAACCTGATGCACAATAACTAGTTCTAAAATCTAATTCTTAAATGTAAGATGAGAATTGAAATAATATTATTATTAATATTATATTCTTTGTTCTTTTTTTTAATGAAAACCTCAAATGGGTTTATTCTCTATAATTTTTATCTTTGCTAAACTAAAAGTTGAATTACTAGAAAATCTTCTTACTTAAACTTTATGTCTGAAGTATTCAAAATAACTAAAATTAATGGTAGATCTATCCTATATTATATTAAATTAATATAATATAATATTATATATATTCTATTTTAAATATAAAAATTAATAATTAATTCATCTTTATGCCTAATTATTTTATCTATTTTTAGTGAGATTATCACCAAAAATAATTGAACAAATGCTGCATCTATAATTAGGATGAAAGAACCTTTAACTACTAGACCATTTCATTAAATAATTAGATGATTGAAGGTATTTTATTCAAATAATATAATTTTAGTATAGAAGGTATATGTGTTGGAATTGTTTAAATACTTTTTACACTTAAGATTATTTATTTAGTATATAATTTATATAGTATATTTCAACAATTGAAGCTCTTAAAGCTAAGAAATGTCCAAACATACATTATAAATGAGGAGAACTACTTAAATTAGAATGTTAATAATTAGATTTATGAAAATTCTCTTCTTGTTTTGATGAAGCCTATTCGGTTGATTTTGATTTAAATATGAGAATTAAATTAATGAACTTAAATTAATATTCCTTAATTATATTAGAAAGTCTTGAATAATTATATGTAGGGTCTCTATGTTTATGAAATAGAAAAATAAGCTGATTAATTTTAACAAGAGCCTGCATAAATTCAAAATATTGTTCGATTATTATAATTGATATCATAAAATTCTCAAAGATGTTAAACTTTGGCTACTCTATAATAGAGTCTATATTCTGGAACTGTGAACCTTGTTGTAGCAAAAACTAAAGCACCAAGAATTCCTAAATATGTGGCTTAAGCAAACCAAGTGTTATGAATTTTCATTTATGTTATTTTTAATAATATCTAATTTAATTTATGTCTCTGTGATGAATTTTAAATAAATTCAATAAATCAATTTATATCCTTTTAGGAGATATCACAATGTCATCTTTACTTAAAATGTGCTTAGCTCTTTATAATTTTATAAAATTTATTTCAATAATTACTATATATATCAATCATTTCTAGAGAATATTATTTACCTTTTATTTATCACAATAAAACCATTTTTCATATTTTAGATTAATAATTGCATAACTTTTGATGAGGTTTTATTAAAACTAGAATAAATGATTACTTTATTTAAAAAAATAACAATTTGCTAAAGTCATTATAAGTTCATATATTTAAACCAAATTTGCATATTTATTTTCAATAAAATCTTTATTGGTGAGGTATTCATATTATCATAATCAATTCTATTTTTTTAATAGAAATAACATCTTCATTATTATTCAATATTTTGGTCTATTTCTAGAATTAACAAAACTATTAGCCATTTTTTTAATATTTTTAATAAATTTCTGTAGGTAGCAATCTCAAATACTTTTCTTCAGATCTGATTATTCTATCATCTATCTATTTAATAATATCCAAATCCTCTTGCTGTCATTTTACATATTCTAAACTAACTATGCTAATAATTTAATAAATTCTGAAACATTAAACTATCATAATGATCTTTTCGAAATAATTATTCTTGAGTAAATGAGTATTATTTTATTAATGCCGAAATATTTCAATAATAATTAAATATAATAATAACACGGTTTAATAATTAATCAAAGTTTTCTTCTTAATAGGTGCTGTCTAGCTAATTTATTTCTTCTATTTTATCTGGGTAATTTTCTCATACCAGCACTAGGTTGAATGTCTTGAGCATTTTTCAAAGTCTCTTTAATTGTTCTTGTCAATCTTGGTACACTTTTCTTTGTTATTTTTTTATGAATCATTGTGCCTTTTGGTTAGTTTTAACTCTTTTTATTAATGTATTTTCTTGTTACTAATGGTTTCATAAAATCAGGATTAATTATAATAATTTAAATGGAAATTGTAGTTATAAATTCAGATAATTTCAAATTCTGGTGTGTTTACATTAATTTATAAAGCATTAATGTATTAGATTAATCAGAATATAACAAATTTATATGATAAAATCAATTTATATTTTAATTAAAATGTAAATTTTATATAATAGTATTTCTGGTGAATTTCTTACAAAGAATAATTATACTTCAAAATAAGAGTTTCATGATTTAATTTGATTGCATTTAATATAAGATTCAAATAAAATAATGTTAATTTGAAATATCATGATGACCTCATTTTTTTTAGCTTATTATTGGTTAAGTTATTGTGTGAGTAATATAACTGTTGTTTATCGTTTTTTTCATTTAATTCAGTCATCTAAGGTATTATATCATCTTCATCTAGTATGTACTATTATTATATAATTAAGGCATCCTTCATTTCATTATTTTGTTGTTCCACCAAAGGAGATCTTTTTTCTTCTTAATAAATTTAAACTGGATTCTATTATAATATTTGATATTTCTTTTCAAACAACTTTTAATCAACTAAATTCTAATCCATATATTGTATGATTTCGTCCTCATAATTATTAATCAACTATTCAACATTTCTCTTCACTTTGTGTTCCAATGAATCATATTTAAGCTAAATTTTAGAGATTTTTTTAGTACTGTAATATAGTTTTTAATTTTTTGGATCTCATCATAAATTTTATTTACTAGGGATTTCTAGAAATCTTCTTTTACACCAAATCTTGATAGTAGTATAAAATAACATTCTAAAATCAATTCCAAAATAACATACTTGCTGATTTATCATATCTAGCTTAATAAACTCCGAAATCCCCTTTATATTTGAAAGTCAAAGGTGGTTCCTAAGGTTTTGCTTTAGGATCATCTGGATCTAAGAGTTTCTTCATTATTTCTTTTTCTAATTTGTTTCTTTCATTGGACCATGTCTTATCAATAGGAAACCCTCTTCTAATGAACATGAAAAAGAATTGTCTATTATAATCATACATCATAAAGCATCTGAAAACCTTGGTCAAGGTTTCAATGCTGAAATCTTTATCTGTATTGAATCCATGTCTGAGGTTCTTGAATAAAACATTATTTTACTGCTTGACTTTGAAATATATTTTGGTTTGAATTAAACACATTACCTGAATTTGAAATAAGAAGTCCCTCTTATTCGTAATCAATGACAGAATCATGATTGGCCTTGGTGTCCCTCCTTAATTGATTCTCACAGTCTTCAATCAAATTTTCAATTGCCTTCTGTTTTTAATTTTAAAGCTCTTCAGATGACAACTAATTTAGTTTTTAACCTGATGTACTTAATTATATTTGGGGACTTCTTGAATATACTTAGAGATCTAATCCAAAGTTTTTGTTTAGCACTTTTCTTGTAATTCAGGATTAGAAAGTAAAATAAAATAATATCCTTCAGCATAAAATAGTAATATTACTTTAAGTAGCATCACGTTGACATTGATAGCATCCTAATGTTGATTTAAATTAAAATGATTGAAGGAGTTAAGATTTGATTTCAATAAGCTTGGACTGCAATTCTAGTTTTATAGTGCTTATTTAGGTAGCAAGGAAAGCCTTATCACCTGAAATTAAATAGAACTATTCTTTTGAGCAGTCATATAATGCAAAGCACTTAATAAGAGACATTTTTAGTAATTATTAGATTTTATTATTAAATTAAACTGTGTTATATTGTATGTTATAATATCTACAAAGATAATTGTCTATTGTTATAAATAATATAATTGAAGGAGTATTGTTGATAATTAAATATAATTTTTAAAATAATTAAGAGTAAAATAACAAAACTTATAGTAAAAATGGATAATTACTTTCAAATTATATTTTTAATATATAGATAATAGATTAAAGGAGAATTATTTAAATATGAATTAAATTATCAAACTTAATTAAGATATCTCAATCTCTCTTTGAAATTACTGTTGATTGAAAATGCTTTAATAGAATTATAATTATTATTTGGTTAATTAAACACATTCAACTTCTTAAAATCTAAATATTAGGAAGGTTTAACAAATGCTGATTAGATAAATTCATCCCATTTATAAATGGGAATTCTTTTATTAAGAACTTCTTTATATAATATACAAAGTGGAACCTTTTAAGCAGGATCACTATTTAACAAAAATGCTTTAAAATTCAAACATTTTTAATAAAATAGCCTTTAATTTCTATTACATGTATTTTAAATATCCTTACTTTCCTGAATTTCTCCTTCACATTTTGAACTAGACAATTAAGTAAAAATTTCACTTTTTTTCTCTAGCAAAGGCTTACTGTATTTTTCCAAATAGAATTTTTTGATTTAAGTCTTTCTAAGTTTCACATTTTATCCCAAATAACTAACACAAGTCGAAAATAAATAACCATGATCCTATTAAACTGGCTCCTACAGATCTTATTGAGTTTGGACCCTAAGTGATTACTTATCAATATCTTAATTTTTTTAGTATTATTAATAATTTTCAAATTAATACTTTTCTTATCTTAGAGATTTCATATTCTATTACTTCACTAGTGCCAAAGATTTCAATCTTTCCAAAAATAATTAAATAAACAACTCGCCTTCATAGGACTCAGTTAGCATTTTTATTTCTTCTGAAATATCTAATAATTTTTTGTATTATTATTCCTCAAAGCTCTACAATTTAAGTAATTAAGCACAAAGTTCTTCTATACGCATTAGATATTTTTTATCATTTAGATTTGTTTCTGTTTTAGCCTAAATTAATATTTATAATCTTAGTTTTTTGAGCTTAAAATCAGTCTCTTCGCTTGCTGTTAAATCTTTAATTTAAGAACTTTAAGTAGATAATGAGAATTGGCATAATAAAGTATGTTTATTGACTTCAGCAACTGGAATGAAACATTCACAGTTTATACATGGGATAGAATAGTTGATGTCAATAGATTTCTTTTTTCTATATTCACTTTTAGAACCCTTATGAGACAATGAATATAAATGATTCTGTTTGTTTTACATTATATTATTTAATGATTTATCATGACTTTTAATCATTTTTATAATTTTATTTAGGGGATATTATTTTGAAATATGAAAAATAAATAATAAAATATTAATTTTTAATAATGACATCCATAACAATATTAATGTAAAAGTTTAATCAACTATTGAATATGTCGTGCTACCATGTTCCAATAATTTATTCTTTATTCTAATATTCATATTAGCCCTTTCCGTGTGCTTAATCACACGAGAAATTGCCCATATATTTTGATCCATCAGAAAAGTAAAGAACTCCGATTCCATTTTTTTACCCCTGTTTCATTTATCCCTTATACTGGATCCAATCTTTTCTTGCCATATTTATATGACTCTTTTCCTTTTCCTCCTTAGGTTGATTATATAGTATAACATCTCCTTCAGGAATGTCAAATACCCACATCCCTTCAGTAACCTTTTGATTGTCAGAATTATAGTAAGTACCTACTCCATGTCTTCTTCTGTTACATATTTAACCAATGTAATAAAATCCATTTGAATAATGTAACTTTCCTTATGATACAGTTAGGGTAGTATCGAATTTGTTTTAAGTTTAATTTTATTATTCTTTAATAGAAGCTTGGCTTACATCATTTTATTTAACTTTTTAAGTTTCATTTCTTTGATACTATGTTTTCTATTAAGATGATTTTATCAAATTTTAAGACCCTATTGGGGTGACTTATTTTGGTTATTTGGATTGATAGATATTATTGTCACTAATAATTTCATTTTTGTTTTCCGAATGCTTATCAAATGAAACAATAAAAAAGTCTTGTGCTTAATATTATTCTTACAATCGATGCATTTAGAGATCTAAAAATAATTTACTGACCATATCATCTAATTCTACGAAGTCTGGTCTTTTGTCTTCCCCTATTGTTAGCATCTGATCTATTAGGCGCAATAATTTTTCATCTAAATTTGTTACAATTAGATCATCTTGAACCCTTCTCAAAGCAAAATCATCAACTTACCACCTTTTCCAGTCATAAACTTCTGGATGTTTAGCTTATATCAAGTATATCAAAATAAGACCGAAATTGAACACGTCTGATTTATATCTATTGTGTTTTAGATACTAAAAATATAAATAGTTGTAACCTTGTCTTTTTTTGGAATAGCTTCAATCTGAGCTGGAGAAAATAACGCTGTTTTTTTTAATTCGTTCAAAGCTAATATACTAAATGCACATTCTTTATACCTTATTTATCATCAAATATCTAAATGAAATCTTAAAACAAATTTGTGCGAATCGGTTTTTAGTACCTATCGACCAACTTATAAATTTCAGTGTTAAATGGAGTTTTAACAGTTACAATGTCATCAATGTCGAATCCAGAAGGATAAATTTTATTTTATTGCTGAAATGCTAGGCCAGAGACTACACAATCTATTAAGAACAAAATCTCATTCTGTGAAAATGGTTATTTCATGATGACCTTTTTATGTCTTGTTAGAGGCTGGAGTGGTTTGTCCATTAATAGTATTATGTCTGTGTAGGGTATAAATATTTTCATAGATTCAATAATTGAAACATTATGAATAGAGAGTAGATTTGGGTGATTATGCAATTCGTATTTTGTTCTCCATTTCTTAACTAGATTCTTCATTTTATCTGATGAATCTCCCATTTTTGAATAGATTAAGTCAAAATGAGGTATTTTATTATGCTAAATGCTATAAGAAGTATGAGTAAATAATTACATTTCTACCTACTTCATTGTTTAGAAAATATTATACTCATCTATATATGGCATAGGAACTTAAAATTTGGTCATGATATCTCTCATTCTCATATCTTATTGTGCGTCTAAAGAAGTCCCTTAGCATGAACCCATATTGTAATAATGATTAATAAAATAAACGAATATAATCTGAATCCAAACGATTATATACTCGGAAATGATGATTTTAATTGAATGTGATTTAAATTCTTATTTGCTTTTCTTCCTTTAGTAAAAATACATATAACGATCTTAAGCATAATATTAATTTAAAATTTGAGCTAGAGGATTGATTTCCACTGATATATTAAATGGCAGATACTTTTATTGGGTTTGTTTTAGAGATCAGATTTGAGGAATAGTCAATTAAAAAATATGCAAGCAACATAGATTTGATAATGTTTTAACTTCAAACCCGCATCTTAGAATAATGAAATTCTGAAATTTAATTAAGAATAAATATATAGTTGTGAACCCTATATAATATTTTATGCCTAAAAGATGAAGGATATTTGTCTAAATGCTCAGTTGCACATAAAACTTTTCTTAATTAATTATTATAATTAACTGTATAATATCATTCTTTGTAAAATTCCTTTTATTTTCAATTAACCGTGATTCGTTAACTGTATATATATAAATAATGAAGTATAATCAGACGACTCAAAAAGGTCAATTCTTATATATTTATACGGTTAGGTCTAAAAGTTATAATAATTTTCAACTTCATCTTCGATTTCAGCATCCTATCATAATTTATAATTTCTAATCACTAAAGAACTAATGCTTTATTAATTCTATTTCATACTATTTGTGTAGCTTTTTAAATGGCAACAAGTAAGGGGTTCTTTTTTAAGATTAATTATGGGCTAGGAGGGCAAGATCAATATCCAAAGAAAACCTTGAATATGATTGCATTTACAAAATAATTGTTCTTGAGTTCATAATTCTAGTAATATTCATTCAAACTAAATATATAAAAGGTTTTATTGGAACAATGACCTAATGTATGAAAATATTTAAGAAAATATGATTTTTAGAGGATTTCTAAAAGTAAATCTAGGAGTATCCTCTTAGATTAAATATTCTATTCTTAATTCGTCTCATGCATTGCTTTAATCTGAACCTTTATCATAAAATTTATCATTTTTCCACCATTTTTAAGATTGTTTTGTATGATCCTAATCTAATTATAAAATAATCAATAAACATTCAAAAGTTTAACAATGTGTTCTTTTTAGTTCCAATTCTATTTGGAATTTACTTAACATTTAACATAATATATAAATTATCATTATTTTAGTAAAGTAAATAAAGTTGAATTTTATTATTAATTAGAATTTATTATGAAATATATATGTTAAATTGAAATGTTTATAATTTTAAATTCAATTTTATTTAATCATATTCTATTTGTTAAGCAAGGAATGTTATTCTAAGCTTAAGTACCGATTTTGGTCTTTTAAAGCAATTAGTCTACTCTAGCCAATAAATCATAATTTGGAACATAAGATCCCATTTGAGAAGTTTATTTTTAATCACTTTGAGTATACATAATTTATCCTAATGATGATTATTGAACATAAGTGAAAGGAGTTGTTTGAGAATTTTTTTATAGAGGTAATTAAGTATATGAATTAGGGGAAGTTTTGGGATAATTGTTTGGTGTTTAGACGATGTTTTAAGGTTTGAGTTATTAATAGCATAATGGAGATTATTAAGTTAAGGGTTTCTCAACTTTAATTTAACCTTACTATTAGTTTGTTGGAGTAATCCTTTGATTAGGGATTTACTCCTAAGTAGAAAATAAATCCCTCCTAGAGCCTTCGAAAGAATATTTAAAGTCTGTATTAATATCACCCTTGGTTTCCAATTTTAGGTCGTTTTTAGAGCCAATTTTGTTATCAGATTTGATCACGTTTTTATCCACTGATTTTATTTCTATTTTATATTCTTTTGGCTTTTCTTCTTGAACATCAGTATCTGTTTTTTGCTTGTTTTATTTGCTATAAATTGAGACTCTTCGAATTTAATCTTATCTTTGTTCTGCCTTGTTTTACATCTATATTTGCTTCTCATTCATCATTATTTGTAGCTCTTAACTTGTAACATAAACAGATTCAACATTCTCTTTCACTGAATTATAAATAGATGCAAATTGCTGAGTATTATTCTTGAATTCAGTCTATGCCAATTTTAGTTTACTTAGAACTGAGTTCGTAAACTTCTCATCAGACGTACTGTTCAATCTGACAGGCTTGGTTTGACTTCCTTCGAAATTTTTTTAAGTTTCCATGTATATAGAAAATGGTGTTACTTTATCATCGGCTATTTTATTCTTCAATACTTTGCAAAATTAGAGAATTTGCTTCTGCTCTATGTAAGGTAAGAGCTTATCAATTAATAGATTGAGTGCCTCACGTATATATTTAAGATCGGATTGAAAACTCTGCATTAAATAAATAATATTATCTTAAATCATAGAAGTAAATTGGTAAAGTAATAGATTAATGGCGGGTTATGTAGTATAAATATACTTTTTGAAAAACAACAAGGAATAAAGCAGAAATAACTAATAGAACATTTTCGTTTTATTATTGATTATATCATTATATAGCATATAGCTCATATAAATAATCAATTGTAGAATACGGTTGATAAAAAAAAGGAAATTTTCAAATTTAAGGCATCAATAATGGTTGTCTAAATGTTATTGAGTTCGATTTTATCCAAATAAATTATTTGTATTAGTTTATCAGTATTTTTAATTATTTATTGAAAAAAATAAATAATAATCTAAATTATTATCCTAATTATTTGACTAGAAATTGTGAACCATTATTATGCATTTCAATATTTTTTTCTTAAATTGCTTTAAAGTTGAAAATTGAAATTTCGACGAAATTATTTATCACTAAAAAAGCAAATAGAGAATGGAAGATTTAAAATCTTCTTAGTATAACAAAAATAGAGTGTTATTTATACAATAATTTAAATTATAGTATTAAGAAAATCTTACTCACATATATTTCACTCACATATCATTATATTTATATTATTAAGATATATGAATAATTTTTCTTATTTATATGTAATAGGAGGCACACTAGTTGGAGTTACGTGTCTCTATCTTCTGAAACAATACATCAATGGAGGAGTCTGCAAAGTCAGGAAAGATATGACTGGGAAGGTAATTTTGATAACAGGTATGACATTCATTCCTATGTTAGGTGGCAATGCTGGAATTGGAGCAGAAGCTGCCATAAAGTTAGGAGAGATGGGTGCTGATATAATAATAGGTTGCCGAGATCTTTTTAAGGCTTAGCAAATCCTAGATCAAATAAGGTCCGAATAAAGAGGGAATTAGAGACTTGTTATGTTGAAGCTTGATCTCACTGATCTTAGAGACATCGATTCTTTTGTTTAATAATTCAAAGCACTAAATATCTAGCATATCGATGTTTTAATAAACAACGCAGGAATTATGGCTCCAAAGGAATACAAGATTAGTAAACAAGGATTCGAAATTCAATTTGGAACTAATCATATTGGTCACTTTTACTTAAGTCAAAAATTAGTATTTGCTCATATTAATTTAGCTACCTTTTTTAAAAAATTCCTAAAATCCGAGACTAGTGAATGTTTCATCGATGGCTCATAGATCTAGCGATGGTTTTGATCTAAATGATTTAGATTGTAACCGATTTGCAAATTCACCTTTATGGTCCACAAGATACACAATGAAGGCATACAGCTATTCAAAATTATGTAATATCTTACACGCCATGGAATTTACTAAAAAATATGGAATTCCTGCATAGTATCAATCCGAAATAACATAGTTCACTTCACCCTGGAGTGGTCAGAACAGAATTATTCAATGAACTCTATGGAGGTTGGAGAAGAATTGTTTATTTTTTGATTTACCCATTTTGGTGGTACCTAACCAAATCCCCAGAATAAGGAGCCTAGACCACTTTGTACCTATCATTGGAAGACAAAGAAAATTTGTAAGCTGGAGGCTATTATAAAGATTGCTCTTTATCAACTCCTTTGTTTGCTAATGAACAATTAGCAGCACAGTTATGGGATAAGACTATACAAGTATTAAAGGAGAAGCAATTTGATCTATCATAATAGTGATATCAGAATAACATCAATATATATATATCTTCAATTGATAAAATGACGATCTTCAGCCTTTTTATAACTAACATAAGGAGTACTCAAAGGTATTACTTGCATTTCCAACCATATTATTGATATTTATTCAAGAGAAAGTCTTATTTTTTACTAGTTATAAGTAAAATAGATTTTATGTTGATTAAGGTATTAAGTATTATATTATTATTAAAAATGGGAACTTGCTCAAATCGACCAGAACATAAGTAAATATCAGAAAATTTACGATTAAAAGCTATAATGATCTTCTAAAAAATCGATATCTAAAACAAGGGGTATATAGACAAGGAGAGAACTTTGCAATTTTGGTAATCGAACTTCGCCAAATTAAATACGGAAGCCTTATTTTCGTAAGTGGATTACAAAAAAAGCGGAAACATAACGGTTTAGGAATGGTTAGCTTTTTGGGATATAGTGAAACAACAAGGTTATACGGAATAGGAAATCTCAGATGAAGTATCATTGCTCAATATATGAATGCAGTTAGATCAATTGTAAGAGGGCAAAGCTTGGGTGTAATTCTATAAAGTAGATGCCTACATCAGAGCGGATAGAGAGAGACACAAAACCTAAATCGATTCTATTGTTTAAATGGAGAAAAAAACATTGTAGAAATCAAAGTCTTTTAATTATAATTGAAATAAATAAATTTAAGATTTAAGATGTCTTTAAAACTAAATTATATCTCTGGCAATCCTAGAGCAAATAAAATCCTTGTTGCTGCTCAACTCGCCAACGTTGATGTTACCTCCTAACTCTTAGAGTGGAAAGATTTGGAAGTATTCAATTCCTCTATCCGTCTTAGACACCAGAATTCTTAGCTAAGAATCCATTGGGCAAAGTCCCTGTTCTCGAGACCCCCGAAGGAGTTTTGACTGAAAGCAACGCCATCCTTTAATATGTCGTCAGAGGAACACCATTGGTTGGAGCAAATGAATTCCAATAAGCCAAAGTCAAATAATGGTTGGACTTCGCAGCTGGAGAAATCGAGCCATCCTTGATTCAACTCTTGTTGCCAGTCTTCGGACATTTCCCAATCAATCCCACTCAAGCAACTCAAGCTCATGCTGATTTGGATTGGAAATTCAAAGTATTGGAAGCCCATTTAGCCAATAATTAATACTTGGTTGGTGATTAATTGACAATAGCTGATATTAATTTAGCTTCATACTTCTAAGGAATATTTACATTCCTTTATGGAGAAGACGACAGAGTTAAGTTAGTCAATATTCTTAGATGGTATAAATAAGTAACAGAGCTTCCAGCTTTCTTAAATGTATTTAATTCAATAAATTTTAGTTATTCGGAAGAACAAGATATACAAAGAAACCTTTCCCTGCATTGTAATTTGCTGGACATGCTCACGGTCATGAACATCATGAAAAGAAGGAAAAGAAAGAGAAATAGCCTTAATAATAATAATAAAAACAAGAGAAACCAAAGAAGGAAGAAAAACCATAAAAGGCTGATGATGAAGAGGAAGAAAAACCAAAGAAATAAGTCTGTGAATTTGATACTTTACCACCCTCAACCTTCAATATTGACGATTGGAAGAGATAATTCTTAGCTTCAAAGGACTAAGCAGCTGAATTCTAACACTTCTGGAATGTCTTTGATTCATAAGGATGGTCTATCTGGATTGTCAAATATATTAAGGCAGAAGGTGAAGGAAAAGTACTTATCTCCTTCAGAAACAATTGCAATGGATTCTTACAAAGAGCTGATCCACACTTCAAGAAATGGGCATTTGCTATCCATGGTGTCTATGGAGATGTTCCAAATCTTGATATCAGTGGTGCTTGGATCTGGAGAGGAACTGAAGTCCCATAATATTTGGTATTAGTGTATTCTAAATTTCTAGAAAGATCATCCAACATTTGAGTACCTTCAACTTACAAAGCTTGATGCCTCAAAACCTGAAGATAGAGCCTTGTTTGAAGAATACTGGACCTAATAGACAGAAGACGAATCAAAAGTCTAAGGCTAAACAGCAAGAGCTTTATATTATTTTAGATGATATGTAATCTAATAATATCGTACACAATAAATAGAAACATAGATCATCTTCATTGTTTTATAACCATTTCCAAATGCATATAATCGATCTCTTCCTCCCCCATTTCTCTTAGATTTTGCAATAATAATTTTAATTCTCTGTTCAATCCATTATCTCCTGTCTTTTTTAAATAATGCACGATTGCTTGACTTACAAGTTGGACTTACTAAGGGTTCTTGTTGGCACCCCAACTTTTAAGCAACGTCTAATAGATAAGTTCCTTCAGTTCGTCACTGCTTATTTCCTTTTTTAAGAGGAATTACAAAATCTAGATAATCTAAAAGATAATAGCACGATTGATGTTTGAAATACTCAGGAATAGAGTCGTAACTATCTATATTACGATTTAATTGAAGTAATCCTATCCCTTTTCAATGAATTGAGACAAAGTTCTAAGATAATTATATCAATTCTTACTTGAAAAAATGTAAAATTTCCCTTTGCATTTCATATGAATTCAAAGTTAAAAAGGCTTCACAAATTACTTCTATTATTAAAAACAGATAAGGGGATTGAAATAACGCTTATTGACAACATCTTGTGCATTCTTTGACAAACTCTACATAAACTTTCATCAAATCTGGATCTCTCCAATGCTTAAATTACTCAATACAAAATTAATGAATTTATTAACTACTTGAAAATGCCCATTAAGAAATAAATTAATATTCAGAACATCTACCAATTGCAATTGTGATTAACTACAACCATTAATATTTTTGGACTGGATTCTGATAGAATATTTGAAATGAAATTTGTAGCAATGATATAATAGATTATGAATGAGTTTAATAGTTTGATACTTTCAATATCATCCTAACTAATTAATATAGCTCGTCATTGTTTGACAAACCTTATTATTCTTTAAATAAATTGACTAATGGTTCACTTATAGAAGAGCATAACAAATCTGATATCTATTTTACTTAAGGACTTATTTCTTCAATATTAGAATTAATCCAAGTTAATATTGCAATAATTAATGTAGTAATGTAATTGAATTGCTATTTAGTCAGCAAGTTAATATTTTTAAATAGTTGAAATTAGTTATTCGCAAATTGGAACAACTATAATTAATTTAATCGATTAAATACCTGGATTATGCAATCTATGTTCCCTTGTGAATAAATTCGATAACATAATTTCAATATGCCTTCAACAAAACAACTTAATTAAGATTAATTAATAAAATCATTAAAATGTTGGTCTAGAAAGAGTACACAATCAGATATCAGCTGTTAATTCTTAAGGTCCCCATTATTACAAATATATTCGAAAGCACTTATATTAAATTGAATATTTACACTCCAGCTAAAGATCCCAATAATGGATGAAGCATATACTAGAAGAAGTACTTTGTAATAGAAAGCAATAGCTCATTATTTAGGCTTAATTAATTAGTTAATCCATTAAACATTTAGAGCGTTGTCTTTACAATAATATCAAAACTTTAGCTGTTTGACAATTAAAGCACAAATTAAATAATTTATAAGACTAATGGGTTGTCAATTTAAAAGTCTGCTTCATCTATAATTGAACAAAGACAAAACAATGCTGCTTCACTTTAAATAATTTAGTCTGAGGACTCAGGATTAGTGATAACCAAATTTGATAGTATGATTTAAAAAAATGAATTCGTTTAATTGATTTATTCGGTGCTTTTATATATGCTAATGAATATTTCTTTACAATGCTCTCGAAAGTCAGAAGTAGAGATATTACAATCCTAACCTTCACAGTCTGCTTTATTAAAATAGTCATTTTCATCTTCAGACTCTCCTGATAGAAATTATTTCGTTAATTTAATAGATTTTACTTTGCATCTATCTATTAAACATTGTAATATCTTTAACCCAACTCCTTGATGCAAATTACACTGTCTCATTTGACTCCAAAACTCAAATGTTTGGAATACTATTTTCCTCTAAGGATTATTCACAATATTGACCATCATTGTTAATACTGTTTCTTCATACTTTGAATTTTAAATGATTGAATAAAAATCACAAATAAACTTAGTTGCAAAGGATGCAAACTTAACTGAAATTTAAGGAGAATAAATCTTTATTATAAACTCAAGCATTGCAATTAAATTTTATTGCACAATGGGCTCCGTAATGGCACTTTTAATATATTGTGAGTATGCAACAGCTTCGTATAGTAAAGAGAATAATTTATCAGAATATTCAAGTGCATTATTTTACAAAGCATGTTATATTAATACTATTATTTGTTGAATCAGTTTTGAATCTTTGAATAAGTTATATGAAAATTAGACCCATGATTCAATGCATGAAATAGTTTATTTAAAAATATTCAAATCCTAGACACATAACAAACTTAGAAATATTTCTGAAAGTATACTTTCTTGTGTCTAGAATTCTAGTTGCAATTTCTATTATTCTTTTTTTGAATGGCATTCTTTGCTTTAAATTGCAATTTAATTCAGAATTTCAATACCTATTGGCATTTTTACCTTCATTAATTGTATTAATTCCTATAGTATTCTAAAAAGCATATATAATACTCTGATACCCTTTCCAAAGCTGAGAGTTACCTACAATAATGACAGCAAATGAGGAGCAAACTTAATTCAAGGCAATGTTTGATAGTGGTCTTCCTAATAAAGTTAAAAGATAAGGTTGTATGGTAATATCACATTCTTCCTTCAATCTTCTATAAATCAATTAGCATGCTATGAATTAGTATTCTTATTAAATATTTTATTAATCTAATATTTATTATGCGATAGTGAAAGCTTCCTTAGTTTGTTGCAATTTAAGGATATATTTGTTCGCTTCCTGACTTATACTCTTATCTGGACTTGAAAGATTCTTATATTGTTTAATAAATTCTTCTATGCTAAACATTTAAGTTAATAATTATTTTAAATTTAATTAATTTAATGTCGACATTGTAGCATTCTATTTTAATTTTCTCTCTTTTCCACCCTGTCATCTTTGAAAATCTCTTTTCTTCAAATCTAATTTTAATCCTCATTTATCATTAAATTCTAGATTTAACTTATTTATAAAATTGCAAATATCTAAAGAGATCTCTCTTCCAACATTTGAGGTAATGTTAATTTAAATAAGATATTATGAGAAATAAACCAAGAGAGCTTAAATTGTAATTCATACAATTTTTTATTTTTGTAACATTGTAGGAATGATGATGTTACTAAATTCATTAACTAATTCTAACTAATAACAACAACTTTTCATTAGACTCAAATTTATATTAAATATCAGAACAATATCAATCAAACACGAATCATTTTTTTACTCCAATTCTCCACTTCTAATTGAATTAAAATCTTATGAACTATTATTAATATTTTATACTAATTACTATCTAGTAAATCAATAAATCCAAGTAGGTTAGTTTTACTAAAAGTAAAATATTGTAATGAACTTATCATAGAGCAACATCTGAATTACTTATTAACTTATTAATTAGCTCTACAATACTTATTTAAAATCTTACATTCTAAGCTATACTCTCGTGCATTGTGTATTCAATCTACTATAATGAAGTAGGATTTTCTAAAAATTACAGAATCCCTTCATTTATATATTTATAATTATATTTATATTTATTTCAAATCAACTCGACAATCATAAACTAAAAGAGGCCAAATATTTTTATTTATAATTTAATACTAACTTTAGCACTGATAAAGTTAGTATTATTTATCATTCATTCTTGTTTAGCATGAAATTAGTTGCAATATCGTTGCACAAAATATTAAAATAATCAAGAAATCTAATTCATGGATTTCGGTCTAGAAATAATAATATACATTAATTTTTTCATGATTGATCTAGATAAATCTATTGATATTATAGACTATGAGACAATATTAATGTTAATATACAATACATTATTAATAGATTTTCTTGATTAATATTATATTATAAGTACAATTTTAATAAATGAAAATGGGGACTTTCTGTAAATTAGGAAAAAGAACATTCTTGATAGAAGAATAATTGAGATGGAAAATAAAAAATATAAATCTAAAACAACCACAAAATTCTTTATATAAAAATAAATATTGATAATTATGTTTGTTAGAGCTCTTCGTCTCATAAACCCAATGGGATTCTAATGTAGAACCTTCAGATTCTGCTCAACTACTTAAAACAAGGAGTTATTAGAAGAAGTCACTGCTAAAGTGTTGCAAGTCATGAAATCTGCTGCAAAATGCAAAGTTGACAAATTATCAGATAAAGTAAAAAGATTTCATATGTAGGCTACATTCGAAGAGTTGGGATTTGATTCCTTAGATGCAGTTGAAATGGTTGTAGCTCTGGAAGAGAATTTTGGATTTGGTAATAATTTCAACAAATGAATTTATTAGATATATAAAATGAAGAAGCTGAAAGAATCAAGGGAGTGAGCGAGGCAATTGCTGTATTCTATAAATATGTTGTTCAGAGGAACTCAACTTCAGTTAAATAATGATTAATAATCAATTAAACAAACAATATGAGTTTTTCATTTAATTCTTGGCAGATTTAAGTATTCCTTCTCAAAAGAATCCCAACTCTTAGTATTGATTTGCTTTTAGATTTTCCATAATATTTTTATGAGAATGCTAAAAATGCTTGATTATTTTTCTTAAAATTTCAAAAATGAAAAACAATTCAAAAATCTGTATATGTATATGTCTCACAGAGATTGAAAGAGATCAAATAATGTAAACACAAAAACTTCTATTAAATTATCAATGAACATTATAGTGTTTATAATATTAATTATAAATGAGGATAGTCGTTCTAGTATTTTTGATGATGTTGCTTATGTTGTCGGAATAAAGAAAGCATTTTATGGGAGAACAGGGAATCACAACTCACGATGCAGCTCCACCTCCAGCTGCAAAACCAGGGGCTCCAAAAGCCTAACCATCGACTTCATCTCCTTAACCACCACCATAATCAAATATAACAAGCAATTCCACAGCCACAAGCAATGGTCCTACTAAAGAATAATTAGAGGCAGCCAACCCAGCCAGAAATATATGGTAAAGGTTATTTGGACAGCTGGATTCTGTTCAGATTACTGCAGTTATGATTATTATTACATCCATTTTATTATTTTGATTAATTTAACGATGGAGAAAAACCATGATCTTTTATGCAAATAAGTTGTTCACCTTACTAAAGTTACTTACCTCTTAAACACTAAAAATGATGAACATGAAAGGATAGAAATTAAATAACTAAATGCAAAATATCAATAACCAGAAAGAGAATTTTAGAAATAAATAAAAGAAAAAGATAGATAGGTATAGGCGAGGAAGGGTGAAGCTTAATAATTAGAACATCGATTACGCTAGTCCCTTAATTCATAATTAAAAGAAGCTATAGTTAGATAAAAAAAATATGCTGAGAATTTAAAAAAATGAGTTCCTTTAAGCTTAACATTTGTTAATGCTAAAATTATAAATGGTTGAAGAAGAATGTATTTTACCAATATCGTAGTTACTAGGAACTAATTAGCATTTACGAAGCATAACCTAGATAACCTGTAAATTTACAAATGAAATACTTGTTATAATCATAACTCAAATTGAGAGATGAAGAAATCAAGAAATTAAATGAACAAATTTAAAATAATAAATCAGAATTAACTAATAACTCCAACCAATTTAATTGTTAGACCTGTAATAGTAACACCTAGAATTTTGGAAAATATATCAAAACCATAAAGTGGTAAAATACAATAAAGAAAATGATCTATCATTTAATTTAATTTTCAGTAAATTCTGCAACTTGCACAGCATTCTCTATTTCTTGGTTTCTCCTCTTTTAAAAGTGAATGCAAGAGTATTTGACTTGCTTTTGGAGTGTTTTCCACAGAAAAAGTTGGCTATACACAACTGCTAGAATAAACAAAATCATCATAATTTTTTGATTTAATTAGAAACTCTTGCTAATGAGTTTAGGTAGATGCATCAATCATATCCTTATCGATTTTTGGTTATTTTGCTATTTATTCCAATTCTTCTTCAAGCTTTTACTTATAATCAGTGAGTTAAAGATATTTGATATAATCAACATCTTCTTCTGATTCTTAACGTTGATGCTTCACAATTTAAGTAACCTCTCTTTTCTCCTCCTTAGAACCTTCTTAAGGTATAATAACAGCGTCCAATTTCAGTTTTTATTGTAAATTTTAAATGATTCTTTGATTTTCTTTATTATGAATGTCTTGTAACATAAATTATTCACTTAATTCTTTTAGTTATTGCTATCTTTCAGATATCATCTATTATGTCATTTTTATGTATTGCTCATCTTAGTTATTTTCTTATTGATATTGATTAGTCAATTATTCCAACTCATGTAATTGCTAATAGTAATAAGCTTCATACTTTAAATAATTAATCGAAATCCTCTTGTTATTTCAAACTTATCTCATCAATATCTTGTAATTCTTTAAGTTACTATTATTGAATGGTTGAAATTATTTCTTGTAAATCGCCTTCAACATCCTCAATCTAGTTTTCATTCGAATTTTCCTTGTTTAATAAGATAATTAATACATCATCCAAAATCATTTCATGCTATTCAACTTTCTATTGTAAGTCAATTATAACTTATAATGCTCCATACAACTACTCTTCATAGTAAGGAATAGAATCTAAAGTAAGTTAATCCACAATTTCTTAATCCATAATAATTTTATTTATAATAGTATATGAAATAATCAACACTTTCTATTTCTTTTTTCAATAGAAAAAACAGAAACTAAAATTTAATTGAATATACATAATATTAAAACTATATATCTTTAACAAATGATTCTTATTTCTTTGAAAAAAAAAGCACCCCTTTTCAGTTTCAAGGTTATTTTAAAGTTTAAATATTTTTCGTTTTGCCTTTCCAAATATTCAGTAATATTGTAAATTAGATATTAATAAAGATATATATACAATATAATACTATTATGATTTATAATTCAATATGAGAATAGTTAGTTTTTGTATTTATAATTAAAATATTTGATTTAATAATCAATAGTTAAAATCAAAAATCTTCATCAATAATTTGAATGAATATTTTATTTGACTTAATATTCAGGGTTTACTTTTTGTTTAGGATTAGATCTTAACTATGCTGTTGGAGAACTTACATTCTATATTTTAATTTAAGGGATTTTCAAATTTGATAATTTTTATAGTACTTCTGGATTGACTTAAAATGGAACTGCAACTTCTATCTTTTAAGGTTATTATAATTATTATTGAACTTATTGAGATTATTAAGTTTAAATCAATAATTAAGGTTTAGTTTAAGGAATCTATTACAATGGCTTAGTTGGCTTAGTTGGCTCAGGTGATTCATTTGACTTTATTTTTTGAGTAAGCATCTCAATTTTAGGCATATATTTTTATTTTACTTTAGAAATCTCTTCTTCCATCTATGAATGCAAGAATGCCAAAAACTTTTTTCTCTCGTCTTAATTCATATTTTCCATTTATTGTTCATCACTTAATTATTCATCAATAATTTCATTGATTATTTTTTCCTTCTTAGCATATGTTACAAAATCTAATTCTTTTTCTCCTTTGCTTTATACTTCTTCTTCTTTAATCACAAGTGTTCCACATTCCACTACAGTTCCACATGACTGTTCTTCATCCTCACTATTCTCTTGCTTAGAGATCAACGTCTAAATATTTTCTAAATTTCCTTGTGTTTTTGATTATCTATATTCATCTATTTAATTGAGGAAATTCTCTATAAGATTAACTAACTTCTTTTAATCTTGTTTGCCCTGTTTTATAAACGGTGACTAAAGTAATTGTTAAGCTGAAGGTCTTTCCGAGACTTACACTCTTAAGCAAGATTTAACGAAATCGTTAAATTCCTTGGACCATTTTTCAGGATTGGTTAAACCCTAAGGTGGGTTATTTTTTATAGCAAACATTGCTCTTACAGGATGAATATGAGAATAAGGGGGTTTTCCTTCAGCAAGTTCAATAGCAGTGACTCCCAACGACCAAATATCTGTTAGATGGTTATATCGATTCTTAGATATAACTTCTGGAGACATGTAAACAGGGGTGCCTATTACTGTTCCCTTTTTATTAAATTAGAAATACTTTGTCTGCATTAGTATATATGAGTTGTGCGGCCACACCAAAATCAGCAATTTTGATTGTTCCTTTTTCATCCAACAATATATTTCCAGCCTTGATATCCCTGTGAATTTTTTTATTCGCATGCAAATATTCAATTCCAAGCAGTACATGATATAGAATTGCTGCTATCTCTGACTCAGTTAATGTTTTCTAAGTGATTTTCAATAAATCAATTATTGATCCTCCTACACAATACTCCATAACTAGCCATAAATTTCCATCCTTATAAAAGGAACCATAATATTGTACTATATGAGCATGTTAGCATTCCTACTTACATAATTGATAATACTTTTAAGATCTGAATCTCCTTAATTAATGATTGAATTTCGCCAGTTGAAGGAACTATTTTTATAGCTACAATTTAGCCGTTCTTATGCCTTCCCTTATAAACTTTTGCATAGGCACCTTCTCCAATTAATTCATTCAATTCAAATTATTCCTCAGGGTCTTAATTAGAATACATAGAAATTATAAATATTTGTGATTATACAGTAATTTTTAAGGATAATCAAAATTTAAGTTTTTAGGATTTCAAAGTGGATAATTTATAGCTAAAATTTGAGAAAGGTATTAAAAATGTCTTGATTATACATAAAATAGAAATAGAGGTATATTTTAATTATTCTTTTATAGAAATTTATAAAAACTAAAAATTTAAGGGGAATCAACAGTCTAATCAAAGTAAATGTGTTGGTGATCTTTTAGCTTGAGATCTAAATGATTGATTTTCTAACCTTCAAATAATGATGCTGTGCTTTGTATGATTCAGGGTAAGCTTTAAGATTTGATTAGAAAAAGTATTTTAGAAAATATAAATTATTAAGTTATTTAAAATAGTCTTATTCAATGAACGTTTAATAGGTTCCAATAACAAAACCTCCTTCTCGTTCACCTATGCAAACTTACAACATTGCAAAAATAATAAAAACAGAACCATCGCAATCTGATAGATAATTTTCAGCTGGTCATAGATGTGAACGATCAATGATTTCACCCAGTCTTCTTGATGAAGGGTCAGTTTTGGTTTAAAAGTTGCCACCTAATAAATTAGTAATAAATTTAAATATCAAGGTAAAAGCTTCAGGCAAATATCCAGAATTTTGTATTCGAGATCAAGATACAGGCAAAGTCATTGATATTCGTTTTTAAGATTGGAGAAATAATTGGTTTCTATATTTTTAATCTATTAGGAATACAAAGAGTCCAAATAATGCTAAATTGATAAAGGCAGTGAAAAATAATTCCTATAATGAGGTTAAAGAAATCCTTTTAAAAGACAAGCCTGAAATTAATGCAAGGGATACAGAAGGAAATACAGTGTTACATTTAAGTGTGATGAGTGGAAATTCTAAATTAGTTGGATTACTATTATATCACGAAGCTCAAATAGATTCATTAAATTCAAAATTATAAACTCCTTTAATGATTGCTTGTAGTTTAGGGATTGAGGAAATTACTTAATAATTAATTACAGCAGGAGCCGACATCAATTCTCAAGATATTAACAAAAACACTTGCCTTCATCTGGCAACCATGAATCAAAGATAGAAAATTATGGATTTATTATTAAATAAGCAAAGCTTGAATCTAACTTTAAAGTATATTAAATTATAATAATGATAGAAACAAGGAGAATAAAATTGCTATGGATTATTCCTCCAATTAATAGATATTTCTTTAGGCAATGCAAAAATAAAATAACAATTCAATTAAAATTTATGATGCAAGAACTGACTTTGGTAGTGAAAATTGCAATTCATTTAATGAAGATAAAGTAGGTCCTCATCATTTTAAAGTGCATGCTCTTATTGGGAAAGGCAGTTTTGGAGAAGTATATTTAGTTGAAAAATTGGACACTAATCAATTATTGGCTATGAAGGTTCTTCATAAATCAAAAATATAAAGTAATCTTAATTTATAATATCAGAACAAAATCTTACAAGATATGCATAAACTGAGAGGAATGTGTTATCATTAACTAAGCATCCATTTATTGTCAGATTAAGATATGCATTCTAAACTGCTGATAAACTCTGTCTTATTATGGATTATTGTCCTGGCGGAGATTTAAGTTCTCATTTGAGAAGAGAATAAAGATTTCCAGAAGAAAGAGTGAAATTATATCTGACTTAAATGATTCTTGCTTTGGAAGATTTACATAAGAGAGATATAATATTCAGAGATTTGAAACCTGATAATATTGTTTTGGATGCAGATGGCTTTGCTATGCTAACGGATTTTGGTCTATCAAAAGAGGGAGTTTAAGAACATTATTCTGGTGCAAGATCATTTTGTGGGTCTGTAGCTTACTTAGCTCCTGAGATGCTTAAAAGATGCGGTCATGGAAAGGCTGTCGATTGGTACTTATTAGGAGTAGTAATGTATGAACTTTTAGTTGGGCAACCTCCCTACTATGCTAATGATAGAGAAGAACTTTTTAATAATATTCAAAAAGCTGACTTAAAGTTACCAACATATATTTCCCATGATGGGATTAATCTATTGAAGGCTGTAAATTATTCTGTTATATGGTTTTTAGCTATTATAAAGAAATCCAGCTAAAAGATTGGGTTCTGGTAAAGGAGATGCTGAAGAAATTAAAGCTCATCCTTACTTTAAAGATATCGAATGGGGTAAGGTTAAAGATAAAGAAATAAAAATGCCAATTTTAAGTAGAAAAACAAGATTCATTAAGGTTGAACATAATGTTTTTGAAATTGGCAGCTTTTTAGAATAATCCCATTTGGCTGGCTGGTCATTTGCAGAGCATAAAATTTAATAGTGATTTTCGTTTATACTTAATACAACATTGCAATGTCATCAATTTTATAGAATTATTTATACTATCAAATTAATTATTTTTCTTTAATAGTTGATTTATTTGATTAATTAGATAAAAAAAACATGGGAAAAAATTAGCGGGAATCCTTAAAAATGAGATTGAGATGTAATGAGCCTGGTTCAGAAAATAAGCGAATAAATTATTTTAAGCTAAACTAAGGTTACGATATTACAGAAGATGATTCAGAATATATGGATGAATAAGACTCATACAAAGCATTTAAAAAAATTAAGAAATACAAAACAAAATCGAAAAAGGATAAAGTGTATATTGTTATATTTAATTAGTACTTGTGACAATTTAGAAGTGTTGTTATAATGGAAAAAATCAATTAATTGTCAATCTTATGAAACAGACCAAAGAAAGTAAATTATATATTCTAACCTAAGGATTGTTGTACTCAAAAAGATTTTAGGGACAGATCTATCCCAATATGCAAAAGGAGTTTAAGGAATTTTCATTGATAATTATTTTAAAAAAGATTTAGTAATAGCTCTTAATATATTTAGAAAAATTTAGATCTATCCAAAAAGTTAATATCCAATGGAATTTTATTTATATGGTCGGATAAAAGCCTAATAAATGAAATTCTTGAAATTATGGAAAATAAAGGATTTACCTATATTGAAAATCTGGTTGTAGTACAGTTGAGTTTGGAGAATGCTTTGGAAGAATTGAATAAACATATGAAAATAGAACAGACTGAAGATGCTGTCTTAGATAACTTAAATTTCCTATAATAAAAGGTTTAAGTTAAAGATTTGATCTTGCATCGTCCGTCAAAAGTCTTAAATCAATCGAAATAAGTGTTGATAATGTTTAGAAAATTCGATGAATAAAAGTCCCAACTTGAATTAAGACATTAAAGAACTCCTGACGTATTATTTGACTTTGTGAACAATGGAAAGTCATCATTAAAAACGAAGGAGTACATTTATTAAACAATTGAAACTTTACTCCCAAAATCTTAATTGATGGAAATTTTTGCTTAAAAGGATCAACCTAGAAAAGGTTGGATTAGTGTTTGTGAAAATAAATGATTAACATATTTAAATTCATTATAAGATTGACTTCAAAAATAAGCTTTATTTTTCTAAAAAATGTTCGTATTTTTCATTATTAGTTAATAGAATTTATTTTATTAGTTTAGTCTTGATTGATTAATGACATAGACAACTGATTAAAGTTTAATCTTTTTCAATTTAATTTATTATTAATTCTTCTAAGCATTTTGCATGATAACAATGAAAACATTCAAGTTAGTATTCACCTTCCTAAATTTCATTTGTACAATATTTGCATAAGGAAACTAATGATTTCAAAGATGAGAAAGAATTTTCTTAGGAAAAAATTTCTTCTCTAATTTCTTAATCAATTTGATCTATATTCTAATGAATCATATTTTTCTATTGATCTAATGGCTATTCAAATGCTTTATATTAGCTTAGGAATTTTTAATAATAAAAATTATTAATAGAAATATTTTTATTAATTATCTTATTCTATGAAAAGGCTCTTTATTTTTTTTTTTCTTCTTCGTAAATTGTACCTACTACTAGTAATGAATTATGTCTTTTGAATTTTTCGCAAGCTTTTATTTTCATTAGTTAAATTTTTCTTAATTTGATAGATTCATCAATTTGTTAAATTTCTTATTTATCAAGAGAAGTATCAGTTAACAAATCTGAGTTATCATCTTGTATCAATGGTACGTCGATATACATTATTGGTTCTTCGACATGTGTCAATGGAAATTCGATATGTATAAATTATTAATTTAATGGTTGTTCTTCAATATTTTAGTCATTTAATTTTTCCTCTTATACTTTATTTGATTTAATCGACAAAGGCTTTTGTTATTACACCATGGTGAAGAGACAACCCATTAAATTAATTAAAAATATATGATAATATTAATAATAAAAAAATTACAAGGCCTTACTAAAAAATATCAATTTTCCATAATTTGAGAATTAAAATAAATAAAAATTTTGATTCTTTAAATTCTATTTCAAATAATACCTGATAAATTAAAAAATACATATTATGAGGATGATATGGAATTTCACTTGGGTAGATAGGGCGGCTTCAAAAATGAAGTTTAAGACTATTAGATGTAATCAATTCTATGAATATAATCTAATATTAAATTTCATTCTTAATTTTCCTATGAATAGATTGAAAAGAAATGAAATAAATGTTTTATAATAATTATTTTTCATTTTAAATTTACATTTCAAATTTAAGTAAGATCTTACTATAAACTGAAAATAATCAAACTATGGAAATTTATAGAACTTTTTAAATTAATGGATTGAAAATCTAATGTTATTTAATATTAATTAACAATCAATAAAATCTATACTTATTTTGCGAAAGGAAATTTGTATAATATGCTTTTCAAAATAGATTATTATTTCTTGTGTAATTTGATCTGATAAGATTTATCGAATTTCGTAAAATCTTGATGTCTTTTCTAAATCTAATAATTTCCAAATAATTTAAAAAATATCTTTAATTTTTACTATGTAAACTTTTTTATGTAAGTATAGTTCTGCATTATAAACTTGATAGATTTATTTTGAATAATAAGACATTTTAATTTTTCTACTTTTTAAAAGGCAAATAACTCAATTGTGGTAATCTAATATAAATTCCTTCCATTTCATAATTTAGTTGTGTAGTGAATACAACTTACATATTCTTTATCGTTTTTATCTTCCATCCATCAAAATCAATTCTACTTTATGTTTCAATTTAATAATTTTACAATAATTTATAAGAAATAGTAAACTTTTATCTTGCTGTTTCTCGATTTGCATAGAGTCAAGCCAAATTCAACTCTTTTTGGTTCTATTGATTTCATGTTTAAATATTTTCATAAATTAAGGGATCTTTTATAATTTGAGTGCTCAATTTTACTTTTTTTAATACTCATTTCTTATTGGAATAGGATTCCAAAATTTTTTGGTGGTAGGATTGGTTTTCCAACATTTTTGAAAGTTTGATTTCTTTATTAATTTAGAATTTTTGCTTTTGTGGAGCATTTTATATGATTTTAGCTATTTACTCCTATTTTTTGACAATTCTTTGTGAAATTCCTTTTATCTATCTAATAAGTAAAAAGAATAAGTAATTTTCTCACTTAATTGCCAAATAGTTATGACATCATCTTCAAATTAAATCTATATATCGATCTAGCCAAATTTTTTTAGCAATAAGTATTATTTTCAATATTTAAGTTTTAGAAATAATTTAACCTTATATACCTTAATTCTATGATTTTAAAATATTTATTGACTTCTGGAGTTTCGATTATTATTTGGTCGATGATGAAAATAAACTAAGAGAGTATATTTGTTTTTAATTATTTAACAAATTATTTTAATGGATTAAATTGAAATTGAAATAAAAGAGATGGATGCATTATATTTTGATAAAGAATGTGCAAGCTATCATCCTTCTAATAATGAATTATTAGAAAAGGATATCCATGAATATTAACATTTTAAAAATGTGATTGCATGCTTTTATAATTATATGAATGATATGAAGGTAGAGCTTTAAAGAATTAAAACTCATTTTGAAACCCTTAAACCTGAATAGAGAAATAATTTATTAATGAATTATTAAGATAGAATCAAAAAATTTGATTACTGCATAAAGAAAAATGCCAATTTTTGTTTCTTGATAGTAGCAGCTTATGTAGATATGTTTCCAGAGATGGATTTAAGTCAAGTAAAATTTGTATCAGAGTTACCATATTTTCCTCATGCTCAGCATGGCGATATTTCAAAACTAAGAATAACCTTAAAATAATTTTATCGAGGTATAATTATGTAATTTAAATCAAGATTGGAGTATTCAAGGATAAGCAGAAAGAGATTAATCTTATAAACCTATTATTGATTGCTTATAAAATTATTATCCAGATGCAAAAACTAGAGATAAAAAATATTAGGTACTATTACCTGGAGCAGGATTAGGAAGGCTTGTATTTGAATTGGCAAGTCGAGGCTTTGCAGCATAAGGAAATGAATTCTCTTATTTTATGCTTTTGAGTTCTCATTTTATTATCAATCTTACGTAAAAAAAAAACTAATATGAATTATATCCTTTTGCCAATAATTTTTGCAATCGATTAAGGTAAATTTCTGAATTAGCTTTAGTGAGAGCGACTAATTTGAATTAGTGTAAATACCTGACGTAGTTCCTGCAGAAGTTTTAACTGAAAATGACCAAATGTCATTTGTAGCAGGGGAATTTATTACTGTATATCATCAAGAAAAATACTTTAATTTTTGGGATAGCATCATTACTTGTTTCTTCATTGACACAGCAAATAATGTATTAGATTACATAGACACAATCTATGAGATTTTAAAGCCGAAAGGAATTTGGATCAATTTTGGGCCATTGGAGTATCATTTTGCTAATTAATTCTCAGAAACAAGCATTGAGCTAAGTTATGAAGATATAAAACATTATATAAAATAAAAAGGATTTGAGATTTCATCCGAATAAATGTAGGAATCAACTTATAATCATTCAAAATTAGATTAAAAATACTTAATGTATAATTGTATATTTTTTATTGCTGTAAAGAAGTGAATATTAAATGATTTTAAGATTTTGTTTCTTATAAAATACGATATTTAAGAATTTAAAAATAAAAATCAGAAATTTGTAATATAAATAAATAAATTATTATATTAATTCCACATGGCTAGCAAGAAGAAGCAACTTTTTAAAATCATCATCTTAGGTGATTCAGGGTAATTTTGTATTCTTAATAGCTTTTTAGAGTAGGAAAAACATCTTTGATGAATTAATATGTCAATGCAAGGTTCACTTAATAATACAGAGCTACAGTCGGAGCAGATTTTATGGCTAAAGAAGTTATGATAGATGATCGCATGGTTACCCTTCAAGTATCATGACTTTACTATATTTTTATTAGATTTGGGACACTGCAGGCTAAGAGAGATTCCAATCATTAGGTGGGGCATTTTATAGAGGAGCTGATTGTTGTGTATTAGTTTACGATATCACAAATCCAAAATCATTTGATTCATTGGATTCATGGAGAGATGAATTTTTAATGTAAGGTTAACCAAAAGATCCAGAACATTTTCCTTTTGTTGTTTTAGGAAATAAATTAGATAAAGCCACAGAAAGAAAAGTTTAGGAATCTAAAGCTTAATAATGGTGTAAATCACATGGAAACATACAATTCTTTGAAGTATCAGCTAAAGATGCCACAAATATTGAACAAGCTTTTCAAGACATTGCAAAGGCTGCAGCAAGTTAGGAAAAAGATGAAGAAATGTATCACTTTCTTATCCAATATTTTTAGATTTTTCCCTACAACTGTGACATTAACTAAATAGAGCCAAAAACCATAAGCCAAACAAGGAGGATGTTGTTGATTCAATGAGGTTTTAAACACATTTCATAATAATATAATTTAAATCAATCTAAATTTTATTGCGTTTTTTTAAGGAAGCCAAATTAACTTCAACTTTATTATGAATGAATTATAGTTATTATTACTCATCTATAATATTATTATCCAAACATTTATTTAATATAATTTATTATATCTAAATTAAATTGGAAAATTGAATTTTTCAACAATTTAATTATATGTAGATTGTAAAAAGAGATTTAGACCTGTAATTCTTATACAATTATGGTTTAATTTGAAAGATTACATGATGATTTCTATGCAATTAATAATAAATTATAAAATCTATAATAAAGTTGTAATTAATCTTCAGGAAACAGAACTAATAGAATTGAAATTAATATCTAATAGGGTTTAATTTAGTATTATGGAGTTAAGTGATAGAAATATCCAAGTTTTCCAGCATACATAGTTTTCACTTATTTGAGCCACAATAAGTTATAATTATATTTTTTATTAAATATCATATATATCTAACAATCTTTAACAAATAATTTCTACAACACAAGGATAAATTAAGTTATGAAGATATAAAACATTATATAAAATAAAAAGGATTTGAGATTTCATCCGAATAAATGTAGGAATCAACTTATAATCATTCAAAATTAGATAAAAATACTTAATGTATAATTGTATATTTTTTAGTGCTGTAAAGAAGTGAATATTAAACGATTTTAAGATTTTGTTTCTTATAAAATACGATATTTAAGAATTTAAAAATAAAAATCAGAAACTTGTAATATGAATAAATAAATTATTATATTTATTCCACATGGCCAGCAAGAAGAAAAAACTTTTTAAAATCATCATCTTGGGTGATTCAGGGTAATTTTGTATTCTTAATAGCTTTTTAGAGTAGGAAAAACATCTTTGATGAATTAATATGTCAATGCAAGGTTCACTTAATAATACAGAGCTACAGTCGGAGCAGATTTTATGGCTAAAGAAGTTATGATAGATGATCGTATGGTTACCCTTCAAGTATCATGACTTTACTATATTTTTATTAGATCTGGGACACTGCAGGTTAAGAGAGATGCCAATCATTAGGTGGAGCATTTTATAGAGGAGCTGATTGTTGTGTATTAGTTTACGATATCACAAATCCAAAATCATTTGATTCATTGGATTCATGGAGAGATGAATTTTTAATGTAAGGTTAACCAAAAGATCCAGAACATTTTCCTTTTGTTGTTTTAGGAAATAAATTAGATAAAGCCACAGAAAGAAAAGTTTAGGAATCTAAAGCTTAATAATGGTGTAAATCACATGGAAACATACAATTCTTTGAAGTATCAGCTAAAGATGCCACAAATATTGAACAAGCTTTTCAAGACATTGCAAAGGCTGCAGCAAGTTAGGAAAAAGATGAAGAAATGTATCACTTTCTTATCCAATATTTTTAGATTTTTCCCTACAACTGTGACATTAACTAAATAGAGCCAAAAACCATAAGCCAAACAAGGAGGATGTTGTTGATTCAATGAGGTTTTAAACACATTTCATAATAATATAATTTAAATCAATCTAAATTTTATTGCGTTTTTTTAAGGAAGCCAAATTAACTTCAACTTTATTATGAATGAATTATAGTTATTATTACTCATCTATAATATTATTATCCAAACATTTATTTAATATAATTTATTATATCTAAATTAAATTGGAAAATTGAATTTTTCAACAATTTAATTATATGTAGATTGTAAAAAGAGATTTAGACCTGTAATTCTTATACAATTATGGTTTAATTTGAAAGATTACATGATGATTTCTATGCAATTAATAATAAATTATAAAATCTATAATAAAGTTGTAATTAATCTTCAGGAAACAGAACTAATAGAATTGAAATTAATATCTAATAGGGTTTAATTTAGTATTATGGAGTTAAGTGATAGAAATATCCAAGTTTTCCAGCATACATAGTTTTCACTTATTTGAGCCACAATAAGTTATAATTATATTTTTTATTAAATATCATATATATCTAACAATCTTTAACAAATAATTTCTACAACACAAGGATAAATTAAGTTATGAAGATATAAAACATTATATAAAATAAAAAGGATTTGAGATTTCATCCGAATAAATGTAGGAATCAACTTATAATCATTCAAAATTAGATAAAAATACTTAATGTATAATTGTATATTTTTTAGTGCTGTAAAGAAGTGAATATTAAACGATTTTAAGATTTTGTTTCTTATAAAATACGATATTTAAGAATTTAAAAATAAAAATCAGAAACTTGTAATATGAATAAATAAATTATTATATTTATTCCACATGGCCAGCAAGAAGAAAAAACTTTTTAAAATCATCATCTTGGGTGATTCAGGGTAATTTTGTATTCTTAATAGCTTTTTAGAGTAGGAAAAACATCTTTGATGAATTAATATGTCAATGCAAGGTTCACTTAATAATACAGAGCTACAGTCGGAGCAGATTTTATGGCTAAAGAAGTTATGATAGATGATCGTATGGTTACCCTTCAAGTATCATGACTTTACTATATTTTTATTAGATCTGGGACACTGCAGGTTAAGAGAGATGCCAATCATTAGGTGGAGCATTTTATAGAGGAGCTGATTGTTGTGTATTAGTTTACGATATCACAAATCCAAAATCATTTGATTCATTGGATTCATGGAGAGATGAATTTTTAATGTAAGGTTAACCAAAAGATCCAGAACATTTTCCTTTTGTTGTTTTAGGAAATAAATTAGATAAAGCCACAGAAAGAAAAGTTTAGGAATCTAAAGCTTAATAATGGTGTAAATCACATGGAAACATACAATTCTTTGAAGTATCAGCTAAAGATGCCACAAATATTGAACAAGCTTTTCAAGACATTGCAAAGGCTGCAGCAAGTTAGGAAAAAGATGAAGAAATGTATCACTTTCTTATCCAATATTTTTAGATTTTTCCCTACAACTGTGACATTAACTAAATAGAACCAAAAATCATAAGCTAGAAAAGAAGGATGTTGTTGATTCAATGAGGTTTTTAATGATTTCATTATAATAATTTTAACAAATGAAATTAATTTATCTTCTGTATCTTAATTTTGAAAAATATGGCTATTCTTTCTAAACATTTAGCTCGTATAAACACAAGTCAATTTCAATAATCCGTGAAAATTAGAATTCAAGTCAAATTATTCTATCAAATTTATTAATTAATTAAAATTAATTTATTTCAACATTGCAACTACGTTTTTCTAGATTTATTATTTCACATTCATTCCTGCAATTACTTCTTGTAGTTAAAATTTACTATTGGCTTCATAAAAGTTGTTGACCATCATTATCTTATTTTCATTTTTCATTTAATTAAAAAGTGGTTTGTAAATTATTTTTTAAATTTCGAATACAGAAAGAAGAATAGAACATTTGCATTGCTTTTATGTAATTTTCTCCTTTTAAAATTGAATTTGATAAATTTAATAAGATGTATATTTTATGTGTTTTAGTTTGCTTTTAATTGCTATGAAAACTGAAATATTTTTAGCACTTTTAATTTGTGGATGTAACTAATTGGAAAAGTTCATTTTTTTAAAATTTTGAACTATTAACTTAGCTACTTCTACTTTACTTGCAATTGAAACCAAAAGATTTTTAAAAGTCTTAATACTGAAAACATATGTATGAAAAATAAAAAGGAATATTAAATTTATGAAATAGTTTAAAATATATTGAATGAAAATAAAAAAGAAATCAAGCTTATGTTAAATGTGTGTATCTTTTGTAAATTTTGCGTTGAATTCTATTAAAAATATAAAAAGTATAAATATTAGCAGCTATTAATTCAAGTGGGATTACTGTTTATGAGAAATTCAATAGCAATCTAAAATATATTTATTTATATTAAAGCTTTTTGTTGCTGGCTCAATAAGAAATGTTCACATACTTCTCCTTAGCTTTCTTCTATTTAATATTTAATGATTAAATTAAAAACAATTCTTTATAACTTATTCTTACAAATTACATTTTTTCTTATTTTTTTTGGAAATATTTTTCATTATTGTTTCTTATTATTTAAATAATATCAGAATAATGTGAATCTTAATCTATGTTCTGGTGACTATAGCAACCCACCTATATTTTATTAGGTAAAATCCATCTTGTTTAAAATTTAATAGTAAACATTTAATTTTTCCTTGTATTTGGAAATGAAAATGAAATAACAATTAATTGGTTTCAGAAGTAATTTAGGAAAAACTCCAAGTTTGAAAGTTTTTCAAAAAAAGAAAAATTACAAAAATTGTATTGATTGGAATTTTCTATTTATTATATTTTTATGCTATAAACACTATATATCAAAATATATTTGCTACTAAATATTCAGCATAAATTTTTGCATCAGGCAATTGACATCTTTCTGCAATAGTATTTACTAGAGCATCCCTTTCTTAATTAAGCAAGGTACTTAGGGTTTAATGCTTTTCACTTAATATTTCATAATTATCCAAAGTAAGTTAGCTGACCTTATTTATTTGCTTATCTATATCATTTGCTTTGGCTGATGGATTGAGCACTTCCCATCTATATCTCAAATATTTATAATATCTATTTTTAACCATCGCTAAAGTTTTTCCAGGAAAATGCTTATGTATTTTTTAAAATTTTGGCCCAAAATTAAGAACCAATTCTAAAATTAATCTATCTTCTTCAAGAGAGAACTGTTAACCTGCCTTTCTATAATTAATAATTCCATTAATGCATCTAACTTAAAAAAATATATTTACTCTTTATTTCTTATTAAACCTTTCTTTATTGATACAGAGCTCTCTTTTTCTTCTTAATCAATAAAATACTCTGAAATTTTTAATTCACTATCTAATTGTTGATCAAATTTTTGTCCTTTATCAGACATTATAATTAAAACCAATGTTTATTATTTAAGAGAAATTTAAATTCTAATTCTCATTCTCAATTTTTAGTAAATCTTTATTGGAATGTCAGAGAATTATGATAATATTTACTGAGTTTAATTTGAAGAATATATAATTATTTATAAATATAATCAAGCATTCCCTAGAACTTTCACCATTAATTTTCCTAATTTCTAAAATTCATTTCTGCTAATTCTATTGTCATTATTAGTATCTAAATAGTTAACAATATAGTCTATCTCTTTTTATGTTGGTAACTAATAATATATATTAGGAAAACCTAAGAATTGATTTCTTTGGCTAGGTTATTCAAAAGTGTAGTTAATTCATCTATTTCAATAAATCCAGATTTATTTTTATCATATTTTTCAAAAACTCTATTGCAAAATTCAATCAATTATAAACTATTCATCTATTTCCTTTAAAAGTAAATATATATCAAAAAAATAATTATCAAAATTATAATCAAATAATCTGGTATTCTTAAATATAAGAAAATCTCAGAATTAATTAGATGATTATAGAATATTATTCACAAATTGATTCATAACTAATTTTTAATAAATAATTTGAAGACTTTCAACAGTATCATAATGAACTAAAATATATATTAATTTATTTGTTTGCATAATAAATAATTAAATAATTTGATATATTGAACTTATTTTTAGTAAAATGACAAATTATTAGAGGAAATTACATTCTTAGTTTAGCTATAAATTACAAATTTCTTATTGTTAAATTCAGCAGTTTTAAATGGTTTATTTCACTGTAAAATTTGAGTAATTGTTTGCAAGAATGATTAAAGAATAAATGTTTCAAAATTATGATTCAAACAGAAGGAGAATTTGATGAAATAAAATGGAAATATACAACACATTTAGTTTATCAATTAGTTTTTACAAAAAGAATATTTTTAATTGATTTAATAGAATTGTTTAATTTGAAGTAGATGATTCTTTAAAATATAATAATTTGTAGTCTTGTAAAGAATATGTAAATAATATAAGAACAATTGTGAAAAAATAAAAGGAGCACCTTTAATTTTTTATGCTTTTTTTTTCTTTTTTCCAAAACTCTTAAAAAATATAAAGTCTGATAAACAAAAAAGAATAGAGATGTGAATCTTGAGCAAATTTTGGTACTTGAATTATATCTAACGAAAATATTAATATAAGAAAGTTCCGCTTTACAAGAATCACAATTTTAATATGAATAATTGAATAAAATTAACATAATATTACATTTTTTTCAGAATATATGCTCAAACAAATTCTAAAGCCATCAAAGAAAAGTTATTTATTATTGATCAACCTCTTAAGAATTAAATATCAATTAATAATATAAATTTTCTTTAATAAATTATGTAAGAAAATTAAAAATCAAAAAAGCTATATAAAGTATTTTATTGATAATTTAATTGATCTTCATTATAGAGGGTTCATTCTCACAGATTGCCAATAGAAAAAAAAATTAATTAAAGATTTTATTAAAATTTAAAATAATATGTAAATTTTTGTTAAAACCCTTACGGGAAAGACCATCACTCTTGATGTAGAGCCTTCAGACACAATTGATGCAGTCAAGGCCAAGATTTAAGATAAAGAAGGAATTCCTCCTGATTAATAAAGATTGATTTTCGCAGGAAAGCAACTTGAAGACGGAAGAACACTTTCAGATTATAATATTTAAAAAGAATCAACTCTCCATTTAGTATTGAGATTAAGAGGTGGTGGTATGGAACCAACAATTGCTGCAATAGCCAAAAAGTATAACGTTGAAAAAAAAATCTGCAGAGTTTGCTATGCAAGGTATGATAGCTTAAAAATATTATTAGATTACCACCAAAAGCCCACAATTGCAGAAAAAGAAAGTGTGGACATTCTAACTAATTAAGAATCAAGAAGAAGCCTAAGGATTGATATAATCTTGATTATTATGAATAAGTACAATAATACAATAAATCTAATTAAGTTCTTGATTAAGGTTCTCCATTGTTTTAAGTGAAATACTCTCTATAAGAAAGTATCATCAATTAATTCGACCTTTCTTTTCATCATGATAATTAATAATTTCTCTCTTTTTATTCAAATGTTACCTAAAATGACTATTATATCACTTTGACCAATAATTTATATGCAGCATGAACAATTTTAAAGTAAGTAAGAGAGAAAAATATGAAATTGAAATGAAAATCCTAATATTTCAATATTTGACTCATTTTATAGATGGCAATATCATTTTTTTCCATCACTTTGTTATTGAGGAATATAATTTAAAGAAAATTAGCTATTTTGGAAAGAAAAAAAGTGAATTTAAAAGATTTAATATCTCATTAGTTGATAACGATAAAAATCTTAATTCAATACTGAGATCTCTCAATTATTATTTGATGTAATAGAAGATTCTAACTAATCCTTGAATTAGAAATAATTAACAACTAAATTGATAGATATTTTCTAAGACCATAATAAGGATATTATTTAAGCTGGGGCATTCTAATAAACTTAATTTAAAAAGTAATTGATAATCATCAAAAATAATCTTATCAAGACTTTTTATAATTAAATCTAGTTGTTACAGTAGGTGAGATAAAATGTTGATTTAACAATTCCAGAAATATGANGATCAACCTCTTAAGAATTAAATATCAATTAATAATATAAATTTTCTTTAATAAATTATGTAAGAAAATTAAAAATCAAAAAAGCTATATAAAGTATTTTATTGATAATTTAATTGATCTTCATTATAGAGGGTTCATTCTCACAGATTGCCAATAGAAAAAAAAATTAATTAAAGATTTTATTAAAATTTAAAATAATATGTAAATTTTTGTTAAAACCCTTACGGGAAAGACCATCACTCTTGATGTAGAGCCTTCAGACACAATTGATGCAGTCAAGGCCAAGATTTAAGATAAAGAAGGAATTCCTCCTGATTAATAAAGATTGATTTTCGCAGGAAAGCAACTTGAAGACGGAAGAACACTTTCAGATTATAATATTTAAAAAGAATCAACTCTCCATTTAGTATTGAGATTAAGAGGTGGTGGTATGGAACCAACAATTGCTGCAATAGCCAAAAAGTATAACGTTGAAAAAAAAATCTGCAGAGTTTGCTATGCAAGGTATGATAGCTTAAAAATATTATTAGATTACCACCAAAAGCCCACAATTGCAGAAAAAGAAAGTGTGGACATTCTAACTAATTAAGAATCAAGAAGAAGCCTAAGGATTGATATAATCTTGATTATTATGAATAAGTACAATAATACAATAAATCTAATTAAGTTCTTGATTAAGGTTCTCCATTGTTTTAAGTGAAATACTCTCTATAAGAAAGTATCATCAATTAATTCGACCTTTCTTTTCATCATGATAATTAATAATTTCTCTCTTTTTATTCAAATGTTACCTAAAATGACTATTATATCACTTTGACCAATAATTTATATGCAGCATGAACAATTTTAAAGTAAGTAAGAGAGAAAAATATGAAATTGAAATGAAAATCCTAATATTTCAATATTTGACTCATTTTATAGATGGCAATATCATTTTTTTCCATCACTTTGTTATTGAGGAATATAATTTAAAGAAAATTAGCTATTTTGGAAAGAAAAAAAGTGAATTTAAAAGATTTAATATCTCATTAGTTGATAACGATAAAAATCTTAATTCAATACTGAGATCTCTCAATTATTATTTGATGTAATAGAAGATTCTAACTAATCCTTGAATTAGAAATAATTAACAACTAAATTGATAGATATTTTCTAAGACCATAATAAGGATATTATTTAAGCTGGGGCATTCTAATAAACTTAATTTAAAAAGTAATTGATAATCATCAAAAATAATCTTATCAAGACTTTTTATAATTAAATCTAGTTGTTACAGTAGGTGAGATAAAATGTTGATTTAACAATTCCAGAAATATGAAGAAGAGGTGTAATTTAACCAGGTAATTTTTTTCTGTATAATATATATTTCAAACCATGATCGAATAATTTTATATTATATAATTAGAGTAATATTTTGTAAAATAATCGATATAGAATTTATAGTCATAAATTACTTTACTAAAGGAAAATCATTAACAGATATTCGTTACACTGTCTTTAATGCATTAGCAATTTATCACCGATTTTGAAAACTAGAATGATTACCTTGATATTTTAGGCTAGAATTTATAGATTAAGACAAAAATTTGATAAAAATTTAGTGATGATAGTTTGAAATATATTAAAAAGAGGATTTCAACAATTTTTCACTGCTGATTCAATTATTGAACATTTGATTGCTAGAATAAGATTTAAGCATCTAATATCCGAATTATTGTTATTTTCATAATAAAATTAGACTTAAAAGGTCCCACAACTTAGGAATGTTACTATCTTAATTATCGATTAATAGAAGTTATATAAGTGCTTTGAGGAATAAATAAATATTAATTAGAACAAAAACTTATTGATTAAAAATTAAAAATTGGGGATAATATTATATCCATTAAGATTTAAAATAATATTAATGGCAGTAGAATATATCAAGGAATAAGAATTTGGACAATTAATATTGAGATAGTATTTACCACTAGATCATATATTTAATGATTGTTGTTTTATTATTTTTATTCGAACACCAGTATATATTATTTTAAATTAAATTTCCATGTCAAGGAGATACGATTAGAAAACCAATACTTTCACACCAGATGGCAGATTGAAATAAGTGGAATATGCAATTGAAGCTATCAATTAAACTGGGTCAGCACTTGGCATTTTAACTAATGAAGGAATGATTTTAGCCACAGAGAAATAGGAAGTGTCACATTTATTGGAACACTCAAAGCACTCTGAAAAGATTTATCCTATTGATAGACACATATTTTCTGTAGTTTCAGGCCATACAGCTGATGCAAATATTTTAATTAATTATGCAAGAGAAGCAGCAGCAAATCATAGGTATTAACTTAAGTCATAATCTAGATATTAGTTTTAGGATAATATTGGATTAGAATAATTAATTATAAATATTTGTGATTACAAATAAAATAAAACTTAAGTAGGTGGACAAAGGCCTTTTGGTACAGCATTTCTTTTTGCCGGATATGACAAAGAAAATGGTTTCTAATTATTTAGCACCGACCCATCAGGAAATTATGCTGGATGGAAAGCCACAGCAATTGGAAAGAATAATTTGGCAGCAAATAGTTATTTGAAATAAGATTATAAGGATAATTTAACTTTAGATTAAGTTTTATAATTATTTAATATTATAGGGATTAGACATTGCAATTAAGGCACTTGTAAAAACTATGGATACATCCTCCCCATAACCATCCAAAATTGAGATTGTTGTCATTAGCAAATTAGGCAAAGAAGTAAAAAGCAAAACTTATAATGAAAAAGAAGTTTTAGCTTTACTTCAAAAAAATGGATTTAGTAATGAGCAAATGTAACAAGAGTGAAATATTATTCAAAATAGAAATAAATTATTTGTTCATTAGATATATTACAATATATTATTTCTCCTACTATTGCTTTCAATCATTAGACTTTATTATTTATATAAATTTTTCTCTATTTTCCTATCCAATTCAAATATAATCTTAATTCATAATATAGTAAAGTTATCTTTCTAAAAAATCTTTATTGAATTTTACTATTGACTAATTCTATATTCTAATTCTCTTCATCAAAAGGATATTAAATTTTTTAGTAAACTTCATTTTTAAATCTAATACCTCAATTCAAATAATTTAGAAGTTAGTGCACAAACTGTAAGATTATTTAGGTTGTGTGATTTAATGCTTAACGCAGAAACTCATAAAATTAAAGATATCTATCAACAATATTTATAATATAAAATTTAAACTTAAATTCTTGACGTTACTTTGATAATTATTAAGAGAATATAAATTTCAGATTATTTCCACAAAATTAACGCTCTAAGTTACTCATTGAATGGTTTGGAAATGTTAAATTGAAAAATGAACTAAAAATTTTCAGAAGTATTTGTTATTAATAAAATTCAAATTTTAACAATATAATTAATTAAATGTCTTTAGCTAGAACAAGTTAAAGTTCAAAACATCAAAGGTAGAGCGAAACTCGTTTTCAATAATAGATAAAAACTTTAGTTTAGAATATAAGTTATCCTCCTTAAAATATAACAAAACAATGGATAAAAGAGAAGGAAAATGAATAAAAATAATTATTTGAAGAAGTTAAATAAAGTGAATTCCCTGGAAGATCCGCAACACTTACTCAATTAACAGATCTTGCAAGAAAAATTGCGAAAATGAGGAAAAATTTAAAAAGTGTTGCAGATGATCGTAATAGGACACCAGCATCAGATAAAAAGAGTAGAAAATCCAACAAATCAGGAAAATCAATAAAAAGCTAAAGTAGAAAGACTTTAAGCAAATTAGCCTAATCAAGAGGGCATTTGAAAAGTTTGGAATAGAGCAGAAGTAAATCATCAAAGAAAAGCAAAAAAGGATTAAAATCATCGAAAACACAAAATACACCGAAGTTCACCAAAAAAGCCTTTGAAAATAAACTAGGCAGTTTTTCAAAGGTTGTGTAAAAGTAAAAAGACAGTATAAGACCAAATGTAAGAATAACTGAATCAAGAGGTTCAAAACGTATGGCAGACCGTAGTATAAGGTAAAATTTATAATTATTTTGAAGTCAATCTAGATAATCTTATCCATCATCTAAAAAAAAAAGTAACAATAGAGAAGCATATGGTTCGTACTATGATGATGGAAGTTCAATTACAGAATCTAGTGACTCCAAAGAAATGATTAATTTGAAAGTGAATCCTAAAACTACATTATCGAAATATGAAACTTTAGTTGACAGTGAAAGAAAAGGATAAGATACTGAAATATGCTAGTTAAGTAGAGAGGAAAATTTGATGCTTACAACAAAATTAGAGTCAATTTCTAAAGATAAACTCTTACGAGAATATCGTGTTTTATATTATAGAAGCAAAGAAGTTAGAAAATTATTAACTGAATATTATGAGTAGAATTTAACACTTAGTGATGAACTAAATGATCTAAAGCAAATGTTATGTGAAAAATAAGCAGAGATTAAATAATTAAAAAAAGATTTAAAATCTTAGACTAAAGAACTCAAGTACATGTAGGCTGAATACAGCACAAAATTGGATCAACTAGGAAAATCTTATTAATAGTAAGAAATGAATTCTGTCCCTTTGGATGATTATGATAGGATGAAACAAGATAATGAAAAGCTGTTAGTTGAAAATGAAATGTTGAAGGATGACTATAAAGATATATCACAAAAATTACAATAAATTGAGAATGAGATCTACTAAAAGAGATAATATGAGCATCCTGAACAAGATATATCTCAAAGATTGCAAAGGGATATCGATTCTTTGAAGGATTAGATTGATAAAATAAGGGAAGAAAACATTAAGCTTAAGTTGCAACTAGATAAAGAGATGCTAAACAATAGAGAATTATCTTAATAGATTAATTTTAAGAAAAATGAGATAGACGGAACAGTTGAGTTGAAATAGTAAGAACTAACCTAAACAAAAGCACAATTATAGTCAGCAAATACCAAAGTCTAAAAATTAGAATAATAAATCAATCAGATGAAATATTAAATAATAGGCGATCAAGAACAATCTTTTTAAGTTAAAGAAAAAATTTAGAGACAAGAAGAAGAATTAAGAATAGCAAATCTGAAAGTTGAGAATAGAGAAAAAGAACTTAATGAATAAAAATCAAAAGAATTGGCTTTAAAAAAGAAAATTCTTGAACTAGAATAGAAAGTAGATAGCTAAGCCTCAATTTCTCAACCTTATTTTGAACCGAATTTCTCTCTTAATAAATCCAATAATGCAGAATCATGTATTAATGTTATTTTAATCTAGATATAAGCAAAGAATTATAAGCAGAAAGACAATTTTTGGCAAAAACCTAAGAACAGTTAATGAATATTCAAGTTGAAAACGAATAATTAAAGCGAAATGTAAAATAATTAGAATTGGAATTATCATTTGAAAAACAATCTAATGAATAAATTAAGGCTAGGTTAGCTTAATTGTAACATGAAAAGGATATCACAATATAAAGAGTCTAAAAGTAATTTGAAGAAACTGAAAACAACAGATTGAAAGAATTACTTGTAGCTGAACAATCATAAAAAAACTAAGATAATATGTTATATAGTGCTTAATAAAGAATAAATGAATTAGAAAGTGAATTAAGAATTTTGAATAAGTAAGAATAGGAGCTGAAAAATTAAATCAATGATTTAAGAATATAATTTGAAAGACAATAGATTAAAATGGAATAAAACGAAATAAAGTTAGCTGATTTGAATGATTAAATATATTAAGTTGAATCTGAAAATCTACATTTAAATGAAACTAATAAACAACTCAGAATCCAACTTCAACAATTAAATAGGGAAGTCGATTAAATTGATAGGATTAAGGATAATTATAAAGTTAAATATTTACATAGTCGCAACGAAAGCAAAAAATCTATGCATTAATACCCAGAAGTATTATTTGACTAATATTTAGAAAGAAAATGTGATGAGATAAACATATACAAATGAAGTGGAGAGAATAAGAAGCGAAAAAGAATAATTAGAACGATTAAAAAGTTAAGAGGAATAGCAACGTATTTAAAGAGACAAAAAACTACAAGTTATCAATGATTTGTAATAAATGATTAAAGTCAATAAAAAATCATTTGATAAATGAATTAATTTATTTATTTTAAATTTAGATTAAAATTTAAATCATTAAAATAAATTATAATTTACCAGGAATTATGTAATCCTTTTCTACAGCTTTAATTATAATTTCGACATTAATTACAAAAAGTGAAATATTGATGTCTTAAATATAAAATAACTAAGTTTTCAAAATGAAATGTACAAACTTAAACTTTTAAAAGTATATACTTCCACAATAAATCTGGATTGGCTTTGCAATAAACAAAATTTCAAAATGAACCAGAGGGCTTGAAATTTGTTTTCATTCTCAACTTTTTTAGATGAAAATTTTCACAATTTAATTGATTTTCATTATTTTGTAATATCCACCATCATATCCAAATTATTTTTTTTGTATTCAAAAATTGAAGTTTAATGTCAAAGAATTTCAATGTTATTCATTTTGAAAGAGTCAACTTTGCCATAAATTAAATCTTTTAAAGGAGAAAGTCTTTAGAGAATTTTGATTTTTATTTATAAAATAATCTTAATCGGCTGATTATTCTTACTTATCCTTCCTCTTTTAAAATGATGATTATTTTCACTTGAGATAATCCATTTTATCAAGAACGATGGGAAAAATTTTCGTTAATTATAATTGTTTCTTTGATTATATCTAGATTAAGAAAATGAATCATTACATAGTGATTAGCCACTTTATTAAATAATTTATTGTTTAGAAGAAGATCTTAGAGTAATTGTTGATATTGGCTTTTTATATTTACTTTTTTCATTAATTATTCTCCCCTAAAAAGAACAAAATAATATTTAAATAATTTCCAATGAAAAATACAGATCTTCAAACACAAAATTAAGTAAGTTGGCTTCTAAACTTGGTGGGGAAATTTTCTACAAAAGACTTATAAGGTTAAAATTTAAAGGAGATTGGAGAGGATTATGTGAAAAAAATATAATAGATTGCTTAGCTACAATCAGGATTTATATTTTCCTATGATATTTAAAAGCAAGAGTTTTAAGAAAAGTTATTTCACATCTATCCAAACATACTAATTTGTCAATCAGATAAAACTTATACTCATTTGATTCTAAGCAATTGCACTTTACAAAAAGAATTAATATAATATAAAGAGGCTAAGACCTATGGATTTATCATTTCTAATAATTTCGGGAATACTTATTTGTTTTTTTCATAATTTATTTAATATAGAAATTGGTATAAATTGATGAAATAATATTGTAAATTAAATGATTTTTTTGGTAAATACAAATTAACTGATCGAATGCTTCCAGGAGTCTATCAATGTTATAAAAAGACTGTATAAATATTGGTTTGATTATAGAGCAATGTTTAATTTACAGTACAAATATATAAAATGGAAGATTTTGATTAGTGTCCTGAAATAGAAGAAATCGTTCACAACGAAATACAAATGTTAAGATCTGTTAAACATTCAAATCTATTATAATTAAGGAGAGTTTACGAGGATGATTCCTACTTGTTCATTTTGTTTGAGCATTTTAAAGGTGAATCTCTTTATAGTTTAATTTAAAAAAACCAATTGCATGAAGTCTAAATTGCATCAGTATGTGCTTTTGTTTATAATATAGATTATTTACTAGATATTATAAACCTTAAAATTTCTAGATTAGCATTAGTTCTATCATGGAAATTTGAACCCTCTAAATATAATAATTAACACTAACAATCAACTTTTATAAATATTTCTCATCAATTTATCTTTTAAAGTACTTGTTTTCGTGATATTCATAGTAATACAGAATAAATGACAAATTAGATTGGATTTTGAATAGATAAGTGGAAGGATTCGTAGCCCCAGAATTTTATTTGGGATTTCCTCCCAATATTACATCAGACCTGTATAGCTTAGGAGTATTATTATATTTCATGGCATTCCCAAAATAATTACCTAATGAAAAACACTTTGAAATATTTGAAATCGATATGAACAAAATAAAAATATTGCATGAAATTAAAACGCAACAATAATCTGTTGAGTAACTTTCAACCTTAGATTAGCAAGCTGAGAAAAACATAAGTCTAAGTGAATTAGATTTATTAATAAAATTGCTAGAACAAAATCCTAGTATTATATCTATACATAATAGGTAAGAGAATTTCAATATTTGATTGTATGATGCACCATTGGTTTGTAAATATCAAGAGTAAAATAAAATAATTGAATGTTGTAAAAAAAAAAAAAGTAATTCTTCCATCTCTTAAAACTATAATTGAACTAAGATCCTAAAGTGAACTAGATCTGAAAGTGTAATCTTAATTATCCAGTAATAGAAGATAGTCACGATTGACAATGAATCAAGGAGAAGATTTTGATTTTGGTAAAATGTGAAAATATTTAAGTTAGTTCCCGATGAAGGACACCCTTTATAGTAAATGGCAGGATTAGACTTTTGTTAATTATTAAGAATCAGTACCTAGTCTAGGAAACTATGATTTGAGTAACACATCATTTTATATGAGTATTCATATTGAAACAAAAACCAATCACTATTATAAACAATATAGAAGATATTTGCTTCTTATGTTTTCATATCGAAATATTTAAAAATAGTATTATATAATATTTATAAATATCAATAAATGTAAATAATTCTTAAATTATTCTACTAAACAAGAGAATAAAAGGATCTATTAATTTGATTAAATTAAAATCAATATGTAATATGTTGCAAATAAAAATTTATGGAATCAACTGAGATTTAGGATTTCTTTTTCAATTTTTTATATATCATTTATCAACTTTTTTTGATAATCTGATAGATTCTCTTTTGAAGATGTTCTATATCTTTTCTTTTATAGTTTTAAATCAATTGATATGACCTTCACTTATTCCTTTGGCTGTTTAGGTTGTTTACTATTTTTTGCGTTGAAGTGCTCTTCATAGTTGCTACTCTGGATTTAAAATACTTGGATAGTATTAATGGGTTCTTCAATCAACCTTTAAGTGGAGGCTTCTGTGTATTTGATATTTAGAAGTCTAAAAGGAGAATATTAGACATTAAATGCTGCATTTTGAATCTTAGTGAGTGCTAACTGTTAACTATTATTACTAATTTACATATAAATTAATTAATAACTATCATTCATGAGCTAACTATTCTAAATCCTCTGCATAATTTAATTCGAAACATTAAAATTGCCTCGAAGATAGGCATGGAGTGTCTTTACATTCTACCAAATTTAAATTATTAATCATTTCCTCCAATGTTTTTAGAGTTATAGGTTTGATATAGACTTCTTTCATTCCAGCATCTATTAAATTGATTAAATCATCCTCTCCCGAAAATCCCGTCAATCCAAATATAGGAATTTGGATTCTAGGTGAATCTTTAAATATGGCCTATAATTTTTAAGTCGCTTCTTATCCATTCATAATTGGCATTTGATAATCCATAATAATTGCCTTGAATCCTAGACATTTATGTTCATCAAATTAAGATATACTGTTTTCGATCAGTTGAACACACTGCTTTCCATTATCAGCTTTAATTGATTGATATCCTAATTATTTAAGTAATGATTCCAAAACTAATAAATTATATGGTTCATCATCAACTATTACAATTTTCTATTCACAAATGCAACTAATGCTCTTAAAGAGACTCCCCTCCATATTTTTATAAAAGCTAGAAATGTTGTTATTAAACATCTATATACTCCCTTTTTTATTAGTCATATTCATATGGTTTGATGAAGATATTTTTGTTTTGCTAATCATATTGGTTCTACTGCTAATTTCTGGATCTGTCCAGATGTTAAATTTAAAAGATTGGCTCTCAATGTCTGGAATATTCCCTTCCAATTCAATCTAAGAACTCTCCTTATTATATAAGTCACTTGGCATGAATCCTTCTGTTAATTGAGTAATTCTGCATTTCAAATGAATACAAACAGTAGTTCCTTAATCCAACACTGAATCTATTGTGATATAATTGTCCTCTTCCTTTCCACTAATATATTTAATTAAAGCATTTGATGCTCTCAACCCAAGCATCATACCTGAAGCAGAATCTCTATCTAGATCTTGAAATGCTTTCTCTTCATTTTTCAACAAATTCTATATTGCTTCTAATTTCTATTGGTCTATTCCCATTCCATTGTCTCGAATTTCGATTAAGTAATATTCGTATAAATGAGTATTTGTCTGTTGTGGTTAGGCATTTGAGAATGAACTTGAAGGATTTATTAGTTGTTATTTGTAGGCAGTCGCTTTTCTTAACGGAAAATGAAATGAGCTCTCATTGACATCCTAAGAACTTCTGTATAGTTGAGAACCCTAAGAAGGTTATAGAGTTCTCTTGTCATTCTCTTTATTATGGATTAATTTATCCTTTTCCTTTTCCTAATTCTCTTTTGTAATTGTAATAAAAATTTATCCGCTTTTATTATTAAATTTTATACTATTTGAAATTATATGGATCAAAATACTTTAAAATTTCTCATAATCCAACATCTCATTTTGTACTTAATTTATTAATTTTGAAAATAATATTCTTATGTTCTTCATCTCAGCCTCTTCCTAAAACAGGTCAATGGCTTCTTATATAACAGATATCAGTTTGCATTTATCTAATTTGGTGACCAACTTTTTTTCTCTTATTAAATTATAATTTATAATTGAACTAATTATTAGGTTCTGAATTCTGCAATTATTAAAGGCAGCTCTCAATAGCTTATTCATTTCTTTATCATAGTTGTGGCTGTTACACTGAATTACTTGCAAAAAACCTTAAATTACATTTAATCGGGTTCTTAATTCATGAGATATGGAACGAATTACCTGACTTTTAAATTAATTCAGCTTCTTGTAATAAGAAGATTTAAAATTTGGAGATACATCATAGAGATTTAAGAGAATAGCATTTTTATTTAAACCGTACTATAATTTAGTTTTAATTCTGGCCTCTACTATTATTGGATATTCTTCACAATAATTCTAATTCTCATACTAACATCTTAATGTATATATGCTTCCTTAGGTCTATTATTCTAAGTTCATAATCAAGGTAATAGCTTAATTTAGATTAATTTAGTGTTGATCAGTAGAGTCAAATTTAGATTCAAGTCTATTTAGACTATCGGGATCAAATTATTCCGTTACTTCAGACTATGGTAAAGAAAGATTCTCGAAGAATGATACTATTTCATCAGATTTAGAGCTCAAAATCGATTCTTATGAAGGAAATCCTTATTTTTGCGCTAGATTAATGGATTTTGTCCCTCCAGAAAGTCCTCCATAATTCAAAGAACTTATCAATCGTTTTGTAAAATTATTAGTAAATAGAACATCTTAACAATTCTAATCTAATACACAAACAGCACTCGGAATACTTTTCAAAGTTTGGTCAGTAAATTGTGAAACCTTGCTTAAATTGATTAATTGCTAATCCCAGAAGTATAATATCAAGATTAAGAAAAATAAGATATTTACAGATTGAAAAGTCTTAAAATGAAAAGTGATCCCTCTAGCTAAAAAATAAGCATAAAATTTCAGTAATATTATAATCCTTAATTTGATTGTTCTAACTATCACTAATACAAGTAATAAGTTTATAAACAACTAACAAATCGTTAATGATCTATTCTCTTCCTCACTATTCAAATAAAGTTCAATAAAAAATGTTTAAAATGAAGTTTCAATCAGAATAAATGTAAATATCATAAGTGTCAATTTATAAGACTCCCTTATATAATTAATAATCCTTTCAATAGCAACCACATACAAAACTATAGCAACAAATTAGATATAAAAATAAAAAGTTGTGTATGGCTTATTNTAAAATTTCTCATAATCCAACATCTCATTTTGTACTTAATTTATTAATTTTGAAAATAATATTCTTATGTTCTTCATCTCAGCCTCTTCCTAAAACAGGTCAATGGCTTCTTATATAACAGATATCAGTTTGCATTTATCTAATTTGGTGACCAACTTTTTTTCTCTTATTAAATTATAATTTATAATTGAACTAATTATTAGGTTCTGAATTCTGCAATTATTAAAGGCAGCTCTCAATAGCTTATTCATTTCTTTATCATAGTTGTGGCTGTTACACTGAATTACTTGCAAAAAACCTTAAATTACATTTAATCGGGTTCTTAATTCATGAGATATGGAACGAATTACCTGACTTTTAAATTAATTCAGCTTCTTGTAATAAGAAGATTTAAAATTTGGAGATACATCATAGAGATTTAAGAGAATAGCATTTTTATTTAAACCGTACTATAATTTAGTTTTAATTCTGGCCTCTACTATTATTGGATATTCTTCACAATAATTCTAATTCTCATACTAACATCTTAATGTATATATGCTTCCTTAGGTCTATTATTCTAAGTTCATAATCAAGGTAATAGCTTAATTTAGATTAATTTAGTGTTGATCAGTAGAGTCAAATTTAGATTCAAGTCTATTTAGACTATCGGGATCAAATTATTCCGTTACTTCAGACTATGGTAAAGAAAGATTCTCGAAGAATGATACTATTTCATCAGATTTAGAGCTCAAAATCGATTCTTATGAAGGAAATCCTTATTTTTGCGCTAGATTAATGGATTTTGTCCCTCCAGAAAGTCCTCCATAATTCAAAGAACTTATCAATCGTTTTGTAAAATTATTAGTAAATAGAACATCTTAACAATTCTAATCTAATACACAAACAGCACTCGGAATACTTTTCAAAGTTTGGTCAGTAAATTGTGAAACCTTGCTTAAATTGATTAATTGCTAATCCCAGAAGTATAATATCAAGATTAAGAAAAATAAGATATTTACAGATTGAAAAGTCTTAAAATGAAAAGTGATCCCTCTAGCTAAAAAATAAGCATAAAATTTCAGTAATATTATAATCCTTAATTTGATTGTTCTAACTATCACTAATACAAGTAATAAGTTTATAAACAACTAACAAATCGTTAATGATCTATTCTCTTCCTCACTATTCAAATAAAGTTCAATAAAAAATGTTTAAAATGAAGTTTCAATCAGAATAAATGTAAATATCATAAGTGTCAATTTATAAGACTCCCTTATATAATTAATAATCCTTTCAATAGCAACCACATACAAAACTATAGCAACAAATTAGATATAAAAATAAAAAGTTGTGTATGGCTTATTAAAACTGGAGAAATATAATGAGTTGTAAATAATTACGTATATAATTCCAATTATAGCATAAAATTTCACCAAAGCAATAAAAGTTGGCCATATTTTTTAACGAATCAATTAATTGTGTTAAGCACTGTATGTCTCGTTTCTATAATCATCTAAAGTTATTGATATTAAGTGTTTTAATTTTTTTATATACATATTAAAATTTATTCATTCAAACCTTGTAAGCTTGTTGCAAATAACAAAATTATATTTACAAATTATTATTTATTATAGACATAGACAAATTATTTGGTTAAGAGGGATTTTGTATATTATAAAGTTCATACTTATATTTATTATAATAATATTCCTTCAATCATAATAGACTCTTCCAGTCATCATATTATAGAAATCATCGAAGGTTACAAAACCATCATCATCAAGATCAGCTTTTCTAAATATCTTTTTAATTTCCTCATCATTTAAATCATCCCCTAGATCAACTGAGACTCTTTTCAATTCATCCCAAGTGATTCTACCTATTGTCATTCAAAAATGATAACCTTCACGATTTAGATCAAATAAATTGAAAGTTCTCATTAAAGAACCCCTTGTCTCTTTTAAATTTTATTTAGCCGTGGCCAATTTGATAAAATTGTCAAATGAAAATCCTCCTTAATTATCTTGATCAATTTCCCCTAAAACTTAATAAATCATTTTATTTTGAGCTCTAAGTCCTAATTCTTCAAAAGCTCCCTTTAATTCAGCAGGATCAATTGTGCCACTTCCATCATCATCAAATAAATCAAAGGCTTTCTAAATTTAGACAAATTTCTATAATTACTAACCTTTAATTCAATAACTTCATCTCGGCTTAAATTTTATCTCACATAAATATCAGGATTGAATTATTTATCTTCTTAAACTGGTTTTGATGGAGGAGGAGGTGGAGGAGGTTGTTATACATTTTTCGATTCTTTTTTTGATTGTTAACGAGGATTCGATCTCATTTATCAAATTTATATAAAATATTTAATAATAATACTAAGTAAATAAATTATATTCATTATTCATTTTTAATAAAATATAATTATTGGTATAGTTTATTTGTTTACTTCCTCCCTTAAATGATATACTAAGATAACTAAAAAATTAAATTTATGATTTAAATGATTGCATCTTATTCTACTTAACCTTCTCCTACAAACTTATATTTTTATTACTTATTTTGGTTTTTTAAAACTATTACATTACTTAGGAGTTCTCTATCATACCCATTAAGGAAATTACTAAAATGATTGAATTACAAATCGCCTCTTACTCTTAATTTCTTAAGTTAAAAAAAGTGTTTTTAAATTAATCATTCATAATTTAGGTTTTTCCTTCAGTTTTACTTCTTAAATAATATAAATTTGAATTATTAATGAAACTTATCAAAACAATAATTCTATCTCAATAATTTAGTTGATAAAATAGCTTGGAGATTAATCTCTATCTTAAACTTAATGTAATATTATAATTCCTCAATAAAATAATATGAATCCTATTAATTATTTAATATCAAACAAACTTTCATAATTTTCCTACTTATTGACAGATTTCATTAGATTAATGAAGCAAAAGGATCATATGCTAATAATTTTAAACTTAGCTAGTAGTTGTTATGATTTTGCTTTACAAGATATATTTTATTTTAAATAGGTTTGAATAATTAAAAGAGTTATAGATTTATGATAACAATAATGTCATTTATTAATCTTAATGATTTAATTTAATAAATAATAAATAAAATAATCATAAACCTATCTAAATCTTCAATCACTACTTGAGGATATATTGATTTATAATAATATCATAGTTTTCCAAAGCTTAATACACTCTTACAATGGAATTTCTGATTTCCAATCTCTTGTTATGAGTTGAAATGATTTCAATCTTAATGAGCTTGAAGCAGGCTAATAAAATGAAGTTTAAGATTTGTAATCTTTTCTGATTTGGTCAACACTTCTACTCTCATGAATAAATTGACATCTAGCTCCATAAAAGCATACCTAAATGTATATTAAGTGTTAATAACATAATCCTAATGGAAAGATCGACACAGTTTGGATTTGTATTTCTGATTACACTATCGATTTATCATTTCATTTTAACCGTGTGCAAATTAACACTTATTTCCATAATTGCATTTACCCAAAATACTCCAATTTTTGCACATTTCTGTTTTAAATTTTACATGGCTTTCGGATTCATCACTTGAAGAAGTCATTTCTTCAATTGGATAATCATCCTAAACATAAAAATCTGTGCTCATTGTTGCTAATGTGGCTACTGTACTTGTTGATCCCCTCTTTTCTTATTCATTCAGATCAGTAAAGGAATATCTGTTCGTGTTTTTAATATTCTTTTCAGCCCATTTAGGTTACTTAGGTGTATAATTATTCATATCAACATTCAGACTACGTCTATATTTCAATGATATTTGATAATGAAAACCTTTCAGAATTAATCTTTTAATCTTTCTTATGAACTGAGCTCCTCTGCTTACAAGTTCTATACTTATTTGACTCCTGCATGAACAATAAGTTGAATCGTAATCAGAAATATATAATAATATTTTAGGATTGCAATTAATATTATTTCCCATACCAAAGTATGAAGCAGTGTTCATGAAATATTATTCAAAGTATGTTATATATATATATTGAATAGTAAGTAATATTACTTCATTTGAGTTTAATCTTGAATCTATTAGTTCTATCTTAGAGAATATCCTTGGTTGTTTTCTCCTCTTGCACCATAGTACTGAGAAAAGGATTTGAAAACCTCTTTGATTCAGGAATTTTATGAATCTCGATCTTGTTTATTAATTATTATGAATTGTTGCGACCGTGTTTAAGATCAATGTAGATTGGACTCTAAACTCTTTCAGTCTAACAACTCTAATCAGCAGTATGAGGCTATATCTATGAAATTATAGAGCTCTTATTGCTTAAATCACAGAACCTAACCTCTGATCCTCTATATGTAAATGACTTATCTTAGTTTTCTTTCTCAACTATAAGTCCTTTGATTTAGTTAATTATTAATTTCTACTTTCTCATATTTGATGCTATTTGCTACTCAACATTTTAAACAATAACCTTAGTTTCCTGCTCCTTTTAGACATTTTAATATAATGAATTTAAGTTCTTGTGCAATCCATTATTTATAACAAAATAGCCATTCAATTATTATTCGAGATTCTAAATCTCAATTGATATTGATCTCTTTGGCTATTCGATCTAGATCTAAGTTATAGCCTAGGTCAACTGAGTTTTGATAGCACAAGCTTATTGAGCATATTTCAAAGTATTTTCAGTTTCTTCGCTAAATTGCTTACTTACACATGCAATGAAGAGAGTCATCGAATTTCCACTAAGAGATTACTTTAAAATTCGAGTCAATTTAGAATTTCTATAAGGAATGTGGGATTTACATTAATTTAGCATCATAATGCATTGTCCCAAGGCCAAAAGAGATTTATTAATATTTTAACCTTCCTATTGAATCTTCTATGTGCCTCCATTTTTATAATTGTAGCATCTTTCACTACCTGCCAAATCTGCAAGTATTAATTTGCCATCATATTTTACATTTTATTTCTCGTCATAATTCACTACTTGTATCTATACAATCGCATGGGATCTTGATGAGTATTAATTACTAGCAGTTGAAGCTAATTATCTTCGTTTTTGTGCTTATTAAATCAATTAAACAAGATGGTCCTCGTCAATTATGCATTATTGGGATAACCCAGGGATCTAAGTGTCTCCATTCTTGTCTTCCTAAACCTGCAGATTCTATGCATTCTATTCTAACAAATCAATAATCTGTTCATTATATATTTCGTAAAAACTAATCTTTATAAATCCATTTTTCTTTAGCTGAAAAAGTTCCTTAACTGCTTAATAGACTATGCCATAGTGATCCTTTAATTTATTATTTCATTACATTTGAGTTCCCAAACATTGTATGTGTTTTGCCAGATCCTGTCATTCCATAACACAACACTGTCATATTGAACCCTTCAAATATTTTGCTTATAAATTTCGATAAGGTCTACTAAATTAAACAATAATACTCCTTCATAAACTGATAAATTGGAATCATTTTCAGTAAAGATTTTCTGAAAACTCATCTCTTTGTTGGATATTCTAAGCTTAATATTTAAATTTCAAAGTTACTATATTTTCATTAACAACTTCGATCGGATTGGTTGAATCTGAATGGGAGCGTATACGAACAAAAACCTAAAAAGGTTGGTTGATTTTCATATAAAATTTATTTAACGTATATATATAATATAACATTTATATAATTAACACCTAATATTAGAAAATTGCAAGTAACCTTCCACTCCAATGGTCTTACCCTTACATTCTCAAGCAACCCACTAGCCCATACTAATGTGAAACATAACAATTTTAATATGATAATACAATAGTTAATTCACAAGATCTAGACATCTTCTTACATCAAAATAACTGTGCAATCACTCTCTCCTCCTTCTTTTTCATTATTAAATTTGTATTATATTTGTGCTTCTGCTACCTTTCATTTTAATAACTTTCTAAAGGTTTTTCTAAGAGATCACTCTTATGTTTTTGTTAAAGGCATTTACAAAATAAGTAAAAGCGCTCTTTGTCATGCAATTTCTGTGATAGCAGATCTAAATCTGATAGCAATAGAAATAGGCAATCAATGTGTCTTACTGCTTTTTCAATTTACTCTAATTTAAGGGTTGCAGCAAATTGAAAATTCAAATTCTTATCTTTAGCAAGCAATTATTGAATAAATTAATATATGCTAATCTCTATCTTTTAAGGATCCAACATTTTCGATATGCATTGTACTAAAAATTAACACAGAAGCAATTTCTATTGATTATATTAATAAAATACTAAATGTTAAATAATTGGTTATTTTGTAGTTCTCTCAATATGGGTAAGAATGACATTTAAAGATTCTAAAATTAACCTAAAATTCAATTAATTTATTTACATATTATAATTTGGATCTAGCAATGAAGAGTAATCTATAAAAAACACTTTAAAGAATTCAGGATAGTCTAGAAATAGATTTTATTTCATCTTGATTTCCTTGTTGATAGCATTCTCAATAATGAAATTGCTTGTGTGTCTTTTTACTAAAGAGAATAGAGCTTTAATGAGAAGTGGCTGAGCAAAGTTCAGATTATTGACAGTGAATTCTTGATTATCGAGTTTGATCATTTTTTGATTGACTAAAGAAGTGAACCTGCCCCATATTTTTTCATTAAAACTTTTGGTTTATGTCCATTTCTCAAAAAATATATATTCTTCTTTGAATTAAACTTCTTCAGGAGATTTTAAGATTCCTAAGTTTAGAACGGTGTCATTTTAAAAGTTCAATTAGATTAATATATCTACTATGCTTTTCTTGTCATCACATTCCAATAGACAATTTAGTAGAGCTTCGATGCCTTTATTGATTGTTTACGATCTTTTAATGGTAAATGCTATTAAATTTGTGTCTAAGCTGCTCAAATCTTCAAATTTTGGATTGATCCTTAAGTGATAAGATACCAAGAGGCTCAATTTAGGATAGTGTTGTAATATCAAATCAAGCTCATGTTATTAAATTTATTCATCAAAACTTAGTGAAACCGACAACACTTCCTTTTTAGTCTAATAATTCATCAATACGATATCTAGAGATGATTTTAGGAATTAACTATTTTATGCATTAAAGATTAGATTAAGAAGAGGAAATTTAATTTAGGGATTTACTAAAAATGACATGAGTTAGAAAGGAAATAAGTTAGGATCGCTTCTGCTTATAAATTGTTGAGCTTCAACTTATGAGATTTCCTTTCTAAGATACCATAACAACACTATTTCTGAATGCAATTAATTGGGTGTTTGTTGCAATATTAAATTGGAAACATTTTGAGATAACAATCTTCCTTATAAAAATTCCTTTAGTATTATTTGTCTAGTTTTTTGTTGATCAAAACTTTGAATTTGTGATAGTGTTTTGAGTTGAAATCCTCTATTTGGACTAATAATTGTATAATTATTCATAATATAAAAATAAATATAAAATGAGTTCAAGGCAAATACACAAATTAAATCTGATTTGAATCGACTTCAATTGATTAGTTTTTAAATTCGATGACAAGTTTTGATGGTCTATTTGCTTTGAGCAAGCCTTTTTCTGATTAACTTAATTGAGTGAATTTAGGGAAATGCAAATTGCCAATATTTGTGAGATAACCATAGAGAGATATCAATAATTTGCGATGAACTTTGTTTTCATATGAAAAAAGGGCTTTCTAATATTTAAGTAGAAGATATATAAGGTTTCGTGATTGATTGATTCTGAAAACTCTGGGGGATTAACGCTTAACTATGGTTTCTACATTTGTATCAGTATATTGATATAAATTCAAGTCGCCATCCTGATTTAACCTTGGTTTAAATGAAATTCCTAGAATTTACTATTAAAGTGGAATGTAATTCGTACCTAAAATATTTCACAAGCCTAAGCCATAAATGCTGGAATGAGTAGAAATTAACACACTAAAATATAGAACATAATAATGACAGCAGCAAAATAATGGCCCTTCTATACGAATCCTTTAGACAAACTACCATCCCAATCATCTAAAGTGAGAGTTTACAAATAAATAAGCAAAGTGTCTAATATATCAATTGATTCAAATGAATGATAGAAAGACTTAATAATTCCCATCACAATCAATGTCAGTATAAGCATAAGTATATATGGGGAGAGTGAAGAGGATAGAACTCGAATGGCAATGTAACTAATATCTCTAATGCTTGGGTTTGTTAGGATTTTAAACATGATCAGGATTGGACTGTACTTGATTTATTGAGTAGTGATCAATTCAAACAGGGAATAGGAAAAAGCCACTGGTCCTGAAAGAACATGAAAGGTAAGCTAAATGTTTGAGTAATATGAGTTTTGGGCTTCAATGTCCTTCAACACTATTACTGCAGTCCAATGCAACGTATAAATGAGAGATACAAAGATGTGAAAGCAAATGTAATGGAAATCATTAATGCTATTGAGTCTGTTCTACATATTTGCATACAACAATTGAATTATCCACACAAGGAGTACGATTCTTGATTATTGCTTTCCAAATATAATCGAATAGTATCTTTAAGGTAATAAATTCTGGGATCTATGGGATATTGACTTTTCATCTATATCGACTTTGCCTTATTTTACTAATTCGTCTAAGATCATCACATCAATCTGAAATGCTTGAATTAGAAACCAAAAGAACATCGCCAAAATAGTTATAAAGGAGAATATCAACACTATTACTGAAATCCCAGTCTTGGGCAGTAACTATTTAGTAATATCACCCCATCCATCAATTGTAAGTATCTATAATAAAGTGAAAGCACTAACTCCTATGTTCTTAAAATAATGCTTATTCACATCACAATAAAGTATGGTGCATAAGTATGTAAATACAAAATAAACTACTATTGAAGTGAATATTATTGGCAAACTATTGACAAAAGTATTATAAATATCGGACAAATTTTACTTTTAAAAATTGGTTGCAAATAATTTTAACGATTTTAATATAATCGAAAACCAGCAAAATTAATGAAATTACATGAAATATGCAACATTCAAAAATAATTAGACTGGGCCACTTAGCAAATGCAATATTATATTTATATGAAATTCATTCTCCATCTTCTTAACTCTTAATTATTTAAGATATTTATTTACTTGTAATAACTATCATATATATAATAAAGACTCGTCAAAAAATCTACTAATAGTCCAATATATTTTTTATAATCATGTTATCGAGGAGACAACATATGTTCTAAGTGAAGACAAATATTTATTATATAAGTGCCTATCATAATAAATAGCAGCGTCTCGTTTTCCCCTCTCAATCGGTACTTAGATGACAAAGCTTCATTGATGACATCAATGGTCGGTCTCGATTGTTTATTATTTGATCCTACATTTGCACTATTTTCTAATTCAAATTCCTTTATGATTGAATCAGCCATCCTAGACTTGGCTGGAGTTTCTATGTCTGACAAAATCTCTGAATCACATTATTGGATAGTCCATTAATTTTATTCAGTTACTTAGGTTGGCTGAGTCTGCTTAGGATTGGGTTATCGAAAAATATCTTCCGTATCTGCAGAAGAACAATTCTTCTTCTTTAGTATGATTGTTTCTCTAAAATAATTATTCATTAATATAAGTAATCAGTTATTATACAATTTATCTTTTAACTTTCCTGCCAAGATTAACTAGATTGTGGTTTTGATTGCTACTAAGATGTTCTAACTCCTTGTATTTTCTGGATTAGATATCCAGACCCTCTTATTGTCTCTCCAAGATAAAAGAGATAAAACCTCACTTAATTTATCATTCATACTTAATAGCGTGTCTATCGCTTTTGAATGTCCTCCACAAGTGAATGGCTCTTGGTTCTCACTTTTGGAATTGCTTTAAAAGAAGACTAATTGAAAACTATAAGATTATCAACATTTTAGATATCTTTTTATTTAATGAGATATTTGTCCCTAGGACTTTAAGCATTATTTAGTTTTATTCAGTTTATTTATCTATCTGCCAAATTTTTAATAATTCCTGTTTAGAGGTATTCTAGTAGACTATTAATTAGTATATAAAAAATTACAGAACTTTAGAAACTTTAATTGATATATTAATTCACTTTTTTAGTTTTTTGATAGAACTTCTTTTCTTGTTTTACATCTTAATCATTAGAAGAAACAATTTACTCTTCCATTCGATTCATTATTATGCTTTTTTTTTATTTAATTAATTGATTTTTCATATCAATTTATTAGATTCATAAGTAAATCTGGATTTTCTATTAATATCTTAATATATTACAAAGAAATTATTAAAGTGTAGATGTTAAACTTAATTATTGGATTTACTATTCCAAAATAATCAAAAATATTAATATTTTTAAGCCCATAAGTGTAAGGTTTTAAAGAATTAATATTTCATATAATATAATTTTATCCTGTTTATGCGACTATTTAGGTTCTTAATGGAATTTAAGAAAGCAGAAAGAAATTTGAATGCCTGCAGAAGTATTTTATGTTAAAACTATTGATTTGGTGAATATCTTTATAGATTTAGGTTTAAGACCTGTTCTAGATGTTCGAAATGGCATCTAAAGATCTCAAAGAAAATTAATATAATAAGAAATTTCAATACTGAGTTAATGATATAATTTAATTAAGATGAGAAAAGCATCATTATAAAGAGTTCATTCAAAACAAATAATAGATAATTTTGATGAATATATTATTTATAAGATTATGTTTGGTATATGATATCTAATCTCTCAAAATAATAGTCGTGATATCTCAGAATAGTTAAGAGAACTAGATCAAGAATTAATACATATAATTTATTTATTAAATTGCCTTTATATTTATTTCATGTCCAAAAAGGGCAAGAAAGGAAAAAAAGGAGAAGACAATGATGAATCCACGACCCAAATCATGAGGTTTTACAACAGAAAGATTTAGAGTCTTGGGGTGGCATAAAATAAAATATTTGTTTAAGCAGTTGCATAAGCAATAGAAAATCAAGAACATTTAACGACTGTAATTAATAGTACAAAATTTAGCTTCACATTATTGAGGAAATAGGGCCTAATGCAATTAGAGGAATTTTCGAAGCATTGATGGATCTCAAGTATAATTAAATTCAAAATTAGTTATAAGCATTTGGCCAATATTTGGTTAGTCAAAGCAGGTCTGGGACTCAATAATAATGAAGGTGTCAAATATTTGGCAAATTATATATAAAAAGCTCAAAATACCAAAGTCTTGGATTTGACAGAAAATGAAATCACTCCGCAAGGTTGCACTTATCTCGGTTACGCCCTATCCCCAGCTTTTAAAGTTCCCTTGCAGGAGCTAATTCTTGACTTTAATTATATTGGTTGTGAAGGAATGAAAGAACTATGCAAGGGATTGGAGATGAATAGTAATAACATAAGTTGATTATTTTTTAGCAACAATCAGAAAGCTTTCCCTCAATTATTGTAGATTGGATTTAGAAAGTGTTAAATATCTATAGGACATTCTCTCCTTTGTCGATTGTGATTTAAGATATTTATTTTTAGAGGGAAATTATTTAAGAAATCAAGGGTATTAAATAAATTCATTTTAAGTGTCTATTAATTGTTTAGGTCTTTGGAAACTAATGAATGGTTGGAGGAATTAAATATTGCAAACAATCAATTTGGAGAATCTGAAGATGTCCCACTCATTGAAAAAATATGTGAAGTCTTAACCAAAAATAGTTCTATTTAAGTTTATGACTTTAGAGGAAATGCTTTATATGATGATTGTATTGATAACCTTAATATAATAGCTGCTAAAAAATTCTTAGAGTGCATCAAAATGTATAAAACTGTTTGCAGATTAGAAGTACCAATAGAAATATAAAATGCAATTCTTGAAGAAATCAAAAAAGTTACAAAAAAAAGAAAGAGAAGAAAGAATAAGAAAAAAAAGTCTAAAAAGAAGAAAAAAGCAAAAAAATGATTACCATTATCAATAATATTAAATTGCTATTCTATCTATTAATAGTATTTTCAATATAAAAGTAAATTATTTCTAAAGACAATTTCTCTATTTACGTGAATTATATGGAATATATCTAATATAATTAGTAATAATTTTCACAATTAACAATTTCTTATTGAATTACAATTTCTCTATCCTTTTGATTACTTTCTATAATTGCTTAATTTAAAATTATAAATCAAGAGTCTTTTTTTATAATTTTATATCAATTGTATCTATCTATTAAGTTTTATTTAGTTGATAGGCAATTAAATACCATCATTTGATAAATATTTTTACTAATATTAATTATAAGTAAAAAATATTTAAAATTAATATTCACAGGGATTGTTGTCAAAATTTAAGAAATAATATTATGAAGTTCAGAGTTATTAATAATTGTGCTTATAAAATAATATCATTTTAGCTTTAATACAAACTTTTCATTTTGAGAATAGTTTTAGAAATTCTTAGTACGAAATCTTTCCGTCTTAATTATGATCAGTTTCCTATAAGAATAATTGCCAAACATCTTAGTTCAATGTTCCCATCACATCTTCGACTTCTTACTTTGTAATATACCCATCCCCATCCAGATCAAATATGCGAAATGCTTATTCAATCTTCTTTTACGAAAGGATTTTCGATTGATTAATTGAGGCCATGATAAATTCTATGTATAATCCGACATAGTACCACTATAATCAATTTAGCCTGAAAAATTTTTATCTATCTCTTCTAAAATTCTTTCCGCTTATTATTCGGCTTACTCTTAATTTTTCATAATTCTCTTATAACCTTGAATTAATTCCTCTTTACTCAGAACACCATCTCTATTTACATCCAAAGATTGGAAAGTATGCTATAAATCTTCAATCTCTTTATGATTCGTCATTTAAGATATTATATATTGAACAATAGCTGTTCTGAATTCACTGGTTGCTTGGAATTAAGATAAATTATCTAACACTTTTTTATTAATAGGTTGATTAGTGGCATGTTTTTAGAACCATGGATCATTCAAAGCTTAGGCTGCAGAATATCTTAGATTGACATCCACTTGTATCATCTTCTAAATTAAATGTTTAGCCTCTTTTGAAACGAATTCCCATTCCTCATCTAAATTATTAATTGAAAAGTACTTGGGAACTTCAATCTACCCAACTTCACTTTTTCGAAGATTTCTTATTCAGTCTTTCCTGTAAATGGAGGATAACCACATAACAGAATATATAGAATTACTCCACAAGACCAAATATCGCATTTTTCTGTATAATTGTGTCCTAAAACTTCAGGTGCAATATAATAAGGCTATAATAGAGGTTAGAAATTATACAGTGCCCAATCTTTTGGTCATTTTTGAAGTATTAAACCTACGAGAACATCCGAAATCAATTATTTTAAGATTTTGATCAGGTTCAGGACCTGAGAAAAGAACATTCTCTGGTTTTAAGTCTCTGTGAACAATTTTTTAGTCATGACAATAGTTAATAGCAAGTAAGATTTAACGAATTAATTCACTTGCTCTTTTTTCTGTAAAGACTTACATTTTCTTGATTCTTTCAAATAATTCACCTCCAGATAAGTGTTCAGTTATCATATAATAATTATTTTGGTCTTGATACAATTCATATAATTTGACAATGTGAGGATGATCAAGATTCTTTAATATATGCATCTCTTGAAACAATTTTTATTCATCCTCTTTAATTAATTCTGATTTCTTTATCTGTTTCATAGCTCTTATCAAACCTATTTTAAATTATATTAATTTACCAGTTGTTTTATGTGTTACTTTCCATACTTTTCCGAAAGCTCCTTATCCAAGCACTTATCCAAATGTGTAAACCTTATTTATTGAGGCTTTCTTTAGGTTTACAAATAGTTCAACACCCATTCGAACAGTTAAGGAACTCATCGAGCCTATTGATTTTTTGGTGGGACTAGCACTCTGATCTTAAATTTATCTATTTGTTGTTCTGATCCTGGGCGAAGTGAAAGTTGTATTGTTGTATTATTCTACAGTCAAGGATTCCTTTCTTTAACCATTTTTTTTTAAAGGAGATGGAGATTGTTAGGGTAAATTCATAGCGGAGTCTAGTTAAATTGGACTTAATTGTAGTAAGTTAGTTTCTTATTGATTTGGGCTTCGAATTTCCTTATTATTAATATTTAGTTATTCACTTTCAATTGAAATATTTCTGCTAAGATTAATTTCACCATTTGGTGTATTTACTTACTCCTCCATTAGGTCACTTCCAGGTTTGATAGACTCTAATTATAAGATTTGAATCTATTGTTTCATAGCTTCTAGTTTTGTGGTTGTTTGAGATTCCTTTCCCAGCAGCGGAAGTGGAAGAGGTGCTACCATCTGACTTTACTCTTATTATGAAACACTCTATTTCTGTAGTACTAGTGCACTTGATCCTTATTCCAAGCACAATTCTGCTATCGATAACTTCATCATCTTACCGTATGTGGAACTTTAGAATTTGGTGTGGCAACAAGTTGATCCCATTTTTGGATATGTTAGTAACTTATTTAATTATTATCATTTTATAACAATGTTATTAACATGTATCATAAAGCCACTATTAATTGAATCTTTTTTGAATTACGATCTTAATTAATTAATACTTTGTTTAAGAATTTTATATATATTTTCTAACACCACTTTGGATGAAAATAATCCCTCTCTCTCTCATTTATAAACACGATATCAGCTTTTAACTGTTTTTTATTTCGTTTTTAAATGTTTAAAATTCCTGAAACAAATTAAGTATAATTATTGTGGCACACAAATCCAGCTTTTGCTATTTTTGCACGGATGATTAAAAATCTAATTGTCTTCTTGCTTTTCCAATAGGGAGACAGACAGGAGTGAGTGTTTAATATACTTATTTTTTAAATGTAAATTAAATTGTATACATTTATTTGACATTAATAATTTGCATTCCATTTATTAATTAAATATGTTGAGCATTTCAAAATAAAAATAATACCCGAATATACAAGATCGATTATCAGGAATGTTGATTACGAAGAATGCCCCAATTAGAAATTATTCAACTTGTAAGACTATTATTAATACCAATTCAGCGACCAGACATTCAAGGATTTCACATTAGGCAAAATAAAAATACTCCTAGAATTAAAGTGAAGATAAGGGAATCTCCAGTAGAACCTTTTCGGTAAATGAGGTCACAGAATTGCCATAAATATCAAAACCAACAAAAGTAATACTCAAAAGGCCAAATTTCATTCCTAGACCAAAATAATAATTTAGGAAATTAATGCATGTTTAAACTTCGCCGTCCAATTTTGAATCTGAAAGAAAGTAAAAGTTGTTGAATTAGATAGAGTAATTCAAATTGCCTTTAATTTGAGACTATTAATTTAAATATAGAGGCTGAGGATGTTTACATTTTATACAAAGGTTTCAGAAATTTGAATTAATTCAATAAGATTTGCATCTTAAGTTATAATCTTGTATACTTAAATATTATGATAGTTATTTGGGGAATACAATAGTCACTATTTTATTAATACCCTCTAAAATCCTTAGATTAAACCCCAAAACAATAAGCAATTGATTATGAAAATTAGGACTGAATCCATATTACTCCTACAATTGAATCCAAATCAGAAGCTCAATTCTTTGCACAACACTTAAATCGATTGGTTTGATTGTATTTATTCGACTCGAAACTATCATTCCAAAGAAACACTTAGCAGTAAGTTAAACAAAAATAATTTATGGGTCAACATTTCGAAGATTCCAAATCTCTTTAAAGTCTAAACTAAAATAATGAATTACTACTACATTGATGTCATATATTCTGATCCATCAAATATCTTTGAAGTCGATAATTACATCAACAAGATATTATTAATTGACGATGAAAACACTAGGTTGTTTCATTTATTTGTCAATGCTCCAGCAGATCTTCAGATTGTAAATCAAAGATTGCAGGAGATCTTTAGAAACAATCAAACTCAGGATTTACAAAAGGTGGATTTGAAGGAAATGATTGAAAAAACTAATTTGGATATGCAATTGATTTAGATGAGAATCAAACAATTGAAATATTTGAATGATCTCAAGGTTAAGACCAAGCAACACTTTAAAAAATAACATTTAAGTGCTTATCCATTCAGTTCTGAACAAAGAGCAGAAAAGTAAGATGATGTAATGATATATGATTAGAATGAGAAATGAAATTGTGGAATACATCAAAAGCAATTCAAAAATAAAGATCACTAATATGCATTTTGTTGTGGGTGATACCATAATGAGAAACATTGAAATGTTTAGAAATCATGAAAATGATAAATTTTACAGGCACCAAGAAACTGTTCAACTAATTGATCATTTTATGAAAAATAGTTTACAGAACTTTTAGAATAATATCAATAAAGCAAATTATGCATTCTATTGTTTATGATAATTACTTGATAAATTAAATCTTTTTTTAAAATATAAACAAAATGGTTAAAAACTCTGCTCAAGATCCATAAGATAACTCACTCCAAATGAAAGTAAAATATTAAAGCAATTTTTGTGTAGACCAGATAATATTTGGTCTCTGGAAGAAGACTCCCATCAAAGGAAGATCCAAATCCCAAGGTTATCAGCATGAGAATCTTTGCCAGAAATACAGTTGCTGCAAAAAGCAGATTCTGGTATATTGCATAAAACAATGGTTAGGTGGAATTTGAGAAGATTGAATAAGCTTAGACCATCACATGGTTAGATCTTAGCAGTTCAAGAATTATTTGAAAGAAGAGACACCAATGTCAAGACCTACGGAATTGTACTCAAATACTAATCAAGAACAACAATCCACAACATGTATAAAGAATTCAGAGACACAACATTAAATGGAGCAGTCTCACAATTATGTAAATTATTGCATAAACCTCCTTTAGATCAAGAAATGGCCGGAAATCACAGAGCCCAACCACAAACCATTCACATCCTCAGAACTTCAGTATTAACTAAGAGTGCTGATATCAAGAGAGGAAAAACCAATCAATATAGAGTATCATATGATAATAAGCTTAGGGTGATTCCATCAAATTCCCAATTGTCAAAACCGTACCAAGAGCCAGCCACAAAAAATTCAGAACAGTATTCAAAGCAAAAAGACCCAACCTCTACAGATCATGATCACCTTATTTTAGTACAATATTCATCATATAATAATATTTAATTATATCTAGTCATCTAAAATTGTATGTTAACATTTTGCATAACAATATCAAAATTATAAAGTTTATTATCAGAGATTCTAAAGACACACTTTTGAAATAAATTAGTAAACTTCCTAGAAATTGTTTCTTTCCTCCTAATCAGAAAAGTCGACAAACGAATCGTCACCGAATTCCATGTCCTTTAAAAAACTTTAGGCTTATTATGCTGATATTCTAAGCTTGGGATCAGGTTCTAGCATTCTATCTAATAATTTTCGAAGTCCAAACTTCCTTCTTAAAGTTGACATAGTATTCTAACTAGACTGGAAGATACTATATTTATCAAAGATTGTTTTTTAAAGACTCTTACCAGTTAACCTAATACATAATTCTATTTTTTACATTTCATGAAGTAGTTCACCTAAACAATATACATCTTAAGCAAACCAAAATTATCTATCAAAATCCTCATTATTTTAATTGCCTTCTAAATTACTGGGTAACATCAATTCATTCATTAAATCTATATCTTTCGTACCTCTTTTAGTTCTCAGGATTTCACCCAATTTAGTAATTTGTCCAAATTCAGTTACAACTATTCGACCATCCTTCTATATAAATATATTATCTTGAGATAAGTCCCTACATATGAACCCTTTTCTATGCAAAGCAATTAGAAGACTCAGAAGTTGCTTTAGTAAATTAGATAACATTTATTACTTTTAAGACAACTATTACTTCTTCTTTTTTCATCTTATATTAGGAGTTCATTCTCTCCCTTAAGCTTCTTCCTTCTAAGTACTCAAATATAATGTAAAATTTATCGTTTTCAACGAAATACTCCGAAATTGCTATCATGTTTTTATGTTAAAGATTTAAGACTTCTAATTCTAACATAAAATCCTTAGTTAAGATTTAAATTAATACAAGCATATTGTAATTAATGCTATTTGGTGTCACTTTCATTTGATACGGTCTCTAATCTATACAACTGTGAACAAGCATAATCTACAAGTACGTTTATAAGTATTATATATGTTACTGTGTTTTGAGAGTGCCATCGAATTTATTTTACTTTATTAAACATTTTGACAAGATTACTATAGGAGACTTTTCCATCCAAAATACTTTTCAGTCGTAAACAATTATGATAATTCACAACCATCGTTTTCATTTTCTACTTCCATTTAAACTTGAATCCGATGAATCGATTTCTGTCATCATAAACCCAAGTAATTATTGTTGTCAATTCCAATTAGATTGTGTATTTTATTTGTTGTTCATTCTAATGATTTTAGTTGATGCTTACCTTCCCTATTTGAATAGAGTTCTCTTTTTCGTATATGAAATATTCAGTATCTCTAAAAAAATGCTTACTTTTGCACATCATGATATAAATTAATATAAACTATATAATTCTCAATTATTTTCAATTAAATAATAAATTAACATTCTTTAAATTTGAAATGATATGACTTCATTTGCATTTAAAACAATACTCCAAATATCAATTGAAAGATGAAAAGAAATTAGGATTCACAAAAATTTCGTATGCATGTAAGAGCTTCAAATTTATAATTATTAATATCATAATTAGAAAATTATACTATATACATAATCAGCTCCAATTGTTAATAATTGGTTTACATGAAATTTATGACCGTAAACTAAGATTAGAGTAACATAATTTGGAATTTAACCTTGAATTTTTTACATAAGTATATATAATAATTAGATTTTTATAGTCAATTTTTTGCAATTAATTTTTTGAAGTTTGGTAACTCTTGAATATGATCATATGAAGAGTGCAACGAAATAGAAAGGGAAGTGTTTGTTGGGATGCTCATTAATTTTAAATAATTTAGAGCTTGTCTTGCATCGATTCTTTAATCTGGATCTTCAGTGATCATTTTCGATAATAAATCCCTAAAGTTTTTTTACTGTATTTTTTGTAGAATTTGGTAGTTTAAAGTAAAAGCCTTGTTGTTTTGACAGAGTTCTTACTAGTTTATTCCAGATATTAACTTTGCTCCTGTTAACCTTACAAATAAATATCACACTTACATGTAATAGATTATGGCCCCACAGCTAAAAACATCTATTTTTTCTGATATGTTTCTTCTATTTTTTCTCTATAAAATCTCTGGTGCCATATAACCAGGAGTTCCAAAAGTCATTTATAAATCATCTTATAAATCTTTACTCTTGCAAGAGATTCCAAAATCAATAAGCTTCAGATGGCAAAATTATCCCAATTCACAAAAAAGAATGTTTTCGGGCTTTATGTCCCTATGAACAAAACCTTTTTCATGTAAATAACAAAGTGCCTCTAAAATTTACTAAATTCGTTAAAACAATCTTACTTTCGTTATTATTTCTATTTCAATTATTGACATCCTGCAATATTTCAGACACTGGCTAAGAGTTCCGCCTTTTAAAAATTCTAATACTATTAAATATGAAGTTTCTTTGGTATAGGCTTCTATCAATTTTACGATGTTTTGATGAGTTAATTGTCCCAAAATTTCAACTTCATTTTGAAATAACTAAGATTTGAATATAATCGTACTTCGTAGGCGTACTATTTCTATCGATTCAACTCTTTGCACACATAAACAACATTATTGTCTAATGCCTAGATAGTGTATACCTATCAACTAATATATAGGATTAAATACCGAACTTAATTCTCTGGTCTCTATTTTTCCTACTTATTTGTAGAAATAATCTATGTTTTTAAAAGTTACTCTTCCTGCCAGATAATTCTTTACTCTGAGAAGGACATTCTGGTCAGCATAGAAGTACTTCTGTTTATTTTTCCAATCTATGCAAAATGCTACCAATTAGAAATCTTCCTAGGAGATTTTCCAATCAATTACAGTTTATAGTTTCAAAGCAATTGTATACTTCGTATGTTAGGTAGACTGAGTTAATAATCATTAAATTACTTCTCCTATATTCATACTATCTTGATTTAATGTGATAATATAGCTTTTATCATAAAGGAGATGTTTTCTTGTACAATACATCAATATGATTATTAATGAAAAAAAGAAAGAAAGATTTTCTCTTTAAAAATGAAAAATTATCAAATAACGCAAAATTTAGTAGAGCAAGTTTTACCGTCTATCATGTAGAGTGAAAATTCAATTTTTAAGAAGCAGAATCATATACGATCAAAGACATTTTCACTTAATCAGATGACCTGAAATTAATTATTAATAATTTTATAAATCAAATAACAATAAATAATAAAGGCAAATTTTGAATAATTTGTAATTCATATAATATTAGAAAAATATGGATTTTTGTTTCTTAATAAGAGTTGAAAAAATTTATTACTTGGTAGCAGCTTATTTAAACTTCGATGTATAATTAAAATAATTAATTAATTTCTTACACATATAATTTATTTAATAATCAAATTCCATTGAAAGTTAAAATTTATTTTTTAATAAACACTATTAATAATTTTATACTATTTTCCTTATTTTCAAAAGACAATTTGATTATTTAATCTTAGATATGATAACTATTATATTATTAATCCCATAAAATATCTTTAAAATCTCATACTTTTCATTCTTATTTTTTAAATAACTTCTGATAATTTTGTATGACTAATATCTTATGAAATAAATATTATGACTAATATATTCAATCTAAGTATTTCTTAATGAAATCTATCCAATCATTATCAAAGTAAATTTCCTTTATCTCAAAATAGGATGAATTACAATTTCTTTAGTTATAGAAACTTAGCATCTAAATTTAAGTACATAAAAGAAAAAGAATATGAGAAATTGTTAAATTATCTAAATCAAACAAAATTTAATAACAATTGAAACACTTAGCATGAATATTTCATAACCCTTCTTTAACCCCTATAAGAAAAATGAACAAATAACAGTATATTGTATGGATTAATTTAGTTATAAAGACTTATTATAGCGTTTATATATTTTTATGTTAAATTGAAAAAATCAAATACAGATATATCAAAACATTTCTTAAATTTCTTAAGATTCTTGTTGCTAAATTCTTTTGGACAAAGTTTCACCTCCTCGAAATGTAAAAGCAAGGTTTTCAAGGGTATGAAATATTGGCAATTTATTTTTTTACATAAATTAATATCCTTATTGAATTTTTCCTTCCAACAATAAGATTTAAGTCTTTAGAGAATAAATCCAAAAAATCAATAATATAACTATGTAATATTATTTATAATATTTACTTCCAAAAAAAGAGACTATTGAAAATAGTAAAACTAAAATTTAGTTCATCTGATCTTCTAATGATGTTTAAAACTCTATTGTAAATTTCAAATACATCATCTTCGTCTTATCTCTAAAATTAATCCCATAATCATATATCAAAGGGCAATCGTCAGTATCATCACAAAAGCAGAGGACCTTAGGATGAGTTCTCGCTAGCTACAATTTGATTAATTTAGTATTTGTAATAATGTAAATCAAAGAAGAATTTACTACTGAGATTTATTATAATCCCAATATTTGTATATTTTATATTTAGTTGGAATTATAGAGATACACCTTATGGTTATTTTTGGACTAAATAAACATCATTTCTCCAACATTTATTATTTTAATTATTTTATTCTCTTCCTCTAGTATTTCCTTAACTTAAATACTGTTATCCAGGAAATTGATTCTGAAATTCAAAATCTTATACACATTGTTGTAATATAATCCAAAGCAACTATAATATTCATTGCAAAAAAATGATTTTGGATTTTATAAAGGATTTGCTTCTGAGTATATTATTTTAGAGTTGATATTATTTTATCTGAATAATAACTTTAATACATTTAATCCAAAATGTTAATCCATCAAATAAAAATAGTATTTAAAATCATCAATTTTTTTAATATCATACTCGATAATATTTTGAAATTTACTTATATCTATTGATCCAAAATATTTGTTTGTATTATTTTAGAGGTCATAAACATATATGAATTTATTTATTACGAATAAAAACCCATCATAAGTTTTTATAGCCCCATGATAGAATGTAATTTAAGTGTCATTTAACAACCGATTATCAACCAAAAAAATAGGGTCTTCGCTTTTTTCATTATAAAAACCTTTGAACTAGCTGTAATTCCCCTAAATTTTTTTCTAATTAATTATTGTTCCATCATGTGTTATTTAAGTTAAGATCATATCGTTCATAAGAACCCAAAGACCACTTTGCGTTGCTAACAAAAAGTAGTATTTATTCATGATATCTAGATCTTGATAGTTCATAAGAGATGTTGTTTGTAGAAGAACTTTTTCGTCTTCAATCCAACAAAACTCTTTATTGCTTTCATCAGTCAAAGTTACATTTGTAGCATTATTTAATTCCAGCACAGCCTTTAACTAACCAATTTCTATCTTAAACTCATATTAGTTGCACATGACTCTCGAGCTCAGTATAAGTGCTAATAGGAATAATTCAGTCATTAATTAATATAAGCAATTCAAATTTTGATTTCAATTTTATTTAAATTCTAAGACGTAAGGTATTTAAAAAGAACTGAGATATATTATAATTAGCAGCAATTTAACGTATCAACCACGCTCTATCCTTTCTTATTTATTATTTTAAATTATAAACATCGAAATTGAACTTATTTTTTAATTATTTTTCCTATTTCTAAAAGTCCTCTTCATCAAGCATTTATAGTACCACTCTTTATTTTGGAGGTTAATTAAGTATGGTAAAAATTGAAAAATTTTAACAGAGTTTACAAATTCTAAAAATTGGATTAGTTTATTGATTAATCAAAAGCAATCTGATTGATATTTTATAAAAATATTACTTTTCAAAACTAAAATTATTTACAATTAACTCATAAAAAATATTATATCCATGAAATGTTATCAATATTCAGATTTGGAATCTTAATTATTCATTTTATTGAATCTTCTTTCAAATTAAAAAAAAATGGGAGTCATTCCATACAACAAAAATATTGAAAACTAATAAGAAAATTAACTTCAGTAAATCAATAATATTTTACAAAAAATTTTCTTTTTGACAAAAACTCATTAATGAATATTATACTTAAGACTATATAAATTTTATATTTTTGTCTAATTAGTAAAATAGTTAAGATTGATTCTCTTAAATTTCAGAAACTTAATGAAGATAATTTTTATATAATGTTCTGGAAAGCTTGGATTACCTATGGTATCAATGCACTATTTTGTAACTATCTATCATTAAAGCTATGATTCTAGCAGAGTCTTAAAGCCAAACATTTATATGCCATAACTTAAGGATCTAAACACTTAATAATCACTAAATTTAAAGAATTGCAAATTTCAATATAAACAAATTTTGAAGCCAATACAGAAAATTGGAAAATCATAGAGTTTAAATTTTTATTGAAAATGAATTGCATAACTCAATTTAGTTAAATCTTTGTTAATATTTAGGTAATAAAAATTTTATATATTTAAGCAATATTTCTCTCTTAAATTGATTTCGTAAAATAAACCTTTGAAATCAAATAGATACATTAGATTATCAAATTGATAACCTTAAATTTATTATGAATTTAATATCTCAAAGTTGATTAGTTATTTTATGTAAAACACGTCAACGTTGTCATACATATGTTTATAGGTCTGAACAATCAACTTATAATTAAGTATTAATTGCTTTCTAGAATAAAGGTAGTAATTTAATATAATAACAAATTAAAGCTTATAAAATACATAATTAAATTACAAAGAATTTTATAAAATATGTAATAGGAATTCAAATTGCCACAAAAGATTATCGAGTTGTATGCTAAATATCAGAATAAATCATAAAAAGTGAAAAAATTCTAACTTTAAGAGCATACTTTTATGCTTGAAGATCATTATGCTCCTGTTGAAATAAGTAATAATCTTCATAAATAAATAAAGTTGGAAGTGGTGCCTATGGATGTGTTATATAAGCTGATGATAAGAATGCCAAAACAGAGAAAGATAGATAGGTGGCCATAAAAAAAATTGAGAGGGCTTTTGAACATAGACTTTATGCAAAAAGAACTTTGAGAGAATTAAAAATTCTGAGATTGATGAAACACGAGAATGTAAGATTGTTAGATTAAATTAGATTGTCGAATTAAAAACTCTCCTTCTTCCAAAATCTAGAGAAGAATTTGAAGATGTTTACATGGTTACTGAATTATTGGAAACAGACTTAGCACAAGTAATTAAAAGTGACTAGGTCTTAACAGATGAACATATCTAGTTATTCTTGTATCAAATTTTAAGAGGATTGAAGTATTTGCATACTGCAGGAATTTTGCATCGAGATTTAGTACCTATTTATTAAAAATTAATTTAGAAACCAAGAAATTTATTATTAAATAGAAATTGTGATCTGAAAATCTGCGATTTCGGTTTAGGCAGAGCAATGGCTGATCCTACATCATCCAATAATGCTAATATTATGACTTATTATGTTGAAACTAGATGGTATAGAGCCCCAGAATTGTTGGTGAGTTTCAAGAATTATACACCTGCAGTGGATATGTGGTCAGTTGGATGCATTTTGGCAGAACTATTGCTAAGAAAACCATTTTTAAGAGGAGATTCAAGTATTAATTAGTATTATCAATTAAGCTAAGAGATAAGTGAAATTGATATTTGAATTATTGGGTACACCAAATGAAGCCTACATTTAATCATTCTAAGATGAAAAAGTTTAAAATAATTTAAGGAAAGTCATTAAGGAAACTGGACCAAAATAAGGTATTCCATTAGAATAATTATTTAAAAATGCTTCTAAAAATGGTATTATTTTTGAATTATAATATAAAGCTTTGGATTTATTAAGGAAACTTCTTACATTTGATTATCAACAAAGAATTACAGTTTAACAAGCCTTAGAACATCCTTATTTGGCTTAATTGCATTTTGAAGCAGATGAACCAAGTGCTTAACTTGTCAACTAATTAGAGTTCGAATTTGAAAAATATGAAATGACCAGAGAATAAATTAAAGGTAAAAACTAAACCCAATTTATTAGATCTTCTGTATGAAGAAATTCTGTTGTATCATTTTCCAGAATTCTAAACATCATATGAGTAAAAGAAAAAAACTGGATAAAGTTTAATATCTCATATCGTGAACAATGAAAATGCAAAAATAGTAAATTATTTATGTAAAATAGTTTGATCCAACAGCAGACGATGATTTAGATAGAGATTGAATGTATTATTATGTTAAATTCAAAATTATGTATTGTAATGATTTAGCCCTATTCCTTTTCTTATTATTAATTATTGATATATAGCAATCTTTATTATGCTATTTATTTATTCAATCTATATTTGATTTTTGATTTTTAGGTTGGCTGGTTTTATTTCTCATAAATTGGATCATATAATGAACTTCAAGTTAAAGGCAAGAAATTTAATTGTAATTATGGTAATAGAAGTTGAATTTAATGAGTTGCAAAAATGATTGAAAAAAATGGAAAATTTATCACACTTTTAAAATTAAAAAAGAAAAATTTCAAATATAGATAATTTCTAAAAATAGAATCCTATAAAAGAAATTGATAAGTTCATACAGATTTTAATCTGCCTAATACTGTTTTAGGAGGCTTTTGGGCAGATGGATTCTTATTTATTTTTGAAATCTAATTATGGGCTTTAAGTGAAAGAAATTGAATTTAATAATAAAAATAATTAGGTCCAGGAATTTGCCATAATATTTTGATCATTATTTATATAAATTCCATTTTCATACAAAAGCTTAAAGAGGGTAAACAGCTAAAGAAAATTATAGCAGTTTAGATCATTTTTTTAAATTAGAAATAAAAGATTTTATAAATGATGAGAGAAGTAGTTTTAATATCTCTTTCATGATAATAAACTATACTTCCTTCATCAATTATGAAAAATCTTTTACCTGTAATTCAAAAAATCGAATACCTATTGTAAATAGCAAGATTGATAAATAAATACAACTAAAAAATATTCGCATATACAACCTCTAAGAAGCCAAAGTATTGGTTCTTAATTATTAAGAAATTGAAACTATGAAATTCTGAGAATTAGATATGGCGAGATCTTGAAAATCTTTAGTAGAATATCAAGGGTTCAAAATTTATTTTAGAAGTTGGATTTAATTTTAAAAGATGGGATGAAATGATATCTAATTTTAGAAGATAATAGGAATGATCAAGTTACAAGTTTGGTTTTTCAATAGTTAAAGTATTAGAGTAGAATTTAATAAATAAAAGAATCAATCTAAATTAACACTGATATATTGTTGTGAATCTGGTAAGCAAATTTTGTTGAGAAATATGTGATTATATAGCATAGAGAACAATAATAGTTGAATCTGTAATATTATTAGATTATGAGATTTGACAGTTATTTCAGCTGTATGGTTGACGTGTTTTGATTTATAGATATATTTATGATCAAAGGAACTAAGGGCATGGGATGTCTAAACATTTAGGACCAGCTATGAAGTTGCTCATAGCATAGGTCTCTTGATCACTGAACTTTCGTGATTTTCTCCTGCTCCTTGTTTAGGATATCACTTGGATCACATCCCCATCAAGGACAACCTAAAGTTCACCACAAGGTTCTTTGCCTTTTGGGCAATAGTAGACTGGACTTAGATTCTCTAAGCGTTGACTGCTGTCTGTAGAACAGTTAGAATCGATATTCAATTCTTCAATATTGGAAAGCGGATTCTAAAATAAAATAAATCTAGAGGACCTTGCGTTTCTAAGGTGGTGTGACGTAGAATTATTCTCGTTCCTAGTTCTTAGGAACGAAGAGACACTTAGAGCTGTTTGCAGTCTAAGACTTTTTATACACTCTATTTTTGGTATTACTCACTAGAAGGATGAATATTGAAAACCATACTTGTTCTATCTGGAGGAAGTCTTGTGATTTAAAAAGCTAAAAGGGCTTTTTTTAAATTTATATTTAATTATTAATTTGACATTGCCGGCTGCTTTAATAAATATATTTATCATTCATCCCCCATTCTAGGTTGTGTGTCCATTCCATTAAGTCTATCCTTATACACTTCAAGCAAGAATTTATAATCAATGCGTCCATTTTTCTTGGACCAAGATATTAATTGTGGCCATTGTTCTTCTCGAACAACAATTCCTTAAGATCTTAGCATTTTATCCATTTCTTATTTAATCAACTAAAAGAATATATCTGATTAATTACATCTTCAGTAAGTGGAATTTGACCATTTTAAGTCAAATGTTTGAATATTTCAAGAAGATACTTCCTGTTTTTACCAATAGCATTAATAGTTCGATCAAAGTCTTTAGAGCTTTCCCAAATCCCATTTTCTATTATAAAATAAATTAATACCAACATATTGAAGTGCTGTTTGTTTGGCAGGAGGTTTTCTTAAAAAGGTCTTGAACTTGTTAGTTGCATTCATTAAACCATCATCTGTTAATCCTTCAAATTACTAAGGAGACTGAACACTTTATTTTGTCATCCATCCTTTATCAGTTTAAGCCATCAATGATTTTTGTGATGACTTTTTCACTCTTACGTTAGCACTCATTGGTCTAAATAGATGACAATAAATAGTACCTTTTCTTTTCATTTGGATTTGAAAACTTAGAAAAAGCATCCATCCATTCTGTTAAATCTAATAGGCCATCTCTTCTTTTATCTATAAATTCGAATAAATCTTTAATAATAGCAAATGGAGGTATTTCTTCAGTAGCCAATCTGTACAACATTTCAATCATATCCTTAAATTTATCAAAACTCAAAAACCCTGTGTGTTGAGCATCAATCTATCTAAATGCATCTTTAGGAGATAATAGATAATGATAAATATGATCATTCACTCTCTATAAATGAATTCCTGCTCTTTCTAATATTTTATTATCTGCTTATCTAAAATCTAATCTCTTAGCAAAATCTCTCCAATTTACCATGCTATTTCTGTCAGTATCTAACATGGCTGACAAGATATCGATATCTTAAAATGTCAATCCCATATTGAGATTCCTTATTACTTAACGAAACTCCAAATTAGTTATGAATCCAGTATTATCTGAATCATATGACTTGAATAATTCGCTTATGTTTTTGTTTGAATTCCTCAAAAATCTTCTGATTTTGTCTAATAAACTAATGTTCACTTGATTTCTCTCATCCAAAGGCAATTCACTTAAACCTCTAAAAACTATCAATAAATAATTACCCTTAGGTCATAGGTCTAATATTTTATAATTATTATTGGCCTTCGGGAAGTTCATAGACTTTAGCACCTTTTCCAAATATAAGTGCAAAGGCGTGATTACTTAAAGATCCATTTTTTTGAACCCTTGTCCATAGGGTTTCTATATCACCCTCAACAAATCTTTTCGGGAATAATGCTTACAAAGCCTTTGCAAAGCTCTCTTTTGTTATGACATGGCTGTGTTCCATCTAAAAATAATGGATTGCATTTTAAATGCTTGAAAAATAAGTGGAAAGGGCATCTTAGATTTCTTTAATCATTTAATCTTACCAATTATATTGAGCAAATGCATTCAGCCAATCAGATTCTACTAAATATCCTTTTTTATGGGAATCAAGATCAGAAAAGATCTCATAAACTAATTTTTCAGTTAAATCGAATCCTGAAAGCACATTCTTCTCATCAATCCATTTCTTGAATTTCTAGAATACTAATTTCTTACGATATCCTGATACAATATCAAAAGATTCCTTTACATTAGGGTAATGTCTACTAATTATTAACCCTATTTATTGTCTAGCATTCATTTTCCAATCAAAAGAGGATCTCGATTCTTATTATTACTTTGAGGATGGATTTGTAGTTTATCCAAACACTTATTTATTTTTACCATAGAAAAATCCTTCTTCAACAAATCTTCTAAAATCCATTAGTGTAATTTTTCCTCTTTTATATTAATCCATCAATTTAAATAATCTATTGATTTTAGCTTCAGTAATCTCTTTTTCTTCAATTTTCAAAATATCCTTTAGAAAAGTTCTTAAATCTGCCTTGTTTATCTAGCCATCAAAATCCTTATCAAATGTTCTAAAGGCATCTTCTATTGTAATATTCTCTCTTTAACACCAATTCCTTATTTTGAATAGGATTTCCAATTCCCAATCCCAGTCATCTTCGGATAAAGATGGCATCTATTAAATAATAGATTTGCCCATAAATTTAATAAAAGTATTTAGATCAATCAAACCAATTCTCTATTTATCCATAAATGCAAAGAAACCATCTTTTGCAGGTTAGCTTAGTGTCATGATTTTATCTATGTTATAGAATTCACTGATGGATAAGAACCCATTATGATCAGTGTCTAAGAATGTAAACAATTCCTCGTATGACATTCCCTTTCTATTTAATTTGATTCTTAAATCCTTAAGTATTTAATCAAATTTGGATTCTGGTAATTCCTCAACGGGAAACAAGCTTTTTGATTGATTCATTCCATCCACCATAGATTAGAACATTTTCTTCTGTCCCATAGTAACTAAATCAATTGATTTAGATTAAACACAAGTTTTTTCAATTGCTGATAGGTTATCTCCAAATTAAGGCTTAATCTTCAAGCTTTCAACAATTTATTCGATTTAAGATTGATCCTTTCTGACATTGAAATATGAATATCTCTTTATGAATGTATTCATATCTTCATCACTAACAACACCATTTCCATCAACATCCATTTCCCTACAATATTCCAAGCATTCATCATGAGACAACTAAGTAAAGAGATTCTTTTCTAGATATTAGGCAGTAGATTCAATATTGCAGGATCCATAGCCTGATTTTACTTATTATAAAAATTGTATAACAGTGAATTTTTTTTAAGTTAAATACTTACTGATTTTTTATGCAAAATCAACAAGATCTTTAGCAGTATCCTTCTAATCCATTTATTTGTTAACATCCATAATCATTTAAATAAAATCATAGTAATTTATTAAGGAATCTCTATTCTTTGGAAGATAACGAACCAATCTATTGATATCTTAAACATTCAATCCCAGTTAACTTTCCATTAAGACAGTCTTGAAATTGGCAGTATCTAGATTACCTTCTTGATGTTCATCGAAATATTCAAAAGATTATCTCAAGACTTTCATCTTCGATGGATCAACTAAATGATCTCTCATTTTATGTAAGGTATCTTTAAACCAAGACAAATCATACATCTTGTCATCTTCTTCAACAGTGTTAAATAATGCTAATATATCACTCATACTGATGGTTTCTTTTCCATCCAAAATTTCTTTAGCCACCTTAAGTGCTTTGTGTTAATTTAGAGATTCATCTAAATGCATGAGAGCAAGTTTTAGTTATTACGAATTAATTGGAGGATGATCTCGATGCAAATTCATTCTCTATAACAAATCATCAGTATGAATTTAGAATTTGTAAACGACATCCTTTATATAATTTACGTGAGTTTCTATTGGGTTTATATGATGATACTTACTTTTATCAACAATAGCTTTGAGCCAATCAAATTTATCAACGAAACCATCATTATTAACATCTAAACTCTAAAACAAAGTGATTATTTATATTTCATTAAGAGGTAAATCTATTTTAAGTACGGCTTTCTTAAAATCATCAAAATTCATTCTAATTTTTCTTTCACTAGTCTTGCCAAATGCTTATTAACATAGATCTAAAAATGACTAGATAATAGTAATGTATCAATGATTACATCTTCAATATTAAGTGCATGATCCCTTATGTAATATTTTAATCTTTCCAAAGCATACACCTTATCATTTACTGATCTTTAAAATCCCATTCTAGAAATTTGTTGAGTAGATGGTCTTAATTCTATCTAAAATATAATTAAACATAATATGATACGGTTTTACTCATAAGACCTCCCTTTTTAGATTGAATTTAGGAACTTTTGGCAGTTTTAGGTCTTGTATCAGGTAATTCAATTCCAAGAGAATTCGTTAAATAATTTCGAGCACCATCATCAATCATAAGATTGTTTTCTTCAGGAAACTGACTCTTACTCAATTACTGCAGGTATTACTAGGTTAAACGCATGTCGCCTTTCGATTTTCTCTCCGACAAGGGTCTCTTGGTAATTTCCTATAAACAAATATTGAACCAACATTTTACTTTGCAACTATCCATAAGGGAATCCATAAATTATACAGCTGCACAATGGGATTTAACAAAGAATGTACCAACACAAGGAATTTCAACTTCAACAACATCCCTCTAAAATCATCTATAAGAATGTATACATTGCGAACTATATCAGATAATGATTTAATCACTCTCTCAACAGCCATTTTAGCTGAATCCTTATTTTAAGATGCATACAATGCTATTTCTGCCCAATTCACAATCGCATGCTAAATCTTACCAGATGTCTGCACTTTATAAGGTCTCAATTATCGACCTATTGCTATGGCAGTTTTTAGATTGAATCCATTAACAAATTCCTTTCATTAAATCAAACGAGTACCTTTGCAACAAGAAATACTGGTTAACGTGGCTATTTGTCTCTTTCCACTGGATTGGTAACTCCATCTAATATAACATCTGGAGCACTAAAAGAAAATGTTCCAAATTTGTTCACAGCTACTCCTCTTCCCATTCGTAATTATCTTGAAACATGAAGGCCTTCACATTACTAACTTTATAATTACCGAATGCATTCCAAGCAGCAGAGACAGTTTCCTCATCCAAAGCCGCTATCAATGAGCCATTGCTAACATATAACCCTACTTGCTTACTCTGCTTTTCCATTTCGAGTGGCTATTTTAGAGATTATTGACTATGCATTCATGGTTGCCTTGCTTTGATAACTATCAATGCTATTCATTTTTAATTAATTTATTAATAATGTTATCTCAAATATGAATTTATATCTAAACTCAATTCTCTGCAATCTAACTATTCAATTTACATTAACTTCTTTCAATTCCATAGTGTATCAGCCATTACATTACTATTTTAAATCAGTTTCTTAAATAATATTCATTAAATTTTACATACTACAATAAATATTCATTTTTAATTTTATCTTATTTCTTAGTTATTAATAAATATATCATTTAGTCCAATTAAAATCTAATTTATTATTTTCTTTTTCCAACAACTATCATAAATGTTCTTTAAAAAATTAGAGTACTGAAATATTTAATCACAGTGATTTAGAAGAAATTTATGTCAATTTCTTAACTTATTTCTATGATATATTAAATTTATGGTATAATTAAGGATTACATAGATAATTTGATAAATTTAAGAATACTTTTCTTACAATTTAAGTATACTTTTTGAAATAAAATTATGTTGATGTCAAAATAGTTTTGCTATTAATTGACTAGAATGATTGAATGCCTTCTGGTGTTTAATAAATTTTCAAATAAATCAATATTTTTATTTGAAAAAAATAAGAAGAGTAAAAGTAGGAAACATTAGACTTATAAAAAAGAAAAGTACAATTATTTTTTATTCAAGTTGAACAACAATTAAGTTTTCCAACTATTTCGTTCCACAAACTTCTAAAATTAATTACAAGTCTTCAAAATGCATTCTTGAAAGAATATTATTAAAATACATTTTAGTTTCTCTAACAAAAATGAATTTAAATCATTAATTGTGAACTGACTTTAATAGATTTCAAAAAAATATGAAATTATCAATTTCATTATGATTATTCAATAATCTTCTGATACAGAGCCTTTTATTTAAATAATAATACCTCAAATAATCTTCAATTTGACTCATGTAAAAACTGTATAATATCTAGTGCTTTCTATTTCACAATATATTTTAACACCAAAAGATAGATGCCTAACAACCAGAGCTCAGTAATAAATTAAATACTTCAATTTTATTTTTAGTAATTGAATTTATAAAAAGAGATATTGAAATTCATTTATGATGAAATGAATAATTCTAAAATTTGTTTATGATTAATAAAATAATTTAATAGCTAAACAAAACTAAATAGTTTGTTTCATAATATCACAATTTAGAATCACATTTAGTTCTAATTTTAAATACACATAGTGCACTTTTCATAATCATTTTAAAATTTTTTTTCCATTTTCGTTAATTTTAACAATATTATTAGATTGGAAGAAAAAAGTGACCTTTTGAAATAATCCTTAAATGATAATCTAGATGAAAATTTACTTTATTTGAAATTTTTTGAGCAGATTTTGGAATGAGATACATATCATTTTTTATATTAAATTTATTTAATGCTTTTAAAGAAATTTATTGATTTAACTGATGGAGTTATCTCTCGATTCACATGCATTGCTGAAAACTCTAGACTAGATATAAATATAACAATTGGAATTATTTGCAGATTAACAATTTTTACGCTTATAATATTGTTTAAGGATATAAAATAATATTCTATTGGGGAGGTCATTGCTTGGATAATAGCGGGGCTAGTCTAGCATCTATATATATTGTTGATTGAAAAGAAATATATGTTGCTAGGGTTATGCACGACATTGGATAGGGAAATTTAATATAAAATTATGGATTCTCTGCAACTTTTAATAGGAATAATATTTTTAATATTAAATTTAAGGTCATACATAGAAATAATAGCCTTGGTTTTATTTTCAATCAACTTTGTGTTGGACTTATTTTTTATCATTGTTAAAATTAAAATAAATCAAGGCTATGCAAACGACTATGTAAAAGAAGGAGGTGCTTATTAATTTTGTATAGGATTTTNTTATTTGAAAAAAATAAGAAGAGTAAAAGTAGGAAACATTAGACTTATAAAAAAGAAAAGTACAATTATTTTTTATTCAAGTTGAACAACAATTAAGTTTTCCAACTATTTCGTTCCACAAACTTCTAAAATTAATTACAAGTCTTCAAAATGCATTCTTGAAAGAATATTATTAAAATACATTTTAGTTTCTCTAACAAAAATGAATTTAAATCATTAATTGTGAACTGACTTTAATAGATTTCAAAAAAATATGAAATTATCAATTTCATTATGATTATTCAATAATCTTCTGATACAGAGCCTTTTATTTAAATAATAATACCTCAAATAATCTTCAATTTGACTCATGTAAAAACTGTATAATATCTAGTGCTTTCTATTTCACAATATATTTTAACACCAAAAGATAGATGCCTAACAACCAGAGCTCAGTAATAAATTAAATACTTCAATTTTATTTTTAGTAATTGAATTTATAAAAAGAGATATTGAAATTCATTTATGATGAAATGAATAATTCTAAAATTTGTTTATGATTAATAAAATAATTTAATAGCTAAACAAAACTAAATAGTTTGTTTCATAATATCACAATTTAGAATCACATTTAGTTCTAATTTTAAATACACATAGTGCACTTTTCATAATCATTTTAAAATTTTTTTTCCATTTTCGTTAATTTTAACAATATTATTAGATTGGAAGAAAAAAGTGACCTTTTGAAATAATCCTTAAATGATAATCTAGATGAAAATTTACTTTATTTGAAATTTTTTGAGCAGATTTTGGAATGAGATACATATCATTTTTTATATTAAATTTATTTAATGCTTTTAAAGAAATTTATTGATTTAACTGATGGAGTTATCTCTCGATTCACATGCATTGCTGAAAACTCTAGACTAGATATAAATATAACAATTGGAATTATTTGCAGATTAACAATTTTTACGCTTATAATATTGTTTAAGGATATAAAATAATATTCTATTGGGGAGGTCATTGCTTGGATAATAGCGGGGCTAGTCTAGCATCTATATATATTGTTGATTGAAAAGAAATATATGTTGCTAGGGTTATGCACGACATTGGATAGGGAAATTTAATATAAAATTATGGATTCTCTGCAACTTTTAATAGGAATAATATTTTTAATATTAAATTTAAGGTCATACATAGAAATAATAGCCTTGGTTTTATTTTCAATCAACTTTGTGTTGGACTTATTTTTTATCATTGTTAAAATTAAAATAAATCAAGGCTATGCAAACGACTATGTAAAAGAAGGAGGTGCTTATTAATTTTGTATAGGATTTTTATTTGGGGCAGTAGCAATAATAATTGTTGTTTTTTACTTTGTTCAATATTTAGATAAAAATAACCCTACTGACACTTATGGTACTATTTGGAATTTATCAGTTATTGGTTAATCAATAGTGATAGTAGTTTCATTCTCAGCATTTTGTAGTAATAAATCAGAATTTAAGTGGAGTAATGATTGGGCAAAAGGCACCTTATAACTTTTTAATGGAATTTAAGTAGGAGTTTTCAGTATCATTTATGGGCTACTTCTTGGAACCATTATAATGATATGGTTTTGGTGGGATTTTCATAACAAACGTAAATGCTGTTATTAAGATAAAGACAAGAGAAGGTAGGAAAGTGAATAAGTAGCAACAGTATGATTTATAATGAATAGAATTAATTTTATAGTAGTTTTTTAATTATAGAATCTTCAATATAAATAAGTATTTTATTTTTGATTTTATTTAGCCTAATAATTATTGGATAACTGTTAAATTTCTTGATTCTTTAAAAATTTTCCATATTAGTTTATAGATGTTGATATTTTTACACTATAAACTTTGAAATCTTAAGATTATTAATATTATATGAAATAGAAATTAAGAAACAATGATTACAAATTCAATTTATTAATATTTTAAAATATCTTGTATTTAATATTTCAAATCTTTCCTTAGTCCTCTGCAATTTGCACTATTGGTTATAATTATACAAAATTATGGTTGTTACACTTAGTGCACCTAATAACAGATGATACTTTTGAATTATAATGGATTTTTACTTCCTTTTTGATATTTAACTGTCACCTTGCAATGAGAACATTTAAAAAAATCATAATTTGCCTATTAAACTTATTTACATTGATAACACATGAAGGGCTTTTTATCATCGGCAATGCTTTATGGAGACCTACAAAAAATACAAACTGCGTAATGAGTTCTAAAATGTAAAATTAATAACTACAACATATTCTATTTTTTTCCATATTACTAGTTGTTATATTATTAGTGATTTTAAAGTGTAGTTCGAGGAACAACATATTATTATTAATTCTAATTTAATTACTAATGTCAAAATAAGTTAATGGTACCTAGAATTGATAATATTAATGTGGATTGCTATTGAACATTTATGGTTATGCATATTTGTTCATGTTCTATTGTTGTTGGGTTTAGTTAGAAGTTTCTTGAAAATAAATTTAAAATTACATTCATTGGTTAGTAAAACGTAGCTCTGTTGATCTGTCATATCTTACATCTCAATAGCATAATCCTTTTGTGGTTCTTAGTATTTTTAGCTTGATTTATTTGATAACAGTCCTGTTTGATTTTAAGAAAAGCCTTGGTCCATATTATAAATTAATTAGTTTATTATAAGATTATATTTTAGAAATATAATAATTTAAATCATTTTTTCCCTTGTTGAGGCATTAAGTACTCCGATAAAAAATCTTATTCTTATTGCTTTGTTAGATTTAATTTTGATTAGCCTGATTAATTTTAAAGTCCTTGAGGCTATTGAAACTATTATCTTTATTATTCTTAAAAATGATATTATTAATTTTAGTAATCCTATTCCTAATAATCTTATCCTAAATATTGATCAAATTTTTATTAATCATTATAATCGTATTATTCATTTTCCAAATTCTGCAATTCTTGCAATGGAACATTGCTAACTTATTATCTAAATCCCTATTATATTTAATTTAAATATTACTTATAATTATTGCATAAGTCGTTAATTTTCTTCCCTGAGTTTTTTTTTTTCATCTGTAAAATAATTTGGATACACCTTAATTAAATACTCATTATAATTAATTTTTTCAATATTAGTTTTTTGAATTGCTTATTTTAATCTGACACTTCCATCCTCATATCTCTTAAATAAACTTGCTATTTATTCTCTAAACTCTTAATTTCTTGTTTCGGCCAAAGGTCTATTACTATTGCAAAACCGAATACCTGGTTCTTTTTATAGTTTCGACTTCTCTTTGCAAACTTGATAAATAATTTTAGGATGCTTTCTAATATAATTAATTTCTTTCTGCCATTTTATCCCGAATATTTTATCTATCTCTTCTACTAATAACGATAATAAATGATCTATTACAATCTTTCAAGGGATTCATCAATAGACTCTTAAATCATTATGAATTTATCGTATATTTATTAATTAAAAATTAAATTTCAATTATCAAATAAATTTCTTTCAAAATAATCTAGGAGTTAATAAAATTTGATGTAATGTAGTAAATAACAATAAATCAACCCACATTAATTTTATATATAAAATTGCATTAGACTTATAATTTATAAACATTATGAATTGAAAAAGAATTCATCAAATTTGTTGAATATTATTAGCTCTATATTAATAAATCTACTAACTTATACTCTTCTCCATATTTTAAGCAATATACAAATAATTATCATGTCGCAATAATGGTCAAAGAATTAAACTATTAATAATGTATTAATTTTATTACTTTTTTAAATGGTGAGATTATTCTTTGTTTTGGAATTTAATTACACTTCTTGGTTAATAGATTTTTAGAAATACAAGTTTCAAAGGAAATATACTTATATGGAATTCCAATTGGAAATGTCTTAAATATTACGGTTTAATATAATTTTATATGTATCCTCCATATAAAATAAATGAATTTTATTTTATTTTATTATATGATGGAAAGAAAACTATTTATACTTCTGAAATTGAAATATTTCAAATTATAAAAAGATGCTGTTTAATTTAAAAATAAATGCAAATAAAGTTTAGTCTTTATTCATCCTATAATCGTTCCGAATAATATTATTTTTAATGATCATATTAAAGATAACTTTTAAGTGTGTTTATTTTAATTATTTAATTTACGTTAGTTTTGTCACTATTTCAGCAATAGCCCAATAAAGCTATCAATATGAAATTACATATAGAATATTTAGCGATTGAGTATATTTAGTATGCAATAGTCTATAGAAATTTAAAAATTTGAATTATTATTATAAAAATGTTGTCTTTAAGAGTTTAAAGTTGTTTGATTTGTTTCAATGGCAGGATTCAAATAGATAACTGGAGGGATTGTAGAAGTATGTGTTCCAATCTAATTGATTAATGTGAGTTGAACCATATAATTTAATTAAATTAATGAACTAAGATCATGTTAGCTTATAAACACAGAGCCAAACTCCTAATAATTAAGATATCAACCCTTAGTTGTCAAGTAATTAATCATTGCATATAATGGTAGAATATTAATAAATAAAATGAAGAACCCAGAACAATTATAACTAATTTAAGAAATGGATGAGGAATAATAATAACCCTAGAAACAAAGATCAAGTCGTAGCATAGATTCAGACAAAGATGCAACAGGAAATCATCAGATTAAATAACGACCATCGAGTTCTAGCCCATCAGATTAAAAGACAGTGAAAAATAAAACCAATCATAGTGGCAGTCAAGCTATAAATAGTGGCAACGGACGGTCCAGCAAAACTCCTCAAGATTTTTAGGAAGAAATAATCCCTCAAGTGAGAAGCATTTTGAAATAAGGAACTTATATCAGTCATGCTTCTTTACCAAGGAGTAAAGGAATTAGACCCAGCAGATTATAAAGGTAGTTAATAAATAGTATAGTTTTAAGTTTACAGAGTCTATAATAATCGATAAGGAGAAATAGAGTGTATCCAGAGGAAATTCGAGACAATTCGGGATCTAATTAAAATGATTCAATATCAGATGATTCATTTTTTGAAGAAACTGAATAAAATTTAGTAGAGGATGAAACAAGATATAGATTTGATAAACGGTATTAAGTTTATTTATTGAAGTTATGCCCATCTTTCTTACATTGTATTCCCTGACGACCCAATAAAATTGTTATGGGATATTTTAATTATAATAGCATTATTATATGTTTGCTTTTTAGTTCCTTATGAAATCTCTTTTAAGAATGACGACACAGCAGAATCAGCAGTTTAGCTTGGTTTTAACATAACAATAGATATCCTATACGGGATAGACATAGTTATAAATTTCTTTAGTGCTTACGTTGATGATTAGGATGAGTTGATTGTGGACAGAAAGATCATAATAAAACATTATTTGACTGGTTGGTTTCTACTGGACATGATATGTGTTTTGCCTATGGATTATGTCGTTGACGATTACAATACAACTGGCTTTCAGAAAATTGCAAAACTGCCAAAAGCATACAAGATGGTGAAGCTCATCAAGATGTCCAGAATGCTAAAGTTTTTCATTTAAAAGAAGAAATATGGAGAAATGTTGAATCAATTTTCAAATATCAGTGTAATTCTGTTTAGTTATCATAGTAAAACATTAGGGTTATGATTATCTCATTATTATCAGTAATCCTAGTAAGTCATTTGTTCTCTTGCTTTTGGTATTTCGTTGGAACTATTTCATCTGAGACTTAAACTTGGATTGACCAATATGTAGGAAATGAATCTAACTTTGAAAGATATATCATGAGTATGTATTGGGTCTTCTAGACTATGGCAACTACTGGATATGGGGATATATCAGCTACGAATAGTACTGAATAGATGATTGCAATAATCATAATGATTATTGGAGTGATCTTCTTCTCTGTGACTATCGGTTCAGTGAGTTCATTGCTGACGTAATTGGATTCTTAGAATTTGAAATATAAGGAAAAAATTGACACTTTGAATGAAATTGCTAAGCATCATAAAATTGATAATACTTTATATGCTAAGATTTGTAAAGTGTTAAAGTAAGGATACAAAAATAATTAGAATGAAGTTGTTGAATTTCTACATCTTCTACCTTAAAACTTAAGGACTGAATTATCATAAGCTATGTATAAAAATGTATTTCTGGGAATCGATCTCTTTAAACATAAACCTTTAAGATTTACAGCCTACATTGGACCATTGTTAACAATCCTTAGAATTCCAGAAGGGGATGTTATTTATAACGAAGGAGATTATGCCAGCGAAATCTATTTTATTCGTGAGGGCAGCGTTTCCTTATGTATAAAAGAATGCGATTACCATCCCTTTGTAACAATAGAGGTAGGACAATACTTTGGAGAAATTGAACTAATTAAAGAAACTCAAAGAAAATATACTGCCATTGCCTAAAAGTAATGTGAACTCTTGTCACTATCTAAGTCAAACTTTTATAAAATATTCTTCTCAGAATTCAGAGAAATAGGTGAGGAAGTGCATGAGGATGCAAGAAGGAAGAAAAGAGATTATGAAGACAAGTTTACTAAAACCAAAGCTTACTTACAAGGTTTGGAATAGAAGGCCGAATAACAATTAACTGAAAATAATACCGAAACTAAAATTAAACTTGGCTTTGAAAAATTCAAACGAAATTTAATGTTCTAAGCCTAAACCAAGAAAGGCATTTTAGACAAAGCAATCAAAGATGCTGAGTAATAGACTTCAAATGAACTAAAAAGGAGGATGACCTACTTGAAAACTGTGCTATTGTAAAAGGGCATCATCAATAAAATGGATGAAAGGAGTCCAAGCAGAATATCTCCTAAACTGATCAAAACAAATACTCTAAATAGTGAAACCTAAACTAGAAAATTTGATAAAAAAAATACATTTTTACCAATGGATATCATTAAATAGGCTTAACAATTAAGCTCAGATGAAGAGAACCACGTCAAAGACAAGTAACAGTAAGACTAAAATAATCATCGAATTACCAAAAAGGCTATGACTACTTTTCTCTAACCTGAAACAAGGGAACATTAAGCTGATTTTCTATTATCTCAAGATGGGATGCTGAATTCTCATACTCCATCATCTTATAATACAAATATACAATTTTTGAAAAATAGAAAAAAATAATTGTACCTCTGATATTATTTATTTTTTTTTAATCGCTAAAATCTCATTATTGAATATATAACTATATTAAATTGTGCATAATAAGATATATAATATATTAATTCATTGTTCTACCATTTCCTTCTCTTCAGTTTGATACTAGTTTGGCATCTTAATTTCCAACTCCTGTTTGCATATCGGACAATGCTTTTCTTTTCCCAGCCATAACTTAATGCATTTAGAGTGATAGAGATGTTAACACGGGAGAGCTCGGCATTTGTCAGTACTCTCAAACTCAATTTAACAAATAGAGCATCTTAAATTAATATCAATTTCACTTACAATTATTCATCTGTTTTGCATTAATCAAAGCTTACTTTAGGGATAGTCTTTATTTGTTCCTTGCTCAAACCTCTATTAACATATCCTATTGTATCTTCGAGTTGGAGAAGTTATTCGTAAGTCAGATTGTCAACATCAACAAAAACTGGAATGTCTTCATTGCTATGGCGAATCTAATATAGGAAGTGTCTCAAATTATTTAAATTAGTCATGTGTTGTTGATACCCATCTTGAGAATCTTGTGCATTAGATTTATAAATAATACATGCTTCCTCTTCCTCTTAAAAATTGAGTTAGCTTTCCAATTGAGTGATGTGTTCTATTAAAATTTGTCTCTCTTCCATTAGTTTGTGTGATTGCATTTACAATTCTTTGCAACAATTTTCTCTTTGTTTAAGTAATTGAAGTAAGAGTTAAATTTTAGTTTCTTTCTCATCTATAATCTACTCCTATCCATAAGAACTTTTACCTTTTTCGACTTCTTAACTAATTCCTCTAAGAGTTTACATTTTCTCAACAAATCCTCAATAATTGGAGAATTGACAGGGTGATCCTACGGCCTACGCCTCTAAATCACTGTAGATCTGGTCATCTTTATTTCTGGGGATTAAGATTATTTGGAGACAAAAGGATACTTTTCATTTTTTAATAATTTTAATGCTAACTCTTTTCTTAATTCAGGAGAATGGCTTTTTCTTTACATGTTCATTTTTATGATAAATAATTTATAAAAAATTATTACAAAATTTGCAAATTTTTATCTTGTTTTATGTATTAGTGTTTTATTTGTTCACATATATTATACAACCATATACAATTACATCTTAATTAGGTAAGAATTAAATATTAAAATTATTTTGATAGGAGTATTTTGCTATTAGTATTTATTCTTAAAGCCGAAAGGCCAAAAAAGAACAAATGAATCGAGGATATTTATTTCAAATTAGCAAGTTCCCATTGAAATTTCAAGTCTAATTTAAATTTTTATATTGCATATAAACATTCTACTGTTTGAGTAATGACTTAAAGTGTTCATCTGTTAAATTAAATATTTTATTAATAGAGTAGTTTGATAAGTTAAAATTAGAAAAAATTATCGCAGACTAAATATAAACTTAATTGAAATAATTAATCAAATAATTAATTTACTTAGGGTAAGCAAATTCTATTCTATTTTTATAAAATTAAAATCGAAAACTTTTTAGTTTAGGTGAAAGAAAGATTCAGTTTAAACAGTGCGTGTTAATTTTTGGTATATTTTATTATTAGTCTGGTAGAAAATGACATTTAAAATGATTGTTACTAAATTGCATTTTCTGATTCAATTTATATACTAATATGATGTGATTAAAATATTTCAAAACACCTAAGTAATTCTTTCCCTTTCCAACTAGTTTTAACCTTATTAAAAAACCTTAATTAGATATTTATTTAATAAAGATATCATAGTTTATAAGATCTGTAAGAATTTCAGTTTTTTTAATGTCTGATCAATAATTCTATTTCAAATTTACTGAATAATATATTGAATCTAATTTCTAATATTTAATGTAAATAGCTTCATGCAAATGGATTAGAAAGATTAAGGTGACTTCATTTTGCTTTATAGTTTATTCAAATTGTCAATCATGTTTGATAAAGAAATTCAATATCAATATGGGATGATAAATTTGTATTGAATCATAGCATTTCGAATAAAGTTATGGCAATGGATACAAATCTAATAACATAGATATTTTATTAGAAAAAGTAATGATTTTATACTTATCAAATACTTGCTAACTTAATTATTTTTATCAGATTTTAATTATGTTCAATAAGGTGTAACCAAAATAGGGTGCGTAGGAAACGCAGAAAATATAAACTATTACAGAGGCTATGCAAAATTTCGATGTTAGATTCCCTGTTCCAGGGAGTCAGAATCAAACAGGATCAATTTTGGCTATAGATTGTGAAATGGTTGAATGTGAGAATGAGATTGGAGCCAGCGTTTAGATGCTGGCCAGAATAACAGTTGTCAATTATAATGGCTATGTTGTTTTGGATCAATACTACAAACCAAGATTCAAGGTGATCAATTACATTACACGAATTTCTGGAATCACACCACAAATAATTAAGGATAAACCAGTTTACAATGACTTTGAGAAATCGAAGCTTTAGTTGTTATTCAAGGGTAGAAAATGCAACTATTTATAGATAAAACCATCATTGGACATACCCTAAAAAGTGATTTTGATGCAATGGAATTTAATTTGGAAGATTACCAAACCAGAGATTTGATGAAGGTGGATTTTTTAAAATTGGATGAAGGATCAAGTAATACTATAAATAATATGAGGGTTTAAAAAAGATGTGTTTGAAGTATTTGGGCCAACATATTTAGTAAGGACAGCATAGTTCTGAGGTTGATGCAAGAGCTGCCTTATTTATATTCCGTAAATTCAGAAATGAAATAAATTTGTATTACAAACAATTAGATTGGGAAAAGGACAAATAATAAAAATAAAATTCAAAAAGTGCAAAAAAGAATTAAAAAAAATAATAAAAAGTGCCTTCGAAGCAGTAGAGAAGCAAGAAGTCTGATAATTCTAAATAACAAAATGAAAAATCTTAGGAGGGACAAGACACAAGGAAGGTTTAAATTTAGAAGAAGGCAATATCAAAGAAGAAAAGTTAATGATGCAAACATTAAAAAATTAATATTAATTTAAAAAATATGTATAACATTAAAATTTCTCCCAAACTGAAATCAGATGACAGGTCCATAATGAATTAAATATTGAAAGAAGAGGCATTTTTCCTAAATCAAAAGCAAGGCGATATACATTCATTTGTCTTAGATGATGATTAAGATTAGCTTCTTAATAAATTATTAAATGTTCATAAGATGACGAACATAGACAAGGAGAACTATACTAAGCATATTAGCTATTGTGTAAGAAATTTAGGACAAAAATCAATTGATAAGTTGCCAATGATTATGGAAAAATATGTAAATTGTTGTAATATTTAATTTAGAAAAATGAAGATGAAAGATTTTAAATAATGTTTATAGAATAACTTAATTTGATATATGAGGCATCTTTATAAGCTCAGTAGCCGGTCATACAAATTTTGAGCTTTTTCTTGTTGAATAGCATTTTGAAAATCAAAGAGTTGGCAGGTTAATAGTTGACAAAGATTGCTCTTCATTTGTAAGGAGATGAGAAAGGAAATTAGTTGTTACCAATCATAATAAAGATGGCCCATGATGATCTCAATTAAGATAATAGAATAGTGGCATTGTAATTAATGGGGAAGCTCTCATCAATGTTTGGGATACAATTAAGCGAGTCTTTTATAGCTTTTGAAGTAATGTCTCTCGGAGAGGATTCAAAATAAGATGTGAGAAAAGAGGCAGTTAATCAATTGCCCTTGGTTGCAAAAGTAGTGGGTAAAGACTTTTTTAATAAAAAACTGTTCCCATTCTACATGAAAAGATGCAAAGAAACTAATACAAAAGTAAAGACTGCATGTGTGGAACATTTTTTGTAAATTGTAGAATTATCATCTCAAAATTAAAAAATTGCTGATCTTACAGCTTAAATATTACAATTCTAAAAGTAATGAGATAATTACATTTTTAGCGATTCTAATAAATATGTTAAGGGAGTTGCATATAGATGTTTGGCTAGATTTATTGCAGCAATTGAAAAAGACAAAATTGAACCAAGACTCATTGAAAATTATTTGAAGATGGCTGATTCAGATATAAGAGAATTGCTACCTGAATAGTAAGTAATGTTTGCTTGTGCATATGGTTTTCCTGCAGTGTTATAAACGGTTGGTGTTGCAAGATGGTAATAATTGCATAAATTATTTAATCATCTATGGAAATAAAAGAATGAAAGAATCTGTAAGACTTTGGCAGCTAGTCTACATGAAGTTGCCAAAATCATAGGAGCAGAGAAAGCCGAAATAGATTTGTTTCCTATTTTAGAGACCATTTTTGTAAAAGAACCAAATGATAATGTGTTAATGGGTTGTGTTAAGAATTTGTCATAATTTTTGAAAATATTTTCAGATGAAAAGAAGGAGGCATTTTTAGAAATATTTTTTTTCATTTAGAGGGATTTAAAAAAGTGGAGAATCAGAGAATCAATAGCAAATCAATTAGATGAGATGGCTCTCATCTTTCCTGCAGAAATCATATTTAGAATGATTCTCCCTATTGCTTTTAAGCTTTGTACTGACAATGTGGCATAAGTTAGAAAAATAGCATCCTCTAAAATATATGCATTTTTTTAAGGTATCAAAGATTCACCATTGTCAGAATAATATCAAACCTTCATTATTGAAAGCATGATAGGTTTTTAAAAGTCATCGGTGTTTTATCAAAGATAATCGTACAATTTCCTATAATATATAGATTTATTTAGATGTGTTCTAAAATCATGTAATTTGAGGATGCCATCTTTTAATAGCATCTTCTAAAACCCTTACTAGAATTAGCATAGGACAAAGTTTAGAGTGTCAGATATATGTTATACATGGCTATAGAGAATCACTTCAAAATATAGGGTAACTATTTATCTTAAAATTAAAAGGAAAACAACAAGGAAATCCATAATTATTAGAAGTTTTTAATTAGCTATCAAATGACAAGATTATTAAATCACTTGTAAAATATAAACCAACTTTGGAAGTCCAAGTCAATGAGACAGAATCAAAAGAATAAGAAAATCTACAGCCTAGTTCAGAAGTGATTAATTAGGAACCTTAGTTAGAAGAAATTGATGATGATGAAATTCCACAAAGATAAGTTTAAGAAGAACCAGAGATCTTGAAATAGTTGAGACAAGAGAAATAAGAATTTATCAAAAAATAGGAGGAAATCTAGAAGGAATAATTAGAAAAGGAATCAGATGCAAAATTAAATGAACAAGTTAGTTAAATCACTATCAATGAAAATGCAGAAAAAAATGAATTTAATGATGAGACTACTCAAATTGCTTATGATTCTTCAGATTAAAACATAAAAAATAATGAGTCTCAAGAATTATACTAGTTTGAGTAATTATAAGGATAAGGTGAATAACAATAAAAAGAGAATGATGGATTATAATAAAATGAAGAATATGAATAAGGATCATAAAATGATTAAAAAGAGATAAATACTGAAGAAGATGCTTCATAACTTTGAGAATTTTCTGTGATAATAATTAATTATAAATGTTAAAGATAATCAATATACTGGTGGTTTAATATATCCAAATAACATTTTATATATGTTTATCCTCTCAAGGTTTTGCGATGGAAAAATACAAAGTTAGTTATTCTTAATTATTAAATAGACAGCCAAAATTGTTTACCATGCTGTTTTCTATCAATTAAAAATATTCTAGGCCTTAGATATCTATTCTATTAATTGCTAAATCTAATTTATTTATATCTATTTAATTTTTAAAAACTGTAGGCATTACTAATCATTAATTATGAATATCGTATTGCTTATAATTTTATAAATTCATTTACTTATAAATAATATCATTCAGTGGGTAGTTTTGAAAATTTATGAATTATTCTATTTTTAAGGTTCTTTTTTAATATTAATATTGAAAATTAATATTTAAGTATCTATATATCAATATTAGTTACAATATATAAGACAATAACTATGTATATAACTTTTGAGTGTAAGATTTATTAGATTCTTAAGTTCCATCCTCATTTTTTAGAATAAATTACATTTGGTATTGGAGAACTGCCAAATTATTATAGTAGGTGGAACAGTGAGGAATTATAGGAATGGTTAGATTTTATGAAGTAAGGGCTTTGGTTATTGCAAATATATATATAAGTGTTTGAGTATAATTTATGAAAAATTCAAATCTTTTTAATAATTAATGGCATTTGTTAAGCTTGTTAAAGGAACACCATATTTCAAAAGATTCTAAACTAAATTCAGAAGACGAAGAGAAGGAAAGACTGACTATTATGCAAGAAGCAGATTGATAGTCTAAGACAAGGATAAATACAATTCCCCAAAATACAGATTTGTTGTTAGACACACAAATACTAAGATCATCTGCTAAGTCATTTATGCTACATTGAAGGGTGACAAGGTAGTGGCTGCTGCTGAATCAACTGAATTGAAGAGATTCGGTTTGACAAGTGGTTTGACAAATTATGCTGCTGCCTATGCCACAGGTTTATTATTGGCCAGAAGAACACTTAAGACATTGAAGATGGATAAATTCTACGAAGGCAATAAAACCATTGATGGAAACTTGTATGATGTAGCTGAAAAGGAAAACCCAGAAAGAAGACCATTCTTTGCTGTTCTTGATATTGGTTTGGTCAGATCAACTCTTGGTAACAGAGTATTCGCTGCCTTAAAGGGAGCTGCTGATGGTGGTATTCACATCCCACACAACAACAGAAGATTCCCAGGATTCTCTGTTGATAATGACAAGAAAGAAAAATATGATGCCAATGTTCACAAAGACAGAATCTTTGGTGTTCATGTTGATAAATACATGGCTCTCTTATAAAAGGAGAAGAAGACAAACAAAGATGGTAGATCTAAGTTTGATGTCTAATTCCACAATTGGGAATAAACCTTGAAGACTGTAATATATTAAATTAATTTAAATAGGCAGGTGTCAAATCAGTTTAAGAATTGTTCAAGAAGATTCACGATGAAATCAGAAAGAATAGTGACAGAGTCAAGAGAGGTGCTAAGTAAAATCCCAAGAGAGATCACACCAAATACAGAGCCAAGAGATTAAATGCTAAATAAAGAAGAGCTAATGCTTTAAAGAAGATCGACATCGCCACCAAATAAGCTGCTAAATTAAAGAAGAAGGCATGATTTCTTATATATTTGGTACATTAAAAATATCCCTTATCTATTCTATTATTGTATGAATTTTAATAAAATAATTAATTATGATCCAAACTCATAATGAATAATGTGATCACTTCCAAAAAGAGGAACTAAATGCATTATCTTCTATCTATTTATCAGACTATGAGCAATTAAAAGATGTGCATCCTTATTCATTTTAAGTAATTGTTGCCCCATTTGTGCCAGCTGATTAATTTTATCATGACAATGTAGTCTATTGCAAAATTTTCATTGCCTTTCCAGATGATTACCCATTAAAATCATAAAGATTTCACTTTGAGATTTAAGGGTTGAGTAGAAATTTCACTTAGGATAATTTAATAAGAGCCAGAAAAGTTTGTGATCAAGTAATTGATCATCATGAAAAAGAAGCAGATTCTCAACCGATAGTCTTTGCAGTTGTTGAAGCATTGAGGGTATTTATGTAATTGACAAATTAGGATTATGTGTTTGATCAATCAATGTACTTATAAGAATTATATGATCAATAAAACTCAAAGCCTGACGATAACTATATCTATATTCCACCCATGCCTAAATTTGCAACAAATACCCCTGTTACACTTGAAAGTTTTACAGCTTGGAAGAAGAAGTTCGATTAAGAGATTTATGATATTAAGAAGAGAGAAAAGAATTTTACTCAAGTAGAGGAAATGATGAAGAAGATAAGTGGAAAGCAGTATTTTGATAGGAAATAAAACAAAGAAGATGATGTTGATGTCTAGGAAATTATTAATGAGGATGACGACGATATTGTTGAATTAGAAGATGAAGATTATCAAGGAGAAGATGATAATGATGAAGAGGATCAAGATAGACCTGTAAATATATTATTATATACTTTTTAGTTGTACGAAAGAGAATAACTTGAATGATTTATATAATGATGTAATTATCTATAAATATTCAAATACTTCATTGCTAAACTAATTATAATTTCTACAAAACCAATTATTAATCTATTAGAAATTAAAATATTCCTTATGAACTTTGAATAATTTCTTCATTAAAGAGTATTATTTCTATTTAAGCTATTCCAAAAATATTTTATGATAGTGAGAACTTCTTTCTTGGTTTTTTTATTCATATTCAAGTTTAAACTTATTTTGTTAAACATTTAAATTATATTTATTTATAATTCAAATTGAATTTAAATTTTAAAATCAAAAATTCCTTTAATCAACATCTAGTGATACTATCTTAACTATATTTCTAGTTTGTGATTAAAAAATTATCTAACACTAAAAATTTTATTATTATAAAAAATATATTAGATGTTGTTTAAAAGTTGCATAATTTAATCTTAAAAATAATACTTAACACTTTATGAATCTTAACTATTTTTGTTTAGGTTCATAAACACTTTTTAATATCACAACCTTGCTATATTTCTGAATGAAGCAATACAAAAATTTTGTCATCTTTCAGCGATTATAAGGAAGGCCTTAATTATGTTTCATTCAATTTCGGTGAATGAATATCCTCTTCAATGTGTTTTGAGGGAATCAAAAATATGAGTTTCTCTAACTTTTTGTTAAAATAATATGGTGCTATACTTACTGCATTCTCAGTATATATAAAACTCTATTACTGGAGATTGCTTAGATTCGAAGACTTGGAGGGGGGAATATTAAATATTTTGAGAATTGAAATGCTTTTGATTCTTAATATGAAAAACAATTTATGATAATTATTATTTATATTTGATGTCAACTTAGTATAGAGTTCCGTCTAATGACAATTACATTCGTGACTTAGAAAATATATCTCAAAGGTATATATGATGTATAATGAAAAGAGAGCGCCATGGATTATTTAATTAACCACCACCTTTATCATTGGGGGATTAATATAACGATGCTTTGAAAAGTATGCAATGTTTTCTAATTATGAAGGCTAAGGCAAAGAGAAAGCAATCCTAATCAATAAGAAACTCTAAAAAAAGCATGAGCCTGTTTTGTTTTCAGAACCTGGCTACACAACATTAAATGATCCATATAAAGACTAATTTAAGGCCAAATAAATTTACGACAAAGAGAGAGAATTGGCCATTAAAAATCCTAATAGCTTTAAACCTAATGACCATTAGAAATCTGTGTATATAATTCAACTTATTCAGCAAACATTCTGAATTTGAACACATGAAGGAGTATAATGATAAAGTCTTTAAAACTCGAAATTCAGCAGGAAATGTAGTTACTTAAGCTAGGAACTTTTTGACCAACCCAGCTAAGAAAGGATTAGGCAGGACAACAACAAACAATTTGTTTAGTTAGATTGAATATATTCCTGATCCTTATGATAGATAGGAAGAAATGGATAGAAAGGAGAGAATCCAACATAAGAGCAAGCAATTACCCGGAACAACAAGATTTGTCACAACCAGCCATGGAAATAGACCCTTTACTGCAGACGGTATCTTGTTGGATGGAGCAGGATATACAATACGTAATAAATTAATAACCTTTTAGAGAGAAAGCCACCTATTTATAAAGGAAACCCCTTTAGACCATCCAACTAAAATAAAAAAGGCTTTTAAGGAACTTTTGAAGTGCTTCAATATATGGAGGAAGGGGCTCCAAATATAAAAACAAAATAGAATACATTCGAAAAATTGAGTGCTACTTAAACTTATGAAAGACCTTGGAGACCAAATTCTAATGGAACGTTTGCGAGACCTTGTCCTAGTGTGTCTTAATAATTACGAAATAGAAGTGCAGGATCTAATTAAAGATCATGAGATGCTTATGATAATATTTTCATATATGAAATACATTGATTCTATTTGACATTATAAATAAATTGATAATAAGAGAAATGGATTAATGCAATTTTCAATGACAATAAAAAAAGATATTTTATAAATTTAGTGATGTTATTATCTCAAGCAAAATAGATAGTGTGTATTTCTAAAACAGGAGAGAGATTTAAATTTGCAAATCCCGACCTGTGTGTTTTGGAGAATTCATCTGTAGCCATTAATGAATAGGGAGTGATTGTGGATATTGGAGATATTGATGAAAAATATTAAAATTATAAAATCATAGATTGCAGAGGCAGATGTGTCTTACCAGGATTGATAGATGCTCACACTCATCCTTGTTATGCAGGAGATAGATCTGGTGAATTTAAGATGAAATTGGAAGGAGCAACATACATGGAAATTCACAACAAGGGAGGTGGTATAATGTATACATCCAGATGTGTGAATTAAGCAAGTTAGGAGGAATTAGAATAGATCTTAGAGAGTGGAATCAAGAGAGCCATTAGAAATGGAACAACTACTATGGAAGCCAAATCTGGATTCGGATTATCCACAGATGGTGAAGTCAAACAACTATTGACAATCGAGGCTGTGAGCAAGAGGAGCCCAATCGAAATAGTTTAAACTTATTTGGGAGCTCATGCTTTACCACCTGGATTGAGTGAGAAGTAGGCAGAATAGGATGTCATCCAGAATCAAATTCCATAAATCAAAAAACTTATGGATGAAGATAAGATCCATCCTGAATTTGTAGATGTGTTTTGTGAGAAGGGAATTTATGAAATTGAAACTACTAAAAATATACTGTAGGAAGGAGCAAAAATAGGATTGATTCCTTCATTTCATGGAGAAGAATTGAATCACTTAGAATCAGCCAAATTGGGAGCAGATCTAGGAGCAATAGCCATATCTCATCTGGAACATGTAATCTATTTGGCTATTATTCATAGTTGTCACAGGAGGGAATCAAGGCAATGGCTGAGAAAAAGGTGGTTGGGGTTATTCTACCAACTACTCAATTCATCTTAAAACTTTAACCTCCTCCTGTTAGGGAGATGATTGACAGTGGAGTACCAACTGCTTTGGCCACTGATTATTGTCCCAATGCTTATTGCATGTCCTTGCCTTTTACAATGAGTTTAGCATGTTTGAATTTGAAAATGAGACCAAATGAGGCCTTGTGTGCTGTTACACTTAACGCTGCTGCCGCATTAAATAGACACAAAAAAATTGGTTCTATTGAGGTTGGAAAGTAGGGAGACTTCGTGATTTTAGATGCTCCTACTTGGGAACATCTGATTTATTAAATTGCTGATTCTCCGATTTGGAAGGTTATCAAGAAAGGCAAAATCGTCTATGAATATTTATGATGATTAATAATAAATAAATAAATAAAAACTATAAAAATGAAATAAAATTTATAAAACATTTATCTGTTATAAAAATTAAAATTAAATTATAAATAATTAAAATTTTGGAACACTTTTTTTAGTAATTATTTGAGATAGTACAAATTGATGCTATGAAATTTGTTCGATTTTTAATTTATTTTTAATGTCTAAGGAGAATAAATGTTCCCGTTTCAAAAAATCAAAAAAGCAAATTGACACTCTTAATGACTTTTACCAAAAGCAATAAATCTGGGGACAAAACACAATCAAAGAAATAGCAAACCTTACCAATTTACCAAAAGAAAAGATATATAAATGGTATTGGGATCAAAACAAGAAGTTCAAGTAGGAGATGCCATCAGATGATGTTGAAGGTGAAATCACAGTCAAATAGGATCAACTGAGTTCGAAAACACATGAAATACTATTGTGTAGTGGCCTTTAATTAAATTAAAGATTAGATGAAAATTTAAAAAGTAGGCTCATCAAATTAGCCAGAGATTTGATTTTAATAAAATGAGGATTATTTATAATCAAATCAAGTGTATTTTTCATTATTTTACGAATTATTTTCTTGGCAATATTTACTCTGTCCCTCTCACACTCCTATTTAGAGTCAATTTTCTTAACATAAGTATTTAAATTGGACATGATAGATGGAAAGTGAAGAGGCATTGGTAGTAAGTGAATTGTATGATTTCTAATAATTGCTTACTAAAAAAGTAAAGGATAATTTTTATTTGATATTAATAATGAGAAATGATAATTCCCCTGTTAATTAATAAACTAAAGGTAATGTGAGTATTCAGAATTAATCTCCAAGAAAACAACACACACCTTAAGATACAATGTAATAGGTCTTACAATTCAATCCTTAATTATTAAATCTAAAATCCTCTTCGCCTCACAGACCAAAAGATTAACCAAAGGAAAGCTTCTACTTTGTGTAGGATGATGGCTAAAGATAATAAGAAACATAGCTTAAGTTTAATAAAGTGAAGAATAATTACCAAATTACTAAGCAGTTAACAAATAGAAGCGATAAACAACGAAAGCGAGTTGATCTGTCGAGCAATGTATTTGAGAATACTCAAAATGCGGATGTGATTTCTAAATCCCCTGAGAATTAACAACTAATTAATACGTCAGTCTAATGGACAAATGTGCATTATGGTAAAGTACTTACTTCTGTGAATGAGAAGGCAGAATTTGGTAAAGATTATGCAAAACAAAGGAAACACCAAGATCTACAACAATAATATCAGGAGAGTACAAAACATAAAAGCCCTTCAAAAATAATAGAGAATGAGATTAATATTTAGTCTAAGAAATAAAATTAACAATTCTCTGATGTTTTTGGGCAGGAATTGGGAAACAAAGAAAGAAAGTGGTTAAGACCATAACGTAGTCTTTCCCCTTAAATAAAATGGACAGCCTTCGATAGTACTCGAGATTACAAAGATTTCGGTGATATGAGTATTAAAGTATAAACCTATATTACGATTTATAGGAGTCAAAGTTACGCAACATAAACACTGATAATCAAAAGGATAATCAGAAAGACACTCATAAATTGAATCACCCTCTGACTTCGCCATTTTTTGATGTAAACCATATAATAGCAATATTGATAGTGTCAAATATCCTATGAAAAGATCAAAGGGTAATATAAACAATAGAATTAATTCAAACACGTAGAGAATGGGTCTTCAAAGCAATTTGGACAAGAGAAAAAGATCGAATAGAGTAGTAGTAATAAAAAATATGAAGGGATCTACTCCTGGAAAAACAACTATTAAAAATGAAATTATTTCTTTATTTTTTGTAATGTAATAATTAAAGAATAATTACATTGGATATCTAAGAGATGGACTGCAGATGAACAAAGTGGAAATGGAGGATTATGGCGGGATGTTTGGAATTAAGGCCATTGATAATATTAAATCTGGAGAATATGTCATCAAGGTTTCCCATAATTATGCAATAAGCGCATTCACAGTATTCCAAAATGAATAATGTGTAGACATAATGAAGAAGAATCCTCATATCTACCCATCGTTGCAATAAATTGGGAATAAGAAGAGTGATTTTCAGACGTTAATCCTTTATCTCACAGTGCAAAGACATGGAAAATTAAAGTCAATATTTGATCTCTCAGCAAATCCTACTTGCTTACTTGACTGCGATCAACCAATTCCATTTGATTATTTGAGAGAATTGAAACAAGAATTTGAGGAAGAATATAAGGCAGCCAAAGACGAGGTGATGGAAATAGGGTTGAATTCTGAGGATTATGATTGGGCATATAGATATTGCATGAATAGAAGATTGAGTGTTAATAACGATTATCCTTTCTCATTTTTAGTACCTATGGTAGATATGATAAATCATGGAAAGAACAAAGCAATATTTGGTTTAGAATAAGAGAATTATTAACCAGAAGAATACATTTAAAATAATTATATGAAATTTAAATACATTTCTCAAAATAAGTATTGGTTTAGTTAGGAAGATTAAGAAATAATAGAGAGTCTACATGTAAATGAGAGTGAGAGGTGTTCTAAAACATTGAATAGATTGTTGTAGTAACTCTTTCAGGAACTACTTAGAACAGGATCCTCAGATATATGGATTACAAAATTGATGATGCCTGATGATTCAGAGGATGAAGATGAACCCACTACTGATCAAAGCAACACTTAATCGCAATAATTAAATACCAAAGATTCGAAAGTCTAAGCTGCAGTCAATGATGATTACCTTAGAGATTACTATGAATAGTCCTTAGATTAAAGTGAACATGATTGGTACACAAATATCCAACAGTAGACTCTCAATTGTCCAGCTTACCTTACAGCAAGAGCTGTGGATGATATTGAAAAGGGAGAGTAGGTCTTGAATTTGTATGGATGTTTAGGTAATGAGCATCTATTGATGTATTATGGATTTGCACTCAGTAAGAATAAGTATGACAGAGTTAAATTCAGGATATTTATGGATTGCAGTACGAAATATGATTTTCTTACAAACATTGAAAAATTGGTTTAATTACATTATGTTCCATATAAAGAACTCCTAAATCTAAACACCAGAGGGATTAGTCTTAATTAATTAACTTCTGAATTTAAAATAAAGAAAAGCTAATTTAATTTGGATTTGATGAAATTCCTAAGGACATATCTCTAGTTGTTAGATGGAGATGAGTTAATCAATGAAGAAACTATCATAGTTCTATATAGAAGAATCATTAATTCTTTATACAAAAAGATTTCAACTCCGATCATTCCTAAAGACTCATATTGGGGAGAACAACTTTTTAACTATTAAACTTCAAAAGCAAGAATCTTGAAGGCCCACTTAGAAATGATAGACAATTTGACAACTAAACCAGAGAAGATGGAAATCAAAGTGTTTATGAGATTAAGAGCATATTTACTTAAATAAAACTGAAATATTAATTCGTATTATCAAGCATAATTCTCTTCTAATAGTTCTGGATACTCTTTGTCTATCTTCAACACTAATTCTCCAAACAATCCATTTGCCCAGGCAAACCAAGATCTTGTGAAATTAATGGGGTTATCTTTGAAAAAGCTTTCATGCATAAACCATTTGCCTCCAGTGGTTGTCACTAACATCCTCAAGCATTCCCTGATTTCTTTTTTGTCATTTGTAGTCAACCCTTAAGTTACAATAGCCATAGGCCATATGTAATTGTTCCCAATATGAGGACCACCTATACCTTTGGCTGCTGTTCCTACAAAATAATAGGGGTTGGCTGAACTGAGTGCCTTCTTTCTAGTAGCTTAATACAAGGGATCATCTATTTCAATAAATCCATAAATTGGAAGAGAAAGTAAACTTGGTTGATTTGAATCATCCATAAATACTTGCTTACCCATTCCGTCAATTTCATACACAAATGCTCCATCCTTTATTCCATATTTGTAAATGGCATCTTTAATTTCTGCAGACAATGCAAAAGCCTCTTAAATTAAAGGATCAGCAGCCTTTCTTAAAGACCAACTTAAGTTTGCTTCACTCAACATCTCAGCTGTTTACTTTAAGATTGCTGAAGCCATGGCATTTTCTGGGATATTAAATTAATGCACTGTGGAATCATCAGAGGCTCTGAAAAATGTTCTTAATAATCCAGTTCTTTTAACTGGTTCACCTATTCCATTAATAACTGTATCGGTTGATCTAGCGTTCCTCTAAAAAGTATAAGGGAATCTGAATGTGGCAAATTGTTCTGTCTGGTCTGCTTGCTAATCCTTGAATGTTCTCAAGATTCTTTAGACAGCCTTTAAGTATTTAAAATTGATGATTGATGCATCTTTAGTTTCCTTATAATAACCAACAGATAGTCTTAAGACAGCCACTAAAGAGTCAATTTCAAATTTCCTTTCATGTAGATGTTGTGACATTGCGTGGGCATTGACACCTAAAAAGCACCTGGTTGTATTGTCATTGCTCCATTCTGACTATTTCTTTTGATAATTGAATGCATTGGCATATGGATCAATCAAGACTTAATTAACTTGACGATTGATGGCTCCTTTTACCAAGTTTTGTAATTTGCTGTCCTAATTCACAAACTCCATATAGGTCCATAATTAATTAGTACTATCTCTTAACCACATAGCTGTAATATCACCTGTGATCACAAAGGCATCTGGAATACTTGGATCATAGTTGGTTACCGTTGTATCAAGCGTATTAGGAAACGAATTGATGAAAGTATATTTGAGTTTATTGTCCTTCATTTTTTCTGAAATCTATTAATCAGATCTAAAAATACTCGCTCGATGGCCTTTTCAACCGCTTCTGATACAAATTTTTTTTGGGCTGGTCTCTAATTTGACTGTGCTAAAAGATTGACTATGAGCAAAGAAAAAGCAATTAATATGAAATTCATAATATTAATTAATGAAGGCTTATAATATTCTTATTAAATTAAATAAAAATACCTATGAAGAACTTCATATAGTTTTATTTAATATTCATATTCCTAAGCTAAATTACATCTCCATATCTTTTGAAATAATAGATCTTTAACAAATTGAATGATATATGACATCAGCATTAGATATTACTAGAGTTCTTGAATTTTAGCCATAGATTAATAGTACTATTTAAAAAATCTCTTAAATCTTTAATTTGATAAAAATCTTGAATCTTGCAATGAATGAATTACTCAAAACATTTTCATTTTAAAATTATTTTATCTTAGTTATACATTCACAAAAGTGTTTCAAGAAATACAGATATGGTCAATTGGGATCAATTACTGATAGCAGTGTGAAGGAATGACACAAAGTAATTGATAAAAGAAAAATAATAAAAATTGACATACGTGGTATGAGTATACAATTATTTAATTGATTCATATATTTATGTTTCCAATATTATTGAGTCTCTTCACACTCTCTTGGTGCAGCATTGAGGAAACCAAAGAAATCATGCAGGATTGGGATAAATATATGCGAGGCTTTCTACCTGATGATATGATCTCGTTCTAAATTGAAAAGGGAGGCGAGGAGATATTCATTGAGTCAATCAAGAAGACTCCCACCAACATCAGAGGCACCTTCTTTATTCCAATCTACACTATGGACACTATTGATTTTAAGGTGGTCGATCCTTCTGGTTCTATGATTTATGCGAAAATGATGAAAAAGGAAGCAGTGTTCAATTTCAATGCCACTGAGAAAGGGGATTATCAATTGATCTTTCAAAATAAGAGAGCAAAGGAGGCTAAGGTTGTTCAATTTGCCATTGACGTGGCCAAATCCGAAAAAGGTACACACTCCATTAATGTCGTTTTTTTTAGAGGAAATCGAATAGAATGATATAGATCCCATTGAAGAGGGCGTACAGGGGGTTCTACAGAAGATAAGAGACGTTTTCTATAGTACCAAACTGAATGAATTGAAATCCAAAGGAGCTTTGGCAGATGTATAAAAGATTAATAAGCAATTGATGGTTTTGACATTTATTGAGACTGTTGCTATTTGCGGAGTGACCGCATGGTAAGTATATTACATAAAGAAATTACTCAATGACAGAAGATTAGTGTGATTATGTAAATATATTTATTCTTCGAATTCAATTCAATTAAATGTCTGATCCTAATTCCAGAGCTGCTAGATTGAATATCAACCCAATCTCTACAACCAACCAGAATGTCTAGATCCTAAAAGTACATTCCAATTTCACTAATTCTAGAAATTGGCATTCAGTATCAATAGCGGACAACCCTCCACTATCAGAGCTCTCAGTGCTCCCAACGCCGCTCAAAACAACAGAATGCAATTGGAGATTGAATCCAAAGAATCCAAATATAGCAGTATGTATGAAGAGTTGGCTAAAATTGGATAAGGGAATTTCGCAATTGTATTTAAATGTAGGAACACGCTTGATCAATCGATTTATGCAATTAAAAAGACGAAGGCTCAACCTAAATAGAATTTAGAAACCAGCGATGCAAGGTAGGAAGCCTGCATTTTGGCGAATTTATTTAGCAAAAGTGACACAAAACACATAGTTCAATATTACAATTGTTGGATAGAGTAGAATCAATTTTATTTGGTTATGGAATATTGTGATTATAATCTAAAGCACCAAAAACAATATTAGGAATGGGAAATCAAGATCATTTTAAAACATGTTTTAGAAGGGCTGAGGTTTTTACATAGTAAGAATTTGGTTCATATGGACATTAAACCTGAGAACATTTTGTTTAAGAAGAAGGATTTGAGTTTCAAGATAGCAGACTTTGGATTGTCAAGACTTTAATTTGTAAAGGAGGACGAAGATATTAGGGATGGTGATTAAAGATATACAGCTCCTGAAATCATGGAATATGTATTAAAAACTATATCTAGATGAATTTTGGTACTCCAATAGATTTATAAAAAGTTGATATTTTTGCTTTTGGATGCACCATTTTCGAATTGATGATTTAGGAGGAACTGCCAAAATCTGATACTCAATATCATGAATTGAGAAATGGCATTAATAAACGTCATTTCAAAGATGTGGGTAAAAAATCCATTAATTTATTTAGGAATTTAATATTCTGATTCTTTGATTCAGATTGTCTGTCAAATGATGGCTCCCAAATAAAAGGACAGGCCAACTGCTGAATAATTGCTGAATAACACCTATCTATTTGTGCCTGAGGATAATGAGTTACGATTTTTGGAGAACTCTAATTCTCTGCTCTTCCAAGAGAAGCAGAGGAACCAACAAAAGTAAAAGAGAGAAAGTCAGAGAAGGAAAACCCTTGGTTCTTGTTTGGAGTTCGGGGGTAAGCAGGGGGTCAAGAATAAAGTGCAAATAAAGAGTGAGAGAATAAGGCAGGAGACGGAGAGGAGGTAGAGGATGTCGAGGATGGATTGCTTTTAGACGGAGGAGGAGCAGAATAGCCAAATTTTTAGATCAGGTTATGAGCTGTGTGAGAAGCAGGATTCTTTGGAGTAGCGTATAAAAAATGAGCACTAGAATTCTAGAAATAAGAGTGCTTGATGTCTAATTATATATTAAATTAAATATTATAAAAGGGAACAAATATTCTTATTTTGTATTTTTAAAAACAACATCTAAATATGGATCCCGAAGAAAAATAATTAATTGGTTCAATACTAAGTGGTATGTGAATATAATGATAGTGTGTTAGATGAAAGCGAAGTGTAAATGTACGAAAGGAAATAGCCTCGAAAAAAGAGTAAATTATCACTGAACGCCAAAGAGTTTTAACCTACTTTGATTAATTCCATTGAATAAATTGAAATTCTTGGAGAAAATTATGGGAATGACACTATGACTTACAATTCTACGAACACATAACCTTATATGTACATATTCTAATTTTACATGTTAGAATTAACGAAAGACAAAAAGAGAAGAAACCCTCTATAAAAATTCATCATGATTTGAAGTAACTATAATTTTCCCCTAAAAAACACTAAACTATGCAACCTATAACGGAAGTTTAAACCTTCTTTTTGACATTTAATAGCCATCCAACTCTGTAAGAAGATAATTAAGTTCAGCTATAATTGAGGCAAGATGATTACCAATTTAGAATGAGTCTGGTACCTCATTTAAATATATGTTAGGAATAAATATGTGGTAATTAGAATGCATCAAGAAATCTGTAAAAGATTTTTGACAATGGTACTCCATTATAAAGAGGGATGATCTTCGAGACGATTGAAAAAAATTTAATTAAGACTTCAAAAGATTTATTTGGAAATTATTTGGTTTAAAAAGTATATTTGTCAGGTATTGTAACAAAATTATTGATTTAGGTGAAAAATAGTGGAAGTTCAGTTTATTTTATCAATTGAAAGGTCATATTGTTGAATTATCGAAGAATCAATATGCTTCAAGAGTGATCAATAGAATGATAGAATTTTTAAAAGATGAAGACTATCATTTTTAAACCGAATTTATGGATGAGATAAAATACTAAGTCCGACAGCTAATAAATGACAACAATGGTTGTTTTGTATTGTTGAGTTGTTTGGAGAATTTCGACTACAAACTGTGTGAATATATGAAGAAACACATAGAGTAATCGGTGTATTCGATGTCATAACACACCTATGGATGTCGGATCATATAATTTATGCTTCAGAAACAACTCAATTAATCATTATTGGATTAGATTATGGATGTGTCCTAATAGCTATGTATATGCGAATTCGGTAACTACATAATTTAGTTCATATTGAAGAGTAATTTTAAATAGCAGAAAATGGAACTGTTCAGGATTATTAAGAGTAATTTCCAAACACTATGTTACAACAAATACGGGAGCAACGTCGTTGAAGTTTTCCTCGAAGTCATCGAATAGGAAGACGTGAAATTCGTTACCAATATTATGTTGACTGCAGATCAGGAGAGCAAGTAAAAATGTAGTGTTACATTGTAGTTATTTGTTTGTTGCCTTTGCTACTCATCCTTTTGGGAATTATGTCTTCAAAAAATACCTATAGTTAGATTAGCAATGTATCCTTCCAGTTCTTGGAATAATGAAGAGATATCCCGAATTACTATAATAAATCAATACTTCTGAATATGGGTAGAAGATATTCTCGGTTGTAGAACGATCCATTCAATTTGTATGAATAAAATGTTTGTGAATTGTATTAAGTTTGTATTATGCAGTATATTAATATCAATGAAATAGTATACACTTCCACATTAAATTGTTCATCATTACTCTCCATTTCGATCAAATGCTGAAAAAACAGTCATTTAGGACGGCGAAAATACTTTTCTGATCGACCCTCAATATCAATACTTGAGCATAAGTAAATGCATTCTATTAAATTAAGTTGGATAAGGATCGTATGGAGTGGTTTTTGCTGCCAAAGACACTAAAAAGGATTCAGGAAGAGACTTAGTTGCAATCAAGAAGATAGTTAAGGCATTTGAATAAAGGCTCTTTGCAAAAAGAACACTCAGAGAATTAAGACTTTAAAGGTTATTCAGCCATGAAAATGTATCATTCTCATCTATCTGTGCAGGTGATATCTATTGAGAAAATAATGCTTCCAAAGTCCAGAGAAGAATTTGACGATATGTATAGAAAACCTGGTAGATTTTAGATACATAGTCTAAGAATTAATGGAAACAGATCTGTCTACAATCATTAGATAATAAACCCAATTGGACTAAGAATAAATCTGCTTCCTCTTATATCAATTATTGAGAGGGTTGAAATATATTCATTCAGCCAATGTAGTTCATCGAGATTTGAAGCCCAAAAATTTATTGATAAATGGAAACTGTGACTTGAAAATATGTGATTTTGGACTAGCCAGAGCCCTCGATCCTCAAATCAAAGTATTCAAACCAAATTCCAAATTTAGCTTAAACCAAAAGTCTATAGTCCCTATGTTTAAACCAGATGGTACCGAGCTCCTGAATTGCTTCTCTAATGGAGAGATTATAATTAAAGCATTGATATGTGGTCAGTGGGTTGTATATTTGCCGAGATGCTGAGGAAGAAAATCTTCCTCCCAGGAGCTTCAGCCAAAAATTAAATTGAATTAATTTTTGATGTGCTGGGATCTCCCAATGAATAAGTATTACAAATGGCTCCCAAATCCCCCCTCTCCATCAGCGTCAATCAAATGCAAAAAAAGAGAGGCAGGGATTTTGAGAAACTGTTCCCGAATGGATCCAAAGAAGCCATTGATCTATTGCGACAACTCTTCGAATATGACCCAACCAAAAGAATAACTGCAGAACAGGCTTTAAAACACCCCTATCTGTCCAAATACCATATTCCTGAAGATGAAGTACTTATTTAATCGACATAGCCCATAGCTGTTCCTGTGAGATACTTAGACTTTGAATTTGAAGAGTATAATCTGACTATTGAATAGTGGAAAGGTATGTGTCATACCTTATATTGCAGATTGCATTTATGAGGAGATTCTACTCTACCATTATCCTGAGTTCTCAAAGGATTACGAATCAAACATTAAAAAAGGGTATTCAATAATGAAGCACATTGTTAACAATGACAATGCTAAGTAACTGGATTAAATACAGGATGAAGATGAGGAGGATGAAGAGGATGATGTACCACAAAATTAATAAATATAATGAGTTTGAAAATATATAGGTTGTTAAATGAAAAATACACACTCATTCTAATATATTAGATAATTCATATGTTCAAGTAAACATGTAAATCTCCAAAGACTGGTGCAGTATGGCTATAGAAATTGTTTATATTTATGCCATTTATAGTAAAATTGTGTTATATTAATGCATGGTTTAAATAAGTATTGTATCAAAAAATAAAAAATTAATATTATAAAGTGAATGAAACCTTGTCAACTTCCAGACGATATTATATAGCATTATTCGAATTTCCGCAATAAAAAAAGCAAATTGAAGGTGAGCACAATTTTAGGGTCGAGATTTGAGATTGATGATAAATATGAAATCTTGGACAATAGTATGAATTCATTGCTTAACCTCTCTAGTTGGTTAAGGAGCGTACGGTATAGTTGTGGCAGCCAGAGATAACACACTGGATCCTGAGGATAATTTAGTTGCGATAAAAAAGATTGAAAAAGCTTTCGAACATAAAATATTTACAAAGAGAACTTTGAGAGAATTGCGGCTACTGAGATTGCTCTAACATGAAAATGTAAGTATCGCTTATATCTAGATTATTGGAATCAATACTATACTACTTCCAAAATCAAGAGAAGAATTCGAAGATATGTATAAATTAAAATGATTTAGTTACGTGGTTCAAGAACTGATGGAAACAGACTTAGCGCAGATCATTAAGTCAGACTAAAACCTTGCGGATGAACATTGCCAATTTTTCCTTTATCAACTATTGAGAGGTCTCAAATACATACATTCTGCAAATGTAGTCCACAGAGACTTGAAACCACGTAATTTATTAGTTAACAGCAATTGCGATCTAAAGATTTGCGATTTCGGATTGGCCAGAGCCTTGATTCCAGATTTAAAAGTAGAAATTCTAATATCGACTCTAGGCCAAAGCAGGTGTGTTGACTGATTACGTTGCAACCAGATGGTATAGAGCTCCAGAATTACTATTATCATGGAGGAATTACACATAAAGTGTCGATGTTTGGTCAGTTGGTTGTATTTTCGCTGAACTGTTAAGACGAAAACCCTTCTTGCCTGGAATGGACACCAAGAATCAAATAGAATTGACATTCGAAGTAATAGGTACTCCATCTGAATAAGAATTGAACATGATCCCTAAAGAAAAATATAGAACCATCGCAAAGGGACTCCCTAAACGACCAGGAAAGGATTTCAACAAATTGTTCCCAAATGCTTCCAATCTTGCTATCGATTTATTGAAGAGCCTACTTACCTTCGATGCCAAGAAGAGAATCACAGTTGAGGATGCCTTGAAACATCCTTATTTATCCGCTCTCCATTGTCCTGATGACGAAGTATTTGTTTTGGTGTTATCCTTTACAGCCCATTGCAGTTCCTGTACAACGGATAGATTTCGAATTTGAAGAGTACAACATGACACTCCAACAACTCAAAGGTATTTGATTGCAATATTATAGATTGTATTTATGAGGAAATATTGATATACCACTTCAAAGACTTCAAGGATGAGTATGAAACCAAGAAGCGAAATTCTTCATCCATCATCAATCATATAATTAAAAATGAAAACTCCAAAATAATTGATCCAGATGCTGATGATGATGACAACGATTCCGATGAAGAACCAATTTGATAAATATAATTAAATATATGGCAAAAAAATCCTAACCATAAGTGGATTTATCTTGGGTAGTCCCCAATGCCTTGTGCTGGCAAGATCTCGACAATAAGGATCCTATGTTTTCACCAGCTGTCGTAATAAGTTCGGATGGGAAAATAATCACGATTAAGTTGGAATCTGGCGGATAGATATAATGCAAACCAACACAAGTGCTAGAAAGAGCAGATCCAACCATATTAGGAAACAAAGGCTTTGATGATATGGTGAATATGGAAATTCTTAATGATGCAGAATTACTAAATAATTTAATTTATAGATTTGGGAAGGATATAATTTTCACTTATGTGGGTCCCACATTGTTAGTCATAAACCCATTCAAATAGATTCAAGGTCTAATGAGTGCTGATATTAGAAATTAATATATTGATGATATCGTTAAAAAGAATCGGCTTATTAAAGATCTACCTCCTCATGTTTATGCAATTGCTGCACAGGCCTATAGACAATTATTTGAGAATGAAAAGAATTAAGCAATTGTTATATCTGGAGAAAGTGGAGCAGGCAAAACTGAGAATGCCAAGTTTTCTATGAATTTACTAACTTCTATTGCGTCAGATGGCTCATCAAAAGATAAGATAGAAGATTAAATTCTAGGATGCAATCCCATTTTAGAAGCCTTTGGTAATGCAAAGACTGTGAGGAATAACAATTCATCAAGATTCGGTAAGTACGTTAGAATTATTGTCGACAGTAAGAGCAAATAAATTAAGGGGGCTGAAATTATCAATTATTTGATGGAGAAGTCAAGAATTAATTAACAAGGTAAAAATGAAAGGAATTTTCATATTTTTTATTTCTTTCTACAAGGATTGCCCCAAGAATTATTGAATAAATTTGGAGTTACTATGAAGATGGAAGAATTTAATTATCTCAATTCCTCCAAAACTTATACAATCCCAAATGTTGATGACGCTGAAATGTTCAAGGAAATTTAAGAAAGCTTCTCCATCTTAGGAATGCAAGCCGATTTTGAAAACATTGTCTAAACAGTTCTTGCAGTGTTACATCTTGGAAATCTTGAATTTAACGCAAGCACTCTAACAGACACTTAGCCAGCTTCAGTCACTGAGAGCTTAGCAGAACGCTTACTAGAGTTGTCTAATTAACAACTATCTTAGGCTTTGACTCTTAAATCAAGAGTAATCAATAAACAGACCATCTTGTCTCCATTGACACTTGATGAATGTCAATTCACGAGAGATTCATTGGCAAAGGACATTTATGATAGATTATTTAATTGGTTAGTTATTCAATTAAATAAAGTCTTAAAGCCTAAAGTTGAGTCCAAGACATCTGTTGGATTGCTTGATATTTATGGATTTGAAGTTTTTGATAAAAATGGATTCGAATAGATCATGATCAATTATACAAATGAAAAGTTACATTAACTTTATATTCAATATGTATTTAAGGAAGAGGAGAAGATCTTCATAGAGGAAGGTCTAAAGGACCATTTGGGGTAATTGGAATTTTAGGATAATACATAAGTAATTGAATTAATTGATAAATAACCTGGAGGAATATTCAGTATTTTAGATGAATCTTGCTCTGTCAAATCATCTGATGATGGATTTCTATAAAAAATAAGAACCGTCCATAAATCAAATCCATTAGTAAAAACACCTAAGATGCCAAGTGATCCTGCATTCATACTAGTGCACACAGCAAAGGATGTATGCTATACAGTAACAGGATTTAGAGAGAAAAACAAAGATGAAATGAGTGCTTAAACTATTTCGATGATTAGTCAAACTTAAAATCCTCTTTTAAAATAGTTGTATACTATGGAGGGAATGAAAGAAAAGTTTATATCATAGAAGATAAAGAAGGAAATGATTGAATTGATGACTGAATTGCACTAATGCGATGTCCATTTCATAAGGTGTATCAAACCAAATGAAAGTAAATTGCCGAATTAAGTATTTTCTGAAATGACCCTTAAATAAATTAGATATCTAGGTGTCTTAGATTCCTTAAAGGTAAGGAAAGAATCTTACAGTATAAGAAGGCCATATTAATTTTTTTATAAACGATATGCTGACATGACAAGAAATGAAATTTATGGTAAACTAATAAAAAACCCAGATATCAATTTTAGACAATTGGTCGTAGATATGTTTAAACAACACATGCCTCATATTGATTCAAAGTAAGTATTGTTTGGAAGGACAAAGATCTTTATTCGTAATACAGGATTACAAATGATTGAAGATTCATACAATAAAATTGTGACTCTCAAACATTAAAGAGCAGCTAAGTTGTAAAGGTCATATAAAATCTATAAAATGAATCAGCATCTGAAAAAGATGATGAGAATTGCTTTGACACTTCGTACTTTAGCATAAAGAATTCGTTTTAAGGTATTAGTCAGAAAACGAGTAAAAGCAGCATCAATCATCTAAGCTTGGTATAAGAAATTGCATGAGAGAAGATTAAGATAAAAATATGAGAAATCAGCATTACACTTGAAGTTGTATTTTGAAAGATATAATGTACTTAGAGAAGTAGCAAGAAAGAAATTAGCTATTAGTAAAATACAGAAATTTGGTAGATATGTAGTGCAATCAAAATAGGAGAGGAAAGTGAGGGAAATCAAAAATGTATTTTAAAAAATTATTGATGATGCTTGGTAAATGATCCTGATCAAGAAGGCTGTTATGATATAATCCAATTTTAGAGGAAATTAAGTGAGAAAAAAAAATAAGAAGTAAGTTCATCAAATAAAGAATGCAGGAAGAAAAATTAAAATGGAAGGTTCAGTTATAAAAGTATAAGCAGCAATCAGAAGATTTATTGCGAGAAGCCAATTTAGAAGAGCTCATGATGCTGCTTATTTAATCCAAGGTTATTTCAGAATGAAATTACTCTCAACAATGTTTCAAAGAATGAGAGCAGCTGCAAGAAGTGTTTAAAAGTTTGCCAGAATCTATCTTTAGAAGCAAATGGCCTATAAAAAGAATTATGAATCTTTTGTATTGCCTTGGGAAAAAAACGTTTAGCAGTAAAAGCATGATGCCTCTAACTTATGGAATTTAACTAATGAAAACATTGAGAATGAGGAAATTCAACCATTGTTAGAGACATGTCTCATTTAATGGAGACCAAGATTGCCAAAGATTGCATTATTTTCTGTGCCTATTGATATTGATATACTATCCGATATCTATTAGTGCTACAATCCAAATTATTCTTATTCAAGAACATTACTTAATATTATTATTCAACAATTTAGAAAGGACCATCCCATTTAATCATACTTCACTACTGAAGAGAGTACTCTATGTGTCACTTTGGGTGGAACTGCTATATTTGAATTTGGTAGTGGACAATTGATTTTAAATAAAGATACTTTTGAAACTGTGGAAAAGAACATATTTCCAGATTTCATTCGAATCAAATCCATAAGTTGTAGTGATGAATTCATCTTAGTAACAACTGCAGATGGTTCTTTATTGTAATATGGCGATTAATATAAATAGATAAAATACAAACCACATTATGTTAATAAAGAATGCACAATGTCATCCAAGAAATATATTGTAAGTGACAATAAAGTGTTTTCATTATTTAATCTAAATGTTCATATACCAATCAAATAGAAGGCTAAAATGCTATCATGTGGAAATCAATTTATTGTTACATTGTGTGAAAGTGGGTAATTGTATTCATGGGGAGAAAATTATGAAGGAGAATTAGGATTGGGTGATCGTAGATATCGACATGAGCCTTGTCTGATCAACATTGAAAAAGTTTTGTAGGTCTGTTGTGGTTTTAAGCATGTCATTGCAAAGACCAGAAGTAAAATTTACACTTGGGGATGGGGTGAGCGAGGTCAACTTGGTAATTCTGAATTGAAAAATGAGGTAATTTGATATTAATTACAATAGATTTTGCCAAAACCCTTGAATATTTCAACATTGTGGGTATCTGCAGGAAGGACTAGTTCTAGTATTATAACAAATGATCGTGTAATCATGTAATGCGGTACCAATTCTCTATTAAATCACCAAGAGAAATTTGAAACTGTAACATTGGTAATTCTTCCGTTAATTATTAGAGTTTCGCTTTAAATTCAATGATTCCTATCAGAATAATATCAACTTGGTCAAAAACAATTGAAATAACTTACGTTACTTTTGCTAATACAATTTCATTGCCAGAAAATCAGTTGTCCAAATCCTTAAAAATTCTAAATCACTTAAATTAGATCTGGTCAGAAAGCAGTGATCCACATTCCATCGATCCACCATTTAATTAATCTATCAGCAATTATTTATATGAAGCATCGATGAGAAAATCAAATCAATTCAATAAACAGCAGATTAAAAATCATTTCAAACTATAAAAAGAAATGCTTTACATTGAAGACGATAGAGATTGGGCTATGAGAAAGAAAGTTTTAGTAGAAGACATTATATCTCATTAAAGAACTGTTACTAAAACAGACAAATTAAAAGCAGTAAGATAACGATTCCTCGATTTGATGACTAAAAATGAGGATTAATTGACAAATGATGATAAAGCCTTTATTAATTAGATTTAGAATAATGAGAAAATTTAAGCTTTACTAAAGAGTATAGAATAATGATTGTTTATTTCATTCAAACATTTTATAATCAATTATCAAATTTTTCAATCTATTCTGTATTTACTATGGGTATGCATATAATTTTTCAGTGTCTTCTAATATTTCCCTTATTAAATCTGATGAAAATCCTTTGCCAACATAAAACAATTCACTTGATTCCTACTTAGAACTCAAAGGCTTTTCTCTATAAAATTCTTTGAAAAATAATCTGAAAAAGTCCTAATGAAAATACTTCTGGATATATTTACATAATTAAGTTTCTCCTCACTACCAACAAAGGTTTTCATTACTAAGTTACCATTAGTTTTTAATGTAAAAGTGCTCACTTTGATTAATCAAAAAATTCATTTACAAAGCAATGCTGTTTAATTTAATGCAG